GGCGGTATGCCACCGATGATGCCTCAAAGAACTGGAGGTATGCCTTCACAGATGACTGGTGGTATGCCACCGATGATCGCCCTACGAAAAGAACCGGCGGTATGCCTTCACAGATGACTGGCGGTATGCCACCGATGATGCCTCAAAGAACCGGCGGTATGCCTTCACAGATGACTGGTGGTATGCCACCGATGATGCCTCAAAGAACTGGAGGTATGCAACCTATGATGCCTCAGCAGACTGGAAATCTTATGGCTCAACCAACTGGAGTTCCTGGACAATGGGGATTTATCAATACACCATTAAGTAATCTTCCAGGTATTGAAGCGTTGGGAGAACAGATGATGCCAAATGCATCTGACGGTAGCTTAACTCGCAATTTTACAGGAAAAAAAGAAATTCCTTGGGCTATAAGCAAAGAAGAGAAGCGCATATATGATCAAATCTTTGATGCTTGGGATAAAGAAAAGAAAGGGACCCTTGGAGGAAATGCCGTATTGGAAATCTTTGGTCAAAGTAAATTATCTCGTTCCGAGCTTGAGCATCTTTGGAATCTCTGTGATCATGGTGATAAAGGCTGTTTAGACCGTGACGAATTTTCAGTTGCTCTCCACCTTATTTATAGAAAACTTAATGGCAACGTGATCCCATCACAACTTCCTCCTGAATTAATCCCGCCTTCAACCAGAAATATTGAAGCTTCTTTGAATCAAGTGAAGAATCTTATTAAAAATGATACTTCATCACGCAAGGCATTTAGTAACGAAAATGTAAGCAGATTGAAGAAAAATTCATTTTATGATAATGCGAGTACCTTAAGCGAAAAGGATGCTACGCTTTATAGATTCAACGATTCCAATGTGCCGGCTTATGTGTCTAATTCCAGAAGGAGAGCTTATTCTAAAGACAGGCCTGAGGCTTTACCGCCCACAGCTGGTTCTCTTAACGAGATCAACGATGAAACTGAACTTTTGAAAAAGAATATTCGTGAGAAAGAAATATTATATAATGCTTTGGAGGATAAAAAAGCAGCCCATTCAGATGTTTCTGACAACGCTTCTCTAATTGATCGCATTAAGTCTATTCACAGTGAGATTAATAAAACGCTGGCCGATCAAAGATCTCCGGAAGCGGATGTTTTTATTTCACGCCTTGACGCATTAAATTTGAAGGTTACTCAACTTGTTTCTGAGATCACTACTGCTGATGACAGATTAGATGAACTTTCCTCAAGCATTCAAAAATCTAGTGGAATTATTGATTTTGAAAACGTTTCTGCAAAGATAAGTCAGATTGAGCAGCAAAGAAATGCGTCAAAGGATTCATTAAAGCAACTTAAAGCATCTATCGATGACATCGAGTTAGAAGCCCGTAAGCAATTGATACCGTCGAGCAAAATGGATGATGAATGGATGAATAAAAATATGGTTGATGATTCTGTTAAGAAGGTTATGAAGGATCTTCCACCAGCTGTTCAACCGCAAGAACCTGTTGCTCAACCTAAGACGGGGGCTGCGCATCCTGAAGTTGCTGCTTCCACCGCCATTGAGTCCAAACCAGTAGCTGAAAAAGAAAGCTTTACTAACGTTCCCGATGTAGAAGATAGAGCAGCAAGGATAAAGTCCGAGGCCCAGCGACGTATGAATGAGCGTTTAGCTGCCTTAGGTATAAAACCTCGTCAACCGAGAAGTGCCAGTGGTAATACCACGGCTCCTCCTCTTTCAGCAAGTCCTTCGATGATTACTGTTACAAACGAGGCCCCTCAACTTGAAAAACAGTTTTCTAATCTTTCGGTCAACGGCAAAAAAGAATCACCAGTTCCTTCTTTTAATACTCCTTCATTGGACCAAGAAAAACCGAAAGATATAAGTGGAAATCAGACTACCGAGAATCCTGTAGAACGTAAACAGGCTCAGGAATCAGACCCCAAAGTCGATGAAGTAAGGAAGGATTCTGTTTCTTCAATGTCGTCGGGGTCCAATGTTTCGTCTGTGAAAGAGGCCACATCAGCTTCCCCTCAAAGAGTACCTTCAAGAGATGCTAAGCCTGAATCATCGCTTGCTCCTAGTGCTTCTTCTACTCAATCTGCCACACAGTCACCTGCACTTCCTCCAAGTCCTTCGGCTATTGCTAATAATACATTGAATATCTCACAGCCTTCCGCAGCAACACCGCAACCTCCTCCTGCACCTCCAAGTCCTCCACCTACGCCTGCTGGTACATCGAGTATCTCCCAGCCTTCCGCAACAACGCAGCATTCTCCATCTCCTCCTGTAACCAATCCTCCTCCTCCTCCTCCTGCGCCTGCTGTTCATGCCCCATCTTTGACACCTCATATTCAGAAACAAGCAAATAGTTCCGCTATGGGGTCTACCTTACAGCCCCAAGTAACTTCTAGAGCTCCTTCCTCAGGTACTGAAACGGCTCTTCCTCCAGTTCCTCCCCCTTCAGCACCTCCTTCAGCACCTCCTACTACGACTGGATTTAATCCTTTTTCGAAAGTTCCACCTGCTCCACACACGAGCGGATACGACTCGGACAATTGGAGCCAGCATGAAGAAGAAGAGGATAGTGAGGATGATGCGCGATCTAGTAAGGATGCAGCAGCTTTAGCTGCGAAGTTATTTGGCGGTATGGCTCCCGTTCGACCACTTTCTGCCTCTCCTGGCAAACCGCAATCTTCCAGTACAACACCATCTTCAGTTCCTCCAGCACCACCTGTTTCGGCATCTCCAATGCCTCCAGCTCCGCCTGTCGCTGCCCCGCCAGCAGCCCCAGCACCTCCAATGCCTCCGTCACCACCTGTTACTGCACCACCAGCAGCCCCAGCACCTCCAATGCCTCCGGCACCACCTGTCGCTGCACCACCGGCAGCCCCAGCACCGCCGGCTGCTCCGGCACCCATCGTAGCTAATCCAGACGATAGAGGTGCTTTGTTGAATCAAATTCATACAGGTAAAAAGTTACGGAAAGCGGTAACTAATGACAAAAGTAAGCCTCTTGGAGGTCGTGTGTTAGATGGATCTAGTAATGGAGATAATTCAGCTTGGTATGGCAATTTGTCCTAACGCCTATATCCTGTTGTTTGACGATCATACTTTGAAGCCTTTTTAGACGATCTTTACGAATTTTGACTTTGTTTACCCTTTTATTTTATGTTTTGCTTTCGTCATCAGTTGATTTAGTAAATCAAGCTTATTTAACATCACTATCCGAATTGTCCATTGATATAGTGAATATTCAAAAGAATTACAACATTACAATAGATGACAGACTAACTTTGATTATACAGCAAGAAATGCAATCTCATTTTTAAAACTATCACTAAATAAATTCACCCAAACTTAGAGCACCAATCGAACAAGTAAATCCCTAATAGTTACACGACTAGGATGGTAGCAGGATCATGAAAACACATCAAGAAACGTTCGAGTAGGCAAGAAACCCATATACAATAAACAAGCCAAAAAGAAGGAGAAGCCTAATCTTCAATAGTTTCAATTTGTTCAGAAATAACCTCTTCAATAGTTTCTTGAATAACTTCTTCTTCGTCAGCAGGAAGAACAGAGTGAAGAGGTTGACCAACAGCAGCACGCTCTTCAGCGACACGTGCAGTAACTTCTTCTCTATATCTCTGCCATTCACTAATAAGGTTTCTTCTACGAGCAGCCAACTCACGATTGGCAGAACTGGTTTCGGCAATATCCTCTTCATCAAAGAGACGATTGTAATCTTTAAGTTTTCTTCTAATGTTCTTCATGTCTTCCTTAGACAAGAGGGTAGGAGGACGAGGTCGCCATATGAATTGCTTGAAGTCTGGAATCATCTCCTCGCGAAGAAGGGTACCTCTGAAGTCTGAAATTCTGTAGCCGTTTTCAAGCTTGTGGCGCCAGACAGTACTGCTTGTAGTCACATAGCGTCCGCTTGGATCCCACTCGAGTTCAGTCATACCAAAGTGTTCGGTTGATCCAGTTTGTTGGACATTAGCCAAAGCATCAGGTTCCTTCTTATCAGTATCGAAATCCATATCATAAAATTCCAAATCATACTGTGTAGCAGAACCGAGAGTGGCAGCTACCAAAAATCTACCATTAGGAGCGAAAAAGATTGAGTTGAGAGACTTCTTGTCAAACGAGGTGATGTGACGGAATGTACTAGTAGTGTTCTTCTTATGCTCAAATCCATAGAAAGAAAGGGTTGTTTTAACATTGGTGGAACTCAAGATTTGATCGTTAGCAGAAATAATCGCAAATCGATCACTCTTGGGTTCCCAAGCGAAATTGAGTACAACATCCTTAAGATCAACGACTTCCACGGGAATGTTTTTCTCGCGGATGCGGAAGATCTCCAAGTTGGAGAAAGTAGACTTTTTAGTCTTGGTATGGCGGTCGACTTTCACGGAAAGGAAGTCACCGTTGGATTGCCAATACAACTTGCAATCAGAAACATTAAAAAGATTTTTAGTACGAATAGTCTGCTTGGATGGAACACTAATGAGTGCAACACGGGCAGGTTGATTTAAGACTTCGGGAGTCCAATAGGCTAAAAGTTGTTCCTTGTCGTCTCCACCGAGAGCATTGGAAACGGGACACCATTCAAAGTTCTGAACGCCGTCAATTTTAAGAGCCTTTTTATCGACCAAAGAAAGAGAAGGAGTTTCGTAAATAGAGATCGATTGGCCAACATTAATACGTGCAAGGAAACGATCATCAGCAGACCACTTGAAAAGAGGCCAGACCACCTTCTTGGCATCTTTAACGTTATCGACCTGCTGAGGAATCTTGAAAGAACGAAGGATGCGACCTGAGGCGATGTCCCAAACGAAACAATGCTTTCCTTCATCTTCATCGGTAAAGGGCATAGTCTCACGAGCAGGGTGCCCGATAGGAGGAAGACGGACAGGTTCAAAAGACCAAGAGACGAGGTACTTTTCGTTGGGGCTGAAGTCAATAAATTTGACATACGGGTGCAAAAAGCGAGCACACATGTTCCACGACTCTCCACCCCAAAGTTGGATACCACGGAGGTGCAAAGAAACTAAATAAGTACCTAAAGGTGACCATTGGACATAGGTTTCAGTCCAATTTTCACGGTTGACAGCTTGCTCAGGAACATCGCTCTTGCGATTCCAGTTAACAGAAACTTGGTTGCCATAGTAGCTTATAAACTGATCACGGCCATAATAGTCAGCAAGCCAGCTACGCAAGTGTTCGCGCTCTTTAAATTCACGCTCCTCATAGGTGAATTCCTCTGGAGTGTTCAAAGCCTTTTCAAGCTGGTTTAACTTGCGGACAACAAACACATGACTTTTTAAAACTTGTTTTCCATCAAGTTCTTGTACACAGAGGTCGGCAAACTCGGAGTTTTCGAAGTCTGCAAACACGATACCAATCGACATCTTCTTGCCGCCTTTGTCTTCTAAAGGCATGTAGAGACCATTCTCCTTGACCTTACCTATTTTCGCAAACAATCTAGTGGCTAAGAAACGATAAAAATCTTGAACTTTGGTTTCTTCTACAACAGGAACGCCTTGAATCACGACCACCGTGTCGTAACCCACGGGTTTCGCGACATTTAGCTTTGCTTCCAAGTCGGAGACGTTAATTTCGTCGTCTCGAACGACGATTTGACTCTTAATCTCCTCAACAAGGCTTTCCGACATTCTGGTGTTGTGCCGTTGTTTCTAGTCAAGTTTCTTCTCCCCAGTCACTAGGAGTACAAAGACCGTAGATACGCTTTCCATAAATTCTTTCATATCTCGGTTAAAACGAAATATGTTTACATGAGTAGTCATAGAAAAAATAAATATGTATAATGTATGTTTAATTTGGTCAATGAGTATTTTCAGAGAAAGCTGCTTTTAACAACTACCGTTTAGAGAGGAAATCCTTCTCTTCAGGAAAAGCGTTTTTTTACAGTGAAATTTTATCATTTATTAAATTTTTTTTGTCTTTACTAACCGATAAAAGACCTTTTTAAGGATCTGGAAGTGCATATACTTGAAATTGCCTAAGTTTGGTTACCTTGCTTGGTTCTCCCAAGGCCCTGTGTTTACCTTTTTACAAGTGGAAACCCCAATTCACGAATTTGATAGATTCCTAGGCTATTTTGCACAGAAGTTTTCTTTGTTTTTGTATTTTATTTTCTTCCATTGTTCTTCTGTCTTTCGTTTATACCCTTGTCTTTCTTTTACTGTCTTTCCCATTAGTTTCTCATTTTCATTATCAATATGCCACCAAGGCCTCCTGGAGGCGGGCCTACACAAAGCGCAAGCTCAAAAATGCAGTCAAGGATTGGAATGAATGCTTCGAGAGTTCCCAATGCCACTATTCCTCGTAAACGTCGTGCTGATACTCAGAGTACTGTTGGCTATACCTCTGCATCCCAAAGCTCTTCTGCGGAAAGTGCGCTTCATGATGAAAATGAAACAAACATCAACGTCGCCGTCCGTGTTCGAGGCCGTAGTGACCGAGAAGTTCGCGATAATAGTGCTCTCGCCGTTAGTACGTCAGGCGCCGTTGGTGCTGAATTAGCAATTCAATCTGATCCCTCTTCTATGCTTGTTGCAAAGACTTATGCCTTTGATAAAGTATTTGGTCCCGAGGCAGATCAACTAATGCTTTTTGAACACGCTGTGTCTCCCATTCTAACCCAGGTATTAAATGGATATAACTGCACTATCTTTGCTTACGGTCAAACAGGAACAGGAAAAACATACACTATGTCTGGTGATTTATCTGATTCGAACGGTATTCTGTCCGAGGGCGCTGGCTTAATTCCCCGCACCCTTTACAGCTTATTTTCTACCTTAGATAATAGCGGTCAAGAGTATGCTGTGAAATGCTCGTATTATGAACTTTACAATGAAGAAATTAGAGATCTTTTGGTAGCTGACGATCTGCGCAAGCGGGCTCGTGTTTTTGAGGACACTTCTCGTCAAGGAAATGTAGTTGTCACGGGAATGGAAGAGTTCTACATAAAAAATGCAGCAGAAGGCCTCAGATTGCTTCGTGAAGGCTCTTACCGCCGTCATGTTGCCGCTACCAAGTGCAATGATCTTTCCTCACGGAGTCATTCCATTTTTACCGTTACTATTCATACAAAGGTTCCCTCTTCTAGCGCTCATGAACCTGGATTTACCAATATGTCTTTTTCTGCAAACAACAATTCAGATGACTATATGCGTGTCAGCAAACTTCACATGGTAGACCTCGCTGGAAGCGAAAATATTGGTAGATCTGGGGCCGAAAATAAGCGCGCTCGTGAAACAGGCATGATCAATCAATCCCTACTTACTTTAGGACGTGTAATCAATGCTCTTGTTGAAAAATCTCATCATATTCCTTATCGCGAGTCAAAGCTAACCAGGCTATTGCAGGATTCACTTGGTGGAAAAACTAAAACGTCAATGATCGTAACTGTTTCCTCTACAAACACCAATTTAGAAGAGACACTATCAACCTTGGAATACGCCTCACGTGCTAAAAGCATTCGAAACAAGCCGCAAAATAATCAATTGATATTTCGTAAAGTTTTGATCAAGGACCTAGTTCTTGATATCGAACGTTTAAAGGCGGATTTGAATGCAACTCGTCAAAAAAATGGTGTTTATTTGGCAGAAAGCTCTTATAAAGAATTGATTGAGGGTGCGCAAAGTAAAAGCACTCTTTGTCAAGAACAGGCTCGGAAATTAGAGGTGCTAGAATTAAATATAAAAAATGCCCGGGAGCAATTGCAACTGGTCTCAAAGTCTAATCAAGAACACAAAAAGGAAATAGATAATTTCCAAACTCAGCTCACATCTTCAAAATCTGATTTAGAGGCGGTAAGGTTGGAAAATGAAAAATTGCGGGAACAATTGGCTTCAGAAATGGAAAAAAGAAAGGATTATGAAACAAGTGAGCAAAAGATTACGACCGTTGCAACTGATTTGTCTCAATATTATCGCGAGTCAAAAGAGTACATTTTCCGCCTCTTTGAAAAGCTCAGTAGGACGGAAAAGATAAGCGAAGAGAATGAGACCAATTTTTGGAATCTTAAGCACGAATTGCTCACAATGCTCTCTAGCTTTCAAGGAAATTTTACGGATGGGACAAATGGCTACTTTAATTTATTAAACAATTTTAACACTTCTATGGAGGAGATTTTAAATAACCACGGTACTCTATTGAATACTTCTATAAAAGAAGTGAATACACATTTTATTAATTTAGAACATCTATTAAAGGAAGCACGGTCTTCTACAAATCCTTCAACAACACTTGATTCTCTAGTTTCGGACTTGTTAGAGTCCAGGAAAAATTTACTGCTTTTACTTGAAAACAGTCTTCAAGAGGTTAGCATGTCTTCCCAAAAATTGGGTAATGGAATATCGACTGAACTCATTGAATTACAGAAAGAGATGAAAGATTCATACCGAAAAGTTGTTCAGGACCTTCGTACGCTCTTTAACGTCCAACAAAACCATTGCAAATCACAGAAAGAATTAATATCAACTGCCAAGGATGATATTACTGTCGTACTCCAAGCTTGCGCAACGTCTATAAACGAAAATAATAGTAGTATTGACCAATTTTTAGATGAATATAAGGTTCAGGAAGAATCGAAACAAAAAGAATTGATGAATCGAATCAATTCAGTTGTTGGTCAATTTTTGCAGGAGCAAAATCAGCTGCTCTATTCTAATGTCGGAGGGTTCCAGACGAGATTAAATAAGTCAAAGTCTGAGATTGTCGATTCGAATGAACAATTAAAATTATATTTTGATAAGCTGAACAACGACTCAGACGTGTTTAACAAGGCACTATTAGAAAATAAAGGAAAGTTACAAAGCACCATCACGCAGAGCTCTGGGCTATTGGATGCAAAAGGAAAAAGCATCCATACAAACTCTCGCTCCGTTTATGATGAATGCATGACATTGGCTGAAGCACAGAAGGAGAATGTTTATTCTGAAGTTCGAACGCTGGATCGTTTGTTACAAAGTCTCCAAGCTCATTCCGATGATCATCTTCAAGAAAAGCATGAAAAGCTTCTACTGCGATTGAATGATTTGATGAAAAAGACGACGACGGTTAGAAACTCTGTTACAGCACCCCAGGATAATCTAAGTGCGCTTACTAGTCAAATCCAAGAGGGAACGACATCTTTAGCACACCACACTAATGATTTACTCGGCAATGGAACAGAAACCTTGACGAACATTGAAAGTACATTAGAAAAGGTGAATTTCGGTAAGGTAGAGCCAATAGCAGATACATTCAGACAGGAGTTTCCTGAGACACCTTCTTGGTCACGGGAATTAGCATTTGCAGACGATCTATCAAATCTATTTATCAATAAGGCAGAGCTCCATGAAGGAGAAAATTCTCAGCCAGCGGTTTCACCGATAAAAGAAATGAGCTCTCAACTTTCTCAACGCTTATCGTCGAAGCCATCGAAGTTGGATACTTCGAAACGAACAAATAATGCTGTCAATAAGCGGTTTTCTTCACGTGGTAAACGGTGAAAGAACTGGTGTTTTGTGATTTAATGATTCTATGTACTAATTTTCTGTGCTTCTTCTTTAATGATTCTTTGGTTATATAGAATATTTAGTTGTAACCTTAATATTGAAATGTGTTATATATAACATGAACATCAAATATAGCAGGTATACTTACAAGCTGAAAGCTTTTTGTACTGCGTTTACAAATATTACTAACCTTACTACTCCAACAAGCTAGAAATTTTAGCTTTTTGCTCTTCATGAAGATGATGTATTTTTATAGCTCTGAAACAACCAACGTCAAGCCAAAGCTAGGTTTAGCGCAATCTTCTAGCTTCACGCTCAGATTCAAGAAGAACCAAGATGTCATCCTCACGGACAGGTCCCTTGACGTTACGGATGATGGAACGAGAAGTGTCATCCATAAATTCAACACGGACTTGAGTAACTCCACCACTGCCAGTAAGTTAGTAACTCGAAGTTCTAATACTTCCCTATGGCTTTTTATTATATATGACTGGATGCTTGAAATGGTATCGTAAATAAAGCTTGAAAAAGCTTAAGATATGCTTGCAAGCATCTTTCCATAGGATGGGAAAAAACATAATAAAAAAACTTACCGAGAGCCGGTGCGACCTAAAACTTTGATGACCTTAGCCAACTTAACAGGAACCTTTGAAGAATCCATTGTTCTCTTAATCTGTGTAGATTTGCGTGGTGTTTAGAGAAGAATTGGTTTTGGTACCGTTAGAAATTTTGGGGTCCCGTGACTGCTTTTCTGGGGAAGGGTGCTGTGTTTAGGAGAAAAAATAAGGAAACACGAGAAGCGTTAAAGAAGCAGTGAAACACCAAATAAAAAATTCATAAAAAACAAATACAATATGGATTTGGTCAACCACTTGGAGGATCGTTTGCTTTTTGCTGTCCCTAAAAGTAAGTGACAATAACAATTGTAAAAGTGAAAATTATCTAAGGCTGAATGTACGAAATGAAAGTGGATGAGCGCGAAAACGGTAGACTTTTTAGGAGCGAGCGTGGAATTTTTATAGTCTATGATATTTACTTTACAAGTTGTTGTCTTTAATATGTTCGAAAGTATTAATACATATGTCTAGAGGGTCGTTTGTATGAGTCATGTGTGAATGTTTTAAAGGGCGCTGATATCAAGTTCCGCCGTAACTCCCGCTTAGACATTGCTTTGGTTCAAAACTTCCCTATTGCTTTGGTTTTCTTGCCTGCTGCCGATATCCCTCGTTTCGTTGGTACCGGTCGTGTCCATCTCGGTATCACCGGTCAAGATCAAATTGCTGAGGCTCGTCTCCGTATCGGCGAAAAGTTGAAGGTTGAGGAATTGGTTGACCTTCAATTTGGTGGCTGCAATCTACAAGTTCAAGTTCCCGAAAATGGTCCAATCCAAAATGCTAAGCAATTGGTCGGTCAACGTATCGTCACTTCCTTTGAATATTTGGTGGGTGATTACTTTAAAAAGTTAGAGGAGAATATGAAAAAGGAAGGGGAAATTAGCAATGAAACTGAGACTGAAATTAGCTTTGTTTCAGGCAGCGTTGAAGCCTCCTGTGCGTTGGGTATTGCTGAAGCTGTTGTTGACTTGGTTGAATCTGGTGAAACCATGCGCGCTTCTGGTTTGAAGGCCATTGAGACTATTATGAGCTCTAGTGCTGTTTTGGTTCGATCTACCAATTGTGCTCCTGAACTCGAGCCTCTTTTGCAAACTATCATTACACGCATTCGTGGATATGTAATTGCTAAGCAATACGTACTCGTCAACTACAATGTTTCTCGTGATCACTTGACTGATGTTCTCAAGATTACTCCTGGCAAGCGTGCTCCTACCATCACAACCTTGGATGAACCCAATTGGGTTGCTGTTAGCAGCATGGTGTTGAAGAAGAATGTTGCCAAGGTTATGGATGAGTTGGCCCAGAATCATGCTACTGACATTCTTGTCCTTTCCATCGACAATTCTCGTCCTTAGAAGTGGTTTTTTTTTGTTGTTTTAAAGAAGTCATTATGAAAGGGAAATATTGCAGAATTTTTGTTGTGTGCGTGTTCGTACTTGTTTCTTATAGACAGTTTTAATTACATCTTCAAATAGTAATTGTACATCGATCTTTATTTGCTTTTAGTTTTTATGGATAATAATTATAGTTAATTATGAACACTCTTCCCTTTCGTAATGTCTAAATTGTTGAACTTCTTTTTGGCTTAGCATTTGTTTATGGTGTAGGTAACAATGTTTCTTTGTCATGAAACACGAACGCGTAGGAATTATACAAGTTACCAACTGCATACTACTGAATACTAGCTTTTCAGCAATAATTATTTATGTGCCTAACTATTGAAATATATTGACATATATTTACTAATTTATCTTCATAATAAACAATATAGCATATCGCAGCTTCTACAATAAAAAACTTACTTGATCAACCAACTGAATGAATTGCTGCTGTTCAACGCAGAAATGGATCATATAAACGAATTTCTCAACGCAATAATAAAAGGAAAGCAGTTAACAAAAGCTTTGCTTGATAGAACTCTTAACGCTGTACTTTCTGTCGATGCTAGCGAAGTACGCGATAAGCAGACTATTTCAAATATATCAAATGCTTTTTCAGTCATTGGGGAAAGAGAGCAATATACGGAACCCAAAATCATTTCGTGTTTGAAAGTCCTTTTACATCTGTGTTTTCTAGGGAAACATCCAGATTTAGGTGACCTCTTCATAGAAACATTTACCGGGTTAAATCCCTCTCTCAAAGACTCTGTTAAGAAATCTATTGGCTCATTAGCTTTGTCTTTAGGTTGTCAATTCTTAAACGAAACAGACTTTCTAAATGTGACAACTACCTTTGAGTTGTATGATGAATCAGAATATCAAATGATTGTTTTTGAACGAGTTGTTCTTCAAGTAATGTCTCTCTTCATTGCAAAATGTGAAGACAATAAACTTTACTTAATAAATAACAGAAAAGAGCTGAATTTACAGGCGATTGGCGAGCGATTAACCCACCGTGATTTCGCATGTAGGTTTCTGTGCGGACTATTTATATCACGGTTTTCGGTCTCTGGTTCGGATGAGGAAAGTAATAGACAAAATGCTATTCGTTTAAGTCTTTTCTGCCCGAGCGATTCTTCAAAACTTACTTTGACCATGCAAATGCTAAAGGCGGATCAAATCTTTCAAACCTGCGTCGCGAACTCTACCAAAGTTTATAATGGAACATTCTCGGTATGTTCAGAAACACCTGTACATGCTACTATGATCATTGAACCAAGAGATGTTATCATTTATAGAAAGGGGTTTACTTTGTTGCAACTATCATGGGGATCTATGAAAGACATTACGATGACAAGTGATGGTCCTTACAGATTTTGCTTTACTACTGATATACCACATTTAAAAGACTGTATCTTTGAATGCCTGGATGATTCTTCCTTTGCTGATTTAAGCTCAACATTGCAATTTGTCGGAGATTCGTTAACACCAAAATTGTTTGTTTCTCCAAAAGTAGCCATAAATCAATCAAGTAACAGTGCTAAAAATTCAATGGAGGAAGTATCTCAGCATTCTGCGCGTGACGCAATGGAATTTGACAGTGCCTATGAAAAGTTTGAAAACGAGATTCTTGACAAAAGTTTGTGTGTAGAACCAACAAATGAAACCACTACAGGGAACAATGATAAATCGACCATCAAGATAGACGAGCCTGAAAATGCTTTGAATCATGAGGATGCTGCAAATGAGGAAACCAAAGAAATATCTGAAACTGCTGAAGTTACAACAGAGGGTACAAAGCAAGTAGATCCGGAAAATGATACTCTGGTTACCCCCCTAAGAAAGCGTACACGTGCTGGCAAAGCATCTACAAAGAGTAGTCGTCCACCAAGAGTCAAGAAACCAAGGAAAACTGAGAAAGTTAAAGAAGCAGATTCTAATTTGGAAGGGTTGAAAGAGCAAGAGACTCCTTGTCCCAAAAATAACAAGCAGATCAAAGAACCATTAAGGTCAGAAGAAGACAACTCCGAACACTCTCTTTTGGATGACGGGGAAAAGCAAAATTCAAAGGATGATGAACAACTAAGTACTGGAATGCAGGATTCGGTAAAACCAGAAAAAAATACTGCAGAACCTGTGAATAATCCTAAATCATCAATGCAAACAATGGGAAAAGTTAAACAGGAGCCTTCAAATCAAAATATGAATATTTTAGATCATTCACACCAATCAGTTTTGAATGACCATAAATCAATATGGAAACAGATGCTGAAGGATAAATCGTGGAAGAAAGAGTTGCTTACACCCCCTCCTCAAAATAGAAAGCGACAAATTGATTTAGCAACTTTTACGAAACAAGGTCACTCAACACTTGGGAATACACCTTCCCTGCTTAATGCTTGCTCAAGTCCTCCCATTGAAGCTTCGTCCTTGGGACCATTCGTGAAGCATACTGATGATGGATTAACCAGTAGTACTCTTATATCGGATACGAATGATTATATGAACGATGTAAACTTACAATCTGTTAAACAGGAAGAAAAGACTTTAAAGCCTCCGTTTGAATTTGATAAGGTGCAATCAAAAAGCTTTGGCCAAGTTGATTTGCCAAATGCACATGGAATTGAGCGTTGTGTTTCTTTAATCGGAAAAAATATTTACTCAATTTTAATTAAACGTGAAGAAAAATTAAAGGATCAATTAAATGTTTTTCATTTAAACTCGACTAATTTGGTTGAAGGATTTCAAGAGAGACAGAAGGCTAGGTATACATCTATACAGAAAATGCTTACTTCGGTGGATACGAGTCTATTGCATCGAGTGAAAAAGCTAATCTATGAATAAGTTTGTTAAACAAAGGTTTAGGAGTATTAAATGGAATGAGTCTGAAACGATTATGCCAATTTTAAACCACAAGAACAATGACAATTGGAACAGAAAAATGTTGAATAAATTATAAAAAATAATATTACAGTAAAATAAAATAAAAATAGAAAAAATAAAATACGTTTGATTGTAAAGTGATAAGGGTATACAAAGCATCCATTCAATTAGCAAAATAGTACCAAAGCAAAAACAATTATTCGAGAATTAGAGAAATACACGAGTATTTTTATGGAAAATAAAGTTGAATTATCATATAAACGAAAAAGTCGGTCAAACAGAATAACAATAAACAACCGACCCGCACAACCTGTTGGAGATTGCACTTAAATTAAAAACACTATCTGTACATGTATGCAAATAATGAGAAACCACAGGAACGAAAACAAACAAAATACCAGCGAAATAGAGTAATTAATATAAACCAAAGCAAAGATAATAAAAATTTAAAAGTTAGTAGCTGGGCGGATGAGTCCTTTTAACCAAGTGTTTTCCATTTCCAACTCGCCAATTCGAGCTTCCAAAGCAGCCATCTTTTCAGAAAGCTCTTTTGCGGTACGTTCTAATTGTTGTTCCTTTTGCTTTTTCTTGATACGGAATCTTGCACTTGCAGCAGTGTTTCTGCGTCGTTTATCCTCTTCGGCAGCATTACGAATGGCTGCATCTGAAAAGTCAGTCTTGGGACGCTTAATGGTAGGTGCAGAGGTAGTAACAGGAGTTGAAGGAACAGAAACCAATGACTGTTCTTCCTGTGTATCACTTTGTGAAAACTCGGACAGTTGAGCAGAGGTAGAGTCTCTCTTGGCAGCAGTAGTAGAAGGAGCAGATCCTTCGTTTCCTGCAGACAAGGAAGATAAATCCAAAGAAGAAGAGTCACTAGCGCGCTTAGAGGCAAGAGAGGGGGGAGAAGGGATCTTTTGCTGATTCTGAGAGGCATTTGACTGGAAAAAGGAAAGTACGGGTTCGGTGGCATTGGAAAGAGGAAGCAAAGAAGCAGAATCCTTACCTCGGAGTTGCATTACCCTTGAAGCATTAAGCAAGTCAAAGTTATCAGCAGCCAAGTAGGGATTTTGATTGCCGCCTTGAGGAAGTTTGACAGAAATGTCAGAATCTTCCAGTGGTTCTTGTTTGGGAATAGCCGAGACAGGGACATTAGAGGAAGCCGTAAATTTTGGTGGAGTAGCCAATTCCTGTTGGGACGGATATTTGGAAGGAACACTTATAGAGCTGGAATTCACTTTTTGAGGTAGAGATCCGTAAAAATTGTTAGGAAACAAATTGACAGGCTCAAAATCAAAAAAATAAGGATTGCTGAACATGTTCAACTGCTCAGCCAAATCATCATTGGAAAACTCCTCAACGTGAGGGCTACCCTCCAACTCCAAGTTCAAATTATTAATGGATTGATTCGGAGTAAAGTCCATATTCAGTTAAAACAATTACAACAAGCTTCAAAGAGACAAAGCGGAAATTCGCTTTTCTGACAAACTTTGGTCAAATTTTACTGGAAAAAAAAGGACACCCACCTTTTTATTGCAAAGAATCAATCTATCACACTTATTTACGTGATTCTAATTGATAGAATGGCTTTTCCAGCAATGTTCATCTAACAATGTTGTACGTTATTAGACGGTTATTTCCGCCTGCCACGAAAGAGATAAGATCGGCTGTTTGTAAGAGTTGTGGGAGAGCTTTCCAAAGCGCATTCCGACTCGTTGCGCTATGTTAATTGGCAAAGATAGCGAAGTAGTAAAGAGTAGTATCATTTTAAATTTTTATTATAATATAATATCATATTAATTATATCATATAATGAGAAAAGAAAGGCAGAAAAGCCATAAAAATCGATTTTTCAAGCGTATAATAGTGCTATTAAGAAAATCGAATGAAAAGGGAGAAATTGAGAGTTGGTAAAGGCATGGAAGCCAGTCCATTTGCTGCCCTCATTTATTATCCAGCCGTTGGAGAAAATATCGTAAAATAACCATAGGTAAAATGAATGATAAAATATAGGTTTTTTAAAGCGAAGTTACATTCAGACTCAATTAGGTTATTTCCATGCTATTCCTGATATCGTATTTCTTTGAATTGTTTACATGGCTCCTACAAAACTTCTTTCATTAAGCGGAAATTTTTGGTATCAAGGTTTTCAAGAATACGGATAAAATTTTTATTCATTCTTTCAGGTTAAGAAACTCTTCAAGTATTAGTTGAAGCCTTATTCCACTTACATGGGCTTGTAACTGAGTACGATTTACGAAGTACTCTTTTATTTCATTCAAATTTCTTTCAGAGTTCGTTGCCATTCAACTTGCTTTTTTTTTATTTGAAGATTTATATCGTGTAAGATGAACTATTCGAAATTGCAAACGTTGCAACATATTTGCAAAGTCAGTGGTTTATCCAGGAAAGGTCGAAAGGCAGATATGTTGCAGCGAATTATGTATGCTCCGAGCTATCCTACGGATAATGTGTTATCAATTGATTTAGGGATTAAGAATTTTGCATACTGCCTTGCTGGTCGCACGGAGGATGCCAAAGTTAATATCTATGAATGGGCCCACGAAGACTTGACATCCCCAACAAATGGCTTAGGTATTCAGTGGACTGAAAACTATCATCCTCAATACTTGGCACGACTTGCGTCGCAAATCTATACCACAATAACTTCACGCTTTCATCCCAATGTAATCCTTTTGGAACAACAGCGCTATCGTTCAGGAGTCAAAACCATTCCTGAATGGACTTTGCGAGTCAATACGATTGAGTCCATGCTGCATAGCTTACATTATAACAGCCAAGTTCAGGTACCGCCGGAATCAGAGTCCTCTTCCTCTATCCTACTTTCCCTTGCACCTAAATCTGTGTACTCTTACGTTTCTACGTTGCCTGAGTTTGTAAATTTGAACAAGGCTACTAAGACAAAATCTGCTCGTGTTAAATTCCTAACCTCTATGTTGAAGAATGGAAAGGTATTTGTTTCAAATGATGATGCACGGAAAACATTCGAAACTCCCGTGAAGTATTCAAGTAAAAAAGATGACATGACGGATGCTGCTATGATGGCAATTACATGGATTGAATGGCAACATAAACTTAGACAATATAAACATGAAATTCGTAGCTATGTTGAGCGGACTTCACAACAGTAAAGCATTATACGATGATATAGAATATTAATGGCAGATTCAGATGAGGAAAAGTTATTAAGTGTGTTTTTGTATGAATAAAAAATGTTAACGTTTTAAAATGAAGGCTCTAAGTTGAACGATCGATTTTTCTGAATGGACTATCATTATGCAAATAAGATGAAACCTATTCTATCTGAAAAACTCAATTTCTTGTAACGAATGAACAAAGGAATTATATTCTGTTTTGTTCGGTAGAATCATTAAACATGAACGTGCGTCATTACCAAAATAAATAAAGCTTTGCTGTTGCAAAAATTTGCAAATGGACATTAAAAAAACACATATGCGTAAATCTAAGCTTGTAGTTAGGCATCAATCATAATCAGTACATAAACAACAAAGTTTGTCCGTCAAGGAATGAAACAGAGGTCGTTACGATGCAGGGAGGAAATCTCGTAAAGGGACGCAAACAGCGAATATTCGAGGTATAAGAAACTGAAAAAGACATTATTATAAGAATCCGTAAATCATAATCATATGAAACCATAGATAGCAAAGTTGGAGACAATCACAAAATCCAGTGATATCGTTATTGAAAGATGGAATAAGGTAGTTCCTTTAATATATCTTAATCAATAGGACGTCGTTCGTCCATGGAACCAACCGATGGAGCGGCAGTTGAATAGGATCTTTCTTGTTGTGATCTGTCATTATTGTAGGAACGAGAGTACTGGTCCTTCGCATCCCGAGGGTGTTCATGGCTGCTGCGACGACGATCATTATAAGGGCGGTATTTATTATCGTTATTGGATCTTCTAGGACGTGCTGATCCCGGAGAGCGGTCCCTATTATTATCATAGTTTCTGTCAAAGCCAGAGCGATAAGAGTTTTGAAATCTACGATTATCGCGGTTAGGACGATAGGAAGAAGACATCCTATTATTTCCATTGTATCGATGAAGTCCCTGTCTTCCCTGATTCATCTTTGTCCTCATTGGTCCCATATACTTTCCAGGCGTAGGAGAGCGAGGACGTGATCGTTTAGCCTTCTGTACACTTAAAACACGTCCAAAGAATTCCTGGGAATTTAGTCCTTGTATAGCGGCATCTGCTTCTTCCAGTGTTGATAAAGAAACAAATCCAAATCCTCTAGATTCTTTGGTAGCAGGATCCTTCAAGATATTGGCTCGAATAATGGTACCGTACTTGCTGAACATTTCATGTAGATCCTCTTCCTGAATACGAGGAGCAATCCCTGTGACAAACAAATTCGTTCCAGGATTCTCAGGTTCGTCTGACTCTCTCCCTACAGTCTCGTGGGTTTGTGTTTCGGGTTCCCTAAGATGTGTATTCCAGCGGTTGTCATCAATGGACTCTGCATGAGCAGGAGATTTTTCACGAGAGAATTCATTCCTAGTGAGTTCTTCGTTTCCTTTCTCTAGACGTTGATAATCATGGGTATGGTTAGCGTTCGTGTTGAACGGTACTGGATGTGATTCATTCAATTCAGAAAGAACAGGAGCAGTCTGATTGAAATTGATTTCTTCCGAAGCCAGGTAAGGATCCATTGGTGCGTCAATCATGCTGAATTTCGAGAAAGCGAGAATCCGAAAATGATTACAAGACAGACAGAATGTTCGATTTCTGTGGATAAAGGTATGGGAATCTTTACAAAAACGTTCTTTCGCTAATAATTATAAATCCTACGGGTTCTTTATTCAAACCTTCAAAAAAGTGTTTTTCTAAAGAATTTGGTATTTGTACCATCGGTCGGTCCTCCAGGGAATACACACAAAGTGTTGACACCATGTTCTCGTTTAGTGTAAAGTAACGAGGATACATAATCTCGTAATCAGGTAAATAAACAATCCAAGATTGAAAAAATACATTTCATTATCGCATAAAGTTTTATATATATTTTAATTTCCATGGCTTTATCATTACTCTTTTAATATACAAATATAGAAGAAAAAGGATTTGGCTGTTGTTTTGTTAGGCAAAAGCATTCTACTTAATGTATGGATGACTGGTTTCACAGGTAGTAGTTGATGAACATGAACGCTAATTCATTTTTTTCAAACCGTTGTACTTAAAACATGTTTACAAAAAAAGGCTAGATTCATTCCGCTTTGACTAATGTATGTTTCCCTTTCCTTTCTCATAAAGGACATGTTTGCGCTACTTTTAGATATAGAAAAATAATCATATTAAGGCATAATCACATATAGGCGGATGATGTTCACATTGCACAAAATAAGTTTGTTGCTTATAAGCGAAATTGAATTGTTTCCATCATTTCATTGAATTGTTTATTCCTTCGACAAACCCTAAGAATGTTCGTCTTCTTTTCTCTGGAGAAGCACAACATTTGGTAAAATCGAAACTGAGAAATAATTACTTTATCCTCGCTTCCTTTTATTTTCCCGGTTTCCTTCTTCTACTACTTTATTTCTGATTTATTGTTTTCTTTATTTTTGTTACCCAAGTAACATGTTCAACGCGTCATCACACATTACAAGAAAATACGTTCCCAACTTTGGTCCTACCATCATTACTCAAAGGTTGTCTTTTATGAAACATTTTTGCCTTTGAAACTACCACAAAGATTCGCCATAATTCCCAAGATCTTCTCTTCCTCTGTATACCTCGCTTCTTAAAGAAAAGACTTCTCAATTTTTATTCATTAGTCAATAGATACTCATGTTATTGCTTTCTTTTTAAATATATTCGAGCAATTGAAATTTTTAGTATCTATTATATGGTTTATTTTAGACTTGTATTTTTATTTTTTGCGTAGCTTTTCTTTTTTCTTTTTTCTTTTTTTCTTTTCTGGTGAATTCCTTTCTTCTCTTTTCAGGCTATTTTCTATCTAATCATCAGTATTTGCATTTGTTAATTATCATTTTCGGGGTTTCTGTCATTCTTGTTAAGAATGTCGACCATCGATGACCAAGAAAAGTACTTTCGCAGTGGATTGAGAACCGAAAATGTCTTTGATAACACCGAAACTATGATGAAAGAGATGAACGAAACTTCTATTGAAAGTGACGATGTTATGAAAAAGCAAAAGTCCAAGTTCAAGGGAATCTACTATATTACCGGTTTTTACAAATGGTTCATGAACCTCTCTTTCATCACTCGTTGGTTGGCTTTATGGTTTCCTTTGGCATGCTTATTGGTCATTCCCTTGGCCGTAGGTGCCTCACCAAAATACCGCTATGCGAAGCTAGGTACTGTCCGAATTTTCTGGGTTTTTCTTTGGTTTGAAATTGCTTGGGGTGGCTTTTGGGTTTCTCGTTTGGTCGCAAAGTTCATTCCTTATTCCTTATACACAATTGTTGGAATTTTTCCTTTCACAGCTTACAAACTCTCTATCATCATTTCTGCTATTGAATTGCCTTTGGCTTTCTTTTTCACCTGTATAATTGGCATCTGCACATTCCCACCTTTAATGATAAACAATTCCGCTCCTGTGTCTTATGGTTCGAGAAATACAACGGTAACACCTTCAGCTTCCGGCGCCAACAATGTCAACCCCAATATAGATTTGGCCAATTCGTTTTCCATTGCCTCTAACGTTCAGCCTTGGATTAAAGTGTGTACAAAAATCATCGGTGCCTTTGTTATCCTTAGTATCGTTCTTCTTTTGGAAAAAACATGCTTACACTTTATTGGCTTCCATTACCATGAAGTACAATATCAGTTTCGAATTGCTGACAATAGAAAGCATCTTTCCATGCTGACCAAGCTATTTTTAGCATCAATGAAAGCCCCATACAAAGATTCTCCCTTTGTTTTACAACAAGATGATATCCTCAACTTAGGTGCCTCTGATTCTTTAATCAAGGAACATACACCTCGTCATATTCGACAGGTAAAGCGCATCACAAAAAATGCGAAAAAAGCCTTTAGGAAAACAAGGGTAGTAGTTGGTACCGTCTTTAATAATATCGTTGGTCACTCGCGTAGGCCGTTTACTCCAGAAGAAGAGTATATTATCGAAATGCTTCGATCCCGAAAGAGAAGTCTTGCTATCGCTCGAAGGATTTGGTATGCCATTGTACCTGCAGGAGAAGACTCTTTTAAAAAAGAGGATCTTGCAGGTCTTATTTCTGATAACGATGACATTATTTCTATATTTGAGGTTTTAGACAGAGATTATAGTCGTAGTATCAGCTTGGACGAATTAGAGCAGTTCTGTAGAGAAATAGCTGACGAATTCTTTTCTATTCGGGTTTCGTTACGAGATGTGGATGTAGCCTTATCCAAGTTGGATCGCGTGGGACTTGCAGCAGTTGGTATTATCGGTATTCTCATTTTTGTTTCCTTCTTGGATACATCCTTTGCAACCATTCTGGCGGCGTATGGAACAACTCTTCTGAGTTTGTCCTTTATTTTCGCTACCACGGCTCAGGAATTGATGTCTTCTATCGTTTTCTTATTCAGTAAGCACCCATTTGATATTTCAGACATAGTTGTCATCAACGGGACAAAGTATGAGGTGGTAACATTATCGTTACTGTACACTGTTTTTCGTACCATGAGTGGCTCGACAGTACAAGCCCCTAATTCTTTATTGAACACCTTATTCATTGAGAATTTGCGACGCAGTTTGCCCCAAAGCGAGTCAATAACATTGACCGCTCCTTTTGCGACGGACTTTAAGCAATTGGAACACCTGCGTCACCTGTTGCTTGGGTTTGTAAAGGAGAATGATTGTGATTTTCGACCTCTTTTGGACTTGTCAGTGCAAGATTTTTCAGCCTTGGATTCACTGAAGTTTACGATAACTTTTTACTACAAATCAAATTGGCAGAATACTGCTTTACAAGCCATACGACGAAATAAATTCATGTGTGGTCTTATCAATGCAGTTCGAGACGTGAATTTGCCAGCTGTGGGTGATCCAGTTCGTGGTTCTCCCGATTACCCATTTGTTATTGAGCAATTTACAAAAGAGAACCTAAAGCCTCTTTCGGATCATAGCATCAGGCCTTCATTTACTGACGTATCTTCTACCTCCAGCTCTCCCTTATTAAAACGTACGCCAAGCGCTTCTTTCACCAACAATAAAACAGAGAAGCAAGAAAGCACACCCCCAGGTGACGAAAGACTAAAAAAAGAAGCAACTGCAAAGTCCGCTAACTCTAACACTAATGCGGCTCCTGTAGGCTACATTCGTCAGACGCTAGCCACTTGGCAAGTCCCCGAACTTATGAATTCCTTGAACGCTTTGGATAGGAATCAGGAGATTTCCCAAGAAATTCGAACTACACAGGGATCCCAAACGTTTACCGCTGATGACCAGGCTGAAAACCCCGAAGAAGTCTTGGCAACCGATGAACATAGCAGTTCTTCTGATCAGTGATTATTTATTACCATGTCCTTTAAAAGTTCTTATATTTATTTTCCAGTGTAACATTAATTGACCGAAAACAAAATAGATAATCTGTCAATGTTCAATAGTATCTTCAAAAATTTAATAAAGTCTAATATACGTTCTACAAGGTTGACTGATCTAGAAATCATAAAAAACATTCACGCCATGCCTTTTTCCTTCTTGATTCTTGACATTTAGAAAGCCACTACTAAATATTTGGGAGCCGCAGCACATTCCTGCGATGATATTTATACCTCATTAAAGCACGTTACTAGTATCTTTTCAGTTACCGTCCTATACGGTATATTATAAAAAAAACAGTCACATGTTTCATCCAACACAAACTTTTCGACTGCGATCTCTACCACCACCAATTTACCAACATGGGAATTACCAGAGACTCACGCCACAAGCGCTCTGCTTCCGGTGCCAAGCGTGCTCAATACCGTAAGAAGAGAAAATTTGAGTTGGGCCGTCAAGCCGCCAACACTCGTATTGGTACCAAGCGTATTCATGAAGTTCGTGTCCGTGGTGGTAACAAGAAGTACCGTGGTCTTCGTTTAGAATCTGGTAACTTCTCCTGGGGCTCTGAGGGTGTTGCCAAGAAGACCCGTGTCATTCAAGTCGCCTACCACCCTTCTAACAACGAGTTGGTCCGTACCAACACTTTGACCAAGTCTGCCGTTGTCCAAGTTGATGCTGCTCCTTTCCGTGTTTGGTATGAAACTCACTACGGCATCTTGATGGGCTCTAAGGGTAAGAAGGCCACCCCTACCCCTACTCCCAAGTCCAAGCACGTCCAACGCAAGCAAAGTGCTCGTATTGGTAGCGCTAAGGTCGACCCTGCTATGGAGTCTCAATTTGCTGCTGGCCGTTTGTACGCTTGTATTTCTTCTCGTCCTGGTCAATCCGGCCGCTGCGATGGCTACATTCTTGAGGGTGATGAATTGCACTTCTACCTTCGTCGTATGGCCCCTAAGAAGTAAAAAAAATGCTATTCTAGCCATCTTAATGCAAAACATGTGCCCGTAAGGAATTTGGATTATAAAGTGACAGTAGATTGAGTAGCTTAACTCATGTAAAGTAGAAATTGTCGTAAAGTGTTCATTATTCATTAACTCGTCCTTTCTAAGTATTGGTTATTTGCAAAGCATTTGGAGGTATTTGAGATTTCAAATTTCCATGTCGCTTAAATTCTGAAGCTGGATAAATTTCTATCTTTTATTTAGTATAACTCTTAAATTTATAAGTAGTTAGTTGTATTCATATACATTTAATGTTTCCTTTAATTATTGCTGATGTATGTGCCAAGTGCTTCTCAGGTATGTTTTTATCTACCCTCAACCACACACAATCACTTTTTTATAATCTTTTCCCATGGAAGAAGACACCAGTAATTTAGTAGCAACTTTTTGCTCTATAACAAACTCAACTCCAGAAAAGGCTCAGGAATACCTTGGAGTTGCTGATGGAGACTTATCGACTGCAGTGACTCTTTTCTTTGAAAGCGGAGGCGTTACTGGTGATTATGGTAGCGAAAGTTCAAATGCTGTTCAGCCTGAACAGACTGAAGAAGTCCGTGCTCCCATTGCTCCTACAAGAGAGGTATTGGTGGATCCAATGGCAGATACTACACCTGGGCTAGGATTTGTAGGTAACGAATTCGGTTTTGGGTCAGGATTACCTAGAATGAACCGCAGACAAAGACGAAGAGTTGGAATTTTTGATCAATCTCCTTCAGAAGTTCCTGTTGCGTCTTCTGCCGATACCTCTTCAGAAGAATCAGAAAGTAATAGTCGTGCTTCTCGCCTTGCAAAGCTTTTCCGCCCTCCTTATGATATAATATCTCATCTTACACTGGATGAAGCTAAAATGAAAGCTACATATGAGAAACGATGGATCCTAATCAATTTACAAACTTCCTCTTCTTTTGAATGCCAAGTACTAAATCGTGATTTATGGAAAAGTGAATCTGTAAAAGAGGTTATACGCGCCCATTTTCTATTTCTACAGTTGTTGGATGATGAAGAAATGGGTATGGAATTCAAGCGTTTCTACCCTGTGTTATCCACTCCCCACATCGCCATTCTAGATCCTCGTACCGGTGAGCGTGTCAAACAATGGAATGGAGGAATTACTCCTACTGAATTTGTAATTGAATTAAATGACTTTTTGGAACGCTGCACCCTGGATGAAACCAAAGACAGGAAGAATCCCCTCGGTCCCAAATCGCAAAAACCAGCTGAAGCGATGACTGAAGAAGAGCAAATGTCAAAAGCTATTGCTGCTTCTTTAGGAGTTGAGCAAGAAAGAACTGAGAGTACTGGTGAATCATCCCAACCTATTCAAGAGGATGAGGAAGAAGAACAGGACAATACGGTTCATAAAATTAAATCAGAAGAAGGGAAAGACGAAGAGCCTAGTCCTGGACCCGGAGTCACCAGAATTCAAATCCGCATGCCAACTGGTGCTCGTTTTATCCGAAGATTTTATGAAAGTGATCTCGTTCGCAAAGTATATGCCTACGTTAAGGGAGTTGCTGAAGGAGCTGACTCTCAGGCGTTTTCTTTGACATTTCAACGTACAAGTTTGTGGAATTCTTTGGATAAGACCATTAAAGAAGCCGGTATACAGAATACAGCGCTTCAGTTTGAGTTTCAATAATTCGCACGTTAAAACGACTAAAGCTTGTAAATGACTGTATTATAGATAGGATATTATTCCCTTGCCTTTAAATGTCCCTCGCGAATGTATTCTTATGTGCGAGCTTTATGTTTATAATGCCTAGGACTAAAAGCGTCTACGGATTGTTAGAGTGGGACAATGACTGTTTGATGAATTTATGAAATATTTTTTTTGACCGTCATGTAAATAGTCTAATTTAAGTATTAATTCATTCCATTTAGTCAATTCACTCCATTAATCCCTGAGGGTGCAAACGTAAAAATTTCCAGTAGAAAGATATCAGACATTTTTTAAAATAATTCATTACGTCCTTTAAATCATTTCCTGCTTCTTAAGAGGAAGCAAGCTTTACTTAGAAAAAACCAACTACCTGTCTGCATATCCCAACCATTCGCTTGCCTACGATAATTTCATCTACTTTAATCGGAATGAATTAAAAAAATCATGCAAAAGCAACATTATTGTGATTTGGAGCTAATAGGACAAGGTAGCTTTGGATCTGTCTTCAAAGCTATAAATGTTGAAACATCCAAACCAGTAGCTCTTAAAGTAGTAGATTTAGACGCGACCACTGATCAGGTTGAGTCTCTTACTCGAGAAATCAATTTTTTGATTGGACTGAACTCGCCATTTATTACTAGATATTATGAGTCTTTTCTGGATGGAACACGATTATGGATAAGCATGGAGTACTGCGATGGAGGAAGCTGTACAGAGCTATTGAAGACAGTAGGAAAATTTCCGGAACAGGTAATTGCAGAGATCCTTAAGCACATATTAGAGGCCTTGGTGTATTTGCATGGTCAAGGTAAAATGCATCGCGATATAAAAGCTGCCAACATCCTAACTACGCAGGACGGAGGAGTGAAGTTGGCTGACTTTGGTGTTTCAGGTCAATTACAGAATTTCTACGATAAGAATGATGATTTTGTAGGCACCCCATTTTGGATGGCTCCAGAAGTTGTCAAACAAACGGGCTATAATGCCAAAGCGGACATATGGTCTTTGGGCATCACGGCTTTCGAATTAGCGCATGGAGAGCCTCCTTACTCTGGAATACATCCTATGAAGGTTTTACTTTTGATTCCAAAACACGCTCCCCCATCATTAGATAGATCATCCTTTAGTCCAGCATTCTGCGATTTTGTTGATTTGTGCCTTCGAAAAAACCCACAAGAACGCCCTACAGCAATGAAGCTTTTGGAGCATAAATTTATAAAGAAATATAGCTCCAAAGATACTCTGAAAATAATTATCCAAACCTACTCTAAATGGAAGTCTACCGATCAAGCTTCCGACTATGCCTCTCCATACAATGGTTCAGATATATTTAAAAATTCTGCTACCGTGAATAATGTGGTATGGGATTTTGGAACAGTATCCAGGTAGCCATTTACATGAGTTGAAATGACCATGCAATAATGATTAATAACTACTTTAGTTTTCTTTCTTTTCTAGACTTGAGTTAACATTTAAACAAATTCATTTACTGATATCAGGCCCTAAAGCGCTGACCTTAAGACATTACAATATAAAGAAGCTTTATGAGGATTAGACTCATTAACCTTTAATTATTGAGGGACTTGTTCTATAAAATTATGAGTTGTGTCCGCTCAGCGAATAAGCCTTGAAATAGATGCTGAGACAGAGAAGTATTATCGTAAAACAAATAAAATTCAACGAAAACAAGGCCATTCTCTTAAGTAACTTAATTATGACTTATAAAAGAAAGGCCATTAGAGGAGTGCAAAAAGGGACGGGCGGTTCAAACTCTGAGGATGAATTCAAGGAAGGCATGAGAGAGAAGAAGGGCTTGAAATTTAAGAAATAAAAACATTATTTAGAGATTCAGGCAAAGTCAAGGGCTTTCCCGCCTACTAACAAGCCCACGATCAAGCCGAACAGACCCAAAACACTTCCAAAAATTTCGACAACCAAAACTTTTACAAACAAGGAAGCATCTTGTGCATCAGCTAGGGCAGCACTACTACCAGTAATACCAACGCAAACACCACATATTAAATTGCAGAGACCAACCGTGAGTCCTCCCCAAAAGATAGCGAAACCAGTGTAATAATTGGATTTGGTATAGAGATGGGAAGCACTAACAGCGTTTAGCTTGCCAGAGAAAACAATGGCTATAATCAGGGAATAGATGGCTACAACTTCGCAGAAAATGATGCTGATCAAGTTCTTAGTTTTAATTCGGGGGGCTTTAACAGCGCCGCCCAAAATAGAACTTCCGCAAATAAAAATACCCCAAGCTGCTCCAATAATACCGAAAGCGACGCAGCTGGCAATGCCTAGTAAGCCCCAGGTATAGGGGCTGGTCTGAAGAAGAAAGCTTCCAAAATCAAATGCTTCTCCATTGCCATGAAACAACATATATAGGCCGACTAAGGTTGAAAATCCAATTGTCGTCCATATAAATGACTTTAATACGGACATTTTTATGATTTAGCTATTTTGGGACTTTTCTCAAAATGGAAGGTGAGGGCTTTAGGAGGACTAACCAGAACACTGACTGTAAATAGTCAGAAAAAGGCTCTCTTCTAGTCAATTCGTTTCAAGACTTGAAAAGAACTGCTTTATTTTGTGGCTTACGCTTTTTGGGTAGAGGAATAACCCTGCGCTTTTTCCTTTTTGAATAGCTGTGTCAAAAACCAACCCGCTTAACTGATCGTGGTTTCGTTGGAGAAAATATTTAAAAGCAACTTTTCTTTTGAATTTACAAACTATTTCAAGAGTCTTTTCTTCAGTTTTATCTATTACTGTTTATCTTACCTGACATTCAATTGCATACGGGTTTCCCTATTATTAGACGAAACTAAAGCCACGAGGATTACTGAAGACGCGTATTTGGTTCTATATTGCAGATTATTTTAAGCTCAAATTCGTATAATCGCGTCTGAAGGATATTATTCTATAGGATGACCAACTCTGCTGACCAAAAGAATCTTGTAAAATCATCCAAGGGAAAGAGAAAACAAGAACAAGATCCCATGATCCGGTTTTCAAAAGCGCTTTCCAAAGTTCTTCGCCATACCGCTCAATCCAATGGGTTACGACTTCGTCATGATGGATTTGTGCTTGTAGACGACCTGCTGAGACTGCCGCAATTTAAAAGCCTGTCGCTAGAGATGCTGAAAAAGATTGTGGATGAAAACGAAAAAAAAGATTTTCCTTACTTGAAGCAGAAGGTAAGCTATTGATTCGTGCCAACCAAGGGCATACAATTCGTACAGTCGAAGTACCTATGATACGTATTAATGATGCTTCTTCTTTGCCTAAAGTTGTACATGGTACAAGAAGAGAGCTGTGGACAAAGATCTCCAAAGAAGGCCTTTCGCGAATGAAAAGAAACCATATTCACTGTGCTACAGGCTTATTCGGTGAAGCCGGTGTTATTTCTGGGATTCGGAAATCATGTACTTTGTACATTTACATTGATGTTTTAAAAGCTATGCAACATGGAGTTGAGTTTTACCAATCAGAAAATGGAGTCATTTTAACAGAAGGCATAAATGGTATCTTGTCGCCTGTGTTTTTCAAAAAGGTCGAGACCAATCTTGGGGAAGTTTTATTTGACGCAAATGCGAATCCAGAGACACCCAAAACTGAAAATTCACTACAGAAAAGCACGGATACCGACAGTGTTGATGATTTAGATCCGTTTAGTGAGGATATGGAAGCGCTAACAATGCATGACTTAAACCTTGTGCAGGAAAAGCATAGCAATTTTGGCTATTCAGAAGGAATCGTTAAGGGAAAAATCGAAGTTGCCCAAAGCGGGTTTGATGATGGATATAATCGAGGGGCTCTGTATGGGTTTGAAATGGGTAAAAAACTAGGAGAACTAAAGGCAAAATTACTTGTGGTGAAAGACGAAAAGGAACAAGACACTTTGCAGAAAAAATTAGAAGAACTTGAACATGAAAGTGAGTTTTCTAAATTTGTGGTTGCAAACAAGGAGTCTATTCGATTACAAATGAATAAAAAGCCTACTTCGACATAATATTTTGATGCTTTCTGGACATTGTTCCTGTATGATGATTCAACTTCATGCATACTCATACCATTGGATAGGAACAGGCGTTCCCTTCCTTTAAATTTCAAGGATGATTTTTTATGTTCAGCTTACTTATACCTACCACCTACTTATCTTTTCCATCACTTACGCCTTTTTCCCATCGGTTTTTTTTCTATTTCTTGTTCATTATTTCTCTTTCTACCGCGTTAATGTATTTAGTGATATATTATGTGTGGTTAATTTATTTAACGATATTGTAGCATTTCGCAATTTTAACACTTTCTTGCTTCCTTTCTCTCCACTAGAATTTGCTTCTTTTACCAAATTTTCCAAAAGAGATGCTGGCACCTACGGCGGCCGTAAATGACATTCCTCCAAAAGAAAATGGTATGAAAAAGCGTTTGAATGGAAGAATGGAGCTAACAATGCCAATAGGGGACGATGTGATGATTGATACATCCGGCAACATGACTGAAGTTGCTGAAACAAGAGGCGACAGCACTATGGACATTGAAGGTGCTCCCAAATTCGCTCCTATTCAACCAAAAATGGAAAAAAAGCGTGGTCTGAAGCCTCAAACAAGGAAGGTTCCTATTCCTCCTCACAGAATGACTCCTCTTCGAAATGTGTGGCCCAAGCTTTATCCACCGTTGGTTGAGCATTTATTCCTTCAAGTTCGTATGAACGTCAAAGCTAGAGCTGTGGAACTACGTGAGAGCAAAGCCACCACGGATCCTGGAGCTTTGCAAAAGGGTATGGACTTTGTGCAGGCGTTTGCCCTCGGCTTCGACGTTGACGATGCAATTGCGCTCTTGCGTCTAGATGATCTTTATATCGACACGTTTGAGATTAAGGATGTGAAAACCTTGCAGGGTGATCACTTGAGCCGTGCTATTGGTCGTATTGCTGGACAAGCAGGAAAAACCAAGTTTGCTATCGAAAATGCATCCCGTACAAGAATTGTGCTCGCAGATAGCAAAATCCACATTTTAGGAGGCTTCAGCAATCTTCGTATTGCCAAGGATGCCATCGTCTCCTTAATTCTTGGATCTCCTCCTGGCAAGGTCTATGCTAATTTGCGCAGTGCCGCTGCTCGTGCTAAAGAGCGTTTTTAACCACATATGAAAACGATATATCTGTGTTTTTCATAAAAACATAGCAGACATTTTACGTGGATTCCCTCTTTTCCTTCACAACCGTGCATTGAGTTGTAAAATGAATGAACTGGAAATCACTAATTACGAGCCGGATAAAAAGTATTCATTCTCATTTCTTTAAAAATGTTTTTTATTCTATTTTGGACAGGGTTGATTTTATTATTTAGTTTTGGGTTTATTAATGTTAAAACGGAATATTCCATATAGTTAATGGATTTTTGAATAATCAATTATCGACAATTTCTTATTGTAAGCTTAATACTGTAAATCTCTCTTTCTTTCTTGTAGTTTTTATATGGTTTTAATCCTTCATTTTGGTTTCTTGTTTTTATTTCCATCCTCCTATTGACCTTTCTACCTAGTAAAGCCACTCAAGTTCAAAAAACAAGCTGGTGCTGCCGTAAGAGAAGCAAGCCTGTGTAAACATTTCCCTTCTTTCGTTATTTTATCTACATTTATTCTCTTGTTATTATATGAGCTTTCTTCTTTGAAAAGACTTAGAGCTACTAGGTACAGTTTGTTGGAATTATCGTGTCGTGTAAAGAATGAGTGATCTGAATCGGGACGAGCAGCTTGCATTTTTAGAATGTATGAGTAAATTGCAAAAGGAATTAGATTCAAGTTTTCAGCGTTATGAAAGATTATCGCATACGACCAAAGAACTCCAGGTATGTTTGTTTGTCCAGCTTATCTTGGGAATTCTGTGATTTAATCGTCGTCTAACCTTCCCTAAGGAACAATTGGATCAAGCAAGAGTAAAATCTCAGCATCCATCTCGGGTATCTTCGACTGGAACACTATATTCGGAAGAAAAGTTGCTCCCAAGTATGGAGCTTATAGAGCTACGAGCAGAAAACGCATGTCTCAAGAAAGATGCTTATAATTTTGAGCAAATATCCAATAATTATGCAAAGGGAATGGAAGAAATGGTGGGCTTTGTCTCTTCTTATACAGTAAGTTTGATTTGATGCGCTTGCGTTACAGAAGCGACGCTCTAAAACAAGCTTAACCAAATATGTACTAACTATGGAAGGAGAAAATGAATACAAAGATGAAACTAGTACATGATGAATACTTAAAAATGTACGATGCGTTGGCTGCAGAGCATTTGTCTCTATCTAAGAAAAATCACCAAAATAATCAATCATTAAATAAAATAAAAGGATGGTTGCTTCAGGGATTAGAAGAAAATCCTTAAATATTACAGCAAAATTTAAAGGGTCTATACGAATGGGTGATCAAGCATACTACATTGGTTCCTTCACAATACATAATTAACATCTCGTTTCTCTAGTTTTTCCATGATAATTCATGCTAATAAATGGATAGCTTTCGAAATGCATTCATTACTATTCATAAAGACAAACGTATACTCAAAGCAGCACGTGAAAACAAACAGAGAACATGTCATCTGTGAGAACTAGTCATATTCCATGCAAGAAAAATTTAAATAATTAATCGAACATATGCGAGAAGTAAAGCGCCCGATCTAGAAAATGTTAATAGCTAACGAACTGAAATTTCAAGAAATCTCCAGACATAGAGTAAAGATTCGTTTCATACCCTGTTACAATCCCCAACAACCATTGAAGGGTTTGTGTTTTAAATGTGGCTAACTGAGTCCGGAAATTCGACATTTCCGTATCGATTTCGGCAGACAACTCTCGAAGTTTAAGCTCCTGTAAAGAAGCTTCATCATAGTGATTTAATCGCTCAATACTTAATTGTAATCTAGCTTCTGCCGTCGAATTATTTAGCTGATCACGAAAGGATGTTTTTAAGCGTTCGATATCCGAAAATAATTGTTCCGCTTGGGCATGTAAAGCTGCCATTTCTTGACGCTCGATGCTTTGTAACTCACTACGCAAATGAGCAAAATCGACCTTTTGTTGATACATTACTCGGTCTTGTTGTTCTTTGGTCACCAAATATCCACTCATTTTCTTATGACTAAAAATGGTTAGGATCTTGTCTTTTGGTCCTCAAGTTACTTACGAATTCGCATATACATTAGAAATGGCTTCCATAAATATTTCTGCATTTTTCTTCTCAATGCCGACCTCCTGTAAGGCACGGACAAATCCTAGTGTATTGAATCCATGATATGATCTTCGTGATATAAGTGAAGGAGTTTTCGGCTTTATAAATGAAGGTTTGAATAAGTAAGGATGTGAAAAATAAGGAATTGGTGAGATTCTTGAACAAAATGGATTCCTTGAAAGGATGCGCATTATAAGTGAATTGGCAGAGTCCAGGGAGGATTGGTCACATTGGAAGAAAGGAAAGAAGAGCAATTCTTCATATAAAATTATCAAAAACACTTTTATAAATGATAATTGAAACATAAAAGCAAAAGTGACTAAGTTTCAGTAGCGATATCTCGAAACATCGAGACTTCAAAGGCAGCAACCATAAGCTGTAAAGCATCAGAGGTATACTTGGAATCATTCCCTGCATTATGAAGACAAAAAGGTCGTATTTCCAGAAGTTTCAACATACTTCGAAGACCTACATGAACCTCTGAAAGATTCGAATTGTGCTTGGACGCTTTGAAGAAACAAAATATGTTTTGGGTGTCCAACATGATGACTTTAGGAGGGATATCCACTCCCAAAATTTGAAAGTATCTCAATTCATTAGAAATTCCATGAGCAACTAGAATTGAATTCGGAAGCTGAAGTATTTCGTCTAATTTTCTCTGCAGTGCAGCCTTCGTTAGAAAAACGGATTGTCCAAAGCGAAAGTTATCTACTTCATCAGGAACATATTTACCATTGCGCAGATGCAAATAATTAGTAATCCGATAGTGAAAGGATTGCCATTGACCGTTCACTCTAGTAGTAATGCCAGCTTCTGTTATGATTTTATGATCTCGTTCATATGCTTCAAAATCCACTACTATGAAACTCCACTTTTTATCTGCAATTGCCTCAAAAGCCAGCTTTGCCTCCCTTTTAATTTGCATATCTCGTGCATATTTTCTTTCTTTGACTTCTAATAGTCTTCCTGCTCCATGCGTTGCTTTACCTTCTTCCAACGTCATTTGCGTAAAGGTGGTCTAACTAAATCTTATGAATTGAACAATTTAATTTTCTTTATGAAAGCTTATGCTCAAGAAGATTTTACTATCATTGAAGGACTTAAAAATGAAGAAACCTACGAAAAGGTAACGCTGTTCTTTCCTTGAATTTTGTGACCTAATGACACTTGAAAGTATAAACAAATAAAAGGAGCAAGGACAAAAGGTTTATCCTATCATAAGCCAAAGCAACAGTAAAGATCTCAAACTTCAGAAATAATAAAAGGAGAAAGGTTTCGATACCGAAATTTATCACGATTCTACACTTTCACGCGGATTCCGTTTATCAGGCTTTATATTCCTAGAATTCAAGAATTCAAGAATAAGAGAGCAAGCCAACAGAAAAAATGAAAGAATATACTCAGAGTAAACAGCTTATGAGATGGATTAAGCAATCAAAATTTCAATTCAAAATCGCGAGTCCGGTCTTGTTTACTAAGGCATCGCAACATAACCTTGGGCAAGGATAAACAAAAGTGTATAAAAGTTGAATACAAGAGACTAGTTCAAGAGGATTTGAAACAAATGAATCAGATTAATTGAAAATTATGGTCCGTTGTTTCGTCTCAACGTCTAGAAAGCTACTTGTTCATAGTGGTACATGGATCTTATACATCGAATTTTGTACAAGGACTTTGAAAATCATAGAGAAATAGTCAAAGAATTGGCTCTAAAATGTAAAAACAGACCTTATATAGACTATTTTGACTACCTGCAGAGAGAATGCTGTTCAGGTCATAAAGTTGATTAAAAATAAAGTGCTTTTATTGCTAAAATATTTTACATTAATAGTAAAAATATTTTAAAATAAATCATGTCAAGAAATGCTCATATGTATTAGCAAATATGAGAGAAGATTCAACCAATTCCTCTTACTCTTCTTTCGCCAAGAACATCCAACATTGGAAGAATGCAGAAATTGCAAGATTCCGAAGAGAAAATGGATGGAAAGCAACCAAAGATAAAAAATAATACAAATAAAAATAGTCCACGTAAAAAATCGACAAAGAAAAATGAAGAATTGGCATCAGTGGAAAAGAAGCAAACGTCAGACCAACCCACGATGGGTTTAGGTGCTGGTTTGATGGAAAAGGTTAAGGAGATTGTTCAAAAGTCTGATTTATTGGGCTCTTTAAAGTCAAATAGTAAGAAAAATCCCGCGCCCAAAAAGCAATTGGATAAGCCTTCCGGCAGAAAGCCTGATTCGAAAAAGAAAGTATCATTATCGCCCAAGACCTATCCTTCCGATGAGAAAAAAGGACGCGTGCAAGAAAAACCGCAAGAAAAACTAAAGGGAAAAGAAAACAAAATATCAAGGTCTAAAAAACAAAAGGAGAAGAGTCCAAAACCAAAAACACCGTCTACAACGATAGAGGAAAATGCTTTCATGAAACCTAAAAAGTCGAAGAAACAGAAGTCAAAGAAAAAAAATAATGATAAAGAACCAATTACTGAGAAAAGTGAGGGCAAGGAGCTTCAAGGACCAACTCCAACGAAGAAAAGCGGTAAGGCCCCGAAACGAAAACAAGTCTACGAAAAGTATTATACCCGTCAAGAAGTAAATGAAGGCTTGAAGTCAGGAAAATTATTTAAAGGAACCTTACGCATTCTTGACAACCATCGAAGCGCATTCGTTTGTATGGAAAATCGACCCGACTTTTACATTGATAGTCCTATTACTCGCAACCGTGCTCTGCACAACGATATAGTTGTTGTTGAACCAATTGAAGATAAAGATAAAAAGAATAGTAGCAACGATGATGAACATAACGGAAGCTCGAACGATGATCAGTCTATGGCAAACGAAGACGGCGATCTTTCCGAAACTGAACAACAACTTGAAGCGTTGGAGTTAAATGAAGAGCCTGTACCAAAGGTTGATAATCCCAGGTGTCGTGCCAAAGTTGTTTCAATTGAAAAACGAAGTCCAGTAAACAAGATCGTGGGTATTATCCGTCCTCCTGGATGGTCGATTTCAAATCACGAGAATGTTTCCACCAAGAGCGATTATGCCATTTTTGTACCTAAAGACAAGCGAATGCCATTTATTACTATCCACAAAAATGATTTGGGTGTTCTAAAAGTTCACGACTGGATCGAAAGCATTTTACAGCATCACTCAAAGTTATTTGCCGCTGAGATTTCAAGATGGGGTACTTATTCACGGTATCCGATGGGAGTCCTGAAAGAAGAGTTAGGCTCTGTAACGAATGTAGAAGACTATACAAACGCGTTGCTCTTAGAAAATGGAATTTCAAGTGAGCCTTTTAGCCGCGAGGTATTAGAATGTTTGCCAGCTGAGGATTGGAGAATTACAGAGAAGGAATTGGCAAAGCGACGAGATTTCCGAAATGACATCGTCATAACCATAGATCCTGATACAGCCAAAGATTTGGATGATGCTGTCTCTTGTAAAGATTTAGGTAATGGGACTTATGAAGTTGGTGTCCATATTGCTGATGTAGGTCACTTTATGAAGCCAGATACTCCTCTTGATACGGAGGCGGCTTCTCGTGCCACGACCGTCTATCTTGTGCAGAAAGCCATTCCCATGTTACCCTCATTACTATGTGAGCGTTTATGTTCGTTGAATCCCCAAGTGGAGCGACTTGCGTTTAGTGTTACCTGGAAAATGAACAAAGAAGGTAAAGAAGTCGGCAAGCGCTGGTTTGGTAAAAGTGTTATTAAGACGTGTGCTCGACTTGCTTACGGCGAGGCACAAAAAATCATAGAGGGAAAGTCTTGGGCCGAAGGAGTTGGTAAACCAATTGCAGGAAATCATTCTCCGGAAGATGTGGAGAAAACAATACTGGTGCTTTGCGAAATTTCAAGAAATTTACGAGCAGAAAGATTTGCAAAAGGAGCTGTAGAAATTAACTCTACAGAATTAAAGTTTCAGTTGGATGAATATGGGCTACCAACAAAGTGTGAAGTTTATGAACAAAAAGAAGCGAACCACTTGATTGAAGAGTTTATGTTATGTGCGAATCGATCGGTCGCTGAAAAAATAAGCAATACATTCCCTGCAAATGCATTATTACGTCGACATGCAAGTCCCAAAGAAAAGCAAATTAATGAATTTTGCAAATTTATGGAGGGATTGAATTTTCATTTTGATGCTTCCTCTTCCTCGGCCTTCAATGACTCCATGAATCGTTTAAGGAAATTCTTTAATCCTGACTTGGTAGAGCTTTTCGAAAACATGGCTGTACGTTCCCTTAATCGTGCTGAATACTTTTGTACGGGTGATTATCCTGAGCGCAGCGATTGGCATCATTATGCACTTTCTTTTAATCATTATACACACTTCACCTCTCCCATCCGCAGATATCCGGATGTGATTGTACATCGTTTGCTGGAAAACTGTTTAAAACAAACGTCACCTAATCTGCCCAAAAAAGTGTGCTCAAAACACGCGGAGCATAGCAATGAACGACGTGAACAAGCAAACAATGTTCAAGAAGATAGCCAGAATTTATTCTTATCTGTATTCATTTCGGAGTATTGTAAGAATTGTGGTGTGTCTTCCATGCCCGTTACTGCGTTTGCAACGAGAATACAAGATCGTTCTATTGATGTTTACGTCTCTCAATATGGCATCTCTAGTCGAGTGGATTTACTAAACGAAGACAATATAAAGAGTTATACGATATTACCGGATGACTCAGCTGTGGTTATGAAGAAGCAGGATGACTCAGAGTTTAAAATTGCTTTAACAGATAAGTTCCAGGTCCACCTGTATTCTGATTACAGTCGCACCTTTTTTAATGTTCGCTGTTCACTGTTTCCGAAAACGTAAAGCTTGTTTGCATACAGAAGCGTACTGAGTAAATGCTTTTCAACAAGTACCTTAATGATTTTTGGTTCATTCAATTTTTTTTCAGCTTAACGGATTTGTGAGTTATTAAAAGTACAATTTGACATGTTAATTTTAAATGATGAAAGCGACGTTTTGACGATTTCCGTTGCATGTGTTATGTCCAGTCATATATACGTTTGATTCACTATACATTCCTAAGTAGGATCTTTTTTCCTTTATTATATTAGTTATTTATCTTAAATAGGACAAAAGTCTCATTATTAAATATGAATGAATAAATAAATTTTGAACGTAAGTAACAAATGTACCGTTACCCATTTTTAGTTGGTTCATTTTCAAACTTGGTCTTTTCTCTGAAGTGTAGGAACGAGGACATGGACTTTTATATTCATGCTGCAACGATTCTTGATGATTTAAGTCAAAAAAAAGGTTCTATTAAGCAGCTTGTTTTTAATTCAAAAAAGCACGATCCTAAACGGACGTATGCGCTAGTCTGCGAGACTTTAAAATGTAAATAAAAGTAACTGAAGTTTTTACATGTCTAACAGAAAAATAAATAGATAAACATGTTTTGGACGAGGTCATTCAATGTTCAAAGCTATTGGATTTAGAGAAGAAGGTATGCAAATTAATTTGTTAGGATGCTTACAAGGAAAACGAATCTAGATAAAAAAGAACCTTGCAAGAGTTTTAGTTCATGATTTGTTAATGTCGAAACGTGGAATTAGTGCATCGACGGGTTCAATAAAAGAAGCAATTCTGCGACATAAAACTCGCTTGAATGCTGAATTTGTAAAGCTAAAAATTCGCAATAAAGTAAAGTCGCATGAAGAATTGGCATTAAAGAACCCAGTTACGCTTCCTCGTTGGATTCGGATAAACACAATTAAAGCGACAAAAGAAGAAGTACTCAAGCAATTGGCACTGACCCGAGTATCTTCGCTGAAAGAAGTAGGACCAGGAACATATTATATGGATGAAATTATAGATAACTTAATTGCACTTGATGGTGAAACTTCCTTGGTCAATGAAAGTTGTTACCAGGAGGGAAAAGTTATCATTCAAGACAAAGCTTCATGTATCCCTGCAGCGATTCTCGGGAATCAGCGACAGACAAAGGTAGGAGACATAATTGACGGATGTGCAGCACCCGGTAATAAAACCACTCATTTGGCAGCTTTATTTCCCAACGCAAAAATATTCGCCTTCGAGAGAAATAGTCAACGAGTGCAAACGCTTCAGAAAATGGTAGAGATTTCTGGAGCTCAGAACGTCGAAATTTTACACCAAGATTTCACTCAAAGTGATATAATGGATCCTAAGTTTGCGAATGTCACCCATATTCTGCTAGACCCGTCATGCTCCGGGTCGGGAATTGTAAGTCGTCAAGACTTTTTACTTGAAGAATCTGAGCAAGATCTGGTGGAAGATGTTAATCGACTCGAGAGCCTGTGTAGCTTCCAATCTACCATTTTGAAGCATGCATTGCAGTTCCCTAAATGTCAATATGTAACATATTCAACATGTTCTGTACACCGACTTGAAAATGAGCAAGTCGTTTGTGATGTTTTGTCTCAAGAGCCCCAATGGAAATGCAACACTATAGAAAACACGTTGCCCCAATGGGAGGACCGTGGTATACCAGAGTATTGCACGGATCCTATGATGGCTAAAGCAATGATTCGTTGCGTCCCTGGGAAATTTGGAACGATTGGTTTTTTTGTTTGTAATTTGTATCATTCGGGACGGGTAGGTAATTTGCTTGGTAACGGCACCTCAAATGCACTAGAAAGCAACGCAAAACGGAAAAGGAAGAATCAGAAAAAGAAGAACTATAAGAAAATGAAAGAACGAAAGCTGGGAACAGCTATGGATTCCACCGGTCATATTTCCGAATCGAAAACATAGGTCTTTTCTCAGTCTGGTACCTTGGAAAATGATATATATGGGGTTTGACTATTAGAAACTAAAAGATTTCAAGCGCACGAAAAAGAAAATGTATGGGTTAGAAAACGTAACATCTGGATAAACTAGTGTTTTACTTGAGTTTTCTAATGTTATTTTTGGAAGAGGTCGAAAAGTTTACGATTAAAGAGTTTAAAAAACACTGTCATGTAAACAAATGAAACCTTCCTATCCTACCAGTTCTGCAAATTACATTGAGTAAGCATCATAGGAATGTATAGTACTACGAAATAATGTTACACACTCATCATGGGTTTGTTAGATTTCCATACTTTCTGTGGTGTTTTTACTTTGTACCAATAATCATTCCTGTAACTACGCATGAATACAATTAATTCTATAGATCACCGAAAAGCACTCCAAAAAATAGAAAACACAAAAAGTGGAAGCATGTAACGCCCGTTCGGTCAGACTTCCTCGAGAATCCCGTGAAGGCGAATCCCATCGCAATCGCACTGCCCAGGACCCGGGCGTGGTGTGCGTTGTTGCCAACCTCCACCGGTACACCGCGGTTTAATCACCATCTCCGCCGAAGATTCCTCTCCGGGAAGTTATGGTGAATCGAGGGATCGACTGCGAGACTCGAACCCATGACCACGAGACACTCGACCTCGAAGCACTCAACCGTTCAGACAGAGCCATTACAGCTAGAAGTAGCTATTTATAAAAGTATATATAGCAAGAAAGTTAAAGTTATTAGTGAGAGGATTCAAAACCTGTGACAGAACGAAAAGTTTTGTATTTTTTTGAGTTTCCAAGGAGTTACTCATTAAGCACATTGTGGATGAACTACTAAATGAGAAAAACAATAGAGAGTAGACAGGAAAGTAAACGCTCCGAACAGAATACTACTACATATAAAATATTAAAAGTTCTGATTGTAAAAAATGGGGAGATGGGCTACAAAGAACGAAAAGTAAGCGAAAAATTCTTTTATTTATCCAAGGCATAAAATTGGGGTAATTAAGGAAACACAAATCAAGTCAATCCTTTGTGTACCTGCTTACGTACCCGCAAACATTGATGTAGAAGCAAACACAACTTATAGAAAAAGTACATTAGGGAATATAAGAATCATTGCCTTTCCTATACGAAGAGAAAACAAGCCTAGACATCAAAAAAAAGAGATTATGGCAATAGGTCATAGGTCATTGTACAAATTAACCTACAAAATGTATGGTAAAGAAAAAAAGGGGAGGAACACTAGGGATTTTGCAAGTGTCGAAAGCGAAGATAAATTTCAACTTCAAGACTTGGCATACTTTTTCATTAAATGTTGCTTGAAAAACAGGTTCTCTTTAATCAACGAGACGGCTGACAAACATGAATAAGTAAGTGAAGAAGAGAACGGAGAACCAGGCGAGCTTAATGAAGGAACGTTTTTGACGATTTGACACATCCTTGAAGATGGTAGTGGAGTCGTGGAGATGGTTATGAGTCAAATACAATTGAACGTTCCAGAGGATCATAGGGAGATTGAAGAAAAAGCAAATCCATGCTCCCGAAAGCAATAAAAGAACAGAACTAATGGCATGCAATAACATTTCAGGAATAACATAATGATTCAATTTTCGAGACACTAGAACAAACGCCGTTAGTTTTCTGTTGAAGGGAAGCAGAAACCGATTCAACTAGGCTAGCAGGTAAACCAGCAACTAACCATTCACTACGTACAGTCAATAGGATTGATAAAGTCATCCTTTAAATCTGAGTACATGACAGTAAAATACATGTGCAACATTATGCTTGCACAAGTCATCATTAGCGATGTAAAGTAGATCCATGGAGAAGCCATTTTGAACAATTTATATAAGAAAAAGAAGCAAAAATACCTGGAAGTACAAACAGTAAAAAGGGAAAATCAAAGAACTTTTTGTTTGGAGAGGAAAGAGAAAGATGATTTGTTTGTCATAGAGTCTCATCCACCAGTGGTGCTAAAGGGACTGGGTTCGAGTTTTGGTACGGATAATATAAACAAACAATATAAGAGAAATGACAAGTATTGATATAGAAAATGTTAATTGATTGAGAAGAATAGAAAGAGATTACAGAAAGCGAAAAAAAGAGCGACTTCAACTCTTGTACAACCTTTTCTCGCTCATAAGTCTTGGAACTTGATAGCAAGGAAGCATGATGGAAATTCAAAAAACAAACTGCATAAAACAAATCTAGATACCAATTTTTCCTTCATAAAAAAGAATAAAGTGAAAGATCTCTTGAATTTGCATTGAAAGTATATGACAAATCTTAGTAGCAAAAAAGTACGTTTGTTTACATTCTGTATTGGAACAATGAGATGCATTCGTGACAGTACAGCATTCGTCACATAGAAAGACAAGGTGTTTCCGTTCGTTTTCCTTGGGTTTGCTAACTTTTAATGAAGGAGAAACTCACGCATCACCGCAGAGGACGAAACTAGCGATCCACTCCTTTCGTTCACTCCCAGCATAATAGGCAAAGACGAGGCGAGACGGATTTTCAAATTTTTCACAAGGAACTCCACAAAGAAGGAAAACACTTGAGCAGTCTCCTCTCTAGTTAGAAAAAATGCTGCTAAGATAAAATATGTAAAAGTAATTATTTTCATTAAAAGAGCAATGACTTGTTCTTTTATGAAAATATTCTTGAATAATTTATTTTTTTTTTTTTAAAAAAAAAAGGAATCAAAAGAATAAAGAAAAAGGACAGTCCCCCTTAGGAAATACTTTCCTGACGCTCTCGCTTTTCCTTTGCAATTATAAACGTCAGTAGTAATTATTCTTCTAGGGAGATTGCAGCTAAAAGTTGATTCAAATAGTACTGTTCTTCGTATTAGGGAAGTTTACATTGAGAAATTGCTGAATCCTTGGAACTCATTTACATTCTAGTATCATTCACTTCCAACTCAAAACAGAACGATGGCTACTTTAACAGTTCGCATAATTCGAAATTTTGAATATCGTACACTTAAAAATGTGGTCTTTCATGGTATTGATCTCGCTACAACTACTGTTGGCCAGCTCAAGAAGATAATCCAAGATCGAATTCAAACAGATCCTGCGCTTAAGATTTATCGGACCACCAAGTTTGACACGTTGAAAATTTATGTGAAAGCTCAACAGCACAAGACGCAAAACTTAGCCATTAACTTGGATCATGATGATTGGGTTCTCACAGACGATCACCAAACTTTGGCTTTTTGCGGAATTGAAAACGAAACTGAACTTTCCTACTTTAATTTGGATGCCTACCGTGCGTACCAAGAGAACCCCGTTCAAAAATGGATGTAAAGAAACAAGCGGCCAATGGAATTCTGTTGTCCACCATGAAAACGAACGTAAATGTTCGTATGCTTGGATCCTTCTGTTTCTGCCATCCTTAATTCTAACGAAACGCAAAATGATCCTGTAAATCTCTTATTTTCGGAATATTTAGAGTTCACAGAATCGCTTTCCTAGAAATCAACCTTTTATCACTCAGTTCATTTCGTCTACCAACCAAAAAAAATAGGACAATAGTATAATAAATATAAAAGGTAATAGACCTTCTCATTCCGTCTATTTCATCTCATACAGTCATTCTCTTTCCTCTCAATCTTACTACTAATTATGTATTCCACTTCACTGTCGCCCATACAAACAGACCCTTCACTTGTTCGTTCTCCAGAACACTGTCGAGCTTCACGAAAAAAAAAAATAAAAAGAATTGCGCGGCCAGGTTTCGATCCTGGGACCTACGGGTTATGAGCCCGTCGGAGTTCCACTCTCCTACCGCGCACATTCGTCAGCAGCAGGATTTGAACCTGCGAGCGCAGTGCGCATTAGATAGCTCGAATGGTGTATTCAAGTCTAACTCCTTAACCACTCGGACATACTGACTACTGTTGATATGCTTACCATAAAAAGCATTGTATACGAGTTTTTAGAAAATTTTTGTCAGCCATATTGATTGTTCACAAAAACCAATTTTTCAAGAAAACAATCACCACCATAATAAACAAATTGCTACAAACATTCCGTCAATTCATTCTAAAAAATAAAAGCAGTTTTAGTTGACGAAAGAGAGGTCGGTAGATTCATTTCTTAAAAAGGACAAACGTAGATAAATTGAACCACCAAAAAGGAAATGCTCAACTAAGGAAATTAAAGTTAATTGATTGGATTTTGTGAATAAACAAAAATAAAATAAAAATAAAAATCGTTAAAGATCAGGCTTAAAATACATATATGCCTCAAAAATATGACAGAACGCGTACGACCATGACCCGTACTTGTTTACATCACAGAAAATGAAGAAAATGATAATGGTAAATAATATCGCCTTACTCTGATATGTACTGTAGTCTGCTACTTTCTAGTAAATCCCTATCATTCCCGGTTACATACACAAGAATCCTTCTCAACCAGAACCTGACTAACTAAATCATTTAATAATTCTTCAGTACACAACCTTACATTATACTTCTCAACATTTACCTCGCAAAGTTCAACTTTTAAGCGGGAAGAGCCAAATTAATTCCCAGCTATTCAATAGTATACTAACTATCGTCTAAATTAATCAAAACCGTAATAAAAACAACCTAAATGCCCGCAAAGATTATTGTATGCATGAGTCAATTTAGAGCTCATCATCACTGACTTCAAAGCCAGCCTTACGACGAGCCATACGCTCCTTCTTCTTCTTACGGAGCTCAGCACCAGTGAGCTTCTTGGGCTTCTTAGCCTTTTCGATCTTGTTACCGAAGGCATCAAAGGTATCACCCTCATCCTTTTCTTGAATACGAGGACCAGAACCTTGGCCTTGGACCCAGTTGTGACCGGAAGGTGTCATTCTACCGTGGTTGACGGCCCAGACTTCTTCAGTCAAACCTTCAGTGAACTCACGAGAGTGAGTAACCAAGACGACACCACCACCGAAACTCTTAAGACCCTTAGAAAGGGCACCAAGAGAGTCACGGTCAAGATAGTTGGTGGGCTCGTCAAGGACGATAACGTGAGGACGCAACCAGGTGCAAGCAGCCAAAACAAGCTTGACCTTTTGACCACCAGAAAGACCCTTGATACGGGAGTGAGAAACCAATTCAGGTTCAAGACCCAAAAGACCACAGTGTTCTTCGATCTCCTTACGAACCAAAGGACGGAATTGACCGCTCTTCAAAGCCTCAGCACGGTCAACTTCAGCAACCATCTTAGCGTGGCTTTCCATAATTTCACCACGAGGTAACCAAGCGTTATCAGAAGACATCATGGGAACCCAGCGTTCACTCTTCATACCAATGTTTTCACCAACAGTGAAAGAGCACTCGTACTCGTAAGAGTTCTTAAGCTTTCTACGGCTGTGGATACCCAAAATCTTACGAGGGGTACCCTCGATCTTGAAGATTTTGTTCTTCATAGCCTCCTCATCAGCTTCATTGATGACACGGGAAGCCTTGTCCATAGCTTCCAAATCTTCACCAGATTGGAAACGCCATTGGATGTACTCGGAAGGAGACTTGTCAGGGTGAAGACCAAGATGAGCGAAAGCAGCTTGAGCAACGTAGGCAATACGGCAGTTCTCGTGTTGGTAAATGTCACCAGTAGTAGGCAACAATTCACCGGTAAGAACCTTAATCAAGGTAGACTTACCAGCACCGTTAGGACCAATGACAGCAATACGAGATGAAAGTGAAACTTGGAAAGAAATGTCAATCAATTGAGGTGAAGAGGTACCGGGGTATTGGAAGGACATGTTGTTAACCTTGACAATGGCACGTTGCTTGGTCTTGACACCTTCTAAGTAACCGGGTTCAGGGAATCTAAATTCCATTTCAGAAGCACCCAATTCATAGTAAGACTTGGCGGAAGGAACCTTTTGAACGAATTCAGACATATTACCGATATACTTACGGAGCTTGAAGCGCTCGTAGTGAATGATGGATTGAACGACGTGGTCCAAGAAACCGGAATCGTGAGAGACAATGATGGAGGAAACATTCTTTTGACCAGTCAAGAAATTCTCCAACCAGGCGACGTTGACAACGTCAAGATGGTTAGTGGGTTCATCAAGCAAAAGAATGTCAGGGTTCTTGAACATGGCACGAGTAAGAGCCAATTTCATCTTCCAACCACCAGAAAGGGAGCCGATGGGTTTTTCAATAAGTTCATCAGTGAAAGAGTTTTCCTTCAAACCCTTAATGACTTCTTCACGAGTCTTGATGGAGACACTAGGGTCCGACATAATGAAGTCAACTGAAGGAGTGTCGGCCTCAGATTCATCAATGTCGTGTTCGACATAAACAGTGCGGAGGTGAGTAGGGAAACCCTCAACTTGGCCATTGACAATAGCACGCATGAGAGTAGACTTACCGGAACCGTTAGGACCGCAGAGACCATAACGGCGACCACGCTTGAGACGAAGGCGGGTACGGTTAAGAAGAATCTTAGCACCATAGGCAAGGGAGAACTCGCAGTTGCAAAGGTCTTCACCTTCCTCTTCTTCTTCAAGGTGAGCACCACCACCGGGAATCTTGGCGATGGAGCGAGCGCGGAGGTCTTCAATGACGACTTCAACGTTAGCTTGCTCGGGAACGAAGGTAGCGATATAGGGAGCAACATTTTGCATCCAAGATTCACTGTCACTGTCCTTCTCTTCAACGAGTTGAGCAGCAACAGCAGCTGCGTACTTGGCAATGACTTCCTCGTGATGAGGAACCTTCTTATCACCGAGAACGGCCTTCAAAGTCTCCAAGCAAACTTCAGGGTTGGCAGCAGTGGAGACTTCAGGAATCTTGCCGTCGACAACGTTACCGACGCGTTCTAAAGTACCAATGGCACGTTGAACGACGGAACGGCACTCAGGATCACCAATGGTGTCCTTGATGTGGTACAAACCAGGCAAGAGCTTGGGCAAGAAAGGAGCAACAACTTGAGGGTCTTCTACAAGCTTGGACATGTTGTCAATAATGACAGCAGCCTTACGCTTGATAGGAGTGGAGCGTTCGTTCAAACCACGAGCCAACAAGGGGACCATGATGGACAAAGTAGGGGCTTGAACTTCGGTAACGAAAGTAGTGGCACCCAAAGAGTGGACAGTCTCGGGGACCTCCTCAGGATGAGCGATACAGTTAATGAGCTCGGGAATGAAGCGGTCAATATCTGCGTTGGCAATCAAGGTACAGACCTTAGTCATGGTTTCTCTAGACTTCTTCTTAATTTCAGCCTTAGTATCCCACATAGATTCGGAAACAACGGGGATAATGGCGGGAAGAGAGTAGGAGAGCTGAGAGGGGGAAGTCTCAACAAGGAGATCCAAGAGTTGCAAAGAGTTCATCTTTTCAGTCCACTTACCAGTGCTGTGAATAGATTCGAGAACAATAGGAACGATAGCCTTTACAGCATAAGGAGAGGCGCTACGAACGATAGCGCGAGAAGCATTAATAGCAGCATCTCTAACGCTCATTTGCTTGTCGGCAACTTTTTCGACAACAGCAGGTAAAAGTTCAACCAAGTAGGGTTCGACATCGGCAGCAACATTGGGAAAGTTGGCGACGGCCTCGATACCCTTCAAGACGCGCTCGACAACCTTCTTGTCCTTAAGTTGCTTTTCGATGTGCTTAAAGACCAAAGAAGGGGCATCTTGCTCCTCAATAGGTCCATTGACAAAGGATGCCAAAGCCGTAGCGGCGTCACCCTCTTGTGCGGCATCGCACACGGTAAGGTTATTCAACAACTCATCAAGAGTTTTGACTGACTGCTTGTTCTCACTCTTTGCAGACATCCTGGGAGTTGGTTGTTGGTAAGATGGAGGTTGGAGATTTGTATATGAATCAAAATTCAAACTCAATTTTAGCGGAGGGGCAAAAAACAGTCACAATATAGAGACAATTTTAAAAAAATGTTTTTATGAATTGGAATTGCCGTTATGAGATGTGACTGTCTTTTTGTCTCGTCCCAGTTCGGTGGTGGCAAGTGGTCGCTTCTACAATGTAAAAAAATGGTAGGGAAGTGATTTAACGATGAGTTTGTCTGGTTGTCTTATAGTAAATCAACGTCTAAATATTCATATTCGCTATTGTAGCTTGGAATTCATTGTTACCGTTCACAAATAAATAAATAAACGAAAGTAAGCAGAAAATTTGAAACGATAACTATTTCGTTCGAATCGTTACATTCTACATAGAGAATAGCGAATGATAGCAGCGTAGAGGTTGTTATGACAGTAAGTTTTATTAGGCGCACACAAGGTAAAAGTCGTTGTAAAATGTGATTGAAAAGAAGTCGTAATCGTTCATAAAATTTAGTCTTCCTCAAGCTTAAAATGAAAGGATGTTCTATTACTTTTATCTTTATTTGTAAAATTCAGCGGTGAAAGGTACTAGTTGTTCGTTTCGTCAATGTAAACAAAAGAAAATACAGTCGATTGGGAACTTTAGAAAAGGAAGACAAATTATAAAAATCATTCAAATAAATAAAAGGTAATCTTAATTAAGAGCAATCATTTACTCCATGCTGATTTATTCACCTTGGTATTTTTTAGTAAATAAAAAAGGTATTGGCAGAACAGCCCTTATTCCTCAGCAATAATAAACTTTCTTTATTCTTTGAAGTAAAACAAGTTCTCTTTTATAATTTTGTTCGTAATTAAAGGTCGATCCAGGATCATTGTACAGCTTGTAGTAAATAAAGAATAACATTTAATTACGTTTTCTGTATCCTTTGTTTTAGGTAAAAATTATTTTTTTAGTAATATAAATTTATTCTTTTACTACAGATGCTTTATTTCTTGTCCCCAAGATTCAAATGTCCTTAGTCGCATCCACCGTTCGTATCATATCGTACACCTCTGGGGAAGGTAATTAACGCAGACAACACTTATTCAACCTCATTCAATTATTGTTTATATTCCATTTTTTAACCAAAAAAGTATAAAAAGTTTATAGAGATAAGAAGGAGTCCATGTTTATGTGCGAGTTTTGATATATGAACGATCAACCTCTCTAGTGATTATGGAGGAACGTTCATCAAACTCAGAAGAGACTGATACTAAATTCCTTCACCTTTTAGCAGATGATTTTGCTGGACTTTCTTTAACTGACGAAGAAGTTGCTATTTTACGCTCCCACCTTCCCTACAGAAAGGACTCACATACCTCTAATAGTGAGCACAGTCAATTGGAGTCAGATTATAATGCACAGAGGAAGGAGGAAAAAGGAATAGAAAATACCACTTCCGATGAGAATGCCATACCCAAATCCACACTGTTAGAAAAATCGACACTTCCTGAACCTTTCAACCAAGGGGAAGAAGATGAATCGAGTACACAGGAATATCATAGAGAATTCGATCGATTTTTATCCTCTCCTTCATCAGAAAATGCTTCGGCTACTCCGAGAAAACAGCTTCCTAACAATTCACCTTTAACTCCTTTATCCTTGATATCTAGAGGGATTTCTTTGAATAGCGATGATGAAACTGATACGGACGAACAACTTTCCCCAGTGCTTACTGCAAAGAAAACTTACGGGGACCTGAATTATCCATCGACTTTGTACCACTCTGATGATGGATCTTCCAATGAATCATTGCATCGTGAACAGATAATCTTAAGCGATGAATTGGAAGATGCAAATGATGAAAACCCCGGGTATCTTACTCCCATAAAGGAAGAAGGTTCCTCCGCCTATTCATCGAAAATACCGGATACTACTGTGTTGAGCAGAAAGATCTCTGATATATCCATCCCTGCATCTGCAATGAAAGAATTAGAAGAAAAAAAAGGCCTTTTAAGCAAGGAAATTCGTGATGCTCCGCCAGGAGCGTCTTTGACGTTAAAAGAACAAGCCAACGTTATAGACAATCTTCGTAAAGAAGCATTTGGACTCAAGCTTAAGTGTTTTTTCTTGTATGACCAACTAAACAAATTCCATGACTCTGAGGTCCAAGACATTATGAAGCAAAATATAGATTTGAAAACGCTTACGATGCAACTGCAACGTGCAGTAGCCACTTATGAAAAAAAGATATCCTCTTATGAAAAGAAACCCTCCACTGCTGCTTCTGATACACTGCAGTCGAATCTGCTTGATTTACAGAAAAAATATTCAAAAACTTATTCTGAATTAGAGTCTACGAAAAAGGCATTGACTAAAGCAGAAAAAGAGCGACGGAAGCAACCAAATTCTGTTTATGATCCATATCATGGGAATGAGAAAAGCACTCTTTCTTCTTTACTAGATAGCGAGCGCCGTGAAAAAGAAGCATTGTTACAAGAAGTAGACTCTTTACGTAGTTTGCTTGCCCAAAAAAGTCAGATTAAACCTCGGACACCTGATGAAAGGGTTATACAGAGTTTACAGCGTACTAATGATCTTTTACGGAAGGATCTTGGTGCACAGAATGAAGCTTTTCTATTTCAAATGCAAGAGAAAGACAAGCTTATGCAGGAAATAGAAGAACTAAAGGGTAATTTAGATGCCGCAAAATTGAATGCAGTCGCTGAAGCTGAAGCAAGTAAAAATGAAATATGGGATTTAATGATGGGGTGCAAGATGAAAACACAAGAGCAAGCCGTTGAGCTTAGTCGACTTTATAAACAGCTCGAAGAAATTGAATATGATTGCGAAAATAAACTTGTCAAAATGGAACAGCAATGGAAAGATGATGTTGATCAATTACAGCAATATGTAGAGGAGCTTACTCAGGACCTACAAACTGCAAAAGGCGAGCTAACCAGATCCGTTAGTGACTCTCGTGCATATGAACAAGCGCTCAATGATTTACGAAGGGAAACTGAAACAGAACTTAATCAATTTGACAAAACAATACGTGAAAATGAAGAAAGTATTGGTCTGTTCAAAGAAGAGATTGAAAAATTGACTGACGAGCTTTCTCATCTTTCTGAAAGTTACCGTGAAAAGTCCGATGAGTTGAAGGATTCTGAAATTAAAATTGCTGATTTCCGACAAAAGTTAGAAGACTCTAAGATGCAGTCCTCAGAAGTGGATGCACTGAACATCCAATTGGAGAATTCCAACAAGTTATGGCAATCAGCAACTGAAGAAAGAAATTCATTAAAAGAAAAATTAGACATCATGAATGCTGAAATCGAGGGCATGAGAAGTCATAAATTAGAGTCAAGTGAAAGGGAAAGAGAACTGCAAAAGCAACTTGAGGAATTAATTATAGAAATTGATCAGTTGAAGCACTCACACGAAGATGAAAGTAAAGAGATTTATGTTTTGTCTACTCAGTTGGATGAAAAGAAAAGTGAATTGAGTGAAGTTGCCCAAGAAAAGGCGACTATTATGAAAAAATTGGAAGCACTAGAGAACCGATATACAGTTCTACAAAACAGTTTTACGTCACTGCAAACTGCTATCCTGGAAACCTTTGACAAGAAGGTGGAACATTGTTCTGCTGAGTTACTAGTACGTCAAGTGAAAAAATTAAAGGATGAAAGTAAACGATTAAATTCTGAGATAGAGAAGTCTACTCGACAGTTCAGCAAGAATGAGCAAATTATAAGAGAAAGGGAAACTTCTATGGAGACTCTTCAATCAGAAAAGAAAGAGCTAAAAGCCTTACTTGATTCGGAACGTCGCTCAAAGAAAGTAATGCAATCTGAACTCGACGCTTTGAACTTGCAGAACACTCGCCGTAGTCTCAGTAGCTCTTCAAGTCCCTCGGAGCGATCGCAATCTAGAGAATTCAAATTGCTACAAACTTCTGAGAAACGTTTGAAAGAACAAATTGATGAGAGAAATAAACTAATAAAGACTGTCATTAGCCGTTTAGCTCAACTATCCTCGTCTAGTGCAATAAGTGGAAATAATAAACCTGATTCTTTAACTACATTTTCTAGTATGAATCAGGCAATGCATGGCCAACTGAAGGAATTAGAAAAATCTACTCAAGGATTTAAGAAGAAGTGTAAAGCTATGGAACGAGACTTCAAGATTGAGATTAACAAACTTGATAGTAATTTAGAGGCCCGAAGCAAAAAGCTTAGTCAATTGGAAGAACGTTTCAGACTTATGAATGTCTCAACTTTAGGATCTCGACCTGCTTCTCCTATGTCTTCAAAAAAATTAATTGCTGCAGCAGAATCACCAGATGACAAGAAACCTCCGCCTGATAGATCAGCGGTACAACGTGGTATCACCGCATTGAAACGCGACGCTGAAGGGATGAGCCATATTTGGCAATTGAGATTGCGCGAATTGGAGTTTCAACTCAAAGCTGAGCAAGAAGGTCGGAAACATGATAAACTAGGAGCTCGGGAGCGCCTTCAAGATTTAGTCAAGCAAAATCGAAGCCTCTCCCAGCGAATCACGTTGGATAAAAACTTGCAAAATTCTGTTTCTTCGCATGAAGCCGATAGCTAACAGTCCAAGACATTCATTCTTTTATTGTTTATGGTTTATTTTCTCTCTTTTCGTTCTCTTTCAAATTTTTGTATATTTAGATTTTATAATATTATGGAATGGGCTTAACGTGCTTACTTCATTCAGTTAGTTAATGGACAAAATAAGCGAGTTTGCGAGTATTTTTTAATATCTACGAATATAGTTTAATTAATGCGTTCACGGAGCTACTTTAATGCGTACTAGTCCTTAATGGTCATCTTAGAACATTAATCATAAGTTTTGGGGCTGTGCCCAATAATTCTGAGGGTTTTACTCATTTTTAAAACAAGATGTTTGTTATGTTTACCTTAACGTAGATGTAATGACATTTCATAAAGTTTGTTTGTTTATATTCTGATGATTGATAAATCTCAATTAACTGAAGAAATAATGCTTCAGCTTCATTGCAATTATGAGAAAAGGTAAAAAAGAAGCCGATAATTATGATATTGATGACTCTAAATCAGGACATTTAAAGTTTCCAATGTTGAATAGCTACGACAAAGAGCTTAAAGATCCATCTTCTAACCAGTTGAGAGAAGTTAACAAAAATAAAGTAATAAAGAAGAAAAGGAGAGAATATCAAAATGAGAATCAAGGAAATCCTTTCGTCGTGTCGAATACAGGAGACGACGATCAAGAAAATGCTCTTCCTAGTTTGTCATCTTTAACCCATGATAAGGCTAATGTAGCCGATGAAAGGAACAAAGCAGTTTCCAAACGGACAGTACGATTAGGAACTATACGTTATCAACTGCTACGACCTAGTCAAGTTGAAATATTGGGTCGACCGGAGGTTGCACGAAAAAGAGTTGCCTGCCAACTCTATTTCCTTAACTATTATATCAACTTCATAGAATATTACAAATTACGGAGAGAGCGTTTAAATCAGTTTACTGAATGCACTCAAGATTTGAAAACCTCGAAACAAAAGAAATTATGGAAAGAGCACCGCGGACGAGAAAGAGCCTTTTTAAGAAAAAGAAGAGCAAAAATCCAAAGCAACCATTTCGATCTACTCGTAAAACTTGGACAAGGCGGTTATGGATCCGTTTGGCTAGCTAAGAAGAGAGATACCCATGAATTTGTAGCATTGAAAATGATGAGGAAAGCAGTTTTACAACAAATGGATGAAGTAAGGAATTTTCTAAATTCAGATTAATTTCTAACCTGAAATAGGTGCGGCACATCTTGACTGAGAGGGACATTTTGACCAACACAAATTCTGAATGGCTAGTCAAACTATTCTACGCATTCCAAGATAAAACTTCTGTTTACTTAGCGATGGAATACGTACCAGGAGGGGATTTTCGAACGTACTTGGCTATGCATGGGTTACTTCGTGAAAAGCAAATCCGATTTTATCTAGCAGAGATGTTTATGGCAGTCAATGAAGTCCATAAATTGGGCTATACACACAGAGATTTGAAGCCTGAGAACTTTTTGATTGACAAGAGAGGACATCTCAAGCTAGGTGATTTCGGACTCAGTACAGGACTTGTGAGTAGTGTACAAATCCGAAAGCTCAGAAAAAACCTTGCTAGCGCAGAGACACCACAAAATGCTTACTTAACCCAGAGGCAGAGAAGGAATATATACAAGGCCCTCATAGAGAGGAATGGGTGTCGGGTATGAAATAATGCTACTATTATGGTCTAACAAGGTTTTAGGCAAATTCCATAGTCGGTTCTCCTGAATATATGGCTCCAGAAGTAATATATGGCAAAGGTTATGACAAGACTGTGGATTATTGGTCTTTGGGGTGCATTTTTTATGAATGCGCTGTAGGTTATCCTCCATTTTCCGGGGCGACAACACAAGAGACATGGACTAATCTTTATTTTTGGAAAGATGTTTTGCAAAGACCGGAAAAGATAAGGAACGGCCAGTACGACAAAACAGCAGTTCGCATTTCTGACAATGCTTGGTCGTTCATTCTAAAGTGCTTAACTGAGCCGGAAATGCGGTTTCAGGGTATGTCAGAAGTTCAAAAGCATCCTTATTTTTCAAAAATTCACTGGAATCATTTGAGAACTCATGGAAGACCACCGTTTGTGCCTCATTTGAGTAACCAGCTAGACACCTCGCACTTTGATGATTTTTCGAACGAAGCTGTTATGGAAGCGTATAAAGATGTTTATGATAAACAAAGAATTATGGAGGAAAAATTGCGTAAGCGACAGGCTTGCATCAACCAGCGTCCCTTTCAAGGGTTTACATATAAGCATCGTACGAATCATCTGAAGCAACCCAAGCCGGAAGAGGGTAACGACTGGAAGAAAAAGGGCGAGAATGTTTCTAGAAAAAAGAAAACGAAGGATTGCGTTTACAGGAATGAATTGGCTCTTGCGTCCGATTCATCAGAAACCGTTCCCTTATATAAACACTTGAAAGCCGAGAAAAAGGGAAATAATGAAAAAAATAAACTGCATCCTAATGACTATTTAAGAAGAAAAGAAAAGGATTACTATGAAGTCTTATTTTGATTAGTTTTCAAATCCTTTTCTAATTATGGGCACTCTTTCCAGAGTGACAAAAAAAAACATCTTCAAAGCTTAGAAGGATATAGCTTATAAAGAGAAATACTATCACACTCTTTTTCTAGTCTTTTCCCTCTATTCCTGTATTCGACAAGTGGCATGCGTTTACAGTTTTCGTTGCAATCCATACCTTACCGAAGCTTAGGCATTATAAAGTTAGCGAATTTGTAACAAATCCCCATAGTTAACAACTTAAAGTCATGGGGTCATCCAGAAAAAGAGCATTATCTGTTTGTTAATTTAGATAACCGATTGGCACAATAGCAATGATTTTTTATCAGGCATATACTTTGTAGAAAAGAAAACTCGTAGAGTAACTTATTTATTGAACTTGTTGATGCAAATCATGATTCTCTCATTCTTTTCCGTATGATTTAGGGAAATAATATGAGCATAGGCAATTTTGTACTTTTTAGTTTCCATCGTCAGCAAGGTTAAAAAGGATTTTAACTTTTTGATAATACAAACAAACATTGAATATAAAATTTGATTTAAACTTTTTCAAAGTTTGATTTGTTGTGCGATTTTGGTTCATACTTTTGCATAGCTGAATTGTTTCTAGGCAGATTTGACATGGGTAAACCGAATATCCAAGATCCGAAAATAAATCCATTAGGTTCCCCTCTGAAATTACCGAATTGTTGAGAATAGAAATAAAAAACAGAGTGAAGATCAAGAAGCCCATTTGTTGTCGTTGCGAAGTTTGTACCTTTCGAAGCAAAGGCACATGAAATTCAAGACCATCATGCTTGCAGAAGAGCAGTACAATACTCAAAAGGAAAACCAAACAACGTAAAAAAAATCATAAAAAGACACCTTTAGTTTTCAAATCAGACATAAGTATCATAATAACAAGGGGTTGAATATGATATCAAACGAAGGCAGGTGTGCTTGTAGTCAACTTGGAGTATGACACAAAATTAACAAGCTTTTTGAAAGGAATTCATTAATTCATTAATTAAAGAAAACAATCAAAATCAAAAAATGTTTTCTTTGAATTATTATAATAGCTATGTATCTCGTTCAGATAACATTCAGATTTTATGGTATAAGGAATTGTTGAATACTTGGGTTTTAAAAGGAACAAAGAACAGGTAATAAAAGTAAGAACAAGGTTTCTCTTTGCATGTCTCTTTTGTCTTCCATTTCCAGCATTCAAACTGTAAGAGTCAATTCATCTTGTCACTGTTGACAAGGATATCGTAGAACAACAAATAATATGATACAATGCCCTCTTTCGTCTGCATCAACGGGGTAAACCATGCGACCAAGACGTAAAAGTAAAAGGTCACTATGAATTTAACAAGATTATCGTACAAATAAAACTGTACGATATTACTTTCACCTCCTTTGTGTAATCATATTTTCTCGTTAGCCAAATTTTGTAATACTGGGTCACCTTTTTATCTAATACGAGGTAGAGGGACAGAGGAATATAGTAAGGAGGAGTAAACGTTTAAGACAGATAAACAAGATACGTAGGAAAACTTATACTGGCATTGGCAATCATCAAAGTAAGTTCAAATGGAAATTGTTGATAATGTGGGTGAGACGGATGTTGAGGAGCCTAGCTGATTGTTAGGCGAGAGGCGAATGGAAGGGAGACTTGCAAACAAAGAAAATTAGCATTTCTATAGTTCTAAAGTGGAGTGGAGAAGATAATGAAGAAAGAGAAAAGATATGTTTTGAAGAGAAACAATTGTCCTCAATCTTGAAAGAAAAGCAGAGGTTTTCTACTCAAAGACGTAAAAAGATAAGAAATTGTATGCTTATTGACAACATAGAACTACTAGATCGAAGCAAAGCAAATCCGTCGCTATTGGTTGTCTGCGAGGAAAGAAATCAGAAACACCTTATCGTATCACGTTTATCACAAAAACCGCCCCATAGCAATATCAAAAGAATGTATCGAGGGAATGAACCATGTCATTAATTGTGCAAAAACAATGGCCTTTTGGAAAGGAAATGTAATGGAACAGAAATTGCAATCAATCCGTAAATGATTAGCAATGGATTATCGCAATATAAACATGCTCACAGCTCATCATCATCATCGTCATCCTTCCCATACATTAAACTCAGCGGAAAATGTTAGGATAAACAACTCTCTCTTTTGGGAAAGTTTGGAATTTTGTAGATAGCCTTATCCAAACCATAGTTTTATAAATATAAAAGAAGGAAGCGATCATGACATGGAGACTTTCAGACACTCTTTCAGACAACGTCTCATCAACAAAACACCAAAAGAAGAATTCCATCATGAAGTAAGAAGAAAACGAAACAAGAAAAAAAATAAATTGAAGGTTCCCACTAGACAATGATTCCTAAGTGTGCTATGAGCGCTTGACGATTTCCATTCCATATATTTAAAAGGAAAACCGAAAAATTAAAAACTAGCTCATGTCTTTTTCTATTCTTCTCTTTTTACCTGTTCTCATTCATCTTGGTTTTGTGTTCCTCTTGCACTACTTTATGCTACCTTTATTTACCCATTCAAGTTTACCCTTTCAGAAAACGCAATCTAATTTACTTTGGCACTCCATCCCAAGGCAGTCGCGAAAAAAACCATCATCAAACCCAATTGGTCTCTTTCTATTCATCTTCCAATCTCTTTGAAAGCAATAAATCAAATCCACTAGACTGGACTAGACTAACTAAACTATATATATGCTACTAACTGCTACTATCCCAAAGGATAATTTAACGAGGCAAAGATCCGTTTCACTCAAAAGCCAAAACCTCATTTACCACATTACGGAAAAGTGCGTTATACTAGATTTTGTCATTCTTTTGAAAAGTTTGTTGGCATAATATACATCCTTCGTCTCCCATTTATCCATCTTGCTTGGTTTGTTTACCTTTTTTTCGAATCCAATATGCGTCGTTCTACCATTGTACCGACCGTTTCGAATACTACAGGAAACGTTCCTTCTGCAAATTCACATAATAATTTTGCTCCTTCTCCTAATCAAGTGAAAACCATTCAAATGAATCGTCTTGCTGACCAGCTTTCTAAATTGCAGGCCAATTTGTCCCATCTAGAAAATCATGTTCATGTCACGGCAATTCAAGCTGAAGCCATACGACGCATGGGTGCTCTGCAAGCTGCTTTGTTTATGGCTTCTGGCCGTGTCATGTCTGAGGCCAGTATGAATTCGGTTCCTCCTTCTTCGGCCTCTTCCTCTCATCCCTCTCCTTCGTCCTTCAACCATCAAGATCCAATGTGAACGGATAATTAGTTGCCTTGATTAATCATTGCTTATGGTACTCCTTCTCGCTATTTGTTCAAGCTTCTTTCCTCTAGATCCCTTCTTGTACTACTTTTTTCGCTTCACTATTCTTCTTTAAGCTTCATTATACCTTTTACCACATCCCGTGTTCCACCTCTTTAATCATTGTTTCCATTGTACGTTACGATTCAACAGCACAGAGTGAGTGGGCTTGACCTTATCTTAACGCAGAACTTTTTTTTTATCTCCCTTTCCTTAAAACAATTGTTTGTAACCCCCCCTGCATAACGTTGCAACTATCAGTTCGATGATGAAAGTATGAATCACGAGTGGCCAATAATCATTCGCACAAAAACGATTACCAGCGATCGGATCATTTCCCCCAGCCAATTTTTTCAATAGAGATTACGCCTCGCTTCGGTTGCTGTGCATTAAAGCATATAACGACATTTAACTAAACTCCTTCGCTTCGTTGTCAGCTTTGTGAACTATAGTCCTTCTACCACTGCCAAAACCAACAAGCTCAGCCTTGTCGAGAGTGGAGCCTCAAATTCAAGTAATTTATATTGGTTTCTATCCTTTTCGTTAATTCTGGTATCTTAATTGATAATTTTTCTCCATCTTGGTTCATTGGATCGAGTTTTGTACTCAGGCGATTTCAAAAAGTATCGACGCGTTGAAGCTTGCCACCGACCCGTGTATGTTCTCTGGACCTTTTGGGAAATTAAATTAAATTAAACTTGTTTCTTTTTCTCTTTACAGTTTTTCTTTGGAGGTTGAAGAACCGCTCAATAATTAGAATTGCCTTTGTCTACTCAATTGTTCAAAGCTGTGTTTGTTTTCCTTTTCTTTTCGTTAATCGCTACCACATACTATTTATCATCTTCCTTCTGTTTTCTTTTTTAATTCAATTTTCTCTGGACAACTTTACGGCTGTTCGGTCTGTCATAATCCGTGAATCGACTAGATTACAGTTTATGAGGATTCATCCTCTTTGTATCTATATTCTCTTTTTCCTTCAATTTTAATCTAATAATTGACATCTCCTTTCCGTTTTACCATTGTCTTTGATTTTTAAATTTTGCTGTTATCCCTTTTTGAGTATACTTTGAAAGCCAATTCTCTATACGGAACCTTTTTATCCTTGCTTTTTTTTGGGCTGCTTTTCTCTCAGATTTCTTTTTCTGTTTCCTTTTGAATCGTTTCTTTGCTTTGTGTGGTAAAATATATAACCTTTATACACCTCGTGGTTGAAAGCTAGCATATCTAAACCCTATTAACCGTTTTGCTTCCATTTGTTTTCTTTCTTTTTTTATTACGTTGGTTTAACTCAAGTTTATTATATAATCTCTATGGATCTGAAATTCAATGAAATCTTCAAAGAGTCTGACCATCCAGCTCTTAAGGAGAGACTCGACTCTGCTACCTCAAAACCAAACACTTTCTCGCAAAACCCTACCGATATGGCCTCTGATCTCTGGAAAATGATGTCCAAGGCCAAATCAGATATGCAAAATGGACGTCGCGTCGAAAACTTATCATGGCGTCTTATGTCTATTAATCTTCAAAAGAGCTCTAATTTTTCCAGTAGTACTTTATCCCCCAACGTTCCTACATACAATAAGCTTTCCTCTAGTCCCCTGACTCCTCACTCCAACCCTCATAGTTCCGATAATGTATCCTTAACCTCTGGTACCCCTGACCAGAAATCCGAAACCAATTGCTTTATGAATACCCTTCCTTCCTACAGTGTTCCAACTGATACCACGGGCAGCTCCATGATGGAACTTAATTATCTTCAAAGACGTGAGCGGAAAACTAGTTTCAATGAAGCCTCTGCAAAAAGCAAGAAGCGTCCCATTACTAGCACTCATTTTCCCGCTAACGATGTAGATTTCTCTATGGATCTTGACTCCCATCCTTTCAGCTCCCCTAAAATTCATGCTTTTGATTCTTTTAATGCCGCTAAAAAGACTGTTGGTAGTGCTAATGCTTCTTCTTTTCCGGCTTCAGTGCAATCCGATTATTTTGACAATCAGACTCCATCCTTTGCTTCGGGCCTTCAATCTGTGCCCATCCCTTCGGCCTCTGGTATGGTAAATCCGGCAAACCGACATATGGATTCTACCTCTGCTGCCGTTTCTAGGAAGTCTGATTTGGATGTTTTAGGTTTGGAATTCGACATGACTCCTTCAGAGCCATCCTCATCTTTTCAAGATAACAGTGGATTCCCATCTTTTGTTGATGCTGGAACGAACAACGACGACACGTTATTTTCTTCCTCTGCGGCTACTTCTTTTAGTTTTGAACATGGACCGTCCAGTTTCCCAGTTCCTGGCAGCATATCAACAAGCTCCTTGCGTGGTCATGCACCTTCTGAAGAGGGTTATGGCAATTCTTATAACAGCCAAAGTGCTTTTGGTATTTCTTCCCCTTTAAGCGGCGGCGTGACTCCGACTCAATCTTTCTTCCCTGAACCTGCTAATAATAATAATGTTTTTGAGATACCCAAACAAGCTTCTGATATGTCTTCCCCTTTGACCCCCTCTTCAGGATCTTTTCCTACTATGTCCTCTTTGCATATGACGAGTTCATTGCCTAATTCTGCTTCTCATGCTGGTATTCGCCGCCCTCAAATGTTCCGTAATGCATCCACTAGGTCGATTGGAAATATCGCTCACCCAGTTGACTTAAACCAAGATCAAAATGAATCTCATGGCGGATCTTTCCAACGTAGTAATGAGTGGACCGGTAATGAGTCAAATGGTATAGGCTCGAATAGTTCCTTGCCAGGTTCCGATATGTTTTCTCCACCATTTATGCGCGTTGGTACTGCCATGGGTGCTGCTCCTGTTCGTAACAATTCGGTTTCTTCTTTCCCCCATAATTATTTACATCAGTCAAGTCCGCAATTTGCTGCCGTACCCCATCGGAAAGTTAATTCTCAAGAGCCTAGTCTAATGGGATCAAGTCCTGGTATATACAATCACATGCCTTATCTCAACCGCTCTACGTCTTCGACGTCTGTCGCCGGAGCGTCAGTGGAGGGCATGCCAACTGGTATGAAAAAGCGTGCTACTGCTAATGCTTCTGTTCCCACTCTTCCTCTGCTAAATCAAAATGGCGATCAAATTTCCAGTCCAAGCATAAAGGAAAAGTCAGTAGAAGATAAAAAGGAAAATAATCAAAAAGGAGTAACTGGTACACCTACATGTACGAATTGTCAAACTCATACTACTCCTTTATGGCGTCGCAGTCCTGATGGTCAGCCATTATGTAATGCATGTGGCCTGTTTATGAAAATTAATGGTGTAGTTCGTCCTTTGAGCTTGAAGACTGATGTTATAAAGAAGAGGAATCGTGGAGCTGGAAGCAATGCTAGTGCTCCTGCTTCGCGATCTGCGAGTACCCGAAAATCGGCACCCCGAAAAGGCAGTTTTAAATCATCAACCTCTAACAAAGTTAACCCGAAAGAAGAATCAAAGACTAGAGCAACTAGTATTCAAAACTTTTCGCCCAGTTTTACGCAACAACCTGAAAATCATGACGATGGTTTGATGGTGGACACAAAGTCGTCAGTAGAGAACCCAGCTGTGAAAGATCCAGCTTTGGGACCACCTTCAAGTATGTTATCTCCTGAGTTTGTGCAAAATTCTAGTGATTTCGGACTCTCGTTTAACGAGGATATTTCTTCTACAGGTCATATGCGTGAATCCTCGGTGGGAAATATCAAGTCGGAATCTTCCAAGGCTGTAAGTTCTCCGTTGTTTGATACGTTCGATACTGATTTAGGAATGCCTTCAATTAGTGAGCCACAAACGATTGAAGTTGACTCTTCTGACTTGAACAGGGTTTCCAAGTCATCATGGGATTGGTATAGTGTCATGTAAGTTGTGCGAGAAAGTAATTTCGCCGATATTTTGTTTGACGTATGCCTTTTCTTAATTTTGTATTATGTACAGTCAAACGTTCTTTTAATTTCTTATCGGTCTTGTCTTTAGATGGACTTAATTTGATTTCATCGTTCCCGATGAATTTTTATTGTACATGTTTAGCATATTTAATCACTACCTTTTTAATTGCTGAGTTGTTTTGACTAAGTTTAATTGCTGCGCCAAACTTATTTTTGAAGCAGTCCGGCGACGACGAAATTTGAGAAATATGTTTGAGTAATGGAGCGTGTTAATCCATTTAACATAGAGGTCCGAGATTTCTGCAAGCTAGAATAGACCTGTTTTATTTTGTTTTCCCTTCTTTGTTTAATGCTTTGTTTTAGCTGTGAAGGCTTTGTAATTTGTGACGGACTGACAATTATTTTCTAGTTCGAATAAAAAAATGAATACATATATCAAGTTTAGTTTGCTTTTTTCCCTTATAATTTGTTGTTGGTAGCTCAGGAAGAAAGCTCGTTTTTCAGTAATCTGTGAGATATGTAACTTTTGACGAAGTCAAAACAAACCGGTCGAATAAAGAAAAGTGCATCAGTTGATTATATATTAAAATTACAAATTAACTATTTATAAAGGAGTATTTTCAATGAGTGTGAATTCAATTGGAGAGAGAAAGAGAGAGGAGGGAGGTTAAAAAGAACATGCCAAGTTGTAAGCCTGATACGGTTATTATAAAGAAACTAAGTGAAAGCTGTTAGCGAATTTTTAGTTAAAATATTTAGTATCTGAAGAGAAAAGGAAATTCACGAAGTCAGAAACATACAAATATAAGTATAAGTAAAAATAAATTCAACTAACTTTTATATTTAATTGAAAGTTGTGGTAACGTACTAATAGTCTTTGTCTTATTCAGTCCCCCTTTTGCTACATTCACATACGCACCTACCTACTACCAAACACTGAACACTTCATAACAGAGTAAATAATTTGGAAGTTGAGCGATTTGTCGCTCCAAGTTTAATTATACTGACTTTCACTCTCTTTTAACACATTGTATGAAGTTTTTGCAGTCAAGAAGGTAGATTTTGGGCTGTAGTTGAATGCTTAAAATCAACGATTGTAAATACTAGAAACGTCAATCCGAACTTCAAAAAGCTTTTTAATTGGAGATTTAAAAGAAAAAGTTATTCTATTTATTTTTACATACATTCATTCTTTCGTAAGCATTTTGTGCTATCCTTCTCGTTCCTTTGCATCAACACTGAAAAAAATAATCGCGTATAATGTCAATGGATTCAAAACTTCGGGTTTTAAGCGGTATGTAAAAGATATCTTTGTTAATAAAAATGACAACGGAACTATGGAGTCGCTTTTTACTATCTGAATTACAATATACTAACCGAATGCTGCAGTTGGTAGCAACGCAATTTCTGCTTTTATAGGCTGGCGGTTATCAGAAAGTAAGGCTTGTCATACAAGTCTTGTTTGGCGTAATCGAAGTGAAAGCGTCATGTCTGAGGGCATCCGTATCCGTTCCAGTGTATTTGGTTCAACTAAATGGAAGCCTGATGTTGGTACGTCTTTATAAGCGCTTATCTTTGTTTGATGCGCTAGTGCCGTTGTTCTAATTACTAATGTGTTTTTTTTAAGTCGTGCCTACGATTGAGCAGCTCGTAACAAATAACGAACCTTTCGATTATGTATTTGTGTGCCTAAAAATAATTCCTTCTGTTTATGACCTTGGTACTGCTATAAAAGATGTTGTTACCCCTGGTCATACCTGTGTTGTATTAAATACTACCGGAATTGTTGGTGTCGAAAAAGCTTTACAAGATACGTTTCCGAATAATTCTATTATCTCTTTCGTTATTCCGGACCAATTTGCTCAAAGAGGACCAATGCAGTTTGAGCATACTGCATTCGCTGCCGATACTGCTAGCAGCGTCATGTATTTAGGATTAACTGACGAGGAAGATGAAATTCCAGACTCAGTTCAGGACGCTATGATTGAAACACTAACGTTAACTCTGGAAGCAGGCGGTGTATCCTGTTCATTTTTACCTAAAATACAACAAAAACAGTGGGAAACAGGAATTGGCCATATGGCCTTTTTTCCTATTTCCATTCTAAATGACGAACCAAATTTGTCTTTAATATATAAAGCCAGTTCTTTTGTAAAAGTCATTGATGGTATTATGAACGAAGCTTTGTCCACTGCCGTGATGCAGGGTTGTGATTTTCCTCTGGAAAAACAAGATTCATTGAAACGATTTATAGTAAATCGAATGTTAGCAGCTCCTCGTCCCTCATATATATATCAGGACTATCTAGCTCATCGCCCTTTGGAAGTAGAGGTGTTGTTAGGATACCCCGTTCAAATTGCCAATCAATATAAAGTATCAGTGCCATATATGGAAACCATTTTTGCATTGTTTGAAGCGAAAGCTAAAAAGAACCTTACTTCCGCTCCAGCTGTCCCTCATCCAATCCCAGCTGTCGCCTCTAGTCGAATATCACCAGTTGGTTTAACTTCTCGATCTCCGTCTCGCTCTACCGTCGGTACGTCGACTAGAATGAGTAGTGTGGATGATCTCATGAACAAGCGACAGTTTGCCTCTTCACCAGCTTCGCAAGCGCCCTCTACTCGATCAATGTATAAGATTCCAAGTGCATCCATGGTAAATTTGTCTTCACCCGTTGTCACATCATCAGCAGACCTTGGAGGAAGAGCAATGCCAACGCGATTTACGGGAAGAAATATGCGTGGAAGCCCGTTTACCATGAACAAAGCTGGATCGGTGTCAGATATTCTAAGTATGTCGGATGGATTGGTCCCTAATGATCCTAGTGAAACTGCGTCAGTTGCAGGAGGGGCACCTTCTTTTGATATGCTGACATTGACGCAACGAAGGAATCGTAGAAACTCACAGATGTCCTCATCTTCCATGGGTCTTCCATCGAGCGCTCCGTCTTCGGGTGATCGCCGTTATACTTGGACTGGCCGTCCACCACCACCCAACAAAGGTAAGTGATAGAATAGAAGTCTATTATTCATTCATAGTCTTGTAATGATTCTAATTACTAACTCGTTCGTTGTAGGCTTTACTGAACCCGTCATTCCAATTTTAGAAGACCCAATGACGGCTTTGTATGATACTAGTCGTTACCCAACGAGACCTCCAGGTAGTAGCGCATCATCAATAAATGGCAAGTCTACTCCTAAAGCATCCCGACCCCCTTCGATTGCATCTACGTCGACTACTCCTCGAAGATTTGGTTAACACAGATTGCTCTTTTGTTCGCTTCTTTCCTAACCTAACCTATCCTAACCCTTCATTATTCATTGTTTAATTGTTATGATACGTTCCTCTTTTACTACTCAATTGCTGTACTATTGTCTTTCATTACTTGCTAATGCATTTTGTTTACAATTTAGTCGTACCCTTCTCTTTGTTTATTTACGCTTCAAGTCACTTGTTCTTTTAACTGTATAAGAAAAATTGCTCTTAAGACATGTCATTCGATTTTAAATAACGAATACGCTGCTCATCGTTATGTCTCATTCAGTATACTCATCTTTCGTCATTGCCAGTTTCAAGTTTCCCAGCGCAAATGCTCTCTTCCTACGAAATTATAATAATATAGTAAGAATGGACGATTTAACATCAACATTGTTGCTTCTTGAACTGCAGCACGAGTTTAGTGGCCTAAAAGTACCTGGTAAGTAGGATTTTCCTGCGCTTCAAGTCATGTCTGTCAATTTCTTTTTGAACGATTTCGAAGTGAGCTTTTTTCTTTGGAGGAATTACGGTTGTTTTAGATATTAATGAATAAGAATGAATCATTTTGCATTTATTTTCTGGACAAAATGGCAGTAGAAAGGAATAATCGGCCATTATACTCAGTTCGGTGGGTAGCAACAAGGAAGAAGGCTAACTGAGTATCTAGGTCGACTAGCGAAGTATGGTCCTCCTTTCAAGCCTAATGAAGAGTTTTCGGATGCGGAAGTCTCTCCGGTGATGAGTTTTATTGTACAAAGCTTCATATTTACACCTACACTGCCAGGTGTCAACAAAGCTAGCAAAGAGTTTTGGAGCGACCAGCTTCAACCCTTGCTGGAAAAAATTGGTAAACATAACCTTTCGGATTCGTATGACCATGGCAGGGTTAGCAAACGAAAAATGATTGGGTTTGCCGTAGTCGTTGTTTTGCACGTACTTGCTAAGGGGATTTTGGGAAAGGCTTCTGTGGATCCTGAAGAGAATGAAAAAAACGAGAATGAAGAAAACGAGAATGAGAATGGGGTTAATTCGGCTCCACCAAGTTCAAATTCGTCCCCTCAGGCCAAAGTTTTAGTGCCTACTGAAAGCGATGCTACAGAGCCAGTACAAAAGACTCTTGCAAACGTAAAGTTGGAAGAAGATTCCAAAAGGATTGAATATCCACAAAAGCAAAAGTTAAGAGAAGCGTACTCCCTTTTCGTTTATGGTGATGGCTTAGACGAAATTATCCGCCGTCTTGGCGAGTCTGAAGACATTAGTAGCTGGGACGAACCCCTTAAATCTTTGGCAAAGAATGTTCGCTATACGATAGCGGCTCTTTTGCATTTTGTTTTTGTTACTGTAGACAGAATCCCCCAATCACCTCATCTTGCAAATAATGGGAAAGGACCAGAAGGAATCGTTGAACGTATATATAACCGCGTTCCATGGTTTTTGACGCGTCAAGTTCTTCGTGTAGGAAATGCTGGCCTTTTGATGTCAGGTCTTACTCGATTATTTTTGATGAAACCTCTCTCATGGTTCGGTGAAAGTCGAAATTTATTGCAGACAATGCTTTCTGGAATTTTTGGTGCTGATTTGGAACACACTGATAATGTTTTGCAAGAAATAGATACACAGTTTAAAGATGATCCGGAGTGGGCACAAATGAGAGAAGCACTTCAATGCTATGCACAGCTCTCGCGAACTCGTCAAGATGAAATTCGTGACCAAAGTATCCAACGCGGTTTGAATATAACCGTTGCTATCCTAAAGGAATATCAGAATGAAAAGAGGTCTTCAAACACGGAAAATACTAGTTCCACAGAGGAAAAATTTGTTTCGGAAGACAATATCGACTCTTCTGAAGTTTATACGGTTCCTCTGTCTAGTGATGGCGAAAAAGATACTAATACATTTGATCCTTTTTCAGAAGTTGGGGTCCAAATGGCAATGAAGTATTTTGACGCTGTTTTGACTCACCGTGATCGTGAATGCCTTATTTATGACTTATGTGAAAATGATCAGTTAACTGATATAGTAAGAGAAGTTATGAACTGTTTTTATACGATTATTTATGATGCTCATCAAGCTGCAGATTTTTCGCAGGCTATTTATGATTTCCAGTGCTTTTTGTATGATCTTATCAACCTTTCAAAGGCTACTGCTCCTTTATCGAGCTTCGTTGAGCTGGTGGAGAAATATCAAAGTTGCTTCCTTCGTTTTGTTCATCGTATAGTAGTTAATGCTCCTGATCTATGTGCCGAATGGTCTGTTTGGTACCGCCATTGCTTAGACCAATGTAACATCAATTCTCAATCGCCGAATGCTGTCAAGGCCAGTCAGGACGCACTGAATTCTTTGGACGATGATATAAAACAGATGGTTTTGCAAGAAATAAAGACTTACGTAAACGATTTAGAAGAAGAAAAGAAAATTTCTATTCAAAATAATGATTGTGCTAGTGAATGGCATTTTCATTTATCCAGATTTTTTGGATCTGCAATCATCACCCCAATTAAAGCTAAAGGTGCTCCGCAGCCACAACTACCCAAGTGCAATTTGAATTTAACAATGACAAAAGAACATTTATTAACCCCTTTCCGTAAGTGTCTCATGCAACAGTTGAATACATTATACGAAAGGAAGAAAACTATGCATTCTACATACTAATAGATATGCTCTTTAAAAGGCTTTTTTATTGGTTTCTTTTGATTTTTTATCCTTAACGCTGTTTGATAAAAGTAATTAGCCTTTTTTTTTAAGCACTTATTCTTGACCCCATATTCATAACTGCAAATAAAATGGATTAAGCATATTACTAATTAAATGGAACGTACATATCTAAGTTTGTAAGAAGGTCTTACCTTTAAGATTTAAAAATAATGAAACTTTTCATTTCGTCAGCATTACCATTATTTTACAGCATTCCAAGTTGAGAAGAACTTTGCTTAAGGAGGCCGAAAATCGTTACGATGCGGTCATAAAGGAAGAATTCAGTTTAAAAACAATAGAGGTCTTGCTTCGGTTCGATTTCAACTTGATGAAAGGAAGAAAATGGTATGTGTATTAATAGCGCTTTTAACGTTGATATGTGGATTGATACTTCCTTCAGAAGGATTAATCCGAATTGCAAAGCGTCCAGATCATCGCCTTTACACTGCTGAATATACTTCATGCATGCAAGATTCCTTAGTGACTTTCGACAGATTTGATGTGAGTTACTACTCACGCAACTTGTCTATCGTTTTAAATATCGAGGGTTATTCTAACATAGATGCAAATGTAACCTTTGAAATAACGGTTGATGCCTATGGTAGCCAACGTGCTAGATTCACGTTTGATCCATGTGATATGAACTTAGGAAATATTTGCCCATTGACAAAAAATTCAAGGATTGGAGCTCATGGTGTCCTTCCAGTTAGCCTTCAGGATGTCAAAATGGTTCCAAATCTAGCTTGGACGATTCCTGATTTTGAAGGATTTATCAATTTTAGGATGTATCGTTCAGAGGATTTAGAAAACTCTTCTATAAATAAGGCGAATCCTCTTTCATGTGCCATGGCATCCTTAAATAATGGTCACACGTTTCAAAACAGAGTAATTTTGGCACTTTCAATTGTTTCTTTTTTTTTGGCCATTGCCGGTTTCCTCGGTTTTTATCTGATCGGCATGGAGCACAGCATTTATATGTTACGGCCTGTAATTACAAACTCCATGCCATCAATCCAATATATAACAGACCTTTTACAGTGTATCGTGCTTACTGCAGCTGTAGGAGTCAAACAACCAAAAGTTTTGGTATCATGGGCTAGTAATTTTGCATGGATTATAGGACTGATTCCAAACGGACAGCTCGACAATAGTATAGATTCTCTTCGAAAGCATTCTGGTGGTAAACTAAATTCACATCAGGACGGTATACATTGTCGCACCACTACTGCATCGAACCCGGAAGATTCAATCGTCGGTACATATTCCGGACTGGTAGGGTTAGCGAATAGACTTCATACCTGTTCCACGAATTTGTTTACACTTTCGCTGATATGGTTTGCAATTTCAATTGGGATTATCGGGGGGATTGTGATCGGTTTCGTTTGTATCATCCCGCTCTTACGAAAATCTCAAGTAATTTGTCCCTCTTCTTGCATGTATGAGTTGAAGTATTGGAAAAGACTCCTTTTTAATGCACTTATGAAATGGGTATGTTCTTTATATATGCTAACCGGCTTCTAACATGTATCATAGGTTTTTATTTGCTTTCCGGTCCTGATTGTGTTAGCTGTTTTCCAATTTACATTATCAGATGCATATGGACCCATAATTCTCGCGGCTACGTTGCTTGCCTTGTTTGCAGGACTATTTGCTTGGTGTTTATTCGAGGTAGCCAATGCAATCCATACCAATCGGTTTCTAACAAAAGGTTCAAAGGGAACGATCAATGACCCACATGTATTTACATGGTGGGGTTGGATGTATTTGAACTTGAAGGATCGCCATTGGTATTTCTTCATAGTACGCCTTGTACTAGTCGCCATTTCAGGTCTCCTATTAGCATTTCTTCAAAACTATGGAAAAGTCCAATCCATCATTCTCTTCGCAATTGAGGTGGTTGCAATTAGTTTATTAATTGGACTTCGCCCCTACTTTGGAACTTGCAGCATGATGTGCGCGCTTTTGATTAACGGAACACGCCTTATATCTATGGTTTTGTTAATTCCCATGGCATTTGATATAAATATCATCCGTAAAGTAATAATTGGAATTTTGATTATCATCATCCAGGGACTCGTATTTTCTGTGCTAACGATTTGGGGATTTTTGAATTTCTTGAGTATGATTGGAACATTATGGCCTGCAATCAAATATCAATCAAAATGGCTTGGTCAAATAATTCAGCAAAATGAACAAGATACTCAACCTGCTATGGGTGATCACAAAGTATACGAGAAAGAAGATCCAGCATTCAGTTCGTTCATGCTGGAAAATGTTTCTTCTGAAAGAGTTAAAGAAGATCCTGAGCTAAAAAATGGAAATGACCTTTCAAAAGCAACAGAAGAATCCTCAATACGCATACCAATGCCTATGCATCCATCACCAACATCCTCATATTGTTTTTCGGATTTTAGCGAAATCCAGCGAACTCCAATAGACTTTTACAAAACACCCTAACGTCCGTTCGATTAAATTACCGTTGCATATCAAAGCGCCCAAATTATTTTTTAGCACCAAAAAGGCATCCATAAACAAAAGACGGAGAAGGAAAAAAAATGATTGAGTTAGACACTATTAATCCAAATAACCTGAAGGTTTTAGAGGTAATTAATCAAAATACGATTCCAGAAGGTGTTCGCTCGTTTTCTCCTCAGTATTATAAAGAAACAGTGCAAGTTGGATCCTTAGCACAATATGCGTATTTCAACAACGTTTGCGTAGGAGCTGTTCGATGCAAGAAGGAGACTCATAATAAAAGCAGTAAAGTGCAAATTCTTTCTTTGGGCGTGTTGCCAGCATACCGCAAGTATGGTGCGGGAACTAAACTTTTGGAGCATGCCGTTAATACCGCTAAGGATATTGGATCGAAGGAGATTTACGTTCAATTACCTCAGAAGTTGAATGCTAAAGATTGGTTTTTACGCCGAGGATTCACAGAATTGAGTGAGTCCAGCAACGAAGACACAGCCGTTCTTAACCATCCTCTGTACTGAAGCAGTTTTTCTTTCCCATCAAAGGAAAGAAGAACAAAATAAAATATAAAAGGAGAAGAAATTAACTTTCTTATGTCTTTTGGTTTCACCAACTCTTGTTTTCTGTCCTTGTCAAGTTCGAATGTAATAATATACCGATAAACCAAAACCGAGTGGTATTTCGCCGGTAATCTTCATTTCAAAAACAGGAAACAAAAAAGAACTACAATTTCTGGGATCTGAGTGATTTCATTCCTTCCTACCTTTGTCAGCAAGGAATAGACCATGCAAATTTTCTGCACGAAAGCGAATGCTAATAAATAAAATGTATTTGTAACATAAAACATGGACAATTGTTATCATCCCAACTCATTATAAATTCATCCGGACCGCTTCATCTTCAATAGAATCAATCGACTTAATAAGTATTAATTCCATCAAAATTCCTCATCGTCATCGCAATACTGAGAGACCAGGGATGGAGGATGCATTGCATTGTTTGTTTTTTCATACAGTTTGAGTTCAGCTTCTGTAATAGCAAAAGTATTCAACCAATCCTTATCAGATAGAAGTTCATTGTATGAAGCTAAAAAAGCAGCTTGAATCATGGTTATCTGAAAGGATTGCTTACCAATGTCGTTATCCTTATCCAATGGATCTTCTATGGATAACAAAGTTGGTTTAGCTTCATCGTACCATCCTTTTTGTAACTTTGGCACGATCTGTCCAGTCAATGGACGCAAAACGAAAAGCTCATAGCACCATTCAGCGCCCCAAAATTGAAAAAAAGATTGTAATAGAGATCGTAAAGGTCGCTCTTTCGATGATATATCCTTTTTGTGGTATCGCATTTCAAGCCACCCGATTAGCATGTAAGAGAGTGCACAGCTGCTAATTCCACCAAGATGAACACAATCGAGATCTCTTTCATAAGTCCAATGTTTTAACAACATCAGTAATGTTCCATACTCGGGGTTTTTCCTACAATAGGTGGACTGTAATTCAGCACTAAGGCAGGCGTTTTCATTTGCAAATGTCAAGTCTATGGCAATACCGCTCACATCGTGTAAGTAGACGCGTGGAACTCGTGCACTAAAATGGAACTCTGTATTAGGATCCATATATGTACGCAAAAACATCGTAACACGTCGTTTGTCCATTTCGCCAACAGCGGGACTCTTTAAAGACAAGTCGATATCACTAATGTTTAAAGAAAGTCCAGTATATAAGCTTCCATATTCTTGCAGTTCTGGGTTCGAAAGAACTCTCTGCAAATAGTCCTGAAGCTTCTGTACGATTTGCTTTCGATACTCTAACTCTGTGGGTTTCGGTCGTATAAAGTCCAAAAAAGACAGTATTCGCTCATTATCATTCAACCCTTCTTTTTCCCATGGAACTGGTTGTAGGTTTAACAACAAACGACCCATTCCTTTAGGAATGAATCTTTTTGCTTAGACGTGATATTGCACCCGAGTTTTGTTTTAGGTGACGACAGTGTAAGAGTGAGATTGAATGTAAACAGAGGATGTAAAAATACACCAGAAAGAAAAAAAAAAAACCTAAGTATTGCTTTCAAGTTAAATAGTAAAGTATGCTACCAGGTCTCCGAAGGACTGTCGTACAGCTCGACTGAGAGAGCTCGGTCATTTAAAAGTTAATGAAGAATAATGTCAGGCAGAACAGATTTTGAAAATGACTTATGAAATGAAATCTTAAGATTATTGTTAAGAACTAGTAGCTTTATTCAATAGCCTCAGTATAGATACGGAGACAAGTCTATCATAATTAGATGTGTTTTATTCTTTTCAGGTTTATCGTCATATTTCAATAAGAATAGTGCTCATTGAACGAAAAAGAGCTTACATTCAGAATCAGCAAATCGCCATTATACATATCGTTTGCTCATGAAAACCGAAGTTGTAGACGAGGGCTTAGGGTCATAAAGCTCCACCAAGTTCTTGATAAAACTTACTCATTTCGTTGTCTGGATCTTGATTTTGTTTCTTTTCAGCATGATTTTGAGCGACTGCCGATTCATCTTCCCTAGACTTGCGCTTTTGACTGCGCACAGCTGCGGGGAGAAACTGAGTAGCTTCCTTTCGAAGATCGCGAACAATTGGCTGAGCAGAATACTCTGTAACCACATCTTCTATTTGAGCCTCAGCTTTATGGGAATCTTCTGCTTCTGCGGTATTCGATGGTTCATTAATTGGGGTTGCCGCTGTCGATGGGGGTTCATCTCGCCGTCTTCCAATGTTACGTACCTTGTTCTTATCCTTCTTCTTCTTTTCTACAAAAGGGTATTCTCCTTCTGGCATAGGAATATCAATTACGGATTCATCTGTCTCTGAGCTTTCTTCTTCTTTCTCGCGATATGGCATTCCCGGAGGAGGTACGCCATACGGATTAAACACTGGATCATAATAAGCACTTTTCTTTGGATTTTTGGGAATAAATGGACGTCTAGGCTTGAACTTTCGCTCTTCTTCCTTTGTTTTTTCAGACTCGATCCTACCCACCGAATGACCATGTATATTTTTCTTTCGTATGACCGCCAAATCCTTTTGTAAGTTTTGTAAAATTTGCTTATCATGAGCATTAAGACCTTGGGATCCTTCTAACGCAGTCAATTCCGATATTTGACGCTCCAGTTGTCCGACATTTCTATGTGATAGTTTTTCTTCATAGCGCCTGGCTCGTTCTTCACGCAGCTTGTTTTGCTCCCTTTTCTTCTTCTTTTTTGTTTCTGCTTGGACCGGATTATACCCGCGTTTAGACAACATTTTTCTGTTTTTGAAGAGTTGCCTTTTTCCAGGTAATGGTTTATCACCACACCAACGTTCACATCATCAGAACTTCTGTTGTCGAGTACATGATAAAACTTGATTTTTAAAGCTCTTTATATTGAAGTATATATTGGCTACATGATATATTTTAGGAATTTACATTCCTTGTTCCCTCGATATTGTTGCACAGCTTTTCAAAATTTACATAAGTGTTAGACCACATCAGAACAATTTACACTAGAAGTAAAATAATTCACAGTCTTTACAGGATATATAGTGTTAATCCTTAAGTAAAAGGATTTTGGACAATGGTACAATACATCTTGCATATAAATATTCAAAAATATCAAACGTTCTTTTATTTAAGTTTTTACCCCAATTATAAACATCAGTAAATATACAGAGGTTGTATTAATAGCAACTATAAACAAATGGATTTACATATTAATAGATGTAGCCATATTAACGAACCAAGTTCTTCATTAAAAGTCTCAGGTTGGCAGATACAATGGCGGTTCCTCTACCACCAAACTAAATGACCAAAATTCATAGAACGGCCAGTAAATAAACACTAGCTCACGAACTATATCGGCCTCAGAGAGTGGTGGAGTTGCTAAAGTCAATTTCCTCACAACAGACCGTTTTGTAATTTTTTTAAAAACAAGTCACACTTTAAGCGAACCTTATCCCAGTTTTACGTTATCTTATCTTGGCTCGAATGCGATCTTCAGAATCTATATGTACATGTTACGTTCTCTGGGTTCAATGAGACCTTGAATTTGACGTTGCTACTTGCATAGCATGTTGTAAAAATCCTGAGGCTCCATGGTTTTCGTCTATTAATTTTTTGAGAACTTCAGTAGGAAATTCTGTATCGTTGGATGAAGCATTTTGTTTTGAAGATCGTCCAATCAAGGCATAATTTCGAGTACTGGGAATTCGTAAAGGTTCAATTTCGATATTCCAGTCAAACCGTTCGGAAATTTGGCGGATCCATTCAATGTACATAGCATAACGGCCCCCGTGCTTCTTGTCTCGAGGTTTCGGAAGGGACCAAGATATCTTTGCGCCTGTCAAATCATGAACGCAGCACGGTATTGACATGAAGGAAGAATTTTTATTTAAACGGGCCAATATCGGAATGTAGGGTGTCAATTCATCCGCATGATTACCGATTATAAATGAATTCACAGGGAACCTTCCATCATGGATTGTCAAACTTTCGACGGGTATAAATGGAAGTGGTTGGTCCTCAATTTCTTTAAGAAAAAATGGTACTAGTACTTTTTGAGACAGATTTTCTTGAACGTAATCAGGATATGTTTTCCACGATCGTCTTTCACGAGCGTCAAACCCATAGCCAAGATAGCCTTCCGAAAGAAGAATATGCACTAAAAGCCCATTTCCGCACCCAACGTCAACAAAAGTAAATGATTTCTTTGATGAATACATCTGCTTCCAGAGCTCTATCAAAAAAGCTGCAATGCCCAAATCTTCAAAAACGTGCTTCCCAGGATCCGTTTTCTCAACCCATCCTTCTATCAGTTTTTTTGAGTATTTCCTCTTTAGTTCTACATAAGTATCCTGAAAATTATTCCTTTCAACTACAGTGTCATGCAGCATCCGTTTTTCATAACCTTCCACAGAACCCTTGCAATGTTTGTGTAAAACCATCAAGAGCATATTAGCTGTTCTTTGTAGTCTCGTTGAAATTTCTTTTTGATGTATTGCATTCAATAAATAGGCAACACGAAGTTTGGTAGAGGTGTATTCCAGGGCAACTCCTGCGACTGCTGGATGATAATAGGGTAAGTGATTATACGGTTCCTCCAAAGATAGATCAAGCTTCGGTAAGTACAGTAGAATCCTCTTGTGATCATTGCTTCCCTTCAATAAAATAGTATCTTGCTCCATACAAGCGTCTAATTGTTGATTTCGAGGGATAATTCGACGAACTATACTACGATAGACTTGGTAACTGTCACTTTTAATAACATCCTTGGATTCTTTGCATAGACTCGAATCATTCTGTGAGTCTCGTAAAATGTCCGTCCGCATAATCACGCTACTGGTCCTTTCAGGATGGTACACGAGTTCCATGACCATCTTGTCAAAGATGCTAGCTTCGTAACAAACATCATGTTCCAACACATATCTCCATTGATAAGAATCCAGAGAAGGGATTATAGGATAGTCTGTAACAACAGTATTGTTAAGCTCTGTCGGCTTCCAGAACGCCGGAACCTTCATGCCAATGCTCTAAACCAAAGACGCGAATTGTCTTATTATATTAAAAAAATAATATATGGAGATCTCAAAAAGAAACAAAGCATACAAGTTGTATTTTATCTCAAAAAAAAAGAGGATCTGCAAAAAAAATGAGAAATATGAAGAATTTTTTCAGTGTTTACATGAAGTAACATTGTACCTTGATATTTGAACTGTAAGTTGTTTGACGGCATAAACGATACACTTAGAGACTTTATATATAATTTTTGACAGCATATTCATTTGCTTTTTTGAAGTTTTGTATCCAGTGCTGAAAATGTGACCAAAAAAGGTTGTTGCAGTCAATGTTTTCTTGTGGGTGTAAGCAAAACTGTCTACCTGAAGAACAGAGTAGCAGAGTGCAGATTCAGTGCAGATTTAGAGGAGCATGTACGATATAATTATAATTGACACAGTTGAGGGTAAAAGAACAGAAAGCAGAGTCATAAAGTGAGGGTTATCACAACGCAGAAGCTGAGCAGAGCATCTTGTGGTACTTTACCGTTCTTTCATGAAATCCGCAAGAACACTTCTTTATTGTCATCAGTTCTCAATAGGCAGCATTCGCCCATACTTTTTTAGCAACAAAAAAGTAAACTCCCAAGGCGAGACTCGAACTCGCAACCTTCTGATAACCTGCTTAAGAGTCAGACGCTCTAAACCGATTGAGCTACCCGGGACTTTGCTAGTCCGCAGGTTTCATTAAATATGATATGTGTAATGAATTTTATATCAGCTAGAAATACAGCTGTGTAAATTCAAAACAAAAAGTTGGGCTGTTCTGGGAATCGAACCCAGGACCACCATCACCCTAAGATGGTATCATACCACTAGACCAAACGGCCGAATTGTTATACAGTTGAAAAAAAATATCAATATCCGTAACATTCATCAGAACCAAAATATGCAAACGATGCCCAGTTTACAAGTCTTTCACAAAGGTATGGAGAAATGTCGTTGTCCGCACTTATTTAAAGGTAAGAGCTGTTTCAAATCATGACAGATGGTCTCAATATTCCAAGAGGAGTTGGAATGTTGTACGCTCCAGTAGATTAGGATAGTTTAGCTTCAACAGAACTGATTTAATATCGACAAGATATTTTCAAATTATCTATTTCACAGTTTTATCTTTTGTCTCTCGGTTTCTTCAAAAGGAATTGATAGGATTGAGAGCGCTGTTTTACCTTTCACGATGGAAAATGTTTTAATTCACAAACAAGAGAAATGCTATTAGAATAAGGGATTATGAATGAAATCGTTGAACAAAAAGTAAGAAAGACCAGATTTGGACCATAAACTCAAGAAATAATTCGTAAAAAGAGTGCCTTGGGCTTAAGCGACAAATTCAAGAGTTATCTTATATTCCTTATGAGGCTTCTTCTGGCTTTGGCCGGTTGAGTTTTAGTAATTCTGCTTTTATATCATCGGAAATAGCTTTGGAATGCTTTAACTTCATGCCATAGCTAAACAATGGGCCTTCAGGCGTATGAATGGAAAAAGAGGGAGCTTTCTCATTTGATAACTTGTGGTCAACGTTAAACTTGATATGCTCGTTGTGGTATTTCAAGCTTGGGAGATACTCCTTTACAAATTTTCTAGTATCTAGTTAGTAAATGACAGCAACGTAGAAGAGATGGAGATTCCATCGAAACACTGTCCACAGCAAGAAGCATTCGGAGACAAATTTTGAACTTATTTCAAGCTCAATGAAATCAAATTTCCAATCTCCCTCGCTTTTCAGGAAACATACCTAGCCCCCATATGACCATTTTTACTATTTAGAGAATACTGGACACGCACCTCGACAACATTTTTTGGTAAAGGTAGAGCAAGTTGTCCCGCGCTAACGTTTTCCAAAATGGCCTTGATTTTTGTGAAGGATTTAGGCATTGATTACTGTAATGCTTTAATAACTTCTATTCAATCGAAAGGTGATGCAAATTCCAACTCGTCTGGATTTTGGTGAATTCAAGGAAAGACGCGTTTTGTTTGCGTTCTCGTTCAGGAAATAAATTAATACAGGTAGCATTGATACTTTTTAAGGAAGTTTTACGCACTGCGCTCTGGGTCACTAAATGATTTGTTTAGACTGTAGTATGCTTCGTGTCAAGTTGGCCTTGACCAGACATTCCAATAAAAAATGAATGCAGAAACGCATACAACAATTCGAAATATAAGTAAAAACTCAGTGGATTTTGTTCTCACAAACACTGATTTATCGTAAGTAAAGAAGCGGGAGGGAAAGTACGTTAACAAGTGCCAGAATTGCAAATTCTTTGCGACGCGTCGTTCTCGCAGAGATTCCTACTGTTGGTATGAGATAAAAATAGATCTAGATAAGAACAATTTTTAACAGAAAAAGCAATTGATTTGGTTGAAATCAACGTAAATACGTCTGTTATGCCTGATGAATTTTTAGCACATCGCCTTGGTATGATTCCTTTGAATAGTACCAACATCGATGAACCTCCACCAGTCGGATTGGAATACACAAGAAACTGTGATTGCGATCAGTACTGTGCTAAATGTTCTGTTGAATTGAACTTGAATGCCAAGTGCCTTGGTGAAGGTACTATGGAGGTATATGCAAGAGATCTCGTTGTGTCTTCAAACTCAACACTTGGTCAACCTATTCTCGCAGATCCTAAAGCTAGAGGACCCTTAATTTCTAAGCTTCGCAAGGAGCAAGAAATTTCTCTTCGATGCATTGCGAAAAAGGGTATTGCTAAAGAACATGCTAAGTGGTCACCAACTGCCGCTGTTGCCTTTGAATATGACCCCTGGAATAAATTACGGCATACAGATTACTGGTTTGAAAATGACGCTGACGCTGAATGGCCTAAGAGTAAAAATGCAGATTGGGAAGAACCTCCTCGTGAAGGAGAAGCAATCAATTACCAAGAAGAACCGAGACGGTTTTACATGGAAGTTGAGGGCGTTGGCTCAATCCCTCCCAACGAAATTATGGTTCAAGGTTTGCGGGTTTTACAAGAGAAGCTTGCGGTTTTGGTTCGTGATTTAGATGAAGAACAACCTGCTCAAATGACTGCTAATGAGATCCCCATGGATGAGAATCCGGAAATGAATTGGTCTCCTTATCAAAATGGAGGAGATGCTGCTTGGTAGTTTTACGATAAGAGAAGGCACACCTCAATTATCTCATTTCTACACTAACGTTTGTAGAAATTTCAGATGCAGGACTTGTATTATTATTTTTGACTTTTTATAAAATGTTTAATAAAAAGCTTGGACGCTTTAACTCATTTAATATTTCCCTCTTTTTTAGCCTTTGTTACTCCTTAGACTAACACTTTTTTTGGTTTCCTTCTTTGGAAATTTATTAGATAGCAATTCACATGGATACCCTATTTTCGTCTTATCTAAATTCGAATATATATCGGTCTTGCTGTTGTTCATTCATATACTTTATGGGTTGAGTGGGATACATAATAAACACATGGCGCACCATACAGCATGCTTTACATTGTTCCTGCTTTTTACAGACGGTAACATTTCTACATATTCTCTGTGTTTGTACTTGAATTACATTTGAAAATAGAATCTATGCTATTGAAATTTAAAATGAACTTCGAACATGTACTTTTATCAACTCTATATTATTATTGCATTGAAACTTCCTAACACTGAGCTTTTTTATTTTTATAACGTACTCATTCTTTACCTCATTGCTAGTATTTACTCATTTTGCGACTTCGCGTAAAGTTTTTCTGCTTCGTCAATTGCTGTAACGTTAGACCTGAGTTTATTGATAGTCTCAATATACTCAGCTTGCTCATCAGAATCAAACACGATGCCGCCGCCGGCTTGCAAATGTAAAACTCCATCCTTGTATACCATGGTACGAATAGCAATGCAAGTGTCCATTTGATCCTCTTTGTATCCCCAATGACCAACGGCACCAGCATATATACCACGCTTTTCCTTTTCTAAGCCAGCAACTAGTTGAATCGCACGCACTTTGGGAGATCCACTAACAGTTCCTGCAGGGAATATACTACGGAAGGCATCAAATCTGGTTTTTCCTTCTCTGAGCACGCCAGAAACCTGAGAAACCAAGTGCTGAACATGAGAAAACTTCTCAATTGTCATCAATCGATCAACATGAGTAGTATCCAAATTACATACGCGGTTTACATCGTTTCTTGCAAGATCTACAAGCATAACATGTTCTGCACGATCTTTAACACTGGAAAGCAACTCATTTGCAAGAGCTTCATCTTGTTCTTGAGTCTTTCCTCGAGGAACAGTACCGGCAATAGGATGGTTGATAATGCGGCCATCTTCCGATTTGACCAAGAGCTCAGGAGAGGCACCAATAATATCAAACTCATCACAATTAAGATAAAACATATAAGGAGAAGGATTGACAGTACGCAAGTGACGATACAAATTGAAGGGATGTAAGTCAGTAGGCCGAGAAAGACGCTGACTAGGAACGGCTTGGAATATATCACCTTGATGAATATGCTTTTTCAAAGTAGAAACAAAATTCTTGTAGCCTTCTTCGCCAGTGTTCGATTTGGCTTCATATCCAAGATGGATGTTTTTTTGTGGAGGTAGAGGAATTTCTGAAGCATCAAGTTTCTTGTGAATCATATTGATCTTGAACATTGCGGCTTCATAAGCTTCTTCGACAGGCCTTCCTTGATCGATGCAGATATGAGAGATGATTTTGACAGTTTGATAGGCATGATCAAAGGCAATCAAATCATCCGTCATGAAGAAAAGAGCCTCTGGTAAATTAAGAGTGTCTTGAGCAGGTACATTGGTAGTAGGTTCAAAGTACTTGATACAGTCATAAGAAACATAACCAACTGCACCACCACTAAAAGAAGGAAGACCTGGGACAGGAGCAACCTTTACCTCTTTCAACTCACGTTCGAGACGAGCTAAAGGATCTTCAAATCCATTGGCCATGAGCACTCTGTATGGACTACCAATGAAGCTATAACGAGACACATTTTCTCCCTGAGAAACACTTTCCAAAATGTAAGAATAGCGCTTGCCCTGAGAAAGCTTTAAATAGGCAATGGATGGAGTAAGCAAATCAGCAGGAATAACACCATAAATGGGAACCTTGGTAGCATTGTGTTCTTTAACAAGTTGCTCCGCTTGCTCTAAACTAGGGTAAATCTAACACGTGAATGTTAGTAAGACCATTCGCAATGCTAGATTGTTTTTTTTTTTTAAGAAGACACAAATATCCCAAGCCCTTTCATGTATAAAGTCAAGTGGTGAAATAGACAGTGGACGAAAGATACCGATCGAAACAAATAGTTCCGCCGGACTTCTATCGCTTTGGCTCTTGGCCATGAAAAGTTGAATAGATCCTTACCTTCATTGTATAACTAAAAGAAATTCCAAAACTGTACGAGAGAACGAGGTTTCGTCAAAAATAAACCCTTTACCAAAAAGTGCCTGAAATTTTTCCTGTAAAGAAGAAATGTTCAGCAAGAGCGAAAAAAAAATAAAAAAAGAAATAAAAGCGAGAAAATGCCCTGTAGAAGTAGCAAGTCCAATTGCTTAAAATGAGATTTGAAGAAGACAACTGACAAATCCAATGGTGTATTGCAGTAAATCACTCCTTAGAGTTCTCTATCCATGAGATGCATTGTTCATGTCTTAGTATGATATATGGGAAGAAATCGCTTCAGAGACTGTAAAGATCTTACAAAAATGCAAAGGAAGCTATTCATTCAAGAGCTTTCAATGACCACGGCGTTTTCTTTGGCTTTCTCTCGGATTGGAAGAGTGAATGAGAACGCAATTACGCCTTGAGTAAGATGATACTAGCTTTCGTGTGACGGGTAAGAAAGGAAACAGAAGTTCAGCATATGTTTTGCTTTTTTTATTCAGTACATTCCATTTACTTTCAGCATCTCTTGATTCTAGCTTACTGTTCTTCAATTACTTACTACCGAAGCACAAGGAAGTTTCCTTAGTAAACAATGGAGAATGAAAAACAATAAGAACGTATTGGCAAAAGCAAGTGCAACCGGTTTATGAAGATAGAATAAACGAAGGATGTGGATGGTGATGATGATGAGCATGACGATGAGGATAAGGAGAACCTGTATTCAGTGGATAGAAGTTGAAGCCCTTCGACCCAGTTGAAAGAAATGCAAGTGTGGCTGCCAATTGGATCCTGTGAAATGTTCTTTCTTAAAAAATAGTGTCATTTTTAGAATTGCAAACTTTAGAATCCTCTTCTATTTTGAAACATCCAAAAGTTCCAGGATGCAGACTGAGTTCACAGCCAAGCAGATCAACTTGTATCGGATAGGAACGACTTGAGATGTACAGAGGAGCTAAAGATTCCATCTTTTCTTGTTTTCTTTCTAAAGAAGAATTTAATAACGAACCCTCTGTTCCTACCTTTTTAAAGCAAGAGCGAGGTGCACAAGTCCTCTTCGTTTCACTCGGAATAAAGGAAGAAAACCAAAGAACTTAACAATCTCGTCTCAGAATTTCTGTCTTGGAGAAGCTTTGATCTATGTATGGGTATCCCGGTACGGAAATCAACAGCTCGTTCTTGAAAACAAAAAATACGAAAACATAAAGGATTTTTTAACGTGGAATAAAAGAAAATCAACAAGAGTTTTCGAAAGGTTCTTTTTTATCCTCAACACCCTTATTGTGTAGGCTTCTGCCTTGACCAACCTATCCTCTGCTAACTCCCCCTTCAACTCTTCTCTAAGAAAAACAAGATGGCTGAACAAGAAGAACAAGAAACTCCTCAAAGATTCACCTTTGGAACTGGTAAGACTTTTGTTAGGCTATTAAATTGATTTCTAACTTGGTGTTTAGTTGGTTTTGATGCAAGGTATATCTAATGTTAGAAAACACTTGAAGTTTGGAATGGAAATGACTAAACAGGACGTTTGTTTTAGATTCCCCAATACAAATCAAACGAAGCGTATGTCTTGATTGATTTAGAATGGTTAAGAGGCCGGATACGAAACGTTGAAGATACTTCCGCCCTTTTGCAGAATAGTAGAATACTAACTAACTCTTCAAATAGACTGCTTCCAAAATTACATTGATTATCATCGTTGCATTAACGCTAAGGGTGAGGACTTTGTCCCTTGTAAGCAATTTTGGCATGCTTTCCAATCCTTATGTCCTATGGGTATGTGAGAACGACTTCATTTTTTAATAATTCAAGCTATGTGCGGATAATTAACATGGATTTAGACTGGGTTGAGCGTTGGGATGAGCAGCGTGATAACGGTATTTTTCCTGTCGATTTGTAAATGAAATGACAATGTTGTTCGAAAGTACACCTTGGTAATGATGAGAGAACCGAATTTTTTGATAAAAAAAACGAAAAAAATTTCGAGCTTTTTTGTGCACTGTATAACGAAAGCATTTTCTATCAACAATCTCTTCTACATTTACCAAGGAGAAGAACCTTGCTACTCTCTTTGTCAAGAACTCCCCTTTCATTAGTCTATCAATTTTAGCTTAATGAATATCCTGAATATGATATTCAACACTTCTTTATACAAACTTCATTGAAAATCTGTGTAGTGATTGATTGATACAGCTTAGTCATACGTAGGCTAAGAGGTTTGTAATCTACGCAAATTGTAATCTTTGTTTGTCTACCATTATTATAAAAGCTTACTGATCGACTTGTTTATTGTTTCTTTCATGTATATTCGCTCGACTCACTAGAGACCATTTTATCACTCAACAATGCGAGTTAATTTTCTTTACGAAAGAATCCTCTAGAAAAAATATCCAACATTTAGTTTCCAGTATTGTGGCTATTCTTACAATTGGTAAGCAAACGCCTCTATCCTTCCACCATAGCTTAGTCATTCAAGTGTTACATTCCTTTAATATATCTCTTGTACTTTTGCTTGTATATTGAAGGTTTGCAAAATTTTTTGAAGAATAGAATTCATCCAACAGTGTAAATTTGTTTCTATACACTTGCTTTTCAAGTATGGAATTGCGATTTACGTACGCAGGAAATGTCACTTCACTTTCTTTTCATGAAGAAGATACTATTTGGTCAGCAAAAGAAAAATTGAGCCAGGAAATAGGATTTTCGCCAGATCAAATCAAGCTTCTTTATAAAGGGTCATTGTCAAACGAATCCAAGTTGCAAGATGTTGTCAAAGACAAGGCAAAAATTATGACCATTGTAAATAAAAATGCAAACTTGATCAACGAGACTATATCGCAACTCAATTCTCCTAGAAAAAATGTTGCCAGTTCTTATGCTTTGAAGCCAAAGAAACCTCGGTCGTCCCCTAAACAAGCATCCCCATACACATTCAATCAACTCCATGTGCTTGATTATCCTTTTAAAGACAGAGCTTTGAAATACCTTGAACGTCTGCGTGATGATGCCGGTATTCAACGAATTATGAATTCACATCAATGGACAGTCTCTCTGCTAACTGAAATGGATCCCGCAGAGCATACCCAACATGACTCGAAAACATTGGGTTTGAACCATAACCATGGTGCCCATATTGAACTTCGATTGCGGACAGATCAGTATGATGGGTTTCGAGACTACAAAACTGTGAAAAGCACACTTATTCACGAGTTGTCACACAATGTTCATGGAGAACATGATGCTTCTTTCTGGGAGCTCTTCCGACAACTTACCAACGAAGCAGATGCCGCTGACGTTATGTCAAAACCAGGTCGTTATGTGAGTGAACAAGCAACTTATACTCCTCAAATCGATGAAGCTACGGACGAAGATCAGAGAGACCACAAGAGAGATTTGCTATTAGCAGCAGCAGAACGAAGAAAAAATGCAAAAAATTAACTATTTTAAAGAATCCCTCCCGTGTGTTTTATGATTTTACAAAAAGAATGACATGTATAGATAGGATCGGTTACTAGTTGTTACTACTTCAATGAATAGATGATATATGGACAGATGGGCTTATGTATGTTAAACAAATATATAATAGATCAAAGCTTTCAATTGAGAATAGAGGGAATCGTAAATCTATCATATCATGGAAAATAAAGCTCAAGATAAAGCTACGCAAGCAACGTATCTCGAACATTCCTGAGCCACCCCATCAAGAAAAATAAAACGCATAAAGATATGATGCTACATAAGAGTCCCAACACGAAACGCCTTCAAACAAATGAAGAACAACAACAAAGTTGAAAGGACTAGGATCCTTATCCGGCATGAATTCATATACAGGTTGACTAGTGCAATTAGAAAGGATGTGTAGAGCAGGAAACGGAGAAGGAGAATGTAGGGTAATAGCGTCAATGCAAGCGGCGAAAGCGTAAGAGATTTTTTTATTAAGAAGAATCAAACAAAGGAAAGGCTTCAAAGAGGATACACCACGTTTATACTTGATCGAGGTAATCACGGATTTCAGATTCAGTCAATCTGTAAAAATGACCACCAGGGACACCCTCAATACCGCTTTCAGTGGGTCTGTTGGCGGCGATAGCTATTTCAATGCTGTCTTCATTTAACTCGCCTTCAAACGTTTCTTTCAAGGCAAGAATAGCAGTATGGACAGCATCATCCAATTCAATCTCATTGTTGTAGCGTTTCTCTAAAAAGGTCTTAGCAGCTGTAGAAGACTTGCCAATGGCCGTAGCTTTCCAAGCAAAGTAAGTGCCAGAGGGATCAACTTGGTACAAAGCAGGGCCGTTTTCGTCCATTCCGGCAACTAAAAGACTGACACCAAAGGGACGAACACCACCAGATTGAGTTGACTCTTGCATCACAGAAGCAATTTCTTGGACAAGGATTTTCGTGGGTGGGTATGCGTTAAAGACATTTTTGTAAGCAGTTTGGGCGACCTTTCTAGATTTGTCTACAAGAACACGGAAATCAGGACCCATTCCACTGTAAACCTGTTGAACAACATGTTAGCAACTATAGATATAGAAAAAAAAAAAAAAGTTTAAACTAATTTTCCATGCAAAATTTATGACTCTTTCATACGAAAACTCACGCAGAGCTCCGTTTAGCTTTTCTGCAAAGAAAAGAATATCCAGTCCTGTCCTTACCATTCCAATATCGGGAGTGATTTTACAAACTTTCTCTAAAGAACTTCCAATAGCCAAATCCGTAGTAGGTTTCTTTTCTGTAGCTAAAACAACTCCATTTGTAGCTAAAACAATGCATTAGCATCCTCTGTCCCATATACACATTGACAAAGTCAAGTAATTCTCATTATAAAGCTCCATAGCTCTTCTACTAAACTGAATATCAAAATTATTTACCTTTGATACCAACTGACGTGACACCAGCATTTACAGCATTCAATGCATATTCAATCTGAACCAGTTTACCGTTAGGGGAAAAGGTAGTCAAGGAAAATGCGTATTTGTCCGACATGTCAAAAAATCGTAAAGATTCCCTTAAAAAGTCTAAATGCGTGAGTTTGGTGAAGGAAGAGTTTTCTGATTTCTTTTGGGGTAAGCCAGAACGTATATCTTCTCCTTCACTTTTCTTTGTTAAATTACATAGCGTACTTTACGGAGCGTTTACGAGTCACCTTGCCCTTCACTAGTAAATAAACTTGTGTAGTGGTAGTTCTGGGGGATAAATCAAAGGAGTATATTTATGTAAGAAAGGATGTTGTGAATGCAATCTTGTTCCTTTGGTCCCTCTGCTCATAGACCTTTAAAATACTTGTCATGGCTGATTGCTTCTTCTCGAAAAGTAGAATTATCCCAAATGGAGTAACGCATGCTTTCATAAACAAGGCTTTTTGTAGTAATTGTATTTTTGTTTATTCATTCACGAACAGCTAAAAAAGAAAAACGACACCAGCAGGATTTGAACCTGCGCGCGGAGACCGCAATAGATTTCTAGTCTATCCCTTTAACCACTCAGGCATAGTGTCATATGTTGAAGTTAAAAAAAACAAACCAAATTTATAAAAAATTGTATTTTGTTTACCTCTTTTTATGAAGTTATTTGATCTTGTTTCAGAACATAAGAAAAAAAAACTTAATGTATTGAAGATAAATTTTCTATATATTTAAAAATAAACAAGTTACCTTTGGTCAAGGAATGCAACGTTGAGCGATCCTCAAATAAATAAACAAATACAACTAGAAAAGCGGCCTAGCGACAAAGAGCTACTCGATTTGCCCTAGGATACTTTTGGAATTACTTGTGACGTCTCACTTATTGACGAAAACACAATGCTGGATTCCCTGAGAAAAGGACCAACCTGTTTTTAGAAAGAAGCGAATTGTCTTTCATACCCAGATGCAGCTCTTCATCTTTTGGTTAAATCAATTCTACTCGATTCGTTATTGGAACACAGACCCAAAAGCTTGTTGAAGGTCGACAGATTCAATAGCACTATTGAGAGAAATGATTGAGTAAGGAATGCAAGCATCCTTTGAGTCTGTTCTCAATCCCTCCTATCTCATGGTCGTTGCTGAACGGACGAATTCAACACGTACGTAAATAAAAATAGCAGATACGATACAGTCTCTTGCATGTTGCAGTTGCATTTTAGGATAGAAACAAAAATCAAAAGCACAATAACCTTGCAGGAGAAGACTATGAATTAAAAAGGGAATTAAAAAAGGAAAGGACCAGAACAAAAGAAAAGAAAAGAAAATTAGAAAAAAAAAGGGAATCAGAGGAACCGAACTCAAAAAAAGATTGGCGAAAACACCAAGAACAAACAAAAAAATAATCCTTTTTTCTAGAGATGCAAAAGGAATATGGATTTAATGGGACATGAACTTGATGGCCAATAAGAATAACTTTTGATGGAAGTTCAATAGAGGAAAACGGTAACAAAATGACTGGGAAGCAGTTTCGTAAAGCATTTGATACATCCAAGGATACTCGTTTCATCTTTGCTACTCTAAACTGAATTGAGATCCTGTTTAGCATTCCTTCATATGAAGCGAAGCTCGGGAGTTTAGAAAGAATGCTGTTTGGAATGCTTCTGAAATGCATATGTTTGCCTAATCGAAAAGGACCAAAACTCTACCTCAATTTACACCTGTTCAGGATGTATGTTTGTTTACACATCAAGTAAACAAACATGAAACGAGTGTAGAAGACCATCCACAGGAGAATAAAAAGATTAATCTGATATCTTTTAAATGGTAAAAATAAAACAAAAAGAGAAGCCTACAGCACCCCGGATTCCCATGTTGTCTCCAACCATAGTACTAACGAGGCCCTCAGACGCTTAACTGCAGTGATCGGACGGGAACTGGTGTTTTCGCCTAGGTATGGCCGTAGACGTTTCAGACAAATAGGAAAAATAATATATACGTTAGGCTGTATAGGTAACTTTCATCAATATACCTTTCGAAATTTATAGGATTCCTTGTTTACAGCATCAATTGTATTTATTTGCATAGAAACTTTAAAATTAAATTGCTACTTACGTTACTGAGAAAAACGCTGAAACCGCTTTGCCTAACAATGACAATGGTTTCTATGCATCCAAACTATTATCATAAGAACAAAGCGAAAAAGAGAGGGGAAGTGTTATGTATACCAGAAAGATAGAAAAAGATAAAGAATAGATCATAACAGTTGATCATCATACCAGAGGCCATGAACGCATGGCAAGGCAAATTTACCAAGTAGAGGAAAGACTAATGTTTATAAATACGATTTACTAAATCCTGATATTGGTTTTGAGCTAGTTCAGCGTACCTATTCACAGAGGTTTCAGTATTTTGAAGGGTTTGGCGAGTTTGCTGACACAGTTGCTCTCGGCGTTCACGTAACGCAGGGAAGCGGGTCTCAGTAAATACTCCCAACTTTCTTGAAGTCTTTGGAAAACAATAGACAAATGTTCCAGCAGTCGCCAAAGTAGTGACAAGCCAGCGAGTAGGGGCAATCCTATTCCTAGCAAAAATATTTCCTGCCATACCACCAACCGCGACATAGGCAATTCCAGGAAGCTTCCTTTCATCTGAAGAAAAGATTTCTTGCTTAGCGATGGAGAGTGTTTTACGTTCTTTCGACAAAATCCATCCAAATGCGTTCTCCAATTTCAAGCCTGCAAATCCCAATGCACAATAGACCTTGGAACGACCATCATGAATACTATCCGCCAACCAAGGAAGGTCATTTTTCAATTCCTGGTTATTTTCCACTTGTTCTTCTTGGTAATAATACGACATATTTGTAAGTTGGTTTTGGGAATTGTTGGTTCCTTGCCGGAGACAGGAATAGTGTAATAAGAAGACACTATGAAGCTCGGTAAATTCCACTATAGCGTAAATAAATGAAGGAAGAAGAATACAGCTTTATTCATGAAGCATTTATGATAGCAAGAAGAAAAAGAAAGTCAAAGAGGTAAAAAGGTACAAGGTCGAGTTCTTTTTCTACTTTTCTCGTAGGCAAAGGAAGTTACTCTTACAGAATATCCTCAATGGATATTCATAATTTCGTTTGATATGATTTGCTTTCTACAAAGTGCAAAGAATTTCCAAAAGTTCGATAAAGTACTGGTTTTCTATATACATATGGACTTTCCTTCTATTTTAATGTCGAGTATTTCTTTCTACGTAAGAATTGGAATTATCCAAAGCAATATAGCAAGACAAAAGTGTAATCAAAGCAGCTCTTGAATCGATAGTTCTCAATAAAAAATGACTTGAAATGTCTGAAACAATTGCTACACTTCAATTCTTTCAAAAGAAGTACTACGTAAAGATTTGTCATGTTTATTTACTAACGATAAAACAAAGAATACGTTAGTCGATTTATACAATTGTAACGCATTACCCTATACAGCTTGGAGCAATTTCTTTAGTAAGACCAACCATCTAGCGTATGCATAGTAAAAAGAAAGAGCCAGAAAAAGATAGCCGAGAAAAGCAAGGCAAAATCGCAGTTCATATTTTACACTTCTAAAAGGAACATTTCCAGGGAAATAAGACGCATTTCTGTATTTTTTTTAAGAGAAGAGCCTAGATTTTTCTCAAGCGTCACGTGACTTGTTTCGGTTGTGCTGACACCTTGGATTTTGAACCTGTCCTTCGCCAACCACAACATTATTGCTGGGATCGTACCAGAACATGAGCGGCGAGTCGCACGGTAATGATGTCAAATCCGAATCGAATGAAGAACAATTTTCTATGGAAACTGAGGCCGTAAACGATGATAATAGCGGTTCAGAACCGTCGAAATTCCCAGTAAAAACAGAAGAAAGAAATACTAGTTCAAGGAAACGAGATGTTTCCGGGAAACAGGTGAATGAAATCGCTGAACCGCCGAAAGACTCCGTGGTAAAATCAGAAGAACCTTCTGAATCCCAGTTCCAAAGTCTATCGCAATCCCAGGAACCGGTTGAGAAAAAGCAGCGAGGGGAAGGAATGCCTCCTGCTCAACAAAAGTATTGTGCCGCGATTGTTCGTCAGCTCAAGCGAACCAAAGATTCAGCGCCTTTTCGTGCCCCAGTAGATCCCGTCAAACAAAATGTTCCCGATTATCCCAACATCATTAAACATCCCATGGATTTAGGAACCATTGAGAAAAAAATAAACAACCGCATATATTCCTTACCGCAAGAATTTATCGATGACATGAATTTGATGTTCTCTAATTGCTTTTTATACAACGGTACGAATTCCCCAGTCGGATCCATGGGTAAAAGCTTGCAGACGGTGTTTGAACGCCAATTGAAGCAATTACCCGATCCTGATCAAGCACCGGCTCCGGTGTCCAAAAAACCCAAGCAAAAGGCATCACCGGCTCCTGCTGCTGTTGCAGCGGCCCCAACATCCGCCGCTTCTACGCGAACTCGAAGGAGCTCATCTGTCTCTTCCGCGTCTCGTCCTTCCATTTCTTCGGCTCCTCCTTCTACCATTCCCTCGAATACTACTCCACCGCTTATTGAAGGCAAGCCGAGACGCCGAAAGAACAATTCTCAAATGCGGTACTGTACAACAATATTAAAGGAACTTTATAAGCGACAGTACGAACCGTTTGTCTTCCCTTTTTATCAGCCAGTAGATCCAGTGGTTAGTGATTGTCCCGATTATTTCGACGTTATAAAGCATCCGATGGATTTGGGTACTATTCAAGCAAAACTTAGTAAAAACGAATACGAAGTTCCCGATGAATTTGAGTCAGATGTACGATTGATGCTTGAAAACTGTTTTACGTATAATCCTCCTGGAACTCCCGTTCATCTTATGGGCCGGCAACTTGAGAATCTGTTTAATGAAAAGTGGAATGCTCGTCCTAAGTATGATGATGCCACTCTTGTTAAGCAACAAGCTGCTGAGACAGCTGCCTTATTATATGAGAATGGCGATGAAGATGCTTTTCTATCAGAAGAAGAAGTTAACGGTGATAAATTTGCCGCCGTGGATAAACAAATTTCTATGCTCCAGGACACTTTAGAAGCTATGAAAGCAAAGAAGATGAAACGCATGCGTAAGCCTCGGCGCCGTGACTCTAATAAAGAGTACGGCCCTATCACATATGCTATGCAAACTGAGTTGGCTGAGAGATGTAATTATTTAACTGCAGAACAGCTGTCCGCAGTTGCTGAAATTTTAAGAGAAGAAATGCCTTGGTTACGGGATACCGATGAAATTGAAATTGACGTTGGAAATATGAAGCCAGAAACTTTTCATCGCATTTATCGGTTTGTCTGTAAACCTGAAGCAACTTCCTCTGATCCTCCTTCACCTACGTTGATGCCATCCAGACACGAGAAAAAGAAAGGCCGAGTGCTATCTGAAACTGAACAAGCAGACAAAATTCGACGTTTACAGCAGCAATTGGATCGTTTTGCTGGCAAAGCGTCCGATACACCTACAGGACATTCCCAAGAGTACGATAGAACATCCGAATCTGCTGAAAGCGATCATGAAAGTGAGAGCAGTGAGTCAGATTAAAAGGTCATGTTCGTTCGTCTAAGCACAACTGGATCCTGCCAAAAAATGCATTTGTTTGTTTACTCTGGGGAAAGCGAACAAATGTTTGTTGAGCGTTGATTATGTTATATATAATTAATATGTTTAATAATAGGAACCGTCTTTATGGTTTATTATGTTCATTCAGTTGAAGAACGTTATAAAGCCATGAAGTGACCCCTCGCCATCTCCACATTAGCAAAATTGCTAAATACGATTTTGATGAAACAATACCCTAAAGTTGTACAACTTCAGCTGAAGCTTTATGAGTTTGAATCCATCTGCTCATAAAATGGAAGCTATCGTTTTACTTAGGGGAGAGAAATCAGTTAATTTTTGTCCAATTCACAACATTTGCCTAATATGTTGTACTGTTTATGACTTTTTTTTTCTTTCGTGTATAATGTCTTTTCTCCTTGATGATTGAATATCCCTTTCAATCTATTCCCTGATGGTATACCAATCAGTTTAGCAAGAGGCTTTTTCTTGTGAAAGTTTTGTACGTTTCATGTCGCTCTTTTCCGCCCTTTACCGCATACATTGTGCTTATTGTACAATATAAATATCAATTACTCTGTCATTTTTGTTTATAAATTCACTGTAAATAAATATTAATGTTTTCATTTCAGAGTGTAAACTAGATACACCATATTTTTCTTGTGGAAACAATGATTATCATACGAAGTATATAAATAAGAAATATTACAACTTAATCGTTAACACTATATTCTGTCACGGGAAAATACTCCGTATAGTAAGAAGAGTGTGAGTGGAATACAGTTGTAATTGCTTTAAATGTCAAGCCGAATATTTTAAAATAAGTTACTAAATATCTGGAGTGAAATATCCTTAGTAAGTCCTTGGTGATACAAATGAATATGTTATCGAACAAGTTTATTAGCTCTGCCAGCAAAATCTTCCTAACTGAAGATTTTGTCTGAGAAGAACGGGCGTTTTATATAGTAATCTAAAACTAGGGTTTAACAAACAATAAAGCTTAATTAATCCTTGATAATTGTTTAATCTTTCAGTCTGTTTGTTCATTAACATTAATATACAGTAATATACTCCATAGCATAATTATTGCCAAATGGTTTATAATATATATTAGGGATTTGCTCTGACAGCATCTTGTGAGCGGTTCGAATCATGGTGAAATCAAATTTCAGGGGAAAATTGGTAAGTGTTTAGACACGTTGGAAAAGTTGCGCAGTGCCAACCTCAGAGATTCACAAATAAGCAATTATGGATGCTTCATCTGAGCAAGTAATTCGGCTAGAAGAAGGACAAGATACAAATGCATTATTTGAAAAATGCTTAGGATGCTCTGACGTTGGAATCGTTTCTGGTACTGTTCGAAACATGGATGGAACCATGGCCGCGGAGCTTGTCCGAAAATTAGTGACAGAAATTTCATCACAGATGCGTCCTACCATGGCTATTTGGTTGCATTGGATTATTGTGACTCACGGTGGATATTTGGCCAGTGTCCAAGATTTACAAGAACCACTGAATGAATTGCACGCCAAGCTGATACACGGCGGAGATCTTCTTATGAAAATTTCAGCGCTATCAGGAAGATTAAGTATGGTACTTGGACAGGCTGAGATCCGAGAGTCTCGCCGATTAGATCAAGAAGAAAGTAGTGAGGAGGAAAGTGAATACGAGGATGGACAAAATTCTGACTATGATATTGAGGTAGTGGACGAGAATGAAGATGAATTGGATGAAAATGAAGATGAGGAAGATGCCGCAGCTGCAGCAGCAGAAATTACGAACCAGAACCTTGATGAAGATAAGGTAAACGCATCTCTTTCTCCCGATGCAGAGTTGTCCCCTAGAAGAAGTTCTCGACGAGAACAAAAGAAAGATCACTTAGGTGATGAAGAAGAAGAGGAAGAAGAAGATGATGATGAGCCAGCATTGCATGAAGAAGCAACTGATGAATCCGAGTCTGAAGCAGAAGTGGAAGCTGCTAGACCTACTCCAATACGCAAGGATATTCGCTCCGAAAGTCCAAGAAAATCTATGCGCAAATCTAGGTAAAAGCAGATTTCCCGTGTTGTTAAGACAGCTAGTGGAAACAGTTTTTTGAACCAGTATTTTAATTTGTTGTTAAATTTTTTGAAAAGAACGAGACTGAAACACCTAGAAACTTAGCTTTTGGAATGCTTTCATAACAAGCGGTATAGAGAACAAAAGCGAAAGTTTTGTAATACGACTTTTCGTCTGTCGACGGAAAAAAGTTAACGATACGGTGATTTCAAAAAAGGATTTCAATTGTTTATGGATCTAATTTATTTCAGGTTTAGATGTACCATAGGTTTTGGGTTTGGCTAATAATACTGTTTGGTTACTATAAATTTTATTATTAAGAATTGCCTATGTAAACGTAAAGACGCTTGTTGTTTAACCTGTACTGCACTTGAATGCAAACTTCAGATCCAACAAATACTTTCGCATCATGTATTACTTTTGTCTTCATTCTTTTACATATACGTTTTACGATTTGCAATACGACCTATAAGGCTTCGCTAGGTAAGCGGTATCTATCTATAACGATGCGAAACGTATTGCCTGACGAATTAGCAAAATTAATTAAAAAATAATTTTTTATTTTACGCTACAAAGCTAGTTACCTGTCCAGCTCCGAAAATTTTTTTCTTGTCAACAACCAACTACAAAATGGGTTTCACTAATCTCACCTCCGACGCTGGTCTTAAGCAACTCAACGACTACTTGACTGACAAGTCTTTCATTGAAGGGTAAGGAAACTTTTATGGAGCCATTTTCAAGCATAGGAAAATTCAAAGAAAACTCGACATGTTTCGTATTGACTCGGTTCTCAAAGTTTGTTCGGAACGATGAAAGTTTCTAATGAATAAAAATGGCGATTTCGCTATGCAGAGATAGCTAACATTGGATTTAGTCACGCTGCCAGTCAAGCTGATGCTGTCGTCTTCAAGGCCGTTGGTGCTTCTCCCGACGCCGAGAAGTACCCCAACGCTGCTCGTTGGTACAAACAAATTGCTACCTACGACGTCGCCGCCCTCCCTGGTACCGCCAAGGAGCTCTCTGCTTATGGCCCTGCTGAAGGAGCCGCTGCTGAGGAGGATGACATTGATCTTTTCGGCTCTGACGAGGAAGATCCTGAAGCTGAACGTATCAAGGCTGAGCGTGTCGCTGAGTACGAGAAGAAGAAGTCTCACAAGCCCAAGGCTGTTCAAAAGTCTCTTGTTACTTTGGACGTTAAGCCCTGGGATGATGAGACTCCTATGGATGAGCTCGAGAAGGCTGTCCGTGGCATTCAAATGGATGGTCTCTTGTGGGGTGTCTCTAGACTTGTTCCCGTCGGTTTCGGTGTTAACAAGTTCCAAATCAACTTGGTTGTTGAAGATGACAAGGTCTCTTTGGAAGCTCTTCAAGAAGAACTTGAAGGTTTGGAGGACTATGTCCAATCCACTGATATTGCTGCTATGTCCAAGTTGTAAGCTCGTTCCCTACTAGTAGTAATGCATAAGGACGAAGATGAAAGATTGGGTATATGCAGGAATGGTCAAATAACAATCGATTTATAAAATTATTAAATTGTAAGAATGATTGTAGCGAAAAATAAACATGAAGAATGGTAAACAGTAATAATGAAGTATCAATTATTAGGAAGCAAGGATGTTTTATACTAAGTCAGGTAGAATAACTCTGATAGATGAACGAGAAAACACAATAAAAAAAAAAGCTAAAGAAATATCACAAACTTTTCATAATTGAAAATTAATATGGACATGATTGTGAAATCATCAAAAACTGACCAGCTAGGCAATCGCCAGCTAAACAAGATAAAAACACTTACTGAGGTCCCAGTTTTATCCTTTATTCAAGATCTTCTTAAGCGTACAGGGCTTTTAGGCTGTGAAGAATCCCGACTGCCAGGGCCGATAGGTGCATCGCTGTCTAGGCCAAAAACTTTCGGGTTGAAACCCGGAAGGATGCCCGGTTGAACTTGGCTAAAGGCTCGAATAATCTGCTCTTCGTCGATAGGGACGTCTTCCATGATAGGATTAACGAGCCATTGTTTTAGTGTGTCGTCTTTAATAATTTCATTTTGCCCGGGCAGATCTTGAATGTATGCCTTGTACGATCGACGCATTTTCCGTTTATTTCCATGCTCATCAATGCGTCCAACCTTCTTGGCAAGCTCCGTAAGACCATAGAGTTCTGTCAAGTTCTCATGCGGCGATGGCTTTACAGGTTGAAACTGTGTACTTCCTACATAGTGATACTTAGGTGATTCCGGCATATGCTAATGAATTAAAGTCTTTTAACAAAAAAATATAAAAAATTCCGACTTTTGCAAAGAAAAAATCTTCAATGCTGCTAGATATGAATAATTCCTTTGTAGAGGTTGTTAATGGTACGAGAAAATGTAGTAGTCATAGCATAAGTGAAATTGCATTGCTTTTATGAAATGTGGGCGTCGGATTTTAGGAAGGAGATAATGAAATAAGAAGAAATAATCAAAAGAAATTGAACCCCAGTGAAGACTGGAATCGTCGACACTTGTGTATAGACGAATAAGACGAGTGTGTGAAAGTTAAGTTCAAGCCAAAGAATTAATGGTTAGGCCTGCTGAATGGGTACAACTTTGACTTGATTGTATGTCCAACGATCTAATTCGCCTTGGACTTCATTCTCGCGATATAACTTTTGCAAGTCATCGTATCCACCAATGCTATGTCCACCGAAAAAGATATTCGGAAGCGTAGAAACATCACTGACAGAAGACAACCACGAGCGCAATTCATTTATGTAGGTGAACTCTGTGACTTCGACGATGACAGGAGCAGGTTCCGTGGTGAGTGTTTCTGTCAACATGGACTTAGCTGCCGAACTGTATGGGCAACCTGGACGACTAAAGACCATGACGGGATTTTCAAGGAAAACTTGAAAATCCTTTTCTTCTTTCGCATCTTTGCTCGGCAATTTAATTTTGAAGGAAGACGAAGAAGGATGGCTTTGCGCGGCAAGAGGACTCGACGAGTTTTTTGTTAGCGGTATACTAAGAGGTGTATGTAGAAATAATTGAAGAAACAATAAGGTAATGAGTATGGATACACATAGGATAACCTTTGGGTTCAGCATTGTGGATATTCAAATTGGGCAATTTTCGCAGAACGTAACTCGTAAGATATGTATGAATGAAGAGATAACCAAATGAACTTATACAAAAAATTTTAGATGCCGATACCGCTCGAAAGATGAAGTCTTCTTACTGTTTACGGTGGATGGGGTGTGTAGAAAAATGAACGACACATCAGAAAATTTAGATGAAGCAAGCCGTTATTCAAGGAAGACTGCGAAAGGCTTTCCTTTCTTTTCTGTTGAGGGCTTGTCTTTACTTTGGGGGTGTTAGCACATCAGATATTACTTTTTACACTGCCATCTCTGCAAGCATAGAAACAATAGTATATATTATATTAACGATGCGATTGTTTAATTATAGAAGAATGTAACACTTAAGTAGGAAAGGTCATGAAAGTACTGCAGATAAGTAAAATAAAAGAGAAAGCGACTAAGGAAATAGCGTATGAAGTTATAAAAAGTAAAAGGTAAGAGTTGACAAATAACATGAACAATTGAGTACTGCATCGTAATTTAAGCAAAGTTTATAAAGGGAAGGGCCAACAAGACTGAATCGAAGGCCATACCATATCCTGCTTGATAACCAGTACCAGAGGCACCATAGTCATGAATCAAAGGGAATTTGGTCCCTGGAATGAAATCCAATTCTACACGAGCACCCCCGTTACGAGAAGGGCGGAATCCGACCGCTTCAAATATGATCTTTGCAGCTTCGGGACCTTGGTTATGAAACAGTTCTGGCATGAGAGTAGCAGTACGCTTTAATATATCTTGAGTATCTTCAGGATGAATTTCACGATCCCAGTTGCCCTTCTGCATAAAACCTCCTAAAACGACACCACCATTGAAAGGACGAGGAATGATGTAAGTATCGGAACCAATACCATTACGGATTCTCGTTTCTTTGATATGAGGAGCGTCGACACAGACGATTTGGCCGCGAGTAGGATACACGTTTTGATCTTCTACTCCTCCAAGTGTACAAGCCCAAACGCCTGGACAGTTAAAGACTACATTTGGATTAGGAACAAAATTCAGGACGTCGCTAATATGTTTGATTTCTTCCTTTATGATGGTGACCCCAGAATCTTTGACAATATTGTATATGAAGTTTAGATACTGAGGAACATTTATAAGAAACGTAGTGCCCGTGTGGCCATAAATGCATTTTTCAGGAAGCTCTTCCTTCGGGATGACTCTATAATTTTTTACATAAGAAGTCCAAGAGCCAAGCTTGTTATGATTAGGCTCATAATCCCACAGCTCGCGAAGATCAGCAAAGACGACACCTGAGTCCTTTCGAGTGTTCGCAAGGTAAGCAAGACGATTGTAGGTAATCTTGTCCCAGCGCAAGGCTTTATCATCTCCACTTGAGATACTGCAAAAATTTGCTCCGGCCCATGGTGAAGTGTAATCGACAGAACGATCTTCAGGTGTATATTTGGCGATAATTTTAATACGAGGACCCAATCCGAAATCGCAAAGGATCCATGCTGTTGTAAGTCCAATCACCCCAGCTCCAACGATTGCAATATCCTGTACTTGTCGTGCTGACATAGTGTAAGAGTAAAAATATTAACTTTAGCTCAAAAATATAATACTGAAACGAAAAATTAATTAGTTCCTACATTCTTGAAACTCGAATCCCTTGCTCACTTTGTTTATTTATGTACCCAGACTTTACTCAAAGTAACCTTTATGACTTACCCAGAATTCTTGGAGGAAAACAATGTGCGAATATACGCTGCTTGGCTGAAGTCAATAATTGCTGTATTGTTGTTTTTATATTGAAGTAAATTGTAAAGGTTGAATCCTTATCGACGGGTATTTCTTTATATCTGCGGAACCCAATGGTATAACATCCAACTGATGACTTATGATAGCGTTCAAATCATTATCGTTGCAGTGCAAACAGTTTGGTGCATTTGGTGAGGCTTTACGAACATAACTACACAAGTTGTTTTTTCCATACTGTGAATATCAAGTACTTCGAGGAAGCCAATGTAAGCTTCTGCTTCTCTTACACACTAACAAATGTGATTTAAGACATCAAGCAAAGGTCATCAGTTTTTGATGAAGGGCTTTCTACAATTCAGTCCCAATTGCTTTCATAATCATTGAACAGATGTGACTGGTTACTTTCACGTACTCAGGTACCTTTTACTACACACTTTTATAAAAAATATGATGCTTCAATCCTTATACTATTAATAATCATTAAATCATTCCCACATCCTAGATCCCCAAAAATTAACAGATGTTCTGTTATTTTTTTTTTTACCACTTATTGGCCAGCAATAAGGGATTAGACAAATCCGTTTCCACTGATCGGTAGGTCGCTTGCAAATAATTTGGAGCCAGCTGTGGATCTCGAATCCATTGCTCAAGAATATCATTTACAAAAGAACGATCAACCTCTTTTTTACCAGGAGAATAGTACAGAGATTCCACTTGGTTCATCCATTCCCGACTGGCCAAAATCCGTTCACCAGAGGGAAATGGAAGCTGACCACCTCCATTGATACAGCCTCCTGGACACGCCATAACCTCAACATAGTCATACTGTCGATTCCTCTGTTGTATTTTCTGAGAATCGTTCTTCATCCTCCGTTTCAGTAATACTTGTCCTCGACGATTGGAGTTCTTCCCATTCACTTTGCGTACCAAATTCTGAATGTTTCGAAACCCATAGCAGGTAGACATTGTCAACAAAGTTTCATCGCTTCGAGGATCTCGTAATATGTATTCGGTTAGATCACCGTTTTGGTCAACCTTTGTAACGAATGAGTTAGCATCATGAATACCAAAGAGCATTTCAGCTGCATAAGACATAACGTAGCTCATATATCCACCAGAGCTAGAGCCACCCTGTTCTTCAAACGTCAATCGTGGATACCAAGCTGGTAACACCTCATTCGATATTTTGTAGGGAATCCTGTTCTTTACGATGCTTCTTGGATCCAAATCCAAATACTTGAACATCTCAACAATCTCTTTTGGTGTCAATACAGCATCCACGTCTCGAACACCATCTTCGGAAAACTCATCACGACTTGCTTCTAGCTTTTTGTCAAAACAAGGCATAAGGCTCAAATGCCAAACTTGCTTGCGTTCCAATGAATATTGTTTGCTCGCCCAATCTTTGAGTAGACGTCCACATGCTTGTTGTGGTGAACGTACTCGAGATAAGTGCGGAATGAGTGCTGAGTGTGTTTTCTCAACGTAACAAATCCATCCTGGGCAAGATGATGACAGCATTGGCAACTTTGCATGTGCATCCGGCTTTGAAGAGGCGACATTATTTATGGAGTCTTTTTGTAGGTCGGACGAATTCAAACCAATAGCTTTCTCACTTCCATTTTCAGATGAATTTTCTTGTTGTCTTTGCTTCCATGACTCACAAAACTCCAATGCGCACTGCTGTAAAACAATTTCCCGAGCTGCATTCGTATCCAACACGGTACAGAATCCCAGTTTCCCGACAAAGACCATTTCCAAAACATCTTGCATTTCTTGTAACGACAGACCATAATATGCAGCCAAGTTTGCACGTACCTGGGGACTTGAAGAAACGTAAAATAACTCTTGGTCGTCTGTTCTGGCATCCAATTGTTTCAGCACTTCCTGATATGACTGCAAATTTACCAACACCGTTTCTGCCGAAGTGATGCATCCACTGCAAGCCAAGCAATCATTCAATGAGATGCTCGCTACCTCTAATTCCTTCGACTCTCCTGTATCTTTGGTAACTTCGAAATAAGAGTTTCCTTGAACTTGAATTTCGTTCTAATAACAATCTATTAGCCCTTTGTTTCTTGAAATGCCTTACTCGCTTCCATTCACGTTTGCTATACTTACATCTTCATGACTTTTTTCCGACTTTTTTACTTCAGCTGGCTTGATGCAAACAGCTCCTGGGTTCAAAAAGTCATTTAGATCATTTTCTGAAAGTTTAGCCATGCTTCAAAATGATCTTAATGCTTGGTTTTTTCCAAGTTTAAATCTTTCCTAAGGGGCAAGGCCTCCTTGATATGAGTAAACATAATTTGCCACATTGGATAGCCGTATCTACTTTTCCGCATTCTATCACGCTTTAAGCATAATTTGTAATCAATCATTAGATGTCCTTATATTCCTTTTTTTTCTAATTCAGCTGGCATTCTGTAGTTGCAATGTTTTGAATTTTTAGTAATTGATAAAGCTTTATTTGAATGCAATGTACTTATAATACTTATATTAAATTTTCTTTGAAGTCTTGTGATATTTTCAAATGTGGAAGATTACTACTTTTAATTTTTAGTACTTTATCAATGACGGACGTTCTTAACGGTTTTTTGGTTTTTGTTTTGTTTTTATTTTTTTTATTACTTTTTTTTGGGAAATTCAGAAAATATCATCCCGAGCTTTAGAACATCATGATTTCAGTAGCTGGTTTCATGAGAACTAGCTTGACAGGAAATGGTCACATAACAGATGTCTCTGAAGATCAAGATATATGTAATCAAAGTCTACAAGAGGACATGATTATTTTAATAAATGGAACTTTCCAATTATTTTCAACCAACTATAAGAAAAGCTTCCTAAAAGATCTATTAGTTGCTTTTCATGAAGCAACTCCTTTTGCAATTTTTTGAATATATTCTAATTTAGTATGTAACAGTCGAATGAACAAAAAGGACGCATAAAAGGAAGATTAAAAAATTGAAACAAACAAGTAAACAGAAAAGATGGCTTTGTTATACTGAATAGAAACTCAATGAAAAAATACTGGAAATGTTGGGAAGCCTCAACATTTCAGCATGAATGAAATGAATGAAGGTAATAAATACTATAAACACAAAGACAACCATACAAAAGAAAAAGGAAAGTCAGTCTTGGAACAATTATCAGGAGAATTGCCGATAATACCAGCGACGGTTTCCTTTATAACGTCGCTGATTATGTCCTATAAAATGGCCAACAAATGTGTAGCCTATCGATAAATAAACGGAAATAGATACCACTGAAGGGCTGTATCACTTCCAAAATAAGTCAATCTATGCCTTTGATACTTGACTTTAATATTGTCTAAATAAAACCGATAGAATTTTTTTTTTTTTCGAAAATTTCAAATGCTTTAAACTATCCACCAGAGTAAACTTCCTTGAGTATCTAGGGATCTTCTTCATCATCGAACTGGAGACCATTAAAGTAAGCAACCATTCTTGTATGGTTCAAGTCATTTGCGCTTTCCGTGGAACTCGTATCCAAGGAAAACTCGTCCCTTGATCGGGTTCCTACAGGCGTCTCCATGCCAGCAACTGAAGCACGGCGAGATGTATGTTCGCTTAAATAAGAATTCGACGTGTATCTATTTTTGAAATTTGTCATATACTCGTGCATATCTTCGATGGAAGCTTCCGTAGGTGTGTTATTTTGATGCTCCTTCTTGAGCTTCTGGATGGTACTCCGATTGGCTTTGTCTAAGATTTCTAAATTACGATAGCTGAAACTCCCAAACTCTGGTGCCGAATCTACGGTATTACTTCTCATTCGATTTTTCCTTTCACTCAATTTAAGATGCTGAGGAATTGAAGAAGCAATAGTTTCAGAGAGAGGTTCTTTGTGACGAGTTTGCTCAGAAGGCTGCGTGTAGTAACGACTATAGTCAAGCTCATCTAATCCTCTAGAATCAAAATAAATTGTATCATCAGGCGCAAAAGGTTTCGGAACAAAAGGAGGTTCCTCGTTTACTACATTGTCCCAATTGACACCTCTAAAAAATGGATGCGATTTAACCTCTTCTACTCCTCCCGCTCCCAGTCTCTCAGATGGTTCCATACACAGCAAGCGATTAATTAAATCCACAGCATCGCCTAACTCATGAAAGTTAGTGTTGCTAGGCCATGCAATTCTTCGAGCGATAATGTTCTTAAAAATTTCAGTTGGGCTATCTGCATTAAAGGGAGGATAGCCAAAAAGAAACTCAAATAGAACACAGCCTACAGACCACCAATCGCTTGCTTTAATCCCAGGATTACCTAAAATAACTTCAGGGGCAATGTAATCTGGAGTCCCAATAAATCTCTTAAAGGAATCATCATTTTCAAGAAAAGGTTGAATCTTAGGTGAATCAGTAGCTTGATTTCGATTGTCATCATTACTATTAACAGCATTAGACTTCCTACCAGCAAGGAGTAAATCTTCGGACCCGTTTTCAAGGCTAAAACTTTGAGAAGCAAGTCTGATACTTGTTCCATCTAATGATAGTAATCTTTCATTGAGTGTAGGACGTTTAGGCGACTCCGAAGCACCCACAGAATGTGTATCTAACAAAGATGAAGCAGTACTTAATGAGAGGTCCGACAAAGAACCCGTACATTCTGCTAAATTAGGTGCAAAGCTCGACTCACTATCAATCCTGTTTTGCCTATTCAGATACCCCACTCTGCTTAATCCGAAATCCGTTAGCTTGAGGTGGCCTGATTGAGCAATCAACAAATTTTCTGGTTTGATATCACGATGAACAATTTCTCTGTTGTGTAGAGCACCCAAGCATAGAACGATCTCTGCTAAGTACTTATGAATCCAATCTAATTCTAGCACGCCCATTGTTTTCAAAAGCGATCCGCAATCACCTCCATTTAAATATTCCATAACAAGATAAAGATAATCTCTAGACTGAAATGTATAATACAATTTAGCAACAAAAGGAATTTCTCCTTGAGCCATTAAAATGGCACGCTCAGCTCGCACATTCACCACCTGATTTTTAGCAATCATATCAGATTTCTTTAGAATTTTGACGGCGAAGTAATCACCGGTCGTTCTTTTTTGGGCCAAATAGACAGAACCAAAGGCACCCTTGCTAATTGGTTTGAGAATTTTGTAATCATTAATCGAAGGATTATGATGAGTAGCTGAAGGCAGAATTGTATGTATGCGAGGAGATGGAGAGGGAAGTCGTAAATCCTTTTCAGATAGGTTATTCGACCGTCCACGTGAATTCAGCGATGTACGAGCGTTTAGCGATAAGCTATGACCTGAAGCATCAGAAGCCAAAAACCGAGGACTGGAATTTGGAGACAAGAACCTCGATTCTTCAAACTTGTGATCAGAGCAACATGGCTCTGACACTTTGAGACGCTGAAAAGGTGAATGAATGTCAGGCACCTCATTCACCGGAGCAGAACAACAATCGGAATCATGAGTGAAGCAATACGGATGGCATTGTGTAAGTAGAGAACATGAGGAGGACCTAGAAAGATCTGAGTTCGAATCCGAGTAAGGTGTAAATTCAGTATCATGTTTGAATTGTGGATTAATTTCTTTAACTGCATTTACATCGACTCCTGGGGCAGCTATAGTAGGAGCGTCTAATGTTAGACCCTCCACGTAATTTGAGTCCTGCAACGACGACAATTCAGAAACAACATTATCAATCACTTCTTGAACATGATAGTCTACTTCCAATCGAATCCGCTCAGAGTAGTACACAGCGTTCTTTAGACGGGTAATTCCAATAACTTTCATATCGAATGCATTTCTTAAATCTTTCCAAAGATTTATAACTGCCTGCGAGCAGTTTTGAAGAGAGGGTGTGAAGTTTTGCAATTCGTCTGTAGAAACTTCTGACTTAGGGGATTGTAACCGAAGAGATTCCACATCACTGAAATTTACAATGACTTTCACGGGAGGTATGCTTATGTCTATAACCAAGTTCAGATAGTATGTTATTTGATCCAGGAAGGCGGACAAGAAGGAGACGGAGAACTCATTTCTTGCATCCTTAGGAATGGATAAAGATGACATGTCATAATCAGGATATAAAATCAACGGTTCATCTTTATAAAGTGGAATTAAAGAAGGGTTTTCGAATAATTCATTTTGGATCTGTAACAAGGTAGATCGAAAATAAAGCAGAGAATCTTGGGCAGATTGTACAATAGATTCAAAAGTGCTGGTAATTAAGCAAAGCTTAGAATGAACCTCAAAGAACCATGACTGAATATTTCTTTCGCAAATTTGACAAAACTCGGGCCGCGGAAGAGGTAAAGACTGTAAATCACCAGTTTTAAAGAACGATTCACGCAAGGAAGATAAATACTGGTCGAGAAGACCAGCGCTCAGACCAATGACTTCCAATACCTTATTTGCGTATAACTTCGAGTCTATAGTGTTATTGGTAACGGGGTGAGCCACCCACATTGTATGGACAGGCGTATTTGTATGAGAGTTACGAATCAAAATACCTACTGCATCAAATTGCTCAACAGGAAGGTCACTGTCATCGTAAGTGAGAGGGGAAGTATGATTAGGTGCATGAGGGTGCTGTGTAAGAGAAATTCTCGAAGGATGTTTCAATCGAACATGATAGCTATGAGAATCATCTTCTAACAGACATTTTGCAGCTTTAGTGAACGCATCCAATCCGGTTTTACCCAAAAAATCTTTTACTGAATGGCCAACAACTTCGTCCTGAGGAACATTTAGTAAATCAGAAGAGTTCTCACTAACGAATTGAAAATTTCCCGATAAATCAAGCTCGAAAGAAACGGGATGATGGGAACTTTCGAAGGAATTGCCGTTCGTTAGAGAAGCCACGCTACATTCTTGCTGTTCATTTGAAGCTTGTTGAGAATCGCTGAGGGGTTCAGATGTGCCACAAGCAGTAATTGGCTTCATTGACACTCAAAAAAGCCTTGAATTATGCTGTACTCTTAATCATAACCAAATAGCAATAATTATCCACTATCGACAAAAGCCTGTGTAATTTATTAAAAGTTTTTTTTTTTATTCTTTCTTAATCCTCGTAAGCAGAATAAAAGCTTTGAATAATAAATAATTTCCTGCTATTGTGTATTCTAAAGAAGGACTGAGACCTACAAAGGACTTTTCAGCGGACCAGGAGTAGTTGTTGGTGGTAGGTAACTCATCACTAGAGACCCTAAAATAGTAAAAGCATAAGGATACAAAACACGAACGTTGTGTTGTGATCTAATTAGTAATAAAAAATAATAATGATGATGGTTAAAAATTTCAGATTTGACATGTTATCTTGAAAGAATGTTCACTTTTATTTTATAAGAAAATGGGGCAATTTTTTTGTGTGATTTTTCTTCCTTGTCTTTTGCTTCCAACAATTCATTCAAGAAAATTGCTTGCTTCGTGGAAGTAATGAGGAGATTCTTCCTGCATTCAATTTCATTTACTTGAAAAGTTCATTTCCAAGAAAACCGGCTTCGTAAGTAAGGAAATGGTATTGGAGCATTGTATCACAAAACGTACCTGGTAGCAGTTTCCATTTATCTAATTAAATAAAAGAAAGGTTATGAAACTAAAAACTAATCTAAAGCTTTTTCTTATAATTCATCAGGATTCTGATTGTGTCATACTCTATGAAAAAGGATTGAAATCGCAACTAATTTTTCATACCAGAAAAAACTCTTCGATTCCTACATTGTGCAAGACACTTTCAAAAAAAAAAAATAAAAAATAAAATAAAAAAAAATTACTGGAGGTCCCTCAATGATTTCCATCAAGGCAAACCATTTGCCTATAAATTGGGAGAACAAACATCTCAAACCATACCTGTTTGTTAACCATATTTGACCTGTGATTAGATTTCGTTAGATTACATAACTTTGACTTACAGTCACTCTGTATCTACACTAATACTATTATTATTATTACTACTACTATTCCAGCATATTGCTTCTCATTCAACCATCTAGTGTTTATTTACAAAATTACGGCGTAAATTCCATTTCCTTATTCTTATTACGAGCCTTGTTCGAACCCACAATCCTCGATATTTGAAGCGAACAGAGTAGTAGAGGGTACAAAGTATGATTTAATGAAAATAACACTTACCCTTAACACGTAAAGTTTACTATGGAAACATCCTCTTCAGACGAACATGCTTCTTTGCAGAGACATTATTTGAAGAAGGAGCTTCTTTCTCTTTTAGTCGAGGACGAATTGAAGTTTATTGGCGATCCCTCGAATCTCGTTCACTTAGGAACACCATTTATGAATAAGGATGAACCCGTTATCACATTTCATGAGTCTAAAATACCGATTCTAAGATTCATTTTCAAAAAATTTGTTTTAACTTTTCCTTTCCTCGACCCAGCAAGCCAAACGCAATTATGGAATGTGAGCTTTCGTAACGTACGTAGAATAATTTCATACGCTCTTTTAAGAAACTATGGAGGGGGGGCACATTCTGACTATGTTTTCTAGTTTTTAGGTGCAATGTACGAAAACAGCGTTTCTGTACTACCTGATGACCCAGATGCGACTTATATGCACAAAGTGGGAATGAAATTCCAAGGCATGCTTACGCTTCTGATGAGTCGAGCCATTTGCTGTATTCAAGGAGAAAAAAGTATCGGACACGAACAGCTTGATATGTCGGATGTGAAGGATAATTCTTCTCAGACCAATTTAGAATCCCACAAAGAAGAATTCTTGACAGCCTTAGTTGTCGGTGTTCGTGAATTTGCTTATACGACTTATTTAAGAAATAAGAAAACTTATGTAAGTGATTTTTATACTACTTGGCTAGCTAGATACCAATGTTTAAAAAAAATATCTGCCCTTTTTGCTTTGCGACTGGCATCTAGCTACAGCCAAAGTAGTTGTTTTTTCTTTCAATTCACATGTTAACAAAAAAAGGAATATATCATCAAAATAAAAGATAAGGATGCTATCACATTCGTGGCACGAAGGTATTCTGAATTCACCAAATTACACCATACTTTAGTGAAAAAGTTTCCACAAGCTAATGTTCCTCGTCTACCTGCTAAAGATATACATGACACCCATCTTCACGACGGTTCAAATCTCTCATCTTTAGACACTACCCAAACGTCCTCTAGTGTTGAATCTCCTAAAGAAAAATCCTCTCTGATTTTGCACCAAGAAAGGATGAGAATTGGATTGAGTCATTACGTAAATCATCTTCTTCAACAAGACGAACTTCGAAATAGCCCTGAAGTACAGACCTTTCTTTCTTCTGATCCCTTTACGCCTAATGAACAAGAACAAAGAGACATACATTTTCGTCAAGAGTTAGACACTGTTCGTCGCATAGAAAGACAGAGATTTATAGACATTGCTTCTGAGCGCGCAAAAGCACTCGATATTTATATGGACGAATTTAAGCGGTCCCTTACAGAATCCGGTATGCTTAGCTACTTTTAGTATACATTTTCCCCGATAACCTTACTAACTAAAATTTCTAGGAGGATTGACAAGTTTGTTTACAGAGTTAAAAGAGAAGGAGAGCATTAGAGACTTATCTCCAACCTTACAACAAACCATGGAATGGGTTCGTGTAAATCTAGCTTCTACTATTTATGATGTATTTATCGCCAAGGAAAAGTCTAGTGTCACGTTTTCTCAGATTAAGCGCATGCATGCAATTTTTCCCTATAGAATTATCAAAAATATTATGCGTTTCTCAAATCCACTTTCCGTCATGAAACGTATCCTAGACACACTTTTGGCTCAACCTTTTGGAATGAAGTCTCTCTTTCAACGTCTGTTGAGTTTGAGTCTTAGCGATAATGTTCGTGCTATTCATAAGTTAATTGACAAATATGAAAGTCAAGTTGATAATTCAGATATTTTGCAAAAAATTCAACAACAAGTTGAGAATCCATGCAAAGCAGCTCAAGAAGTTTTACAGAACGATGAAATGACGCCTCAAGATTATTTATTATATCTTCTTGTTTCTGACGAGGTACCTCCTAGGCTGTCTGATGCATCAATCAAGCAGGTGATTATGGACGGAAGCTCCTGGAAAGAAGCTATGGAGTCAGAAGAATATCCCGAAGATAAAACGATTCAAGAACGAGCAAGAAGATTTGGATTCACGTTGAAATTAATGCATCTGTATGCGAAGAAGTATAATAAAAAGCGATCTATTTCTTTGATTAGTGAAGGGGCCACGGGAGAAGTTATGAAAAGCATGGTTGTTATATTTTACAAACCTCTAATGAAAGTATATAAAGCAGCAAATGTTTATACTTCGTATGTTATAAAGGCTATAAATACAAACACTAACCTTATACAGAGTGGATGATTTTGAATCGTTTATGGGGGATATGTTACGGCTTGTAGAAAATACTCAAGAAAATCCTGAACTGAATCCGAATACACTGGTAGAACGTTATATAGATTTGGTAAAGAGACACGAAGACGCGTTTTATGACTTTGTACATCGGGTATATATGCATGACAGTGGACTGTTTAGCTCTCTTATGGAATGGATTGAAAGCATAATCTCATTTTTACATTATGGCTCAGCGTATCCAATAGACATGGACGAAATTATTAGAGAACTGAGTCCGGACGAAACCAATCTATTATCAGAAGAATTGACGAGACTTATTGAATGGAACTATACAAAGAAAAAATTCTTATTTCGGAAGAAAACAACAAAATATACAACTGGGGATGAATCCACTCTTCCCGCCGTGAATATGGATGAGCTTGGACTTGACGAAGAGATTTTGGCTGAGTTACGAGGTGATGGAGACGAGGAAGAAGAGAATGACAGCGATATAGAGCAGGACGAAAGCAGGATAAATGTAAGTTTTGAGTTTGATCCCATTATGGAAGAACGGCAACGATTAAAACAAAAAGGAAAACATTCAATCAATGGCGTCCCGCAAAAGCCAGAATTTAAGGTCATCCCGAAATTGCTTCCTGCATTTCGCAATCTTATTTATCCAATTCTAGCTCGATTTGCAAATGAAAGTTCAGCTTGAAGAAAAATTTAACCTATTATATTAGAATTGGCTTATTTTATTTTTATTTTTTGATACGAATGCATAGTTTCATGAGTTAGGAATGAAAAATAATACGAAATTAGACGAAAGCTGGAGATGGAGTGATGTATATGTAACTAGAGAGTTCGCATAAAGCTGATAATGGGGATTATCAAAACTTGTAGCTACACTTTAGCCTTCTTAATCCATTCTTTCACATGTGCTTCCACCAGCTTCTCCGTGTACTTTCCGAGTTGATCTACTTCAACATTGACTAGGTCACCAACATTTTTGCTGGGCATAACAACACATGACTGTGTGTAGACGATCATCATAATGCTAAAGGTCGCATCATCGACGTGCGTAACTGTAAGTGAGATGCCATCCAAGGCGATGTAACCTTTGTAAACAATGTACTTGAGAACCGAAGAGTCACGAGGACGGAACGTAAAAACAATGGCCTCTTGGTCTGGTTTTTTTTCTACAATTTCAGCTACGGTATCAACATGACCTTGTACAAAGTGGCCTCCCATACGAGTGGTACTCAGAACGGCACGCTCCAAGTTCACAGAGTCTCCTTCCTTCAAGGAACCTAGGTTCGTAAGGCGGAGAGTTTCGGGAGCAATTCCAACCACAAAGCTTGTATTACCGATACTAGTAACCGTCAAACATGTACCGTTGACGGCAATGCTGTCGCCCACGCGACAATCTTGGATTATTTTTGGCTCTTCAATATCGACTGAAAATCCCTCAGGCGACTCAATGACACGACGAATTATGCCAACAGCTTCGACAAGACCTGTAAACATAACGAGAATTTGGGATATGTAGTAAATAAATGTCAAACTGATCTGCTCCTTTCAGTAAATTCACCCTCGGTTCAATCACAACGAAGACGAAAAAAAAATACCTAAGCTGAGCTCCTGATTAAAATGTCTGGTGCAAAGTAACGAATGTAGAGAGTTCGTTGTTGTAACTTAGTTGAATTTTATAAGTGTACTGTACTGTAGTAGGGGTCCTTTAAGTCTTACAGTCGGTAAACATGCGTTAAATCCAAACTTCTTAATAATACGATTATATCACCGGGATACCAATTTAGAGTCGTCCTCGGATCTGCCATCCAAAACAATCGCTTTTTTTGCTTGAAGCAAAAATGAAAGAAGTTGGTTTAATTTGGGTTCACAAAAACGCATTATGATAGCTGCGAATGCTTATCAAAAGTACAGAAACCAATTGAAAGTTTTCTAGATTTTTTGTGTGAGTGCATGTGTTTTCTTAGAATATGAATATTTTTGGAAGACCAACCAAGCGATTTGTGTCTCATTTCCTCGTTGAGGAATGTCGTTTCCCTTTCCTAAGACAAATTTCGTACCACCATCGGGGTACAATGAAAACGAGGAAAGTGTATATTTATATTTACTACTGCTGAAGTTTTCAGTTAGCTTCTGTAGCTCAGTTGGTGGTAGCGTCCCTCTCATATCATGACAGGGGAAGGTCGTGAGTTCGAGCCTCACCAGAAGCATCTATAGGTCGGATAGCACAGTTGGTTAGTGCGCATGACTGTTAATCATGAGGTCGAGGGTTCGAGTCCCTCTCTGACCGTTTTTACTGTTTTGGAAATTATTACTTTTTCTTCATTTACGATGATGCTCTTGTGGTAAACTGAATACGATTTCTATTTTATCATAGACTCTCCGAAGAAACACTCGAATATTTTAAGAGAAAGCTCGATTTATAGTCCCAGACATCCAGATTTGTTTTCGGGATTTTTCTTATTCATTCTAACGTTTCCTTTCGGGTTGACCTGAATAGCTTCTTTAAAGTTCATTCCCATTACTAAATGATATGCTTTTCAAAAGAGAAATAAGAATCAAAAAAATGCAAATTTTTCATTATCATCCAATGCTAAAATACTCTATGAAAATTTTTAAACTGTTTTTCATTTTTCATCATCACTCATGCATCTGCAGTACCTCTCATCAAGAATGCTTCCCATTATCGAATCCATCCTTGTATAAAACTCAAGGTCTAACTGATTTTAGAGAAAAAAATGAAAAAAAGATTTAGATATTACCTTTCGTAATTCATCATTATGTTCCCAAAAGAGTACATCCAGATCATGCTTCATCCTAACAACAATGGGCCGTCTCTTAAGGCAACCATCTGCTAGGAATATATCGTCTAATAGAATTGCTTGTATAGTTCAATAAAGGACTTGCGCTCGAAAAAAAATAAAACTGAAACATACTTGGTAACTGCAAATAGCTGGATAAGACATAACGGAATCCTTCTAAGACAACTCTAAATTCCATCCAAAAGTCATGGTAAAAAATCCGTGCTACCCAGCACACTTTTTTTAGGAATGGATGGAAGACCACAGGCACATGCTGAGAAACAAAATGTTTCACGCTGTTCAAAACTTTCCGAGACCTGGATTCGGGTTGATGTTGACCGACATATAGTTCATGGAACTTTTGAATATAGTTGATGGAGCGGGAAAGCCGATCAAACGTGTTTACTAAAGCAACAATCTCAGAACGGCGTAACTGTAAAGGAGTAGATGTGGTTTCGAATTGATCAATTTCGTTCTCCACATCCGGCACTTCGAAAAGAATTTTTAAGGCCGTACCAAATCCATTCGTCTGAATTTTACCCCACAATCGGCAGCGTTCACAACCAACACAATCCATCAAAGCCGATACTGTACGGAAATGCTCTCGAAACTCCTTTTTCATTGCCGACGAAAGTACAGGTTCTCCTGTAAACAAAACAGATTCATCAAAGTACCGAGGATGTCTGTCAACCATTTCTACCAAATCACGGATTTTATGACGAACTTCGGTATCCTGCAATGCACTGTCATGACAAAACGTAAGTGTATCCAGGTGTCCGTTCATCTTATCCATAGCCCGAAGAAGCAAAGAATAAGCAAAGTATAAATTTTCAAGTCTTTCTGGATGTGACAAAACTTTTTCCATAAAACAGTTCAAGTTCGGTCCCCAAACTCCGGTTGACTGATTTAAATAATTATAACATAAATGCGTAGAAATACTGGAGTGCATTCCTGAAAGCACACGATAAAACACGCGTTGCTCGATGCTCCACATATCCATACGTTCGTTCCATATCTTTTCTTGAGAATGTGGTGGGGGAGCCAAAGAACCCTGCAAAAAGAGGGAAGGGAAATCTATCGTGGGTTCGGATTCATCTGGCAAACACTCATTGTAAATCATTTCCCAAATTCGTGTAGCATGTGGAGCCGCGTATCCAGTAAATCTTTCTGGATTGTCTAGTAAAGAAATATACACGCATCCACTATCCAATTCGTTATCAACGTAACAGTATTGACGGTCCTGATCATCTAATCGTTCCAATAGACACGATTGCGAAATCTTGTCTACATTCTCCATCACAGATTGGTCCGATTCAACGATCTGACGTGAGAGCTCTGGCATGAACCCTTCGAGTTTTCCAAGAGATTTCGAGCTCCAAATCTCTGGAACACTGCTTTCCTCTGTAATCACTACATTACAGGCGTTACTTCCGCAGAAAACATTATCGTCCATTTTATACTTGCACTCCTTATTAAACAAATTCAATCGGTAGAAGCGCATGTAATCAGATTTCTCCGTTAAGTCTTTCAGTAATGGCGATATGCGCTCGTTCACATATTTAATGTCTCCAAAGGTTGCTTCTGATGTATCAGGAATTACATGTTTCGTATCGTTTTCAAACTTCCATGGGTCATCCACCTCCAATACCGTCTGTTTCTTACCAAACGCATCTTGCAAATTGGCAAGCAGACACAATAAAGAAAATAATGAATCGCGTCCTAATCTCATCCCGAGTATAGAATAATTATGAACGTATTATTTTCTCCTAAAATATATTTTCTGAAGTTGGCTCTAAGATCGTTTGTTTACACCGTCTTGAAGCTTTCACTCATGTCACCTCAAGATGTCACCTATTCTATCTCTACTTCCTTGGTAAGCTTCTCATTACTAATTAAATACGAGCTGTTCAATTTCACTTTTCTGTAATACGTGTAAGAAATAAGATGGGGTTTTGGGGAAGATGCAGGTTTGAAACCAACGGAAAGGTAAGTTTACCAGCAGTACATAGGAGATACAGTGCTATTGGCTTTTGCTTCACTCATAAACAAATGATCAATTCCTTCATATATAACACCATACGCTTCTCATATATTTGTCTCAGTGATTTCCTTAGGTTTGTGAAAAGCCATTGGATTTCCTTGAGCTGAAAGTATTATTTTAGAAGCTTTCTCATATCCACATATATTTCATTTATTTACTTTGATTTTGTTGATTAACTTTACTCTGCTAACCCGCGAAAGTAGCATATTCTAGTAACCGGCGGATCCCAAGGCTTTGGGCAGGCTCTTGCAAAGGAATTCGTTCTTCGTGGCGGCCATGTAACCATTGTCGCTAGAACAGAGAGTAAACTGAAGGTTGCCGTTGAAGAGCTCTCAAAATTGAAAGTTCACAGTGATCAGATTGTTCAATATAGAAGCGTAGACTTGACGAATTATGAAGATGTCAAAACCATGATTGATCAATTGGAAGTTTGCCCAGATCATTTGGCTCACTGTGCTGGTTCTTCTTATCCTGGCTTTTTTGTAGACCTTCATCCAACCGTGTTTGAGAATCAAATGCGCCAAAATTACATGGCCTCTGTCTACATCACTCATGCACTAATTAAGAGAATGAAAGATATTTCGGTGCCCTATTCACGAAGAATAATGTTAACATCTTCCGTTCTGAGCGCCCTTCCCCTTGTAGGTTATAACGCATATAGCCCTTCAAAGGCGGCTGTTCGAGCTTTAGCCGACGGTTTACGACAAGAGTGTATTCTCTATGGAATAGAAGTCTCCATTTTCTTACCTGCCACCATCCTTTCTCCTGGTTACGAAGAAGAAAACAGACTGAAGCCTTCTTTGGTATTGGAGATGGAAAAATCAGATAAAGCACAAACATGCGAAACCGTAGCATATTATTGCATGAAAGGACTTGATCATGGAGATTTTGTTATAACCAATAATTTTGTAGGAGATATCATGAAAAATCATTCTCGGACTTCCAGTCCTCATGATAATCCTATTTTGGAATTCCTTTATTGCATGCTTACTTTCTTTGTGTGGCCTATCGTTCGAGCTCAACTTGATTACGATGTTTACAAATATGCTCTGAAACATCGTTTAAGAACTGCCATTCCTAGTCAGTCAAACTCATTCATCACCGTCTTCTTGACATCTATACAATTGTGCATTTTTTATTACCTTATTCCAACTCTCGTATCTAATCCTTGTGTGACTTTGTTAAAATCTTTTCCACTATGGTTTTTATTGCAAACGATCCAAACATATTTCCAAAGACCTCGTGTTTGTTTTTCCTTTACTAATGTTATCCGTTCTATTGGCACTATGTGTTTGGGAACTTTTGTCATCGCTTTCGTTCTATTTGCCTTTGGTGCACCCTTGGTTAGCAAGTTTCAGTTAAGCTTTCTTTGCGCTGCTACTCTTTCGGTCCTTACAATATATCCACTGTCTTTTTTCTTTCAATCTGACTACATGAGATGGGGCCAATTCCTCGCTTTCAAACAATTCAAAGCCTTGGGTAGTTTACAATACCGTGCATGGGGTCCCATAATTGGTGCTTGGTTAGGTGCTATTCCTATTCCCTTGGACTGGGATCGACCCTGGCAAGCATGGCCTATTACCATTGTCGTTGGATCATTCATTGGTCATCTTGTTGCTACAATAATCGGAGAATTATTACAGTAACACTCTCATGTTTACGAGCATACTTTATTAGATTAAGAAAAAACGAATGGAACTGAAAGTAACATGTCAAAATGCAATTTTATATAATAAATCATCATAAACCCAAGAAACCCGGCAAAAAAGATATAAATATCTACTGAACCTTGAAATTTTTCAACAGCTTTTCTTCATTTTCCTCCAATGCCATTACAGAAGGGGTTAAGGTTGGTTCCAAAGGAATTTTAGCTGATTTGCTAAAACCGATTTGTTCGCATATACAATTTAATAAAAATTCACTTTTACATCGTATTTGCAGCAGTGGGATAGCTTGCCAAGTAGCACGTTCGCCTACCAATATCCAATATTGAATATCTTGTAGAGAGGGCTTCGTGAAGGCATGCTTTATATCGGTAAATGAGAAGGTAGGAGTGAGCGTTATGTAAGCACTTGGAATAAAATCGTCCACTAAAAAACGCCTTAACCTCATAGGGAGGAGGCCAAGAATATCCATTTGGCGAAAACGATAAGCCATTTCCAAACCAAACAGACGAATTATTTTTAAGGTATAACCAGTATGCGTATGATGGTGCAGTTCATCGTGGAATGTTGGAAAAAGCGAGGGACGAGACTGAGTGATTATAAAATGATTTACGTTGAAAAGCTCAGAAATTCTAGCATAAGAATTGGGACGGGTAGGGTGATTCATGCTCGCATATGGCCATACGAAATTTTTTGGAGTACACACTTCCGTAGTGCCGTCAGGTAATTTTGCTAATAAGCTGGTTGAACGGTAAATTGCAGCCCAACTGTTACTGGCACAAGCAGCACTCCATACCAAAACATTTGGAGCTGTATGATAATTTAAAACCTGGGGGGAACCAGATGTAACAGAGGGCGGGGCGATAATGTTGATAGCACGATTTGTTTTCTCAAAAGCTTCTTGGAAAGTTAATTCTCCAACACATTTATGAACAAAAGAAGCAATCATCGAGATGTCTAGCATATTTCCATATTTTATGACTTTAGCTAGAGAATAGTCAGAAGTATTTTTACAAATATCCCACAATTCTTCGGGAAACGTTTGGAAAAGGTGATCTAGTTCATCATCACGATGTACACCTAACAAAGCAGCAATCAATGCGCCAGACGCGGAACCAGCAAGGACCCGTGGTAGTAAGGTTCTTTCCCACAAGACTTTTGCTACGCCAAAGTGATATAACCCAAAGGCAGTGCCACCATTGAGGTATAAACAAGTGGTGCCAAAGGATACTTTTGCAGCGGAAAAAAAGTCTTGCTTTTCCTCGAGGGATAGCTTTCTCGTAAGGAAAAGGAAATTCAAGCAACGATTTACTTCACGAACGTATTCCTCTATTAGGATCTTTGTTCCCGAATAATTTTCAGTGTACAGGCCTGAATCACCAATGTTGCCGAAATTGCGCAGCAAGCTAGAACGCAAGAACATGAGCATGGGATAGGATTGCTTTTTCGTTCGATAAAGCTTCAAGGTCGAGGTACATCGTTCAATTAGGGAAAAATCGTACTTGTTCGAAACGGGATCAAATCTCCATTTCCAACGACCTGATTTCTTGTCGGTCGCTGTTGCCAGCTGCTTCCAATCTTCCCAGGTACAGCAATCGCGCTTCAATACTGTTTTCCCTTTCCGATAATTCAAACCGCGTGCTTGCGAGATGGAAGTTGCTGAAAACAACCATTCAAAAAAAGATAGAACCAGCAGCCAAACTGTGCACGCATTTACCCTTGTGGTTTGCCAAGCCCTGCTTAACGAGTTCATGATAATTGTCCAAACAAACCTTTTTATAATACATGTACTTTGAAATGGAAAAAACTGAACAAACTCGTCTATTGACGTAAATCTTCCAAAGCTTTACCAATTCTACCTATTCTCAGAAAAGAATCTTCACGGAAGGTTTGTTTTCTTACAAAATAGATTCAAAAAAAAATTCTATAGTATCAATTCCATTCGCACGAAGTCATCCATTTGTACGTATTTTTTGCAAGCACCTATATCAACAAATACAAGGACTCCATATAGCAAACTACAGCGCGATGCCTAAACTAGCCTATAGCGTATTGCAATGATAGAGATAATAAACGAAAATGTCAACTATGAATTAGCGCCCCATATGGATACCTACTAAGAAAAAACTCAATGATGACTCCTATTATACAGTTGGGCCTATTTTTCTGTGTTTTAGCAAAGTCACCGAGACCTTTTTGACTGTCTAAGCCTAATCTTTAAGTTCGTGACAGTAATCTTGTTAATACTGTTAATAAAAATTCATATCCGGATTGTTCAAGCAAATAACAGGAATCAGTTGACTTTGTCTAAGGTATCACAACAAATAATTTAGACGCGTCGCGCGGTTTTTTATAAAACTTCATTTTACGAGCAAAAGGAAAAGAGGGAAACGAAATAAATAAAAGTATTTTTTTTAATTTATTTCTTTTATTTGTGTATAATTTATAGGTTTCTTTTTTTCTTTTGCCAAGCCCATTATGGGGGATAATGGTTCTTTGGGCTATTGAATGCTCTTTTGGTCTATTGAAGACAGAACAAAGAGAAGGACCCGTCTACCCCATATTTGTTCTGAAAAATGAGATTCACACCTATCATGAACAAGAATCCTCACAGAAGGAGAAATCAATTGGAAACGCTTTTAGTTTATTAACGAGCATTCGAAACCAGAAAGCAAACTACTTTGATGTGTTTGTATTATTGAAAAGATTCGGCACCCCTGAGCTCCTTACTGTCTATATAACTTGTGGTTTTAGGATAATATTATTTTCTTTTCTATCGTTTTCTTCTCTACATTCCTGTTCTGTTCTGTAAGTTGCAATGGGCATCCAAGCGATTGCGCGTCAGGATTATGTGCACAGCTCAGAAGCTTCTCATCTGTCATTCCATACAGGAGACACGATTATTGTTGTCAACATACTTGAAAATGGTTGGTGTGACGGCATTTGCTCTCAGCGTCGAGGTTGGTTTCCTTTGTCTTACATCGACATTCCCGGATTCCAAGGTCAAGCATCCAAAAAATCGAGAATTTGCAGTGATCAAGATTCTTTGAATGATTCAAGGAGTAGCCTAGACTTCCCACCTTTGCCAGAGGATGACTCTGCCACTAAAAGTCCTCCTGCTAAGGATAACAATCCCGTTCATCAAACTATCCTTCAACCTCTCCTCCGTAATACTCTCGAATATGTAACCCTCATCCGGAAATCCGTTTATTTTGGCCGTACTCAAGTGTTGTCTGAAGCATTAGATGTAATACGTACAGGAGCATTAACTATTCTCGTGCGTCTTGGAAGTCTTTTAGACGACCATTCTCCGTTTACAAAAGAGCTTGTGTATATATTCTCCATGTTAGAAACATTGGTGACGCTTTCCAGGAGGAGGAACCTGTACAAAAGCTCTTGTATACAATTTACGCAGCTTTTAAAAACACTTGCATGTTTGTTTGTGGATTATATAAAAAGGGAAGAAAAGGAACCGTCTTCCGAAACATCGAAAGAAGCCAAAGATGTCTGCTTTTTACCTTCGAGTCAGTCTTTGGTGTCTCCACCTTTTCATCAGCTTCAAGATAAGTCGCTACCTCTATGTACAACCACTTATGTTGCTATACTTTCCCTTACTCATCACGCATATACTTTTTTATCGACAAGCCATTTCTGGCAACAAAATAACACCAAGCAACTCGATTTACTTTTCCAGCATATATCGGAAGGCAAGCGGTCCGCAACAGAATACTTGGATACAGTCTTTGACAATTTCACCAATATACTCCAGTCCTTAAAGCGCGTCCACTCAGCTTTTCAGAAAGTGGATTATGCAGCGTTTGACGTATCAGTGCCTTCAATTACGATTCATCAGATTTTTGGGTCTTTAGACAATTATTCTACTAAAATTAGTGATCTATTCATGACAGCAATAGAGCTTGAGCAAGCATTTGATGATGTTATCTATAAGAATAGGAGCATACGAACACTCACTCCTTACTTGCTACTTATTGAAACAAATTTTCAGGATGTAAAGGATATTCTTCTTCATTTAACGGAAAGATTCCTTTTCCTCTCTCTTGAACATCGCTACCTAACCCAATTTATTCCTGGGCTTGAAAGCGTAGAGAGTAAGCAAATAGAACTCATGGATATGGATGACATTACTTGGTACGATTCAAAGGGGCTCGTCCATTACTTATTAAAACAATCGACTATAGAGCCAAAGTCCATTAGGAATTGGTTGTTTCTGTATTGGTCAAATACAACCTCGTACAACGATGATGGAAAAGTCAAGTTTGCTTCTCTTACTTCTATTTTAAACAATATTGTTCGTGTAGATATTGACAACACGCTATTTATAAGAACTTTTCTTAGCACACATGCTAGTATCATTAGCTCAGGCGATTTGTTTTCTATTTTATCTTCGCATTATTTATTTCTTGGTCAGTCGCAAAGCTTTTCAGGCCGAGTTGATGCTACTCTTATAAAACGCGGCCGTAAAAAGATTGTTGACGTTATGCTCACTTGGTTAGAATCATACTTTATTGAAGAATTGGAAAATGTACATACGATTTTGTTCTTGACGAATGCCTACTTATTTTGTGAAGAATTTATGGTGCCTACTTTCTCTCCTTCACTTGAGTTGCTGCAACATATTTCTAATATGTTAAAGCATCCCTCCACAAAACTTGTTAGGTCATTGACAAATGGCCTTGAAATGCAAGATCCTGAGGATAATACCGCAATTTCCTGTCCTTTGGATAGCATGAACGTTAAAGATGATTCCCTTTTCCTTTTTCCGCCCGATGAGATCGCTAAGCAACTATGTCTTATTGAATTTCATACTTTTTCAAACATCACTGCTGTTCACTTTCTTACAAAAATATGGTCAAATTTGAAAAACATCGCTACGAATGAATCGAGTACTGTTTGTTACATTTCTAATCAGTTAGTCAACTTTGTTGCCGAAACTATTGTGAGAGAAAGAGACTTGCGAAAACGTACACATTTTTTAAGCTTTTTCATTCAAGTCTCACACTGTCTTTTCAAATACAATAACTTTGCGAGTTTATTTTCTATCATTTCTGCTTTAAATTCGGCTCCAGTTCATCGTCTTAAAAGGACTTGGTCGAACTTAAGTAACAAATATTCGATATTGTTTGACTCACTGAATTCTTTAACAGATACAAGCAAAAATTTTTCTCAATATCGAGAATGCTTGGAGCGTTGTTCACTGCCGTGTGTTCCATTTCTAGGCGTTTACTTTACCGATTTGACATTTCTAAAATCAGGGAACAAGGATACAAACAAAAACTTAATTAATTTCGATAAACGCATGAAAGCAGCAAAAATTTTAGACGAGGTTCAGCAGTTTCAAGCTGTCCCTTACAAATTTGATGCTACCAATGATTTGCAAGAGTTGTTACATGAGGTCGTATCTAAAGAACGAGACTCTAACTTTATTTACAATGAGTCTTTACTCTCGGAACCACGAGAATCTGAAGACCAGACCCTACGGCGACTACTTGTAGATTCCGGTATATTTTAATGGTTTATGATTTAACGACGACTGTATGATGATCATTTGCATAAAATTTTGGTAATAAGGTGAATTGTTGGATAATTTAATTTAACATAGAATACAATAATTAAAAAAACTTCTTTTTTCATGGGTGTTTGCAATACTGAATAAATTCAAATATTAAATCTGATAGCTCACGACTTAACCAAAGACATAGATATCATGGATTGGAAAAAATCGGTCCAGAAAGCTACGGCATTGACGATTGAAACAAATGACTATGTTTCATATTGCACAATGGTCGAAATGCTACTAGAAAAAAATTTGACCCGGAAAGAAGAGGATCAGTTAGATTTATTACGTTGCTTAAATGATGAGCTTCGAAAGCCGGAATATGTATGCTTCATTACTATCAATTACGTTACTAACTGGATACTTTTAGGACCAACTCACGAAAGAGATTGCATGGGATGTACTAGGAATGTTGCTGCCATATGTGAATGGTTGCTCTTCAGAGGAAGCAGTAAAATTTATGCGTTTTTTGGCAGAAAAGGGAAATCCTAAAGAAGTTTTTTTAAAGTCTAATGAAATCCTTACGAATATGATGTTCCAGAATCTGTCTCAGTTCGAGGTGACTGTAGACTCGATGAATTCAGCTATTAACAGAATTGAAACCAATAAACCATTGGTTTTTCTTGATAGTTACATAGTTTCTTTGTATTCTGGGATTACTAGAATCTTACTTGTGAAGGAAGCCAACAGATTTCGCATATGGGATATGTGCTTGGATTCAATTGGTAAAATAACACGACGTTTTGGGAAATATTCAGAGTGTCATTTGAATCTTATGGCAGCTTTTACAATCTTTCTTCAACTGTTCCTTTCCTCTGAATGCTTGTTTTTCTCTTTCCGTGAATTATTGAACTCGAAACATCCTCATGTAGAATTTCGAAAAAATAGATTTTCTTATGATGTTCAACAACTACAAGAATTGGACTCTTTTTTGGTACGATTGTTAGATATTTTCGATGAATTATGCTCTATGGGCGAAAACGGCTGGGAACAGTTAGTAAAACGATTCTATGTTCAGATTATGAATCTTGATAGCGCTGAAGGAAGTATTTGTAATCAGGAAGAGGAAGAACAAGAAGAGGATATGCATCAAAAAGTAATGATAGACAACAAAGGGTGTGTTGCTTTGTTGACGATTCGGAGCTTTTATAGGGAAAGAAGCTTCTTACAGGATTTGTTTTTCAATAGCAAAGAACACATTCTATTGGATTCGTTATTTACCTTGATGTCCATCGAAGGAAATCCTGAAGCTTCGGGTTTCACTGATTTAGCTCTTTATCAAACTTTGTTACTCTCCAAGTTTATTATTGAATGCTCAGCTGAAGATCATGAGCGGTTTTTTTCTCTATTACAAATTTATCAGTACTTTTCTGCTTTTAGCTCAGAACCGTGGATTCGACTGATCGCGAATGACATTGTGTTTCATCTGTTAGATTCTGTGTCCCCTGATATCCGTTTTAAATATGTTTTAGACACCTTGGAAGAATGCCCTTTTGTAAATGTTAAAGCTAGCATTTTGAATTACTATCAAAAAAATGGATTACTTTCTAAACCGGTCGAAAACAATCCTTTTTTCCTAAAAAAGAATCTTTCCACAGTCCTTAAAATTCTCTTTGACGATTTATTCGACCTTACGGCTGACCCTCTTTCTTTGATTTATTTGCAGCAAGCATTAATCTTTCTGTACTATTTGAAATTCCAAAATTGTTTGGACTATAATGATCAAGTCCTTCAATTTTTAAAAAGAATAGAAAATTTTGTTCAGCAAAACGAAGAGAAAGTTCCAAATCAGAATTTAACTTATTATCTGGAGCTTTTACAGCCAAAAAATTGATTCCTTGCTTCGTATCATGATTGCCTGAGCACCCAAAGATGTACCATTCGTTCACTTTATATTAAAAGACATATTTTAAAAATCGTTTCTTTCTTTCTTTTTTCTCTCCCAGCTACAAAGTACACGAAACCAAATATGATTTTCACACAACAAATGCCTAAAAAATTGCTATATTTTGAATATAGAACTGAAACCTATACGTTATCCAGCTTGATAAAATAATAATTTACTTTTAACATATTACACTTACTAAATGGATGCATTCAATAGAACTTTAGAATACTTCATTATGAAATCAAGTAACATTGCTCTCCTACTAAGTACAGGTTACCTTTGAGTAATTCTGATGAGAGCAAACACTAAAAATTCATTTTGGGAGCAAACTTGAAAGTGTAAGCACTGTCTTTGGGATAATATAGTGTAACTTATTGCTGTAAGTCTCTAAAAGTCTTTTGTAGCCTGATTGAATGAAATTGCTCTCTGTGGAAAAGACGCTAGGAAATTGAATTGGTTTAAGTGCTAAAGAGGTCGGAGCTTCTAATTGACCATCACTAAGAATATCGGAAACAACTACTATGGAGCCTGGATTCCCTCCCATGATGGAAAGAAGTCCAGCCTACAGTCATATTCTGATGGCTGGAGGAATTGGCGGTGCTACGGCAGACTTATTGATGCATTCTTTGGATACAGTCAAAACGAGACAACAAGGAGCTTTGTATACAGACAAGTATAGAGGAATGGTCCGTAGTTATCTTACAATTTTCAGAGAAGAAGGTCTTTTTCATGGTTTATATAGTGGAGTGTGCCCAATGTTACTCGGCAGTCTTCCGGCTACGGCATTATTCTTTAGTTCTTATGAATTCTCAAAAAGGCATCTGATGGACACCTATCATGTTCCAGAAACTCTTTCATTTTTACTCGCTGGTTTTGTCGGTGATCTTTTTGCATCCGTTGTTTATGTACCATCAGAAGTAAGTCTCAATTCTCATTATTAAATATCGAAATTTGGAAAAGTTTTTAGTTTTCTTCTAACCGGTCTCAATAGGTTTTAAAAACTCGACTACAACTTCAAGGACGATATAACAATAAATACTTTAAGTCCGATTACAATTACCCCTCTTTCCGAGGCGCCATTAAGCAGGTACATTTACATCCTAATAATTAAAATGTAGTTTTCATACATTTTTTTACTAACCGGAGATTTAGATTGCGAAGGAAGAAGGCCCAAGAACATTTTTCTTTGGTTACCGCGCAACCGTTCTACGAGACATACCTTTTTCTGGTTTACAGCTTCTATTTTATGAAAAGCTCCGTCAGGGTGTGCAAAAGTACTCTGGTAAAAAAGATATAGGTGTTAGATATGAGTTGATTATTGGTTCATTAGCTGGCGCAGGAGCTGGATTTTTAACAACTCCTTTAGACCTTGCGAAAACAAGGCTTCAAACCATGGTTCGACCGACAGGCGTTTCGGATAATATAAAAAGTGGTCGTTATTTCTATGGTCAAATGGAAAACTCTTTGGGAAGTTCTGCCTCCTCTACTAGAAAGCAAACAATTGGAATTAGTAAAGTCTTGTCTAGCCTCTACAGAAAGGAGGGTGCCATGGGATTGTTTAAAGGTGTTGGCCCTCGTGTGTTCTGGACTTCATCTCAGAGTTCATTGATGTTTGTTTTTTACGAGAGCATAATAAGACTTTTTAAACAAAAGGAAGCTCAATCTATGTTGGATTGAGTTCATTATCTATATATGAGAACTATTGCACTATTCTTTCTTTTTTGGCGCTCAAAAAAGCCTCTCAAAATCCCCCTCATCCAACCGTTTTTAGCTTTTATCAGCAATGATATGTTTTATAAAGCCTATTAGACTCCCCTTTTGTTCTTTTTATGTTGGCTATATCATTGTTGTTTGAAAACACACTGCTTTTTGAATTCATAGAATATTTGATTCATTTTTACATTTATTTTTGTCTTCTGACTATCTATTCCCTCCTTAAAAATGTTGAAAAAAATAAAAAAAACAAAAAAAAAATCTCTCCCTCAAGAATTAAGGTCTGCACTATGGCCTTATACCTTTAATGAAATAGAAGATTTAGTCACTGATCCCCTTTTTTGTTTTCTTCTTTAGAATACAATAATAATATTATAGTCTACGATAACGGCATGACATTCGAAATATTAGCTTGATTTCTTCCATATAAAAATCAGGAAAGCTACAGCCATTATTCACTGTATTAAGAAACAAATTATTTGAATTTATTAATCTAAAACTAACAACCTTAAATTAAAAAACTATCGTATAGCAAAAATATTATGCTCATGCAAAAAGATGGATACTTTTAAGTGTCGTAAGCAGAAACATCATTGAAAAATGACAACGGTTTAACAATGTAAGTACTGTACAAAAGACCAATAGTAACGAGGGCATTAACAATGGCGTAAAGAAAAACCAAATAAAATAAAATAAAAACACAGTCGGGTTTCCACAAACCTTTGGCGTTACCCTTAAACCACTTATCCAAAATTTGAAACTCGTAGATTCCCATGCATCTTTCATCTGACGATTATCATTCAATTGTAACGTTCGTTCAAATGCAGATATACTCAATCAAGTTATATCTATACGCGAAGAACGTTAAGATGCTTCAGATGATGAAGCGACAAGTTTCGACTTTTTTGGAGAAGTGATATGAGTTCTATCCTCGCCCTCATTTACCAAATCCTCACCAAGTATGTTATCGTAATCATCTAGTCTCCGTTTTCCACTCTGAGTTTGACTTTCATTTATTACATCAAGTTTTACTTGCTCTTCATCCAGCAACGATTCAAACGGAGTCGTACCAGATCCTGCTATTTCACCATTATTGTTTATGTCTTCCAAAATAGAAGTCAGAGCGCTATCATCCAAATTTTCAGCATTCGGGTCATTATCATCTACCCCTGATTGCTCATTTGCTGCTATATGCTCCTCTGTAGAAACTTCTATATTCTTAGCATCACTTTTGTTCGAAGAGGCTTCCCCTTCATCCAATACATCCTTAGCAGCGTCTATCCGATCATCATTACTAGTGTCAGGAGGCATATTTTCTTCCGATTCTTTTGAAAGATCTGGAGTTATCACCGAATCCTCATTGTCTTGTTCGGCTAAATCCAGTTCACTTGCACTAGCACTAGAAACATCCTGAACAAGCTCGTTGTATCTAGCAATAAATCGAGGTTGAGTCGTAAATAAGACAGAAAATGAGTTCCCATGACTACAATGAGCAGATAAGAGTTCTAGAATATCGACTAAGTGAATCTGATTGGCATAAACATTGTCCTCAGAAATTTTTAAATTCAAGTCTGAAAATTCGCATACTAGCTCTAAATCAGAGCTTAATGTATCCAGGGATTCCAGACGTGCTCGAACAAGCCCAAATAAGTCTTCTAAAGTATTATCGTTTAAATCATCAGTAGCGGAATAAATGAATGAATTGCCGTCATTATTGTCAATAAAAGAGCAAACGCTTGAATCTGGAAATAGAACCAAGCCTTTAGATATCCACTCAAGATCTAAAATATCATTGCTAGGTGTGACGTTTGCCTCTTCCTCTTTTTTATTTGCTATTGCTTTATTTTCTGTTATATCCGTGAATCCAGATAAATCTTTAGATTCTTCCTCTTCTTTATTACCATCAATATCACCGTTTTCAACAAAAGAGTGTGAATCATCAGAATCTACTACATTGTCATCTTCTTGCACTTGCGTTTCTGTTCCTTGATCTTGAAGAAACATAGAATTGGTTTCCTCTTTCGACGAATCACCCAATTGTTCATCTTGCTCAAAGGATTTCTCAGCTACATTTGATTCGGCTATTTCCGTTTGCCCTTCACTTTCTCCTGCTTGAGATTTCTCAGCTGGATCCAACGCACTAGAAGGCATATTATCATTTTCAATATCTGGCTGAGACATCTCCGTTTCTTTGACTGCCGTATTTGGTGAAGCTTGCTCAGTATTTTTTATTGTCTGTTTGTGATCTGTTTTTGTATCCATAAACACTAGAGTTTCTACTGGTGCATAAACCACACTTCCTTCAAAAGCAACTTCACTCATAAATATTTCGTTTAAAACAATTCCTAAACCTGTTTTTGTTAGTAGTTTTCTGTAGTTACCGTTTCTTTTAAACAAATGTAGTTGGCAAAAGGTAAGTTGCATTCAAGAAAGCATCGTTGCTTACGACGCTCGCTCGCGTTGCTACGTGGCCTTCCTCGTTATCCTGTTTTACGTGACTTCGTAAATGGATTTCATCTTACCATTTATGATAATAATGTTTCGTACAGCGTATAGGGATAATACATATTGGTCTCACGCACCTGACAGTGAAATTCTTTTATTGAGCTTTTTTTCGTATTGAGAGGTGATCTGTTTGGTTATTCCTTTTTAGTTTAAATATCTAGTACGCTTAGTCAAAGTAACCTAACAAGTCCCGGGTAGCTCAATCGGTTTAGAGCGTCTGACTCTTAAGAAGGTTATCAGAAGGTTGCGAGTTCGAGTCTCGCCTTGGGAGTTTACTTTTTTGTCATAAGGTACTCTAAATGGTTTATGAACCCTGTAAGACATATCAGACGAATTAAAAATAATTAAAATAACTTGTAGGTGCCGTTGACAATCCTCTATTAGCTAAATCTTTAGCCATTCAGAGTAAGGAATGGTAGAGGCCTGAAAGTGTTGCAGCAAACGTGTGTACAATCAGTCCGTTCCTTTGTTGAATTAACTTAGCAACTACGTAAACGAAATTTCAAGGAAGCTATAAGAAATGGGAAGAAATAACTTTAATCGTTCGTACCTTGTTTCTTTTATTGTAATTCTTATGTTTTTGAATCATTACTAAGCGTCAGTGGCCGTTTGGTCTAGTGGTATGATACCATCTTAGGGTGATGGTGGTCCTGGGTTCGATTCCCAGAACAGCCCATTTTTTAATTTTTAAACACTTTTTGAAAAATGGTTTGTGTTTTCCAATTAAATATTTAAGCCAGAAAGCGTCTTTGCTTTGTTGAACAGTCTTCTTACGAGTCGGTATGGATAGCTCTTAGCAAAGGTGTTTTCAACGAAATATTCCTTAGGGAACGTCGTTCTTGATGAGCTTATACTTTACCGGATTTTGTACCGATACCGTAACCATCCTTAAAAATAATAGAATCGCGCTGCATATCCCTATACTGAAAGCTGTACGTCTGTCCTAAATAAATGTTTCGCTATACCAAAAACAACCCAAGTTAAAAAATGTCAAAACTAAGGTCTACAGCTGGGTCAAAAGATTCTATAGTTGATCCCTTAGAAACAAATGACAAGGAGACAAAACTACTTGCTTACGTGAATGATAACCGACACTTTTCTTTACTAAGGTAGGATTGTATGAACTCTTCGGTACTCGAAAGGCATATGTCATGAGGAATCAGTTGGGTTTATTTGATAGATGGCTAATGAATTGATAGAGCCCTTCATCTTGCTGATCTAATTACTCTCTTCAATGGATTTTGTGGTGTTATGAGTATTTTTTCTAGTTTGCGCTACTGCTTGAGTGGTCAAACTAGCTCCAAGTACCTTGTTCGGGCTATGTATTTTATGCCGTTTGCTCTGTTCTTTGATTTTCTCGATGGAAAAGTGGCCCGTTGGCGTGGAAAGTCTTCTTTGATGGGCCAAGAGCTGGATAGTCTAGCTGACTTGGTAAGGAAGAGAAAGCTTACGAAATGAAAAGGCGCATATGGCTAATTATTTCTTTCAGATATCCTTCGGCGTATGTCCAGCCGTTTTTGCTTTTTGCTGCGGCTTTCAAACCTTCATTGATTTAATGATTCTTAATTTCTTCGTCCTTTGTGGTCTTACCCGTTTAGCTCGTTTTAACGTTTCTGTTAATTCCATTCCTAAAGATGAGTCTGGAAAGTCTCAATTTTTCGAAGGAACCCCAATTCCCACTACCCTTGCCTTGGTTTCTTTACTTGCTTTTTGTATGGTCAAAGGAAAGATTCACGAGGAACTCCCTGGTGGTCTTTGGTTTCCAGACACTCCCTTTGCAATTCATCCGATGGTATCTCTTTATGCCTTGAGTGGGATTGCTATGACCAGTAAGAAACTTTGTGTACCAAAGTGTATGTGAATGCATCAACTCATTCTTTTCATTCTCGTTTTCTAACCTTGCTAGTTTAAAAGCCTCTTCTTAGATCTCTTCTTGCTTAATTATGACTTTCCATAACCCATTTATTCAATCTGTTCATTGTACGTTTGCTCATCCATATTGATTTTTTTGGTTAGCTAGACTTTCAAAAATAGCTTCAACTCTATTTATCTGTTATCATGCGTCGACAGTTTTTTTCAGTCTTTATTATTATTTGTTTACCTTTTTTTACTGCTATTGCTAGGCGAATTTCCTTCAGTTCTACCCTCTCATACATATTCCCATTTTAACCTTCGCTTTTTCCTTAATCCCAATTCTTTTTTATGTGGGCATTACAGTCTGTGCAATTAATAGAAAGGTTATTACGTACTAAAACTATGGTTACACGCAGAAATACGAATGCAGACATGGGTACCCTCAACGGTAAACACGTTTTTATTCATCTCTTCATGATTATGATTGATGATCTCTGTTTCCTTCATTAAGCAGAAAACCGAAGAAAAAAGAAATTCATAATATAATAAATAAATACACTATCCTATACACAGCCTCTGTTCAACAATCTCTTGCGGTAGGAACACTATTTTTGAAAAAGGGCATAAAGCACTTCCATAATAATGTACCAGAAAACTTTTTCTCGTTACTCTAATCCGCGTTTGTTGTTTTTCACGACAGCAGCAACAGGATCTTTGATACCTTGATTCTCAGATCCAAGACCCAAACCTCGGCTCCAACCCATCATTTCAAGTAGTTTTTTACCTTTACCTGCTTCAATGGTGGGAGCAAAAGAACCAACTACTTGACCATCTAATTGACGCTTGGAAGTAAGACTTGTCTCTTTGCTAACCGACTTTGTTTTGAACTTTCTGTGCTTTTTAGTTAAAGCAGGTGGCTCTTGAAGTTTGCTCTTTCTCTTTTTAGACATTTTCACCTCTTTTTCAAGAGAAAAATGACGGTCGTGTTCAACAAGACTCAACATATCGGCTTCATGATCAGGGATTTGTTCCATGTAATCATTCCTAGCGCTTTTTTTGCCAAATAAGGCTTTAAACTTCACAAAAGCATCTTCATCACTTAAATGCCTTTTCCCTTTCTTTCTTTTATCGGGAACGACTTTGTTTTTTCTTGGAACAGGTTTTGGCTGAACTTTTGCAGGTTCAGTTTGCACATTTTCCCATTGCTTTGAAGAGATGGGAACTCCGTCTTCAATAATAACTGCCATACTTTAATCTAAACTGAAAGCGAAATTCTCAAACTTTCGATTAACGCCACGGTGCAAAAATATTTTGATACTTTCCAGTTCTTAGGTAGCTAAAAACCGTAAACTGCAAATAGTTTATCTCAAATATTGGCATTGATTATACTGAAATCACATAAAACTCGATTCCTCCCAACATATAAGAGTTTCCCAAAAATGGGTTTTTTACTCTGTCGCTCCTGTGTAAAACCGGTATAGGTAGCTTTTAGCAACAATGTTACCTCAACAAGGACATAACCTTTTGGTATGCAAATAAATAAATAAGCAGAGATAATAATAATTTTCGGTTAAAACGAGCTTTCTACCTTCTTTTAAATTAGATATTCGGTAGAATAATGAGAACAGTTTGGAATTGAGTAGACAAATTTTGAAGATCCCTGCAATGGACGAATCCTTAACAGAGTACAACAGAAAAGAAATTTTTCTTCATTTAATTTGAAAGAAAGTTTGAACACAACCACTGTTCATGGACGTAAAGTGAGAGATTTCATTACCCAGTGATGTGCTGAAATTTAAAGGGCTAGTTTTTGAGCCGAGTGTTCGTTTGATATTTAATTGGCACTATCCAGTTGCCATATAAGATTACCTGATCAGTCAATATTTGTACAAAGACGATCACATGGAAGACCGTAGTATATAAAGCTTTGTGAGTATGTTTTCATGGTTCAACAAAGCAATTGAGATATATACAGATTGAACTTAGTAAAAACAGCCCACTTTGCAAAATAAACAATTCAAACTGTTTTCGTTTTCTGGAAAATTACTATTTGAAGAAAGCGGAGTACAAACAGCTTCCAACTTCTCACTGTATTATCTCGTGAGATACGACGGTGAGAAAGACAGATTCAGTTATCTTATAACGAGAACAACAAGTATTTTTCTCTCATTTATCATCACCAACATCAACGCATTACCTAGATTTCATAACAACAGGTTACTGCAAACGGGAGCGAATTTCGTTACCGAGATCCATCAATTCTTCCTTGGTAGTAGCATAAGTGGGCCAGCCTACACCCAAACCGTATTCCTCATCGGGTTTGGGAATGATGTGAAAGTGAACGTGATTCACAAACTGATGAGCAATACGGCCGTTGTTCTGTAAAAAGTTGTAGTTTTCAGCCCCAATGGCCTTGGCTACTTTCTTAGCCAGAGGAAGAATATCAATCAAGCTTTCGTCACTCAAGCCTGTTAACTTCTCAGAGTGTTCTTTAGGAATCACAAGAGCATGACCTTTGGCAGTAGGGGAAATATCAAGAAAAGAAAGAGACTTTGCGGTCTCTGCAAGCTTCACACATGGGATTTCTCCCCGAATAATTTTACAAAAGATGCAGCTCATTTTTAGTTGTTTTAGGAAAATTCAAGTAACTCCGGTCACCCAATATATATGTCAACCTTGTTACTTATATGAGCATCGAAAATATTGTCTTAAAGCAACAGCTTTTGTTTATTTATTTATTTTTTAGAAAAATAAAATAAATCAACGAAAGAGCACCTCAGCTACGATCGGCCATTCATAGAAAAAAAAGAAAAAAAAAGCCATAGACTTCGTTTAAAAAGTTAGGTGTTTTTATGATTTGGCTGTACCTTTTTGGGACGCAAGACTAATCGAGGGTCTCCTTGCTTAAACATATTTCGTAAACAAATGTTCTGTGCAAGGGAGTAAATAGCAGAAGTTGTCCAGTATAACGATAAAGCTGTCGATGTTTTAGAAGCCATGAATGACACTACAAAGGCAGATAAAATACCAGCTGTGTTGAAAATTCGTAGCAGCCGGGAATCCTGAGGCCTCCGAAGAATTGACATATTGGTTAGATAGGTGCACGCTAGAATAGCTGGTAGAATACCGTGTGGGTCAGGCATAGTCAAATCGGGAAACCAAAGCATGCCCTCAGTAGACATGGTATCCGGAGACACTTCTACAGCCTTGCGAAGTTGAAAAGATGCAAGAGCAAACAAGGGAATTTGCGTCAATGGCAATGCGTAAAGCATAACCGGATGACAGTTAAACCGTTTATATATTTTGCTTCGAAATGTTCGGTATGCTTTGTCGTTCGGGCATCTTTTTTTTGCTTCCTTTAACAAAGGTTGAACTTGAGCATACTTACGTCCAGTTTTAATGCTCGAAATAGCCAACGGCAATGTAATTGTAGAACGTAGAAATATTGCCATTGCAGGAATTTCAAAACACCATGGCATATACGCATGGCAGCTTAGTAACGTTTGTAACATTTTTTCACGGTTCACCAATGAAGCAGACTTCCTGTCAATTATTATTTAGCTAATGGTCTTTTCGAAACTTTTGTTCGCGTTTATAATGTACTAAAAGAAGGTATTCTAATATTCAATTCAGTTTTTGAACAACGTGGGTAATGTTTGCACTTGGCTGGAGACGACGGATTTCATTTTTTGAATTTAATGGAATTTTAGTATTTGTTTTTCAGTATCAATATTTAAGTATTAATAAAGCTTTTATCTGTATCAAAATTTAATTTAAAGTATTTCATCCGTAATGTGTTAAGAAGACGACCTTGAAAACATGGTTTCATATTTCCATGACCGTCGACAGTATGTTTAAACGATGAGCTGCTTCTGTTTCTGTTAAAGTTATACACAGTAAGCTCGGCTGGTCGAAAAAACAATCAGAAAAGGATAGAATTTGTATTACATTTTATCGTCTTGCTTCAAATCAAAGCAAGTTGTAAATAATCTAAATAAAACTTTCATACATAGTTCGTCAAAGTGGCACCATCAAATACTTCTGTACCTACCTGTTCAAGCATCCATCAAGTCTTCATTACAAGAAAGCAAAAGTTTACCAGTTGTAGCTCTGCTTTGAAACTTATCATGAGCTTCTTTGGCTTCTTCTAACTTCCAAGTATGATGAATGGCGATATTAAGCTTGTTCTTTAATATTTCCTCCCAAAGTTTGCTTGTATAACGGTCAAATGTCTCTTCAGAGTCTAGATACCCGAAAAGGGTAGGACGAACGACTTTGATACATTTAGAGGTAATCATACTTAAAGGGATAGATTCTATTTTTCCACTAGCATTACCGTAGCTTACGAAGGTACCGCCGTTACGGATTGCGTTTATGGAAATTTCCAGGGTATCTTTGCCGACTGAGTCAAAGGAAGCATGTACACCTTTACCGTTTGTTAATTGACGAGAGAATTCAGGAACCTCATCATAAGAACAAGCAAATTCTGCTCCATTGTGAAGAGCAAGTCGTCGCTTCTCAGGAGTTGAAGCGGTTGCAATAACATGCACACCTCTACGATTCAAAATTTGACACAAAAGCAAGCCTACTCCTCCGGCGGCAGCGTGCACAATAACGTAGTCTCCACTGCGGACGGGATAGGCTTCTTCAACTAGAGTTAACACAGTCAATCCTTGAAGTAAAGAAGCAGCAGCGAGCTTGAGAGAAATTCCCTCTGGTATCTTAGTAGCTAAGACAGGAGAAACAAGATTATATTGAGCGTACCCGCCGGACATTGTCAAATATACAACACGATCTCCAACCTTGAACTTGTTACATTCAGGACCAACATCAGTGACAATACCGGATCCTTCTTTACCAGAAACAAAAGGCAAAGGGACAGGATACACTCCACTTCTGCAATAAGTGTCGATATAATTCAAGCCTGCATATGCATTTTTCACCAAAAGTTTGTTTCCGCTAACTTTAGGGATTTCGCGTTTGACAAATTGTAGGACAGAAGAGGGTCCGTATTTAGAGAATTCAACAAGATGGTTTGACATTATAGTTATAATTACTATGAAATGCGAAAAAACTAAGAATAGCTCAGAAACTGTACCCTTACGAAAATAAACTAGGAGGATGTAGAGTTAGAAGAATACTTTCGAAGAATGATTTAAAAGCGCACGTCATTACAACAATCTATTATTAAAAAAAGAGAATAAACTTTTTTTTTAAATAAAAGTAGAATATTGAAAAAACTGAAATTGAAGTAAGCAGCGAGGTAGGTGAATCGTATATAATTCGTATCTCATTCATTACGTACGTACAGGATTCAAGAAATTGAATATCAAGCTAACTACGTTTTAAATTGTCTAAACGAGCCGCTAGTTCTTCAAAGCTTGGTGGCTTATCGGGCGGATGTAAAGCGCTTTTAGCGACAGGCGGAACGTGAGTTTTGGGATCAGGTTTTGAGGTTAAAGGAGAGGTAGAAGTCCCGTTAGAAGGACCGTTAGTAGCAGATGAGGTAGATTGACGGAGATCCCCTGCCTTCGATACCTCGTCTTGGGTTGATGAAGGTGCTGACATATCTTGAGATGAAGACGCTAATGGCAATAGTTCCTCTGCTTCTTTTGAAGAAGGAATCTCTTCCTTCTGATACTCTTCAGGAAAATAAGTTCGTCGTAGTTCTTCTATATAGCCATTAACCAACTCCTCAGATGGAATAGGAGGGTATAAAAGCTTGTAAAACTAAAATTTATTAAATTGTTAGTATAAGGATGAGGAAAGGAAAATCTCTACTTACCTGCTCATCATTTTTGGATAAGTCAGGATCCGTTAATTGGGTAAATTCTTTGCCATAGAGTCTCACCAAGAAATCATGTACCTGTTGTTTAAAATTAGTTTTTAGTTTTCGTATGTTAATGACTTACAGATTTAAGTTCTTTAATGGGTAGCTGAGGAGCTGCAGCAAGGACGTGATACAAAGATGATTTCCAAGGAGCTTCAGCATTAAATCCTCGTTTTTCCAAAATAGAAGTGCGATTGGCAAGAATCTCTGCATCCACTTGTAAAAGCTCAAGCAGTTCCATGTATACATCCTGCGTAATTAAGGGTTCTACTCGAGCTCGAGCTAAAGTTGGTGAATATGTTTTTAAGCCATATGCTACAGTTCTCCTTGCTTGTTTTGCAAGAGCCTCTTCTTTTTTCCTCAAAATTTCCATTCTGGCAGCAGCCAATTTGAACTGAAGTTGAAGTCTCGACATGATGGTTGCAGTTGACTTAGCAAGGCACCGATGGCCACGTTTTACTTTTCTTTTTGACTGGTAAACTCTATTATGCTTGTTCGTATACAATTGTTAGCCCGTCGGCTTTTCAAGCGAGTCTCCTTCTCGTTGTCTATACGGTTTGGTCACGTACATGTGTTATATCCAACGCTTTTCCTTGTTTGAAATATGGGAAATATAAGATCGATGTTCATCTATGAAACTTCTTTAATTAAATCTTTAAATTAGGATAAATGGGGTGCTCTTGTTCAGACTATTTTTAAGAACAATCAAAGATTCAAAAATTTAACGATGGCTTATGGGTTGCAGGCTGTACATTTGTTTTTAAAGCTTCTCAAACTTGTTTAAAGTAGTTTAAGGTGAAAATCGAGAAATCATTAACAGGCTTTGTTCACATTCCTGATGTCGCTTTAGTATCGAATATTCACAAAACCATTCAACAATTAAACCGAGCGCTAATTCAGTTAACTAACTTTTTAATAAGAAGAAAAAAAAAATAGAGACGATATTCGTTGAATCCCTTCGTGACTCTAATGTTGACTTGAACCATATGTGAAGAACAAAAGTAAAATGAAACTCAATTCATTTGACCAATAAGTAAAAAACCTTAAGAAACTTCTTATGGTTCTTTGTAGGCGCTCTGTCCTGTCTCAGATTTTCCAAATTTTTTTGTCGAGCATACCAACAACTGCCTTTCTTACCAAAAACTTATTTCTGGGTAAACCAGAATGTCCGTGGAAATTGATGGAAACCCATCTTTTGATGATAAAACAGTAAAGAATGAAAAGATAAAAAAGCGGAAAAGAAAAGATGAAGAGAAAAATACAGGCTCTGATGCTGCCAGCGCTGCAATTGAGCGTTTAAAAAAATCAGCTAGCCTGGCCCAAGCGGCGCAACAGAAAATAAAACAAGAAAGCAAAAATGAAGAAGAAAAAGATATTGAAATGGAAGATGTTGAACAGAAGGCTGCACTACATGGCCTAACACCAATTCCTCAACCCAGTATCGATGAGTATTTGGAAGCAAAGTCTTCTGCTGCTCCCTCTATTGTTTCCTCTCTTCCAAAGTGGCTTTCGGAGCCTATTTTGGTTGATCCTACTACAACAATCCAATTTTCGTCACTTAACATTGCTAGTAAGCTGGTGGAAAAACTTCAAAGTCAAAACATTGCCCAAGGATTTGCAGTGCAGTCGTCTGTTCTTCCACTGTTACTACAAGAAGGAAGAGACGGTCCTAGCTACTCTTATGGAGGTGATCTTTGCGTTAGTGCTGCAACCGGTAGCGGTAAGACCCTTGCATACGTTCTTCCTATCGTTCAATGTCTCAGTCGCCGTATAGTCCCTCGTTTACGATGTGTCGTTATTGTTCCAACTCGGGAACTAACAATTCAGGTTTCTCGTACGTTTGAGATTTTCGCTTCCTGCATGGGACTTGGTGTATGTGGATGGACTGGACAGAAGAACTTACTGCAAGAACAGTATCAGTTGCTTGGAGGTTCAGAGGAAAATGAGAGCACAGTGGATATTTTAGTGACAACTCCAGGAAGGTTGGTTGATCACATACAAAATGATAATATCTTTAGCTTACAGCATCTACGTTATCTAGTTATCGATGAAGCGGATCGACTTTTGGATCAAAGTTTTCAGAGTTGGGCTGATGTTGTCATGGCCGAAATAGATCACCCAAAATTTTTTCAAAAGGATAACGAGTTATCAAAACAAAACATAGCTCCTTTTTTCCTCTCCTCATTACCTACGGCTTTACCTCATCATTTGGATTCCCCTGTACAAAAACTGATCTTTTCTGCAACTTTGACTCGTGATCCATCGAAAATTGCAACCCTTCGTCTTCGAAATCCCCGCCTGCTACTTGTGCAAAGCGAAGGTGTAGAGTTAGATGATGGAGAAGAGATTGAGGGAGATGCCATTATCTTCTCTGTCCCTCCTACATTACAAGAATATCGTGTTTCTGTCAGTGCCGAGAAGCCTATTCTTTTGCATCACCTTATTCACTCCAACAATCTTAACAGTGTTCTTTGTTTCGTCAAGTCGAATGAAGGTGCCGCTCGTTTGCACCGGTTGCTTGAGATCTTTAACGGTATTGAAGGGAAAAACTACCCGTGTGGTTTGGTATCAGGCAATATTTCTCGTGATGAACGAAAAAAGATGCTTAATGGATTTGTCTCTGGTGAACTGAAGCTTTTGGTATGTTCAGACTTGATGGCTCGCGGTATAGATGTCGCCAACACAGAGCATGTAATCAACTATGATCCTCCATCGAGTCTTCGTCGATACGTTCACAGAATCGGTCGTACTGCTCGTGCTGGTAGATACGGCTATGCTTGGACACTTGTTCAAGACCATGAAGGTCATCACTTTTCCAAGTTGCTCAAGCATTTAGGAAGAACACTCCCTCTCCAGCGCCTCCGTCTTCATTTGAAAGACTTGCCTAAAGAGTATGTGGAATTGTATGACAATGCTTTAGAAACGCTTCGCACGGAGGTATATGAGTCACGGAAAAGCTCGAAATAATTCAATTTGTTTCGAGAAGAAAGAGAAAAGAAAAAAAAAAATTGTGCAAGGGCTTTCATTCTATTTAGGAAACATATTTAATGGTTGATATGGTTTATTTTGGGAAATTAGTTTTATTTGCTAAGTTTTAAATAACTAATTATATTCAATTCTTGGACGGATCTGAAGATCATGCCTTTCTCGCTAAAACTTCTTTTCAATTAAAGATGAAAATCAATAATGAAAGGGATCATTTGGCATCGTTCTTTAAACTAACGTAAGACAAAAAGCTTGTCCGCTTTCTTCAGTATAGTCCTGGCCGGCCCTATTATACATTAATATAGAGTATTGAAACTGACTATATTCTCACATAATAATAACTACTAATAATAATAAGAAGAAAACAGCATGCGTGAACCTAACCATTCACCTACCTCCCTACATTTCGGAGACATTACAAGAAATGACATTTATCAGTGGAACAGCATGTCACGGTAGATATCTTTAAAGGGACACGAGTTGACGATGGCTTATTATTGGAAAAGTTGGAAAAGAACAACTCACCTTTTGCTATACTCAATCTGACTAGGTTAAAAGAACTTGCTTGCTTTACTGAGTGGATCTATCAAGATGGAACAGCCGACATTCACAGCACATGTTTTGGATACAACTAGAGGTGTTCCTGCAGAAAATATTTCGGTTTCGGTTTTCAAACTTAGTACTAGTTCGGGTACTCTTACACAAGAGCAACTTGCTACTGCAATTACAAACTCCAACGGCCGTGTTGGTCAATGGAACGTACCCTTGAAAGAAGTCGAATCTGGGGTTTACAAGTTTCGGTTTGATACGGGTCCTTACTATGACGCTATGTCGGTTGAAACCTTTTATCCGTATGTCGAATTAACTGTTCAAATAAAGAAGGGCCAGCATTACCACATTCCTCTCCTTCTATCTCCTTTCGGATTCACTACCTATCGCGGCTCCTAAGTGCTGAGGACTCCAAACGATATAGAATTCCTTGCCCGAGCAACAACAGCATTGAAGAATCAGAATGACAAAACATAAGTATGCCAAGAATTAAAAATAGAAATAAATGTTCAGAAAAGTTTACTTTGATGGTCGTCACAAATCTTTAAACTATGATAATTGCAAGTTGAATGAATCAACAACATGGATAAGCATTACCCCCATTTTTAATAAGTCTACTCTTGAATTTAAAGGCAATTACTTAAATTCACGAAAAGCTAAAGTGCTACCGTTGATGAAGTATATTTTTACGATTTGAAAAAAACTTTACGATAAAGCAACCATTCATAAAACCCTTTTTTTCCTCGCTTCCACACTAGGCAATCATACATTGGATTGGATTAGGAACGACTAGTTTATTGTGTATGATGTAAGTTGCGAAACGCAAGAAAAAAAAAAAAAACAAAACAAAAAGATGATGATGATGGGTATGAATATGAATATGATAACTTACAGCGTGTATAAACTGCAATGGATCTGTGAATCTTTGCCGGTCCTGAATCCTTCAATGAGCTAGTTACGAAACCATCCTTGCAGATAAAGGGTTGGATTTGAAACAGACGAGTTTACTGTTGCGATGAACTCTCAATTCGAGTCCCTGCAGATGAGTCAACCTTATAATCATGCATATCTCAATTTCTTTTTCTTTTCTTTTTTCTCCTCATACAACAAGCCGAGGAACTTTTGAGAATAAGTTAGAGCTGTTTCGCTCGTTTCGATAAATTTTTTTTTGTCATTTATTGGGTGAGAAGCAATTACAGTCACTATCAAACATCCAACTTTGCTTCATAGGGGATGCTCCATTTGGTGGAATTTTGTGTTCGAAGATAAAAGCAAAAAATTTTTTAAAAAAAAAAGTCCAGATTGGGACCTCCTCAGGCAACGGGGTTATGATAAAGAAGATGAACCGAGATATATTGTAAACAATTCTGTGCTATATAAACGGGCGATGGGAAATGCTTTCTTCATTGAGAACTTTCTTTTTTTCGCACAAAGTTTTATAGAAGAATTTACAGTCTTTGTTTGTTTATATCTTTGTTTGTTTATATACAAGGAAAAGTCTGTAAGTTCCTTTCATAGTTCCTTCCCTCTTTAAATTTTCATTTTTTTTTTTTTTTTTTTTTAGACGATGGCTTTCCTCAAATCCCTTGTCTCTGCTTTGGCTATGACCTCTGCTCTCCTACCTGCTTCTGCAGGTCTTATTAGTAAACGTGATGTGGTCAAGCCCAAAGTCATGGTTGTATCAATGTTTGCTCCTGAAGCCAATGCTTGGTTAAACCCTTGGAATGACTTGTATGCAAACAATATAACCGTTCCCGGTTTGAATACCCTCTTTCCCGAAGTGCACTGCAATAGTGAAGAGACTGTTTGCCAGGTCACTACTGGTGAAGGCAAGTCGAATGCTGCCAGTACTATGACGGCTTTGACTTTAAGTTCCAAATTTGACCTTTCTGAGACTTACTTTTTGATTTCGGGTATCGCTGGTATTAACCCATATGCAGCTTCCCTTGCTTCTGTCACCGTTGCTAAGTATGCCGTGGATGTCGATTTGGTTCAAACAATCGATCTCCGTGAACTTCCCAAACAGTATGAATCCGCAAGCTGGGAAATTGGTACTGATCCTTATAATGATGGTTCTTCTAATAATGAAGTTGTTTACCCCAAGTCATTTCCTTACCAAACCAATGTTTATCAATTGAACTCCACCTTGGTTGAAGCTGCTCTTCAAGTCGTTAAAGATGTTGTCCTTGAGGATAATGAAAAAACTGCCGATTATCGTAAGCATTACCAACAAGCTGCCGCTCAACGGGCTCCTTTTATTGTTCAATGTGATACTGCTACTAGTGATAATTATTGGGCTGGTAATTATATGGGAGACTTTGCTAGCAACATCACAAATGTCCTTACCAATTACACAGGTCATTATTGCTCCTCTCAGCAAGAGGATAATGCTTCTCTTACTGCTATTAAGCGTGCTGCTAGTCAAGGTTTGGTAAACTTCAACCGCATCATTCTCATGCGTTCTGGCTCTGATTTCGACCGTGGTAGCGACTCGGTTTCTTCTCTTGACAACCTTATTAAGGATGATGGTCATGTCCTTCCTCTTGCTGCTGCTAACCTTTACCATGCTGGCAAACCTTTGGTGGATCACATTGTGAACAATTGGTCTTACTGGAACTAAGAATGGTCTTTTGTATATCTTCATTCACTCGTTAACTCTTCACCTGAAACCCTTCTCTTTTCACCTTTAATTATTCCATAGTTATTGTTAATAATGTTTTTTAGACGTATTTTTTGGATTTCCTAATTGGATTTATTTTCTTATATATTATTTGTATACACTTGTAAAAGATGCTGTTCACTACGAAGAAATTTATTGTTTTGAATATATTTGAGAACTTATATAAACCATGACTTTACAGTCGAAATCTTCAGGCTGGAAGCTTCGATTGGTCTGGTTAAATAAGATCGTTTACCAATTAATTACATAGACCTCTAAAGTTGAAAACGTTTAGAAAGTCATTAATACCATTTTATAAGGCCACTCTCGAATGAAACCTTCAATATAAGCTCGAAGGTCGTAATCGTGAAAATAGTTTCATCTTTTCAAACTTTTAAGTCCTCACCATCGTCAAAAGTCAACAGTAAATTCATCGAATAGCTACCAATGGAAAGCAAAACTTTAACACCTTTCTGTCCTTTTCAATCTGTGGTTACTGTTTTAGTTCAGTGAACTTTTCATTATCGCTGCATAAGTCGGAAAAATCATAGATGGACCAGCCCGTTAGCACTCAAAAAATAATAACAAAGGATAAAATAAAACATTGGTATTTGGAGATTTTGCAGTAATTAACTATAAGATGCAAAAGATACTGTGCTATGGAAAACCTTGGTCCATCTTGAAGTGTAGGTAGGGAAGAAAACAGGAAATATTTTATACGTAGTGGGTGCAATAAAGATCTAAGGCTTTTAATAGTTGAGTGCAAATTAATACAAAAATAAGACCTAACATGAACAACATTGATGCTTTTTGAAAGCTAATGCATTTGATACCAAAAATTTACTGCTTTCTGTATTCTTAATCCTTTGGTTTGTTTACGCGTCAGCTTCTGCTAATTATCAGTTGTAGATAATCAATCCTACGCGTAATCCTTTCGCAAAATTAAGTTTGGGGATGCGGAGAGTGAAAAGCATTCACCAATAAAAAGTGAGGTTGTCGGGGTTTCTAATATCTACGCGAATGTGAACATTACAACAAGTCTTCTTTCATGCATCGAGCGTTCAATATTGAATGAATTTTATATTGTGTAAATCAAGTATTTGAAATAAGAATAATTTTTTTTTTCTCCGAGTAATATGAAGCATGGCTCTAAAATTGACCAGTCGCAATCCATTGATCTCTACCTTTGTAAATACTGCACGTTGCGCTTGATTGACTTGACGAAGCTGATTCTTTTTGACATTTTGGTTTATTTTACACGTGACTATTTTCTCTATAATGGTACAAATAAACCTCTTCAAAATCCATTACCATTTGCCAGATACGGTTATTAAGGATTGAATTGTCATATTTTCTAGCATAAGTCATATACTACAAGGTTTAAATCGAATAAAATGATATATCATCGTTGGGATATGGTACTAGACAAAAATATCACGAAATAGCCCAGTAGTTGCTTTCATTGCATCTTTTTTGTAAAAATTGTATCCGTTGGATTAGAGATCTAATACGGTATTTCCATACTCTTAACAGATTTAGTGACTCGACCAAGGAAATATTAATAGGAAAGTACGGGATTTTCAGGCCTATGCACATTGGAAAAAATTTCGCAAAAGCGATTCCCTGAACATTTATCTTTAAAAGATCTTTCCTATAGGAGTTTCCTTTCGACTTTCGGAATGATCTTCAGTAGGTATTTTTTTCTTTAAAGATATTGAATGAAATCTCATATCCAATTATCGTATATCTGTCTACTATAAGAAGATACTCTTTAAACGACCTTTGTGGATACCGTAAGAATGATGTAAATTTCGTAAATTAATAATAACGTAGCATAGGGAGAAGGATGTGGAGATTTTGGAATTCATATCAACTTAACCTTTCCTATTACTTTGTGCGCACATCTGATACCCTTTTTAGATATATTCAGTCTTTTTGACGTAGTTTTCGGTTTCATTATTTATTTGTTATGAAATTTGGTGAAAGGTAGGTCTATCCTTGTTATAAAGTTTACTAGGAAATAAGCATTCAATCGTCAAATGTTATGAAACTAGTCAATTTACAAAGAAGAAAAGGATCTAAGAAATCGACATGTTGTCGTTCATTTTTCTTTGTTCCATAGTCTTTAAGCTATATGGGGTTAATATCGTGTTCATTCGATGAGACGAAAAGCTAGGCTATTACTTTGTTGTTTTAGATTCATAACACTAATTACTTCCTTTTTTATCCTTGTTCCTCGCTAACATGCAGTCTCCAATTGGCCCTAATCTCTGAGTTCGCTGAAGAATATGTAGATTATCAAGGAATAAAGCAAAGAATACAATTCGTGGCCTCTCTTCCCGAAAATGAGAAAGAAGCATATTTGCAACGAGCTCCAGATGGATCTTGGCCTAAGGATTCCCCAGACGAGATGTTAGTTGCAAATTTAGAAAAAGTAGTCAATTTCTTCTCTACAAACATATCTCAGCTGAATGCTTATATAAATCGTCTCTCGAATGAGGATGATCCGGAATTAGCTCGTCAGTCTGGTTCTATTAACGAACTTCAAGAGCGACATGAGCAAATAAAGGATTTGGATTTACGACTTCAGAAGCTTTCTTCTTTTGCTGAGTGGAATAAGCTGGCATTCGAAAAATTGGCGGCTAGAATGGACAAGCATCTTGGTACTGACCGACAAACCACATTTTATGAACGGAAAGTTTCCAAACTCGATTTTGCCAATTCTGCAAAAATTTATGAAACGCTCCTTTCATTGAAGAAGTTGGATAGTTCGCAAAAAAGAATAGACACTCTAAAAAAGCTAGAGCATATATCTTCGAAACATCCAATAAAGAAAGATTTGCTTACTTACATACAGCAGGATGACGTTAAAGAAGTGGCAGAGACTTGCATAAATGCTCCTGAAACTGTTTTGATTGATATCCTTGCTGCCACTATAGTAGCAGCAGCTAAAGCTTGCATGAGAGAAGTCGTTGGAAGGATGGGACTTCGATCTGAATGCCTCGCTTCTGCATTACGTCGTGCGATAAATAATCTAGAAGGACCTGACCATGGCGTGCACTGCTTTTTAGAAGTTGTAAAGGATATATGCTGTGTTGTGTATCTAGAAAAAGACCATCTTAATTCTCTCTTAACAAGAATCCTCGCTGTTGAGAGGAATAGCAGGGGTCAAACTGTAATGCACTCAGCTGCTCAAAGTGGCTACCATATGTTGTGTTATGAATTTTGTAAAATTATTTCGTCCATCCCTTCGGCGGAACCTTTGAATTGGATGCGTCCTTATTGGTTTGATGTTATGCAAGATACCCCTTTAAGTTTAGCTATTAGAGGAAACCATGTAAAAGTGTTACATGCCCTTTTATCTTGTCAAGACAGGGGTACGCCTTCGACCAAGCCTGGCCCTATACCTCCGTTGGTGTTGGTATGCTTGGTAGGAGACAATGCTGGAATGATTAAAGAACTTTTGGATGCTGGTTTTAACAGTAATGAGCATGATGCGAAGGGAAGCACTTGTTTGCACGCTGCCGTTCGAAATCATCGCTCAAATTGTGTAGAAACACTGATCAAACACGGCGTAAATCAAAATATACGTGAGGCTCCTTTCTCTTGGACGCCGCTGATGCTTGCTAGCGCTCTTGGATTTTCAGACATTATTAAGATCCTTGTGGAAGCTGGCTCACCAGTTGATGCAGTCGATGCTTCCGGTTGGACTGCAATGGAGCACGCTGTCGTTCGTGGAAATTTGGAAGCACTTGATGTATTGCAGACGTCCTTTGCTTTGAGCGATGGTCCTGTAAATCTTGATTCTTTATCCATAAAACCCTCTGGAGCAGAGGTCAGAAGCCGAAAACGCGCCATGGAACTTCAACCGTCTTCGTCTATAGTGATTTTGAGGTTAAGTGGCTTAACCGGCCGTATACGTGTAACACTTGAAGGTGAAGGTACACAGTACCTCTCTGGTAAAACATCGTCGTCTGCTGTTTCCTCTAAGTCATCAACAACAGATTTACTCTCAACTAGTCTTGCGACTAATATACAACCATCTTCAGAGTCATCTAATTCGTCCTTGCTTCGTGAAAAGTCTGCGAGCTCCACTGTGGTCATTGATGTGCCCCGTTCTCATTTTGATAGTGTCGGTGAAGTAGATTTTGAAGATGTGGTTGAACCTGATGAAACAAATGACGAGTCTATTTATATGCATTATGATGCTGCTCAGGAAGTGAGTTTAAAATCCACCGTTGCCTCTCCTCCTTATGAATTAATCTTTATAACTAAAGACGTTGACAAGACAACTGTTTGTATTGATGCCTTGGGCCATCGATCCCTGAAAGTGATTGGTAGAGCTTATGCTCAATTGAGCGACTTTATTCCAAACTTGGGTAAGGGTATGCAATCATTGAAGCCACTACCGTCCCTTACTTTGTTATCCAATAAAGGGCTTAAACCTATTGCTAAAATACATGTGGATGCGCTTGTTTCGACTGTTCCGGATGAAGATATCTTGAAGTTAGGTTCTGAGCGTGTTCATGGAGCGTCTTCTTTAGAAGCCGTGTCGAATTTTGATAGATCGACATTGGAGGATAAGGACGAATTGTCTGCAACATCGTCGAAATCTCCTTCCGAATCTGGAAAAGTAAGTAGCGTAGAGGTTATTGGACATCGAGGATTAGGGAAAAATCAACCTAATAGTTTGACTTTGCAATTGGGTGAAAACACAGTACAATCTTTTATCAAGGCTGCTGATTTAGGTGCTTCATACGTCGAGTTGGATGTCCAACTTACGAAGGATATGATTCCTGTGGTTTATCATGACTTCGCTGTAAATGAAACAGGAACCGATGCGCAAGTTCATTCTTTAACTTTGGAGCAGTTTTTGTCAGTCTCACATAGTCCTTCGGATAAGCCGGCGGAAGACGTCCGTGAGTATAGTCTTAAACGTCGCCCTCGTGCCTATAGTTCTTCAGTATCAAGATCCTCAGATACTCAACTGAATTTATTGAATTTACTGAATTCTCAAGAAGATCCCGTGAGTGCGAAGCAAAAAGTTTATAAAGGGAATGCTTTGGGACATAGCATTTGTGCCCCGTTTAACACTTTGCGAGATATTCTAGAAAAGGTTCCTCAATCGGTAGGATTGAATGTGGAGTTTAAGTATCCAATGCTAAGTGAAGCCGAGGAAGAGAATCTGTTACCTGTTGCATATGATTACAATGCTTTCGTGGACACTATTCTTTCCGTGATACAAAAGTACGGAGGTCATCGACGATACATTTTTTCTAGTTTTAATCCAGATATTTGTATTTTACTATCACTTAAGTGCTCCGTACCGGTTCTATTTTTAACCGAAGGTGGTACTGCTTTTCGCACTGATGCCAGAGCAGCTTCCTTAAAGAATGCTATAAAATTTGCTGCCCAATGGAATTTGCTTGGTATTGTAAGTGCTTGTGAGCCTTTAATTCAAAGTCCACGCTTGATTAAAGCTGTGAAGCAATTGAAACTGGCTTGCTACACGTACGGAGTCTTAAACAACAATACTGACAACGTAAGACGTCAAGTTCGGTTCGGCGTTGATGCTGTTATTGTGGATAATGTGTTAGCCGTTAGAAAAGCACTCAATGAAGGTGAGAGGTGATATGTTTATGTGATGTGATAATGTTGTTAGAAATGAGAAAATTATGAGAAAACTAGCAATGAATTTATTTATTAAATAGTAAAACTTCTGAAAAGAAAGAAAAATCAAATAAGATGCATATTGGTATTTATGGAGCATCATCTGCACTTTTTCTGCCTAAAAAAGTATTGTATATACGACGGGATAATGCTGTTCCAAGATTTCTCTCGCTCACAGCAGTAGCAATCATAATATTAGACAAAGATTCTTCACCATTTGCTTCTAAATATTGAACCAGCTTGGGAATGGATGGAAAGTGATCGCAGATAGCATTCGAAATATTGGGGGTAACTCTCAGTATTTGCCTTAGCATAAAATTCAGTGTATTCTCAACTCGGTCAGCTGATTTTACGTGTCCTATTTCTGCTAATGAAGTTCTAGCAGACAAGTGGGAGGATTGTTTATATCGTGATAGAGCTATGTCAGAAGTAAAAGACTTAATCCAGTCGGCAGTTTCTTTTTCATCATTGGAATAGTTCAATAGAACATTATGCTGAACGTTCATCCTGCATACTTCATTCTCCAGTACTTCTTTTGTGACCGTCTGATATTTTGAAAGGGAACCAAAAAGCAAGGGTTTTGTACCTGTGTTTACAGCGTTAGCGTACTGACGATTAATGTCAGACTTGACATTTTTGAAATGACTGTTAACGCCTTCTAATATGAAAATGAGTTTGCTTTTAGGAAACTGAAGCTTGCAGGATTTAACAAAATCATCTACTATGTTATCAACAATTTTCGTCACGAAATCGGAACAGGGGATCCGATAAAGTGAAAATGGCTCATTGTGTATGTGTTCAGTGACGAATTCGAACCGATTTGATGAATGATCAAAGTAAGTGTTGACCTTTCTTTTCCAAATCACGGTGCTTTTAAGCTGATCTTTGGCAGTTATGAACTCACAAGAGAAGGGTTTCAAAGACTCACACAGTGAAGCTCCCCATAAGGAAAACAAATCTTCATGAGCAAGAATTAAAATCATTTCGGATAAACAGTCTTCTTTAGTCCTCTTTACCTTGTTAATTCTCTGTAACTCTCTATTCTTCTTTCTTTCGGCCTCATCGATCTTTTTTTTGGACAAGCCAACTTTTCCCATAGTTTTTGATTTTCGTAGGGTATTATGGAGAGCCTCCCGGCTATCGTGATCGTTAACACAGCTTTGAAAACTCCTTGAGTAATATTTTTTCAGTCTTTTTAGTTTTTGTAGATCGTTACTCTGGGTTGAGTCTGTTGAATTATGTCGATTATCGGGAGTAGCAGAGGATGCATCGAGAGCGCGCTTTCGAGAAATTGTTGTAGATATTGACTCCACAGAAGGCAATTCAAAGAGTGGTTCGTCCTGATCATTTTTGAGAGGATTGGGTTTTGAAGAAGAGGAAGGAGGTTTGGTGCTTTCAACGTTAGAGCCTCCAGACGATCCCACCAACCCATTAGCTACATCTGTTTGTTCGGCGAAAGATATGCTCGAATCATTATGAGCTTGTTGAGGGGAGCGTGTAACTTGGTTTGTATCAGCTTCTGAATGGTGAACGGATGCGTTTCCCGAGTCAGCAAAGCGGTTAGACAGGGAGCTGAATTGCAGTAAATTTTTTTCGTGGAGAAGAGACCTGTCAAGGGAGTTGGATAATATCTCAAGAGAATCGGGTTGAGGAAGTGCGTTGTGGGAAGCATCCAAAATGGTTTCTTTAAAACAGGACGCTTTGTCACGTGGGGAATCGGCGAGCGCTACGGAATGTACAGCTTTGTTATGCAAAGGGGAAGATCCAAGCTCAAGAGTTCCATTTTCCTTTTGAAAATTATCGATGACCTGTAGGTTAGAAGGTGGGGCAGATGCAAATAAAGGACTTGGCTGAGAGATGGCAGACGGAGGAGAAGAGGATAGAACGATGGGATCATGAGGTTGCGAGGGAGTGTTAGGGATTTTTTTGGGAGGAGAAGGGAATGGTAGCGTAGGGGGACGAGTAGAAACGGGGTTAGATTCGCAAGTAATGCCAAGAGCATTTCTGGGGCTAGGAAGCAAGTCATCTGAGTCTGAGTAAGCAGAGGTGCTGTATGATAGGGAAATTAGTTTAAGGAAATAGGTGCAGAGAATTCTCTTACAAAACTGAGTGAACAAACGTTCCTAGATGTGCATCTTGCCTAGGCGTTTCAGATATCGGAATCACATTCGTTTTAGAAGCGAGAGGAGTCTATACAGGTGGCAAAAGTTAGAAGCAAGCAATGAACAAGGTGCAAACCTTTGTATGCTGGGAAGATGCATCTAGTTCGTCAGTGTCTGTCTCTGAAGGAATGAGGATGATATCGTTTTGTTTTGACATTCAATGCATTAAAAAAGAGCGACCTTCTGGGCGACAGGGAAGGTAATGATTATGAAATAAAATAAATAAAAAATAAATAAAGAAAACAGTTGCAGAAGAACAGAAGGAGAAAAAAGGAAGAAACAGTGGAAAGAAAAGAACAGAACGAAGTCCAATCTAATGTGATACCTCTTTAAAAGGATGTTGATTTCGGTAGGATGCAGAAGGGTGAAAGGATAAAATTCCAAATAGTGGAAAAAAAAAGTATTGCAAATAATCTACAAGTGTATTCTTTTCCAAGATGTTACATGATGTATTTTAGAATGAAAAGTGGAAAATTTAATTCATGAGTGGATGGAATCTTTCTCCATTCCCATTTTTTCCCTTTGCATTATTGTCATTACCACTTCCTGCAGTTTCTTTGCTGTGCGCACTTATTTTCGTCTTTTTATGAGGAAGATTTTTTATATGAATTTTTTATTTATTTTTTTTTTGGATGTGTTTATTGTTGTTTCCAATGACTCGAAAATAGTATCTTAGTGATCAGTTAACGAATCAGTATTCATAGTTTTTGACAAAGGAATGCTTCCAGCTTAGAAGTCAAAAGAGTCGTAAACTTATATTTATTTGCTTACTTATGACTCAATTCGTGTTTTATATTTTCAGTTGTTTACTTTTGTTCGAATCTATTGCATAAAATTCGCTTAGGCAAGAACTTTATTTATACCCAAACTTTTAATCCTTTTGTTACCGTACTGTCTTTTGGAAACAAAAGGTATATTCTCGGATTCGTCGGCAGGAACGTGCCAAATCAAAGTTAAGGGAAGGGGACTTCTGAGCAGGTAACAATCCCACCTTTTAGAAATAAGTTGTTTTAAACGACAATTTGAATAACACAAAGACGCTTTAAAAGATAATTCTTCCCGTTTTTAGTAACCAAGTACTTTATATATAAGTTTTATGTTTCTATGAAGCAAGAGACTCCTACGCTAAAATAAAACATTAAGTTTTTCTTCCTGCTGTTCTTGATTAAAGAGAGAGAGAGCGGTTCAATGAAACCTCGTCCTATTACGTTACGCTGTGCTACCGCACAAGGAGATTATAGGCTCAACTTAAGCGTTATCAGAGGTGGAGTCCTTAACAAATAAGCGAACCAATCATATTAGTTACAATAGTCCAGTTATCGATCAGTTCTAATCTATATATTTTTTGTTGGAAGCAAAAAATTGAACCAGTATCATTGGAAGAAAAACACGTCATGAGCGAAGAGGTCCATCCATACAAAAGTCCACTATTTCTTTTATTTAAGCCTCTCTTTTGCAAGTCAGCAAGAACAAAGCTTGGAAAGAAAAAGGCCGACGTTGGGATCGAGATTATTATTTTTTTATTTAATCCAAGAAACATTGCTTGTTTTTTTTTTCTTGTTAACTAATTCCTTGCCGTTGAACTCTGGCATTTTCAAAAGGTCTCCTTTGCAATTTCCTCATTCAACGTCCCTGCTTACGTTTTCTTTCACCCGCGGAACATCCCAAGGAAAACTTCTTCTCTTTTCCCTTTTGACTTCATTACACTGCTTTCCTTTTTCCATAGTCCTTTGTATTTGCTGGTAGACCTGAATTTGGGTTACGTTTTTGTTCTTTCTTGTTATTATATTTATACTCTCTGATCTTTGTCTGATTTAAAATATCAGGTATGTATTTATAGTAATGCTTGCAGCATTTGCATTTGTTCATTTTCTTTTCAGATTTTGGAAACCATGGAATACGATCTTCAATTTTCCATTGCATCTCCATTCTCCACGTTCTATTGCTTCCAATTTGGCTATTTAGCCTCTTTTTCTTTTCTAGGTCCAGTCACTAACTCATTTCTAGATATCCTACACCTTTTTTTTTTTGTTTGAATTACTTGGCATTTCTGTTCATTGAATAGTTATGGCTGTCTTTTCTTCCTCATCCAAGCCTACTGAATCCATCAATCAAAATGTTATTTCTGTAGATGCTTTATCACAAGATGCCAACAATATGGCGCTCTCTGATGAGTACCCTCATGCCCCTATCTATCCTTATGAAGTAGAAGGAAATGAAGCTTGGGCTGGCTCTCTCCCAAAAGCACAGGCTCTTTATGACCCTACTTTTGAGAAAGACTCATGTGGTGTAGGCTTCGTCTGCCACGTCAAAGGCCAAGGCAATCACAAAATTGTCACCGACGCTCGTTTATTATTATGCAACATGACCCATCGTGGAGCTACCGGCGCGGATACCCGTGACGGTGACGGTGCTGGTGTAATGACTTCTATGCCTTATACCTTCATGCAAAAAGAATTTAAACAAATTCTTGGCCACGATCTTCCTCAACCTGGTCAATATGCTACCGGTAATGTGTTCTTTTCTCCTGAGCCCGAGGTATGTCAGGAAGGTATTGAATTTTTTACCAAGATCGCCGAAGATCTTGACATGGCAATTCTTGGTTGGCGTCCCGTACCTTGCGACAATAGTATCCTTGGACCTGCTGCTCTTTCTCGTGAACCCACCATCTTGCAGCCCATGATTGTATACAGACCTGTATACCAAGGTGATGTCGAGTTCGACGAAGTCCTCTTTGAAAAACAACTCTATCTTCTTCGCAAACGAAGTACGCATCAGATTGGAAAAGAAAAATGGTTTTACATTTGTTCTCTTAGTCGCGACACTATCGTTTACAAAGGTCAATTGGCTCCAGTCCAAGTGTATAATTACTTTTTAGACTTAAATAATGCCGAATATGTCTCTCACTTTGCTCTCGTTCACTCCCGTTTCTCCACAAATACTTTCCCCTCATGGGACCGTGCTCAACCTATGCGTTTGGCCGCTCACAACGGTGAGATTAATACACTAAGAGGCAATAAGAACTGGATGCGTGCTCGTGAAGGCTTATTAAAATCATCCAAATTCGGCGATCAGTTATCTTCTTTGCTGCCTGTTATAGAACGCGGCGGTTCCGATTCCGCTGCCTTCGATAATGTGTTAGAGTTACTTTGCGTTAATGGTACAGTTTCCTTGCCTGAAGCTGTCATGTTGTTGATCCCAGAAGCTTGGCAAAATGACAACAGTCTCAGTGATGAAAAAGCAGCTTTTTACGAATGGGCGGCTTGCCAAATGGAGCCCTGGGACGGTCCCGCCTTGTTCATTTTTGCCGATGGACGTTATTGTGGCGCCAATCTTGACCGTAATGGCTTACGCCCTTGTCGTTATTATTTGACTTCTGACGATATGATGATTTGTGCCTCTGAAGTTGGTACAGTCGGCGTTGAGCCTGAAAAAGTTATTCAAAAGGGACGCCTTTGTCCAGGCCGCATGCTTTTAGTCGATACCAAAGAAGGTCGTATCGTAGACGACAAAGAACTTAAGCACAATATGGCAAATCGTTACGATTTCCGTAGCTGGATTGATCAAGAGCTTTTGGACATGAACGACATCGTAGACACTTTAGTTGAACAAAGCAATATCGATCTCACTTCTGGTGTAGACAATGAAGCTCTAGGGGATGACAAGCAGCTCCTAGCTTTTGGTTATAATTTAGAACAAATCAATATGGTCATTGGGCCTATGGCGAGTGATGGTAAGGAAACTCTTGGTAGTATGGGTAACGATGCCGCCATTGCATGTCTTTCTGGTGAGCCACGTCTTCTATATGACTACTTTCGTGAGTTGTTTGCTCAAGTTACCAACCCTCCCATTGACCCTATCCGTGAAGCAATTGTTATGAGCTTGCAATGTTATGTTGGTCCAAGTGGCAATCTTCTTGAAATAGACCCTTCTCAATGCCGTCGCTTACGTCTTCCTACCCCCATCCTTACTTTGGAGGAGTTGAATGCTATGAGGAATGTCACTCACCTCCATCCTGATTGGAAAGTTGCTTCCATTGATATTACCTTTGGTAAAAGCGAAGGACCAGGCGGATATGCTGCTGCTCTTAATCGCATTTGTTCCGAAGTTGTTAATGCTATAGAAAATGATTACAAAGTTGTAATTCTTTCCGATAGAGGTGTAAACTTTGAGCGTGTTCCGTTGTCATCTGTTGCTGCTTGTGGTGCTGTTCATCACTTCTTAGTCCAACAGAAGTTACGTTCACGCATTGCTCTTGTGTGTGAATCTGGTGATGCTCGTGAAGTTCACCATGCCTGTATTCTTCTGAGTTATGGTGCCGATGCTCTTTGCCCTTATTTGGCTATGGAAGCTATTATCAAGCTTCAAAGACAAAATGCGTTAAAACCTGGTGTTACTGAAGAAAAGGCCCTTGAAAATTACAAGCACGCGATGAATGGTGGAATCTTGAAGGTTATGTCTAAAATGGGTATTTCCACTCTTCAATCTTACAAGGGTGCGCAAATTTTCGAAGCTCTTGGTATTGATAATGAAGTAGTCAAGAGATGCTTTATGGGCACTGCATCTCGTATCCGTGGCGTCACTTTCGAACACATTGCTTTGGATGCTTTGGCTTTTCATGAACGCGGTTATCCTAGAAGTGACTCTATCCTTAGTTTGAATATCCCTGATATGGGTGATTATAACTACCGTGATGGTGGTGAAGAACATGTCAACCATCCCAAAGCAGTTGCTTCTCTTCAAGAAGCCGTTCGCAACAAGAACGAGGCATCTTATGCTGAATTTGCTAGGACTCATTATGAACAGACCAGGAAATGTACTCTTCGAGGAATGCTTGATTTCGATGTCGACCCATCCCAATCGATCCCTATTGAGCAAGTTGAACCGTGGACAGAAATTGTTCGCCGTTTCTGCACTGGTGCTATGTCTTACGGTTCGATAAGTATGGAATCACACTCCACCCTGGCTATTGCGATGAACCGTATTGGTGGTAAATCTAACACTGGTGAAGGAGGAGAAGATCCTGCTAGAAGCCAGCACTTAAGCAACGGTGATACTATGCGTTCTGCTATCAAGCAGATTGCGTCTGGTCGTTTCGGTGTTACCTCCTACTATCTAAGCGACTCTGATGAGCTTCAAATTAAGATGGCTCAAGGTGCTAAACCGGGTGAAGGTGGTGAGCTTCCTGGTAATAAAGTCAGTGAATCTATTGCTAAGACTCGTCACTCTACTGCTGGTGTTGGTTTAATTTCTCCTCCTCCTCATCATGATATCTACTCCATTGAAGATCTAAAACAGCTTATTTACGACTTGAAATGTGCCAACCCTCGTGCTCGCGTTTCTGTTAAATTGGTTTCTGAGGTTGGTGTTGGTATTGTCGCTTCAGGGGTTGCTAAAGCTAAGGCTGATCATATTGTTGTATCAGGACATGATGGCGGTACAGGTGCCTCTCGTTGGACTGGTATTAAATATGCTGGTTTACCTTGGGAACTTGGAGTTGCCGAAACTCATCAAACTTTGGTATTAAATGACCTTCGTGGTCGTGTCGTTATTCAAACTGATGGTCAGATTAAGACTGGTCGTGATGTTGCCATTGCTTGCTTGCTCGGTGCAGAAGAGTGGGGTTTTGCTACCACTCCTCTCATTGCTTTGGGTTGCATAATGATGCGTAAATGCCACCTCAATACTTGTCCAGTTGGTATTGCTACTCAAGATCCTGAGTTACGTAAGAAATTTGAGGGACAACCCGAACATGTCGTCAACTTTTTCTATTATGTTGCTGAAGAGCTTCGTGAAATTATGGCTAAGCTCGGCTTTCGCACCATTAATGAAATGGTGGGCCGTTCTGACAAGCTGAAGGTTGCTGATCCAGTTAATGCTAAATCCAAGTTACTTGACTTGTCTCCTTTATTGACGCCTGCTTTCACTTTACGACCTGGTGCTGCCACATATAACATTCGCAAGCAGGACCATAGACTTTACACGAGATTGGATAATAAACTAATTGACGAAGCTGAACCTAGTTTAGAAAGCGGTATCCCATCCGTCGTTGAATGTGAAATTATAAACACTGATCGTACCTTGGGTGCTACTCTTTCAAATAAAATTAGCAAGCGTTATGGCGAAGAAGGTTTACCAGCCGACTCCATTTGTGTAAATGTCTTTGGTTCTGCTGGTCAATCATTTGGTGCTTTTTTGGCTCCTGGTGTTACCTTACAACTAGAAGGCGATTGCAATGATTACGTTGGTAAAGGCTTGTCTGGTGGTCGTCTAATTATTTTTCCCCCAAAAGCTTCTCCATTCAAACCTGAGGAAAACGTAATTGTTGGAAACGTTTGTTTATATGGTGCCACATCCGGTCAGGCTTTTATTTCAGGTGTCGCTGCTGAACGTTTCGCCGTTCGTAACTCTGGTGTTGTCACTGTTGTTGAAGGCGTTGGCGACCATGGGTGTGAATACATGACGGGCGGTCGTGTTGTCATTCTTGGTTCCACTGGTCGTAACTTTGCTGCTGGTATGTCTGGTGGTATCGCTTATGTCTATGACAATCACATGGACTTTTCTAAAAAGGTGAACCTAGAATTGGTAGAACTCAATGCCATCTCTGACGCTGCTGAAATAGCCTACTTGAAGGGTCTCATTCAAGACCATCGTCATTTGACTGGTTCGCAGGTGGCTGATCGCATTTTGAGCGACTTCCCTCGCAACTTAAGTAGGTTTGTTAAGGTTTTGCCCAGAGAGTTTAAAGCTGTCCTGGAACGTGAGGCCGCTAAGAAAGAGGAAGCTAAGCGTCTTCAGTACCCTAAGGCTTTTATGCCTGGTAATCCTATCCGCCAACAACTGGAGGAATCGAATCGTGATGCCGCTATAACAGATGTTGAGGATACTTTAGGTACTCCTGTCAAAAAGAGCCCTCCTCTTGACAAGCTACGTGGATTCATGAAATATCAACGTCGAAGCGAACACTACCGTAACCCACACAAGCGTACCAATGACTGGAAGGAGATTTCTGTGCGTCTCAAGGAAGACGAGCTTCGCCTCCAGACTGCTAGATGTATGGACTGTGGTACTCCATTTTGCCAATCTGATTATGGATGTCCCGTCTCCAACAAAATTTTCACTTGGAATGACTTAGTTTTCAAAAAGCAATGGAAGGAAGCGTTGGTGCAATTACTTATGACCAATAACTTCCCCGAGTTTACTGGCCGCGTATGCCCCGCTCCTTGTGAGGGTTCTTGTGTTCTGGGTATCATTGAATCTCCTGTAGGTATTAAGAGCGTCGAACGTGCAATTATTGATAAAGCATGGGAGGAAGGTTGGATAAAACCCCAACCCCCTGCTAACCGTTCTGATAAGCGTATCGCTGTTATAGGTTCTGGTCCTGCCGGTCTTGCAGCCGCTGATCAGTTGAATCATGCGGGTCACCATGTCGTTATATTTGAGCGTGCTGATCGTCCTGGAGGTTTATTACAGTACGGTATTCCCAATATGAAGTTGGATAAGTTCGTGGTAGACCGCCGTATCAAATTGATGATTGACGAAGGTGTCGAGATAATAACTAACGTGGAGATTGGTGGCCCCGGTGATGTTTCTCTTGAAGAGTTGCAAAGTACCTACGATGCTGTAATATTAGCTACGGGTTCCACTGTGCCTCGTGACCTTGCCATTCCCAACCGTGATGCCAAAGGTATTCATTTTGCCATGGAATTTCTTCATCAGAACACCAAGAGTTTGCTTGACAGCAAGCTTGAAAATGGTGAATACATTAATGCTAAGGACAAGGATGTTATCGTTATTGGCGGTGGTGACACTGGTAATGATTGCTTGGGTACAAGCGTACGTCATGTTGCTAGAAGCGTTCGCAACCTCGAATTGCTTCCCATCCCCCCTCGCGAACGCGCCTTTGATAATCCATGGCCACAATATCCTCGTGTTTTCCGGGTTGATTATGGACACGCTGAAGTTCAAGCTCATTATGGGCAAGACTTCCGTGAATACTCAATTTTGACAAAGAGTTTTGAGAAGGATGAAGATGGAAACGTTAAGGGTATCCATACTGTTCGTATTGAGTGGACCAAGAACAGTAAGGGCCGCTGGATTATGAAGGAAGTCAGAAACTCTGAAGAGTTTTTCCCAGCCGACTTGGTTATTCTGGCCTTGGGTTTCTTGGGTCCCGAGGAACAGGCTACAGCCCGTATGGACATTCGACGAGATGCGCGTTCCAACATTAGCACTCCTAATAAGTCTTACCAAACCAGTGTTCCTAATATCTACGCCTGTGGTGACTGCCGTCGTGGCCAGAGTTTGGTTGTTTGGGGTATCCAAGAAGGCCGTCAGTGCGCCAGAGAAATTGATTTGCAGCTGTCTAGCAATTCTTATCTGCCTGCTGACGGTGGTGTTGTTAAGCGTAATATAGCCATCTAAATGTTGTCAAATAACTTAAATTAAAAGATGTTGCAAGTCGCTGGTCGAGTTTCGCAAATAAATACTTATGTTTTTACATCAGATTATACGTGAATGTGTTGCAGGTTTCATTTGAAGCTATGGATATATATTTAATTAACCATCTTGAAATTCAAGGTAATTAATTATTCCGCGCGTTAAATGTAGATGTTTTATCTTGATAGAATAGATCTTTTCAAAATAATTATATACTTTAATTTAATTACTCTTATAATATAACTTGTTAATTAATTAAGTTAAGTCGGTTATAGGCAGATATAATAAGATGACTTGTTGACCATAAATCGTAACATGGGTGAAAAGTTTTAGAAGCTTGATTTTCCCCTTGGTTCAAACGGAAGGAATATGGTTAAAAGACCGGCGAATATAAATAGAGCTCCACTTACAAATATTGGAGCAGAGGTTTTGAGATTCGCATACATAGCAATGATGGGAGCGAATACACCAAGGACCCGATTTGCAGAGGAAGCTAATCCTATTGCAGTACCGCGAACTTTGGACGGAAAAACCTCCGGTGTATAAGCGTATAATACGCCATACATAATGTCTGAAACAAAAGTGAAAGCGCAGTTCCACCCGAGATACGCATTACTTGTTTTTGCCGTTGTTGAAGCAAATAAGAAAACACCCGTAAGCATAAGAGAAAGAGTAAGGGTACCTTTACGACCAATTCGAAGTTCAACTAGTAAACCTGCTAGTAAGGAACCGGGGATGCCCAAGGTGGAAACAATGAGCGAATTTCGATAAGTTTCGTAAACACTTAAAGGCTTATTAGCATTTCCTCTTGATTCAAGATAGTAAGGTAGAAACGCATTGTATAACGGAAATGCTAGACCGATGAGAGCCCAAGAAAATATTACCAACGTAGAAGATAGGCTAAGTCTTTTTGAACGAAAACATTGACGAATGGTCTGAAAATTGAATTTTTTTAGTACTTCTTGCAGAGGAGAAATTTTTGTTGCACCTCCTAGTGTGTTTCTACCTTGAGATTCCGGATCATTCGAGGGAGAAGGTTGGACCATGCAGAAGTCTTGCACAGACAAAGAAGAGATTTTGTTGTTATATCTCGCCATCTTATGCACTGCTTGAACAGCTTTTTGTTCTTTACCCTTAGCTAATAGAAAACCAGGAGACTCCACAAGAGGAAATAAAAACCTGACAAGGAACATGAATAGGGTCAAACCACCCATAGTAAACAAAAGATATCTCCATCCTTTGTTATTGGCTTTATAGCATGGTTCATCCGAATTAGAACACGAAAAATTTGCAATCAAGCCCCATGCAATAAGGTTTACCAAAACTTGTCCTAACGCCCACCAAGCACTCATGACAGTCAAAAGCCATTGGTAAGAGCTCGGAATTGCCTCGAGGAAAATTGTGGAATCGACAGGTAAATTACCTCCGACACCAAAACTCCAAAACGAGTTGAATACTGCAATAGCAACAAAATTGGGGGATGCCCCGGCAACAAGGGAGAAAACTCCAGTGATGAGAAAGGTGTAATTAAAAGCCCATAAACGACCGAATATATCTGAGGACAAGGACCAAAAGGCAGCGCCAGCTAGGAGCCCCAAGTTCTGAGCCAAGGTCAACAAAGGAGCGTCCTTTGCGTCAGGAGGGTGAACGCCGTCTACCTCATTGAGACGAGACAAAATTAAAGAAGTGACAACAGGCCAAATGTTATCAGACATCCACCCAAATCCAGCGATGAAGAGTAATGCCCATTGATATTTACCAAACCCAATTTCGTCAATGGCTTGACTCAAGATGCGAGACTTGGCCAAGTAAACTTGATCAAAGTCCTTCGTATCGAATAAATCATCATTAGAAGGGGAATTCGTAGTAAAGTAGAGAGGAAGAGTCTCTGTCTCAACTGCAATTTCACCGTCTTTGATCGATGCCTTGTCTTTGGTGACCTTGTCAGGAGGATGATCCATTTAAGATAGCGAAAGAGAAGAAAAGAAAAAAGAGCAATTTTTCAATTGGAATAGGGGTAAATTCAAAAGAAAGTATGAAATCAAGGGACCTTGACTATGAGAAATAATTAGTTAAAGCATCAATCCTACTTTAGTAATCAACCAGTTTCTGAAACAAATGGGTAAAGTAATAGCAGAATCACTATCAATTTCATATATCTATCAAGAAATAGAAAAATGGATGAAAAATATGTTGCACGAAATTGCGAAGACTCACTTGCCTTGAACCCATGAATAACAGATGACGATGATGATGATGATACCTTCATCACATAATTAGGAAGGTTCATCTCCACCGTTAAATTGGAAGAGCGATTCCTAGCGTAGATTGTTTTCTACTTCAGAAAGCTGATTTATGTACTCTTAGCTCTCGTTGGATTTTGTACTTTGGTCTTCCATGGTCCATATCTATAGAATAGGTGAGATACGAACACCATTTTTTTGAAATCAAATCGGTAGAATCCACATCAATGGAATCACGGGTTGTTCATCAGTTACCATAGAAAGATACAGGAATGCAGAGAGTCTCATAATGTACGAAGGCTTGGGAAGCGAGTTATGAGAACGCTTTGATGGTTTGCTTACAATATACCATCGGGGATGGAGTTTTCTTAAAAGCAGTAAGGTTTTGTATTTTCATAAGATGGTTGTGGTTTGTGTTTAGCAAACTAGTTCATTAATAGAAAAGCGTACAAAGTCTTTCAAAATATTAAGCAGCCATCGCCAAAAAAACAGTGAAGCAAGTTTAAGCAAGAAACACAAGTGAAAAAAAAGTTAAAAGGTCACGATTGAATTGGGAAAAGGGTCTTGCTCGTTGTTTGCCAACGAATGGATTTCTGTTGCATAGCAGTCTTGTATGCTGAATTGTTGTCTTTGATTGAAGTGATAGCATTCAGTTTTCGATGTTCGTTTTTACTATGCTTGTAATGGAAAGCCTATGGTTGTGAAATTTTAAAGATTTTTTGTGTTTTCCTGTCTTGAATTGACGAGGACTTTACTAGTTGAGATATTTGGTTATCTGAGGAAGACTATACGCATGGTTTCTTTTCTGTAAAAGAGTGGCCTAATGGATCCCTGCTTGACTTGACTCTACTTCATTCACTTGTTTCTGTACTATTGTTCGTACTTTCGGGAAAAATCATCAATAAAAAATGAATAAATAAATAAATTAACCACGAAACCCACTGACCTAACGACACCTATGGCATGAATGTACAAACGAGTGAATACACGGAGCAACCATTCAACTCCCGAGATATATTCTACAAAGAAAGACTTTTGAAATTGTAGCTGTTCCCTCCCTCAAAAATTTCAAGTTCGTATTGCTCGATTTTCCAATCTTTGTACCATCCTCGAACGGTTTTCAAGCCTTCGCGATGTGTTTTTCCTGCGCCTCCAAGCTTTGCACTTTTCTTGGAATCCCACCAGCATGTCGCTAAATTTTGGCCATACGTATCGTCAGGCACACCATACCAGTATTTCAGTAAGCCTCCAGAAACGTTTGCCTCCAAGTGTGATCCCTTGTCAATTTCTGCTAGTTTGTGGCGCATTTCTTGGGTAGTTTGTACTTCAGGATGCAATACAGAACGAAACGCCACGATATATGCAGAGAAATTAGGAACTGGCTTAAGGCATTGATGTGCATATTTTCGTACTAATTGTACAATTTCCTCAATATCAAATGCTTCAGCGTAGGGAAGGTGAGCATAATGAATCGAATCTTTTGGAACGAAAGTTTGAAGGGCCAGTGATAACAAACAATGGCCAAATGTTAAGGACTTTAAATTGAGCCAATGCTCTTTATCAACGTACGGGGAAGATTGGATCAATTCTGTATTAGCCGTTTTGGAGATATCTAATGAACTTAAAATAGGGTTAAATAAGCCATGGTCTTCTTGTATCCTAGCTGTTTTATGTTGAGCGATCATCCTTGTCGAGTGAAACCAAGATCAATTGATGACAATTGCAACTTGTAGTGGAAAAAAGAATGCGAAAGCATATTTATAGGAAGGATTTTCTTGCTATCGCCAAAACGTTTGCGAATCCTGCTCCTATTTCACGCCAGCATGAACGAGAATCATTGGTTATAATAGAAGGCTTTGATGACAAAGCAGTGCCAAATGCTCACATAATATACTTTTTGTTTACGCTGAATGAGAAATGTATCGTAATTGCGTGCGCATTGCAAAAAATTGTTTATATTTTCCTAAAGTATGATATTCGCAAAAATTCACAAAATGGTAAAATTAAAGTAGTGAAATTGAAGGAGTATGAAGTCATGGAAAGGGGTTCCTTAAGGAGGCGAAAGAAACCACCCCCTGAGAAAGAGAGTATATTATATAATTCATATCGATCATTACGAGACTACGGAAATGAACAAAGAAGCACATCTTTTTTTTATTTAGATATGAATCGATTGATACTATTTATTACCCTTTCGAAGCTTGAAATATCTTTAAGTTAGCTCTCGCCTAAAATTACGTTTTCATTGTTTCAGGTATATTTTCCTTATCATAGGGGATGTTAAACAGAGCTCACATGGTCCAGTGGTTAAGACTCATCGTTGTGGCCGATGCGACCCAGGTTCGATTCCTGGTGTGGGCACTTTTTATCGCAAATAAAATTTATACATTGCATTTTAGCTTCTATTCCTTTCTTTCAAAGAAACTTCCGGTTTAGCTTCTAAAAGAGTCACTAGTCATCGTTTCTTATTTTCAACGAAAACCCATAATCTGTGTTTTTATTAACATCCTTAGGGCATTTACAGCTGAACTTCTTTGAAGTGACAGTCCAAGGAGTTTGTCACCCCACCCATTTTTGTACCTCGTAAACCCAAAGTTGGTAGATGTCCTTTGCCAACGTGGAAAACAGAGAAAACCATTAGAAGGAATTCGTCTCATTTAATATATTTATCGCTTCATTTTGACACAGGTTCGTTTCTCCTAGACTTTCTCTTGAGAGGACATCTGAGCCCACATTGGAATCGTGAACAGAGGACGTTTGCGTAAGCTATTCTAGTTTGGAACATAAAAGGGAACGATTTTCCAGGAATTTTTAAAATATGTCCGTTGGGAAGAAAGAGAATTCTGGCAAGTTGCGTCAACGTTTTCCAAGCAAAAACCATTCTCCTGAGATTTCCGCCGTTGCAAATGAAAAGGAAGATTTGAAAAAACAAGATGACAATACTTCTTCAGTAAAGAGTGACTCTAAGTATTGTAACCTTTTTGGATATGTCTTGGTCCCTCTTTTATTGACAGTAATTGCTGGTTTTGTTCGTACTTGGCACATTGCCGATAGTCCCATTGTGGTTTGGGATGAAGCTCATTTTGGAAAATTTGCATCCTATTATCTAAAGCACGAATTTTATTTCGATGTTCATCCTCCCCTAGGAAAAATGCTGAATGCAGTTGCTGGAAAGTTGGTTGGTTACGACGGCCATTTCGGCTTTGATTCAGGTGCTACTTATCCGGAAAATATGAATTACAAGTTTATGCGACTTTGGAATGCAGTTTTTGGTACCTTTTGCATTCCTTTGGCTTATTATTCTGCTATTAATTTTGGTTACTCTTTTTGGTCTGCTAGCTTAATTGGCTTAATGATTGCTTTAGACAATCATTTAGCAACTATCAGCCGTTTCATTCTTTTGGATAGTATGCTTTTGTTTTTTATCCTTAGTACCTTCTTTGCTCTTTCCCGGTTTCATGTTTATCGGAAGCAGCCTTTTTCGTTTTACTGGTTTAAATGGCTTGCTTTAACTGGCATTTGCGTTGGCTGCGTATGCAGTGTAAAATTGGTGGGTCTTTTTATTACTGCCGTTGTTGGCATCTACACAGTAGACGAGCTTTTCAGACTTTTAAACAACAAAAAAGTCACATGGACAGCTTACGCAGGACATTGGCTCACTAGAATTATCTTTTTAATTATTCTTCCCTTCCTTATCTATGCTCTAACGTTTTGGATCCAGTTTTTAGTTTTGAGCAAGTCTGGACCTGGAGATGCCCAGATGCCCTCTCTTTTCCAAGCTCGCCTTGAGGGCTCTCCACTCACAAAGAATCCCGTCGACCTCATGTATGGAAGTAAATTTACCTTGAAGAGTAGGAATCCAGCTGGAGCTTTGCTACACTCTCATATCCAGACCTTCCCGGGTGGTAGCAAACAGCAACAGGTCACGGGTTATCATCACAAAGATGGAAATAACGAATGGGTGTTCCTTCCTGAACATGGCGTTAATTACAACTTTGAAGAAAATGATCCTAAAATTCCTATTAAGGAAGGTAGCCTTGTTCGCCTTGTTCATCCTTTTACGAACCGCAACTTGCATACTCATCAAATCCCCGCACCCTTGAACAAACGCATGTATGAAGTTTCTGGTTATGGATTAGGTGATATTGGTGATGAGAAAGACTATTGGGTTGTGAAGATCGTTTCAGATGCCGCTCATAAAGATGCTTCCTCCGTCCGATCTTTGTCTACCGTGTTCCAACTATACAACCCTATAATGGAGTGCTATTTGAGTTCTTCCACTTCTTCACTTCCTGCTTGGGGTTTCGGTCAAATTGAAATGTATTGTGATCCTAATACAGATGCAAAGGATATTGACACTCATTGGAACGTTGAAGAACACATAAATCCTCGTCTCCCTGAAGGAAGTTTGAAGGACTATCCTAATTCATTCTGGAATGACTTTTTGCACCTTAACCGAGCTATGTTACGTGCCAATAATGGTCTCGTCCCTGATGAGGATAAACTAGATGCTCTTCGCAGTTCAGCCTACCAATGGCCATTCTTACTGGCTACTTTACGTATGTGTGGTTGGGGAGACGAACAGATTAAATATCTGTTAATTGGGAATCCCATTGCGTACTGGTTTGCTACGGCTAGCTTGTTTGGGTTTGCTTTATTTATTGTCGGGTCTATTTTGGGCTGGCGTCGTCACGCTTTACGATGGAATGAAAAGACTTTCGATGCAGTCCATTTTGCCGGATTCTATCCCTTTTTGGGTTGGTTTATGAATTATCTACCTTTCTATATTATGGGACGAGTGCTGTATGTGCATCATTATGAACCCTCATATGCCTTTTCAACATTTACCGCTGGCTTTATGGTAGACTGGTTTGCTCAGAAGCTTCCTCGTGTTGCTCGCATCACAGTTTATTTAATGCTTTATGTCATCATCACTGCCGTCTTTATTTATTTCAAGGATGTAACTTTCGGTATGCATGGTCCCTCCTCCAATTTCCACCATTTACGCTGGCTCAAGTCTTGGAATGTCCACGATTAGTTATATGAATGTGAATTTTCTTCGCCGAATCTGACACCTAAGGAAATTACTTTGGCTTTTCGTAAAAAGGGACTTCTTTTTAATGCGTCTGGATACTCATTATAATACTGAACGAAATTCAATCTTTACTTGTCAATAGTGAATCTTAAAAAATAAAATGATTATTTATGTCTTTTGAGAAACACAGGTGAACCAAAAGTTATGAAGGACGTTCACTTTCCTTCCATTGTACTACCATTACGCGTTAAGCAACTTCATCTCATTCAGGTGAATGAGGTAGCATTCGTTTTTACATTTTTATAGAAACCCAAATCTTACAATAATTAACCCAGGATTTGTAAGCTAAATTTACAGAAAAATATATCATTCTTCGCATCCATTTCTTCTAATTAAATGTACTTTGCTAATATACCACTATTCACATCCAAATGACTACAAATGTTAAAACCTTCTCTTGCAGTAAGCTTCATTCAAATGGAAGCCACTGCCTTTTAGGTTTTCGTTTTTCATCTACTGCTGCTCCGTAAGTCTAAATGCGTCGAAAAAACATAGAGGCTCAATAAAACAGCAGCGCAACGTGAAGAGATTTCGGCAGGTATACCTTCCTTATATACCAAGCATTTCTTAAACAGTCACAATAGGGTAGCTTACTGCACTACAAATCGTTAATACATTCTAAGATATTGTGCCGCGTTTCGTAAAACAATGGGTGAAACTCAAACATGTATTATAGGAAAAGCTTGCGTTTGCCAGAAGCAAATGCCAATTTTTAGAAAGAGGACGATTGATAAAAAAAAAAGTTCTAACATTTTGAGATGAAGATATTAAACGCAAGAGATGCGTACTTGACCAATGCCGAGGTTTATTTGCACCTAAAGGACATGGAAGAAGAGCAAAACCAAAGAACTCGAGAACGGGGAGCAGCAGGAGGATTAGTAAGTGAAAATTTGAGAACTATACAATTTGAAATCCTGAAATATATGAGCACGCAAACGAATTGCTCCCAAATGGATGAAGAAAAGTTTCTTGCATGTCTAAAGGTGTTGGATGAATATGAATTGACCAAAGCTGAAAAACTGGTAATCTTAAATAATCGGCCGTCAAGTATTCCGGAGATTTATGCTTGCATTGAAGGGATTGAGGAGCGTCTTCAAGAAGAGCAAATGGAGGCTCTGATCGAGAAAATAAATTCGGTTTATCCATAAATTCCAAAATGTGTTAATGATTTCTTGAAAACAAAATGTACATGTAATTCTTAGCGGATAATATTATTATGAGAGAGGGAAATTTTTGAGATGCGAACATCTCTATTGTAAGCTGAATCAACTGGGGAGAAAGGAGGTGAAGGCTTGTCATCAGAGTCCGTAATTTATCAACCAATTAAGCGGTGCTCTTCTTTTTTGGTAACTTTGAAGACAGTTTTGCATTTTCAACAGTAGTATTGAAAAAATTGCTGACAAAGAGTAATGGTAAGCTAAGATCAGGAGAGTTAGAAGAATCTTGAAAGGGTATCCCGGAGATTCCTCTAGCTTTGAGGCGCTCTTCAGGAGATTGTCGTGTGAGAGACGAAAGGCTTTTTATGGTTTCCCATGAATTTCGATGTAGAAGACGTAAAAACAAATTGGGTTTTGGAGTAATGAGAAGCCAGTCATTCGTTGGCGTTAAGCGTAACAATTGTTTACTCTCAAAAGACTTTGGTGAAGCTGGCAATGCTTCCTTGTTCATTTGTATAACACCATCCACAGGACCTTGTCGTCGCAAATATCTGTAAAGTTCGTCGCTTGTAACTTCATTAGGAACGTACTGTAATAAAAGAGATTTGGGGTATGCACTCATCCGAAATTGGGTCAAGAGAGCTTTTTGGTTTTCAAATTCCTGTAACTGCTGGTTATCTGCAAGGTACCAAGTGCCTATTCCAGAGAAGTCATCAGAAACTTCTAAGGGAGCACGTGGAGGGATAACTCGTTTCACAAAAGTCGTCGGTTCAGAGCTATCATCTCTCGCAAAGTATGTTTGGGGAAGTGTTTGAGCATCTTGGTTGGCTGCTTCTTGAGATTCGTCTGGGGGAAAGGCGGGAGGAGAGGTAGGAATCGGCAAGCCTGGTTGAATATAAGCACGAACAAACCATTCTTTTGAGCGGATTTTCGCGTTGTAGTACGGAAACGCCTGAAGTTTAAAGAAGCGTCTCGGAAGGCTTCCTGTTAGCATATCTTCTGCATAGCTAACTGGATAATAGGTTTTCACGTGGAACCAAAGACCTTTTTCTGGTTGCTGCCCCAATGCTCTAGCATTCAAGATAAGCCTTTTATAAAGCGCTGGCAATTCCGAACGATAAAATCTTGTTGTTCCAACAGCGCCAGAAAACAGACCTGATTGAATTTTCATGATGATTTGCAAAGGTAGAAGATGAAATCGACTATCTTTAAAGTTGCTTAATTCAGATATCAACAAAGAAACTTGCGTTCGATGCGTCGGCACGCGTCAAAAGAAGTTGCGCGTCTCACAACAAGTGAAAATGAATGCTCCAAAATAAATTCTTTTTTGATGTTGAAAAACTTACCATAAAGAGACGTAAGGCATAAAAAGCGACTGAAAAATGATTCTCCTGTTACATTCATCTCTCTTTGAGTTTGTGTACATCAATTCCACTCGACTTAGGGAGCTATATTGTGTTGCGTTATCTTTATTAGCGTAGTCCTAGGAACAGCATTTATTTATCTCTGAGGGTAGGGTTGAAATGTTTAGAAAGAAATGCTGTGACTGTTTCTTTGAAAGTGTTGAAGCAACAGAAAGTTGCAACAGCAGGAATTCTCCAACCGCCACGATGAAGCTGAACATTTCCTACCCGGCGAACGGTACTCAAAAGCTAATTGAGATCGACGATGACCGTCGTCTCCGTGTTTTCATGGACAAGAGAATGGGCCAAGAAGTTCCCGCTGACTCTGTAGGACCCGAATTTGCTGGCTACGTCTTCAAGATCACTGGTGGTAATGACAAGCAAGGTTTCCCCATGTTCCAAGGTGTCTTGCTTCCTCACCGTGTTCGTCTTTTGCTTCGTGCTGGTCACCCTTGCTATCGCCCTCGTCGTGATGGTGAGCGCAAGCGTAAGTCCGTCCGTGGTTGCATCGTCAACCAAGACTTGTCTGTCCTTGCTGTTGCCATTGTTAAGCAAGGTGAGCAAGACATTCCCGGCTTGACCGACGTTACTGTTCCCAAGCGTCTTGGACCTAAGCGTGCTTCTAAGATTCGCCGTTTCTTCAACTTGAACAAGGAAGACGATGTTCGCCAATTCGTTATTCGTCGTGAGGTTCAACCCAAGAAGGAAGGTAAGAAGCCTTACACCAAGGCTCCCAAGATTCAACGTCTTGTTACCCCCAGAACCCTTCAACACAAGCGTCACCGCTTCGCTCTCAAGCGTAGACAAGCTGAGAAGAACCGTGAAGAAGCTACTGAGTTTGCTCAAATGATGGCCAAGCGTGTTGCTGAGCAAAAGCAAAAGAAGGAAGTTGTTAAGGCCCGTCGTGCTTCATCCATGAAAAAATAAACAACCCTGCTTTTTGTAGTATCCTTTCAACGAGTTTTCCCTTCCTTTAGATACATTTTGCTTTTGGTTTTTTCTTTTCTTAAATGGCTGTAGTCTGAGGTTAGGAGACTGCTTTTGCGGTAGGTAGAGATCGGGAGTTTGTAGCTTTTTTTGATGAATTCCTTAAACCAACCTTTCTATTGGTCTTAGCAACGGGTAGCCTATAGTGGTATGTATCATACAATGGTAATGGTTTACATCTAAATAGTAGTAGAGAACAATGTTGAGAAGGTTCATTTTCAACTCACTTCATACTGTGTATGGAATGTCAAATTTTAGTAAATGCTAGTCATCTACTCTACATTGATTGAATTTATACAAGATAAAACAGAATGATCCATATGTAGTACGCCAAACTTGTTTTGTACCAATTTGTTTGGATCCGTACTTCATATTACTAAGTGAAAAGTCTGTAGCAAATTTCTACAGTCGTAAACAATCATAAATCATAGTCTTAGTATCGATGCATGTTTCTTTCTTATTGTCATAAATGCAATTTGTAACAAGCGCAACAAATATCATTCAGTATAATCTTACATAGTGAATTAACACTATTAGACTGTAAAGGAGTATTCCACTATTCCGAATCGATCTTTATTTACTTAAATATACAAAAGATATCAAACAATTTTAACTCTTCTTGTAGGTGCCTGTTTACAAATAATCTGGATATTTAATTGCTTTCAAGGGTATTGTTAGAGCCTATTTCGTTCTTGAAGGCGAAAATTGATTGGATTCGTAAACCACTACTAATCATAACAATGGCCTCCCAAAAAAAGCAAGGAGAGCGTGTTCTTCCTGGTATGGCATAAAGAAAGAGGTTTTCGTGCAATGTTGCTAATCTTCTAGTGCGATCGACTAGAAAACGTCGCCAATTACCTGACATGCTTTATTACGATGAGAATACTGATTCTTATGTTATGCCTGAGCATAAGCAAGAGTCTCCAAATTCCAAGCAGACCAGTCAGGCTTCCTCTCTCACTTCTGAGCAAGTTGCAAACTTGCAAGTCGAGCATGCTCGTGAGCTTAGAGTTCAAGAGCTAATGGAATCAAAGCTTCATCATATTCGAAAACAGCAACGTAAACAGAGATATCAGAGATTCCAATGGATGCAAGGTACTTATGTTCATTTACAGCTTTATATTTTAAGTGCGTGAAACTAACATGGTAAAGATTATCAACAGTGGGATAAATCAGAAGACCAAGACCAGTGGAATTCAGATACCGAAACTATCGGTCCCGCCGAGCAGGTTTCAGCATTTGTAGACGCTCTCCGCTTTTCTGAGCAATTTATGCAAATTGAACAAAACTAAACGACTATGAAACGTCTCAGAAAAAATTACTGCAATCCACATTCACGCTCTATGTATAGGTCAGAGAGATTATTTTATTTTATTTATGATTTTCAAAAGTTCTTAGGATGATTGGATCAATTGTTTTGACGAATGAAAGAAAGGAAAAGTACCGATTTGGAGTTAGAAGATTGAAAACAACAAGAATAAATAATTATTTGATATAAGCTATACTTTTGATGAAGAAATTCCATCTTTATGAGGAATAATGTTTGGGAAGGGATGGGCTTCCGTATTGAAAGTGTATTCTGTTAATGCGAGTACATTGGGATCATCTTCAAAAAGCAAGTATAGGTATTTTAATGTTTCAGCAAACCAAAAAGATTCAGTTCTATCTCTGTGGTTTGTTATGCCTGTAGTCTCAACATTGTTCAAGCACGTAAATGCATCTCTTCCTGGTAATCGAGCATGCTTCAGAAAGGCCTGAAAAATATTCCAACCCCATTCTCTGTAGATTTCTTTTCCAGTAATTCTATAGAGTATAAAAAGACTTTCAACGGTTTCGGGCCTCATAAGATTGTGTCTGTCCTGTTTGAAGGTATACATATCACGATCCTTTGAGTCCGTAGCAAAATAAACAATCTCAGGAGATAAGCCAGTAGCTGTAGAGCTATACATCTCATAACAGGTTCTACAGAGATCTTCTGACAACTTTACTATTTGTTCCTGTTGCTCATTCCACTGAGTACCTTCTCTTGCAACACTGAGACTTGTGCCGTTAGTTGCGCCCCACATAAGCGTGCCGGATAAGAAACATACTAGATGATCCATTTTTGGATGCTGTTTCTTATTTAAACCCTTCGGCAATTCAGCTATGTAAGCGTAATGTTCATGAGCTGTATAATTAACTAGATGATTCAAAATTCCGTCCACGGCTATGTTGTAAGCCTCCCGATAAATTGGCACATGATCCTTTAATTGGAGGCTTTGCTTCAAGAGGTACTCATAATACGAGTCACCGTGCGAACCAAGTCGAATGTTAGCGCCAATATACTTGCCCGTTTCCAAGTTGAAGCTGATGGGCACCAGCCCAATATGAGACCAACTAGGATCATTTAATAACATAGTAGTAACTTGATCAGCGGCATCCCAATAACGATGATCGCCTGTTAAATAAGACAGATAGCGTAATTCCATCTGAACAGTACCACATTCAGAAGTGCTAACCATGTAACTTCTAGTGCGTTTTTTGGAAGAGCGAGTTTTAAGATTCACATTCGCACGTGGGATACCGGTAGTCGTATTATAAGCCGTAAGTAATCGGTCACCTAAATCAACTGCCTTTTCTAAATACAATTCATCGTTTGAAAGATGATGAGCAGAGAGTAATCCACCTAGCATGCGTATTGTCGTCTCAAAAACATTCATCTCCTCGTCCCCTTGGTCCCACGTAAGTGAAGAATTGATCCAATCTCGAGCATGTTTGACCTGTTCGTCTAAACGCATAATCATCATCGTATCCAAGGCGTCAATAATCATCCAACCGATGCCTTTCGAAAGATAATTTCTTCCCTTTTTCTTGATAGGATAATACTCATCAAACCCCCATCCATAAGTTTCATAATCTGACCAGCTTTTTTGGAATGTTTCACGTATTATGTTTTGCTTCTCTGAAGCCGCACTCTGATGTGAAGTTTTTTTTGTAGCAAAATAGTTAGCGCATAAATAAATAGAAGTAATAGACAATAGTGTTATAAATGCCCGCTTGAAAGAACCATATTTAAGACGACGCCCGATCATTATTCAGGACAAACTTTAGCAACTATCCAAAAATAAAAATAAAAACAAAGTTAAAAGAGCTACTAGATGGGGCCAAGTCAAATCTCGCACCTAATGAAAATCGAGAGATCTAGAGATTGGATTTTTAGTGGCAGCCAAGAAATATAATTATCGAAATAAAACTTCTCTCACGAAAAGTCTTTTCCAAGGTAATATAGTATCAGCCGCAAAGCAGCCTTTTGGTGAGTTCTTTACTTTGGTACGAACTGTTTCTGGCAATTTGGTTTAGTTGTAAGTGACCTTTACTCGTTGTAGTGAAAAATTGAAACATTCTTGTTTAGGTACTGTATGAAGAAAAGGAAATTAATACTTGGATGAAAGAGTGATTGATGACCTTTTTTTCGGTTTATAATTGTACGATCTGGTAACTATCAAAAATGGCTAAATTCTGGCATGAACACATGGCATTGTGAATTCTTCTTCATATTGATTTATTGCTTCGATTTACAAGTTTCTTAAAATAAACTAGAACTTTATTAAGGAGAGGCTTCATTAGATGGAAATTACTTTTTGAAAAAAAGTGATATAGAAACTTAAAAAGAATGTTGACAGCCTTGTGTGTTTTCGAGTCAAACCAACAGTGCAATTCTTTAGCAGGAAAAAAAAACAATAAGGAAGGGGATTAAAATCCTTGATCAGTTTGTTGATTATATCTTCTCAGTACGTAAAAGGATTCAAATGGACTATACTTTCATGGTGATATTCGAAAGGAACATCTTTACAACAACCCTGCAGGATTTTCATGCGAGGTGAGAAGCGCATGTGTAAGTAGAACACCAGAAACGAGACAGAGAGGCCATAAAAGGCTGCTAAAAGGTACCAAAAAGAGGACGGCCACTATAGTTAGAGAAGAGATGGCTGATACAGTATACCTTGGTTTTACCTGAATACTCTCGTTAATACTGATGTCTCCAAAGGAATATGCTATAAAACTAAGAAAAACGCCAATTGTCATGACCAATAAGGAGGAGGGGTACCAAATGAATATATAAATCCAGGCAGCGCAAAAGAAGGCTGCATAATAAAAGGCATTTTTCTTAAAGTTCCTTTGCATACGAGGGTGTACGGCATCCAACCGTGGTACAGAGACCTTTCCCATCCTCCAATACTCATCGTGCGAAGCTGTAGAGATGACTCGTTTACTTGTAGAAATAGAGTCAGGCCCTAACTGGTCAAAAGCTTTACGCATTCTGTACCGAAAATCCATTTCTAGAATATTTTGGGAAAGGCAAGTCTAGGATACTTGTTCATTGTGATTCATTCTTCACTTTGTTTACGTTTGGTGTTTTGACGAAGTACTTACGCATGTAAACAAATAGGCAAAGTTTATAGTAAACAAATTATTATTAAACTTGGACTACAACTTTGGAGAATAAAATAAAATGTCATGAAGTAAATTGCACTCGTATACTTTAACCTGTTTGTAATCATTCAGGGCGTCGTTTTCTTTCTTAGTAAACAATGCTCTTTTTTTCATTTAAATTTTGCTTCATAGAAAATGAATTTACAAAGAAATTACAAACGAGAAAAAGGAATACGCATTGAACAGCAAATGTAAAAGGTACTTGCAACGAAGATTTGACTGGAAAATATTTTTTAGACATTCGATTGATTGTTTAGTTCGCATTCCTGTTTCTTTTTTCTTTTTTATTTCTTAATACTTGTTCTCGCGACTACCCATAGTCTTTTAAATATAACCTACTTAATGTTTTACTCTTTTCACATTGTTTGTTTACTAAAACGCTGCAACGAGACGTACCGTATTCATTTCGTTTACTTAATGATTTTCTCTGCTTGGAAACCTTTGGTCCCCTTCAAATAACTGGTAAATTTAATGATGATAAATCGTTATTTTTTGCTTTTCCTATTCGTGGGAGTATGTCTAGCATGGAGCGCGTCCGATATTGAAATCTTTCGGATCGTTGATTCATTAAAAACTATCTTTAAGGAAAAAATTACATTTTATGAATTATTAGGAGTTTCATCAAAAGCTTCTATTAAGGAAATTAATCGCGCATATAGGAAAAAGAGTATTCTTTACCATCCTGACAAAAATCCCAGCACAAAGGAACTTTATACCCTACTAGGCTTAATCGTTAATATCCTACGAAATTCTGATACACGTAAACGATATGACCATTTCTTGAAATCTGGGTTTCCACGTTGGAAGGGAACTGCTTATTTGTATTCTAGATACCGCCCTGGTCTCGGAACCGTCCTTATTTTACTTGCTGTATTTATTACATTTGCCCATTTAATGATGCGTCTGTTGAGTGTCAAACGCCAGAAAAAAATCATGCAAGATCACATCGACGTGGCTAGACAATACGAACAACATTCCAACGCCGCTAAAGGGACCAAGCGTCTTGTTACAGTGCCTGAAGGAAAAAGAATCTATACGGTGGATTCGTTCACGGGACAAGTATGCATTTTAGACCCTTCATCAAATGTTGAATATTTAGTATCTCCAAGCGCTGTTCCTGACGTGCGATTCTCCGATACCTTATTGTATCGGATTCCCAAATTCTTTTTACAAACATTTATTTTACGTTGGTTTACAAAGAATGACGATGTCCAGGATGCCGGTGTGAATTTCTCCAATGAAGAAGAAGAAAAATCAGAGTCCAAAGAAAGATTACCAGAACAACAAACCAAACCTGCCGAGGGTACAGCCAAGGCTGGAAAGCGTAGGGTTAAACGTCGTTCAAACAGGGTTCCTCTTCGTAAAAACGATCAAAACACTTAATTAAAATCAACCATCTTATTACAGTTACATATCAATCGTTGGAATATTAGTTGCTGAACTATATAGTCTAATGTTTATCTTATGAATAGTTTGGCATCCGTCTTGTTGGGAGACAAATGGCATGTTCAACTTTAGGGAAATTTGTCTCGTCATTGAATGCCAAAGCGTACAAGCCCAACGAAGAATGTAATACGTCTGGGAATTCCCCCGCTACCTTTGAAAATCCGCCGAAATTGTGTTGCGTTTGGTTTAATAGAAAACTCTTTACATTGTTATGAGAAATAAATTGAGATGCCCCTAACAATTGTAGCGAACCTTGAACCCAGTAAGAATAGCAAGTGTCGTGATCTTTATTCGTTCTTCCGTTAAATCCGCCAGAAATCTGCTGTCTTTTTACTAACCATGTAATAAGTTTCTTCGTATCGGGAATATAATCTTGAAGGGCGTAGTGTTTTGGGATAGAGTCGTTATCCAATGTAGCTAACTTGGGCTGCTTTTGAATAGATATGATATTAACAAGCAGTCTCAATGACGCCAACGCGCAAAAGGTTGCACCGGCATGGGCTTCTGCAAACGGTATTAAGGAAAATCCTCCTTCGTAATTCTGACAATGTAATATGTACTGAAAAGATAATTCGATATGAGGAAATGAGATATCGAGTAGGGTAGCTATTGTAGTAGCTAGGTATAATTGTCGCATATCTTGGTCATAGCATGTTGATGAAGCTGTGCTTTTGAAGTGACCGCCCGGCAATTGACATAAGGAAAGAAACTGTTCAACGGCGTGTTTATCAATTCGAGAAAGATCGTCGCCCAGTAGGAGGAGATTACTAATAGCAAAGCTTGTAGCTGCTAGCTGAGGCTCCTGTTCTACTGTAAGGGAAGTACCACCCGTAGCGAATCCACGAAATCCAGCGTATTTACAGTTGGAGTCTTCACAATTCATTAGGATGTAATTTCTATAAATCCACTCAATCCATGATTCTCGATCTTCCTTGGAAACCTTGTCTAACGAGTTAAGTAAATCCAATCCAAGTAGACAAAAAAATCCCAAAGCCATTCTTTCCGAATCATGTTCCTCATAAGGATTCGGTAGGAGGATCAAATGTCGCTGAAAGAATGCAACATGTTTTGATACGGTCAACTGCATGTACGGTTATTAATACCCTTCAAGGCCTAATTCTATCGGTTTTTTTTGAATCAATGTTCTAATACTTGTTATTCCATCTACGTTAAATCCTTTTTTTATATAATATTCATTCATATATTCAGCAGGTAAGTCCGCCTCGGTAATTATTGGTAATATTCGGTGATAAGTTTACCGATATAATTGGGGTATTCGGTCAACTGGGGATTAAATCACCGGTGTTTTTTCTTAGTATCTTAAGAAGTAGTTTAGTACAAAACTTTCAGGAATCCGAGAAAAAGCCATGTCGGACCCTTTTTTCACGCGTCCGGAACATAGAAAGAGAAAAGCGAGGAATGCAGCACCAAAGAAATCGGCTGCAGCAAAAAAAAAGCCACAAAATGAACCAAAAGATGAGGATTTAGCATCTATATCTTCAGAGTCAGATGTAGAAAGGGAACAATACGATCCAGACGAAGAAAATGAAGATGCTCGAGAAAATGCTGCTGAGAAGCGATTGAGAATTGCTAAAGACTATTTGGACCAAATAAAAAATGAGATTGGTGAAGACGTCGGTTTCAATGCAGAAGACGTAGATCGCGAGTTGCTCTCTGAGCGGTTGCAAGAAGATGTTTTGGAAAAACAAGGAAAAATGTATTTAGATTATGCAACTCGAATTGAGCCTTCCGTTCAATACACTTGCACACAACTGCGTGGCCGACACTCGAAGCCTCTCGTTGGTCTTGTTATGAATGAAAAGTATTTATACAGTGCTGATAAATCAGGCTTAGTTCAAAAATGGCAAATTGTTAATGAAGATGCCGAAGATAGCACGAATTCGACGTCCGAACTGAAGCTGAGGCCTGTTCGATTTTCTGTTCCCCAGGGAGGCGACCATGACCATGTGGCAGAGATTACATGTTTGGCAATCAGTAATAATGGCCAATGGGTAGTGACGGGTGGCCTTGACCATCGTATTGTTGTACGAGACGCCGAAACATTGACTGCTCGGTATTGCTGGAAACATCATCGAGATGTGATATTGTCTTTGGCGTTTCGAAAAGGATCAAACGAAATGTTCAGTGCAGCTGCCGATCGTTCCATCAAAGTATGGTCCTTGGACTCAATGAGCTATGTCGAAACCTTGTTTGGACATCAAGATATAGTTTACGACGTTGATGCGTTCTCCCAAGAGCGCTGTATTTCAGTTGGTGGTCGAGACCGTAGTAGTAGATTGTGGAAAATAGTTGAGGAATCACAACTCGTTTTTCGAAGCGGTGGTAACTCGGTCAAGATGACAGGTGGATATATGGAAGGCAGTGTGGACTGTGTCACCATGGTAGATGAAAACAATTTTATTACAGGTAGTGATAATGGAGTTCTTGCTCTATGGTCTTTACAAAGGAAAAAGCCAGTTTATACTTACCCTTTGGCACATGGATTAGATACCCCGTTGGCTCCTGAACGGCAATCTGCGGAAAAGACACCAGCAGATAGCTCAACTCCTCCACAACCACGATGGATTACTTCGTTGAGAGCTTTGCCGTATGCAAACTTATTTGTCTCGGGTTCATGGGATGGAACTATACGATTATGGAAGATTGCCGACGGACTTCGTTCGTTCGAGCCTGTTGAGTTGGAGAAACCTTTGACAACAAAAAGCATTATAAACTCTTTGTCGCTTTCTCTTCGAGGAAGAAAGGGTCATGAACAATTATTGGTTTTGGCTGCCTGTGGTCGGGAACTTCGCTATGGACGCTGGAAGAATATTCGAAATGTGGCCAATCGTGGATATGTCTTCCAAATTCCTTTGAAACCTGCTCTGCAGATGTCGAACGGAACCGCATGAGCGTAAACAAAAAAATAAGCGCGTAAGCTAGGTACTGGTTTTGTTTTGTATAAAAAAAGAGTCTTATAATCTCTCTACAATAATGTATGGATTGGAAAATCGGTTGGATTGTTAATGAGTACAATAAAATTTTTGTATGTTTTGGAGAAATAAAACACTGTAAAGGTGTCTGACGATTGTTTATTGGTAAATATTGGTAGATGTTATGGAAACAGCACATTCATTATCGAAATGCGTCTTGTATTTGAAATTGGTTTGGTTTTTTTTTTCGTATTCTGTCGTAAACGAATGGAAGGACATTTGAACCTCTCAAAGTTTTCTCCTTGCATTCTTTTGTTTCCATCTAGCATTTCCGTATAAGAGAGTATACAGAGTGAAATCTCTTTCTGTTTCTTCTTGGATGTTTCAACTTTACATTTCCGTTTTTCGATAACCATAGTAATAGTTACCCATGAACATACAGATATTCGTAAACCCCCATTTCAATATGTAGCGAACAAATGAAATAGACTTCTTACTATTCTTATTAATTTTTTCTTATGCGTCCGGCTTTTAAAAAATAATTGAATTTGGTTTATCCTTTATTTTTCATTTCTTTTTGTTCGTTTATGTTTGTTTATTACCGAACACGAAGATCTAGTATTATGTGAATACCTTAAAAGAATTAGCAACGTATGTGCTTCCTTTTCATATTACCGGGTATGACTTATAATAGCTATTTGTTCTTTGTTACGACTCTGAGCGGCTTACGTGATGATTACAGCTGAAGGGAGAATTGGAACTAACCATAAACCAACAACCAAAGAAACCCATAATTGGGTGTTCAGAGTAAATTACAAAGGAAACGTCCATTTTGAAGTCGGGAATCAACGAGTAAGTTAAATTGCTAGAAAAAAATGAAACTTTCTTTTTTTTGGGCAGCAGCCTGTGTTTTGCAAGCTGCAAAGAACCAGCTTTCTTCTGCCGCAATTGTCGATATGGATGGCAGCCCTGGAAAATCTGTCGTTTTGGGATTGCAACATTCCTATGCTCAAGATGATTCTACAAATTTTGAACGAGCTCGTGTCTTGAACAAACGTGAGGACTCGGGTTATCCTCTTCTGGATTTAGAGTATACTAGTTCAGGAAGCTATTTTGCTAGCATCATTATGGGTCATAAAAAGAGAAACTACTCATTGACACTCGATACAGGTAGCCCTTACACCTGGGTTACAGCGAACAATGTGACAGCTCTGGACCCTTCTGAGTTTCAGAACGGAATGCCTGCTGGAAAGTCTACATCTGACATTCGGGAGATTTGCTCTAACTACACCTGTTATGACTTCTCCGACGGGAGTGCAAAACTTACCAGTAACAGCGTTTTTGGTTTCCTCACCTCATATGGTGATAATACAACTGCTATTGGATACAACATGGTAGATACTGCTTACTTTGCTGGATTATCTCTTGACAACTTTACTTTTGGTGTTGCTACTCGGGAGTACGATTCTGAGCAGATTAGCGTTACCCCTGGTATTATAGGCTTGTCCCCAGGAATGACCATTACAGGTGTCTCCAGGAATGGACGAGCGGTAGCTTACACACCTCCAACGATCGTTGAACAGCTGTATACTTCTGGCTTAATCAATTCCTATTCCTTTGGTATTTACCTCAATGAAAATGAAGGTGAACTGATTTTTGGGGGTTATAATGAAGCTAGAATTGACGGCGACGTCCGTTGGCTAAACGTTACTGGCACAGATAGATTTTACTCTGTTTATTTAGAAAGTTTAAGTTTCCCTAACTCATCCAGTACACAAGACTCATCGAAACTTAGCTTTGAGAAACGTGACACTGGTAATATCCAAGTCGACCAAAACGCTACTGTGGACACAGGAACTGTTTTGTTGTACTTACCTGAGGATGCTGTTAATTCTATAGCTGATCGTTACGACGGGGTTGTAAGTAATCAGGGATACCCGGTCGTTTACTGTAGTTCATTCTCAGATTCTGATTATGTTCAGTTTAATTTCGAGAATGACGTTGCATTCCAAATCCCTATGAAGCAATTGGTGATTTTACGTAGACCTGAGCAAGGTCAAGAGGTTTGTTATTTGGCTTTCGTTCCTTCTGCACCCGGTTCTTACATTCTTGGTCAATACTTTTTGCAAAATGTTTACTCTGTATACGACTGGGACGCTCGAAGAATTGGTTTCGCTAATCTTCGTCAGAATGCTTCTAATTCTGGCGTTGAAGTTATGAACATCGCTTCCGATTTGAGTGGAGTACAAACCAGTTCCAACTCTGCTACTACTACCTTTTCAGATGGTTATAATTACGGATCCTCGACCATTCCTTTAACCGGTACTCCTGGAGCCAATAGCTCAGCCCCTTCCCAGGACAGTAGCTCTAATGGAAGTAATGAGTCTGTTGCCTCGGCTTCTAGCAAAGTTGGTATATATTCTTTGCTTGCGTTTATGAGTTCTTCTTTTCTTTTCTTCGTCTTTATTTAGATACTCGTCCTTTTTATACGTTGATCCTTTCTCGAAGTCGTTCGTTGTCTTCCTTTGTTTCTGCTTAAAAACATCGAAAAAGAAAAAAGTATAATAACTTATCTATTATTACATATATATATATATATATGTATCTGTCTCATGAATCCTTGAAGCTGTCTTGATTATTTCTTATATTTTTTCTTAGTTACCTATCTTGTGTTACGTTATTAGTTTATTTTTGTCGATATTCATTCTGTTATGTCTTTAACTTTTCTTTTGAGTATTATTTGTAAGAATAGAAATCAATGAATACTTTTTTTTTCTTATAATAGTGTGATGAGAATGGCTTAATTAACCCTTTGTAACATATTTTCTGGGTGAAACAAACGCTCGCCGCTGAGTTATTTTCCTTAATAGCTATGTTGCTAATTAGTAAATCAAATATTTATCTACTTACAAGCGCATTTATGCTCTTAAAAGCTTGATATGTTTGAAAAAATTATATTTCGCATCGAAACATAATACTGAAAAGCAACCAAACTTTTCAACCAACCAATATTCTTAAAAATAGACTCAGCAACTCATAGTGACTTGCTGCACCAAAATAAAGAAAAAGCTCATATATTTATAGATTTACAATATATTTTCATTTATATGCTGCAGAGATGCCTAACCATTCTTTAAATTTACATTCCTACAATGAAGACGAGATAAAGCAATTTCGAAAACATTTAATAGATTTTTATGAGGAAACAAAGCGCGTATTGCCATGGAGAAAACAAGGATGCGATCTTCCACACAAAGACGCACCTTTAAACGAATGGGAAACCCCTATACAACGGCTGTATGAAGTTTTGGTATCAGAGATTATGTTACAACAAACGCGCGTAGAAACCGTAAAGAGATATTATAATAAATGGATAGAAACTCTTCCTACGCTCAAAGCTTGTGCTGAAGCCGATTACAATACACAGGTCATGCCTTTATGGTCAGGTATGGGGTTCTACACCCGTTGCAAACGACTGCATCAAGCCTGTCAGTATTTAGCTGGACTGAAACCAAGCGAAATCCCTTTAAGTGCTGAAAAGTGGGCCAAAGATATCCCTGGTGTTGGTCCTTACACGGCTGGTGCTGTATTGAGTATTGCATGGAAGCAACCTACTGGAATTGTGGATGGAAATGTGATCCGTGTTTTGAGTCGAACCCTTGCCATTCATAGTGACTGTAGCAAAGGAAAAGGAAATACTTTAATTTGGTACGAACTTTGATTGTTCACAACATTGTTTACTAACGCATACTAGGGAATTAGCGAATGCATTGGTAGATCCACAGCGTCCGGGTGATTTCAACCAAGCATTGATGGAGCTAGGTGCCGTCACCTGTACTGCTCAAAGCCCTCAATGTTCGATTTGCCCTGTTTCGGATATTTGTAAAGGCTATAAAGAGCAAGTCATTATTTCAGATAAACAGAAGCTAAAATATGACATCGAGGATGGTGAGCTAAATTGTTGTTTCTTTCATGTAGGCTAACAAGGATTATAGGGCCCTGTAACGTTTGTGCATCAGATCCCCCGTCTGCTGAAACCATGCAAAATTGGGTGGTAAGTAGGTACCCAATTCGACCTCAAAAGACAAAGCAAAGGGAAGAAAGAGCCTTAGTCGTGATATTTCAAAAGACGGACCCAGAAACGAAAGAAAAATTATTTCTGATACGAAAGCGACCAACAGTAGGTCTTTTAGCGGGATTATGGGATTTTCCAACAATCGAATATGGTGAAGATGCCTGGCCAAAAGACATGGAAGCCGAATTCCAGAGGTGTCTAAAAATATGGTTGGACGAAGAAAACTTATGTGTAAAAAAACATCAATCACGTGGAAGATATCTTCATATTTTTAGTCATATAAGAAAAACAAGCCATGTATTTTTTGCTATCGTGACCGCTGATACTAAAACGAAAGAAGACTTTTTTTGGATATCTCAATCGGATTTGGACCATGTAGGTATGTGTGAGCTCGGACTAAAAAACTACCGGGGAGCCTTGGAATTAAAAAAGAGAAAACTTACTACTTTGTCTAATTTCAAATCCCCTACCCTTATTTCGGCAAAACAGCAGAATGTGAAAACAGAAGCCTAAGCCTTTCTTTTGTTCGTTTCCAATTCTTCCTTTAGTTCTTCCATTAATTTATTTGGAAAGTATTCATGATTCCACTCATCAACCTTTCCTCCTAATATCTTTGTATTTTCAGAAGTGAGAAGCAGAGTTCCCCTCTTTATCTGGGCATTCTGAATGATGAGCTTTGTCCCCAGGTCTGTGTCGAGTTGGATTCCCGGAATCGGCTTCCATTCCATACCATAAAATCTTTGTCCGTTTGCGTCTTCTAAGACCAATCGGCACATACACTTGAACCCTTTTCCGTCGAATATGGCTTCTTGCGCCTCAGCAATACCGCTGTCATCTCCTTCTTTATCTTCTTGATCATCCTCATCCACTTGCCGAATAATTTGCTGGCCTTTTAGCTTTTTCCGTTCTTCCAGCTGGTTCAAATACTCAAGCTGGCTTACGATACTTTTCCCAATTTCCCTAATTCTGACCACTTGTACCAACAGCGGTTTTGAAAGTGTAATATTATGCTGGTCGGATATAGCATATGGTGCAGCACCTGCACTAGATGTAGAAGCACGAATATCGGATGCTACAAAAAAAGGGAGAACGAGTTCGGCGGTTATGTTTTCTCTAACATATTTCCGTTGATGGACTAGGTGGTTCACGACTAATAAGAGCCACGAGTCCTGTAGTGGAATACCTCTTTGTTCCAATTCTCTAAGCAGCAATGTATTTGTCATCCTTGCTTTTTGTTTTTCTACTACTTTAAAGTCAAGTATAAGGTACTGCGGGAGTTTTCTCAGAGAAGTCCAAAGGAACCATTGAATTGCAAGTAGCTACAGCAGGCGTGGTCTCTGATAAATCCTTTTTTTTGAACAAAATTTACTGTACAATAACTATGTATCTTAAATGATTGTGCTGTCCCCACTAATATACAAATAAAAAAACAATTCGAGATGAAATATATAAGGCGTCTACGACCTCAATTTCGTAAAAACCAACTTTTATTGAATTTTCTTTATGAAAATTATGTAAACAAAGAGTAGAGAATAGTGGTGAATATACGCCGTAGTGCTTACGACTTCAGTAAAGTGCGTTGTTGCAATTCGCAGTCACAAACTATACCTTGTACACAGCAACAAAACTTTCGTAGACAACACCAATTTGGGGAAAATGGCACTCAAGGAGTATCAAGTCGTTGGCCGCAAGGTCCCAACTGAGCAGGAACCTGTCCCTAAGTTATTCCGCATGCGTTTGTTTGCTCCTAACGAATCGGTCGCCAAGTCTCGTTACTGGTACTTCTTGAAGATGATTAACAAGGTCAAGAAGGCCACCGGTGAGATTGTTGCCATTAACCAAATTCACGAACCTAAGCCTCTTCAACCTAAGGTTTTTGGTATCTGGATTCGTTATGACTCTCGCTCTGGTACTCACAACATGTATAAGGAGTTCCGCGACACCACCCGTGTTGGCGCTGTCGAGGGTATGTACCAAGACATGGCTGCTCGTCACCGTGCTCGTTTCCGCAGCATCCGTATCCTCAAGGTCGTCACCGTTGAGAACAAGGAGGATGTCCGCCGCAGCTACGTTAAGCAACTTCTTGATCCTAAGTTGAAGTTCCCTCTCCCTCATCGTCGTACTGGTACTCTCGGCTTGGCTGGCAAGAAGGTCTTTGCTCCTCACCGTCCCACCACCTTCTACTAATTTTTTGTATGGTTTTCATAGACACAGCAACTGTGTGTTGTACAAAATACAGTTTCTTAACATATAAATGGGATAAGTCAGGATGCATTTCGAGTCGTAAACAGAGTGAAATAAGAATACTGTAACTTTCTGTAAGTAAAAACATAGACTCAAGAAAGGATATTTTATAGACTTTACTAGGTATAAGGCAGCAGTTGTTAGGTCATTTATAGAGGGCTGAAACCAGTCCTTAAGTCTCAAAATAAGAACTTTACAGTAAGAAGAATATGCAAATACGTGCGCTTCCCTAAATTTGATGGTTTATTATTTTTATGAACAAGCAGTGATAAACTGGATCAGGGGAGATAGTTAACATGACTTTTCTTTTGTTCAGGTTTCTTGTTATTGTTTTTCCTTCTTTTGTCCTCATTGTGTATTTTTGTGGATTACTCACTTAGATGATATTCTATAAATTCATATTGTAGAGCTAAGAAAATGCAGAAGGCTTACGATTCAACTGTAGTCGCTAATAATGTAGAATGATAAAAACTAGAAAATGATTCATGATATATATGGGAAAGAGTAGTCTCCAAATTCACAAGTGTGTAAATCCAACCAAGCGCACTGACAGAAGACAAACAAGCCTATACCGATTTTAAGGATCGCAAAGTAAAAACAAAATAAAACATAAAGAATTCGCTATCTTGGCTATTTTTGTTTTGTTTTTTCTTTGCGATTCTTAATTTTACAGAGGTCTGCCTCACCCTTCCTCTTGTTCGCGATCATAAGGGTAAGGAACTTGGCGTCACCAGCCCCTGCGATTTCGAACTTACCGTCTCCCTCCTTCTACCACGACGCATTGCCAGCCGTGGATCAAAAAGATGGCTCAACAATTACCAATACGGTTTAGTGAAGTTTTACAGGTATGTTTTGGTAATAACGGTCTTTTGATAAAGAAGCTAACTTTGGTATTTTAGCTGGCTTCCTTGGGAGTTCAGCCTTCGTTTGGCTTCGCCAATGTTACTCTTCAGTCAGAAAAATATGTTTGGTATGGTTTTGCTTGTGCGCTGCTAAAGAGAAGCTATGGCGCAGTTGAATGTGAGATCTTTGGACTACATACTAATACTTTTGTTGTAGTATTCGCGATAATTCCAACGGTGCCAACCAAGTGGTGATCGTTGACCTTGAAAGCCCCGAAAATGTGGTTCGACGACCTATTTCCGCTGATTCAGTTATTATGCATCCTAAGAAAATGATTATCGCTTTAAAGGCACAAAGACAACTTCAAGTCTTTGATTTAGAAGCCAAGGCCAAACTTAACAGCTATGTGATGAATCAAGACGTTGTTTATTGGACTTGGATCAGCGACTCTACCATCGGTATTGTCACCGAAACCTCCGTATACCATTGGTCTCTTTCTGGTTCGGATCCTGTCAAGATGTTTGACCGCCACAGCTCTTTGAACGGTACGCAAATCATTTCTTACAGAAGCAATTATAATGAAGAATGGTTCACCCTTGTTGGTATCTCTTCACGAGATAATCGTATCGCCGGTAACTTACAACTCTACTCCAAGAAGCGAAAAGTTAGTCAACCTTTAGAAAGCCATGCCTCTGCTTTTGCAGTCATCCAACCAGAAGGCCTTAATCATGATGTACAAGTACTTGCCCTTGCCAGCCGGTTACCGACTGGCTCGAAATTAAGTGTTGTTGAAATCGATCGTAATCCCAATAACCCTGCTTTTGCTACGAAAACTGTCGATCTCTTCTTCCCTCCTGAAGCTATTAATGACTTTCCCATTGCCATTCAAATTGCACCCGCCTATGGTGTCGCTTATGTTGCCACAAAATTTGGGTTTATTCATGTTTATGATTTGGAAACTGCTAAATGCATCTATATGAATCGTGTATCTGGCGAATCTATTTTCGTAACCACTCCCCATGGATCCGTGAACGGTGTGATGGCTGTTAACCGTAAAGGCCAGGTCCTCAGTGTTTCCATAAACCCAGACACAATCATTCCTTATGTCCTAAACAATTTGAACGATGCAGGATTGGCTGTCCGATTAGCCTCTCGTGCCAATTTACCTGGTGCTGACAATCTGTATGCTCAACAATTCCAACAATTAATGATGCAAGGCAATTATGGTGATGCTGCTAAGGTGGCTGCCTCTTCACCCCGCGGTATCCTACGTACAGCTCAAGTTATTGAACAATTTAAGCAATTACCCGCCATTCCTGGCCAGATTGCTCCTATTCTGCAATATTTTGGCACCTTGTTAGATAAGGGTCCCTTAAATGAACACGAATCATTAGAGTTGGCTCGTCCTGTACTTGCTCAGAACCGCGTGCAACTTTTAGAAAAATGGTTCAATGAGGATAAACTTGCTTGTACAGAGGCACTCGGTGACCTTATTAAGCCTGTAAACTCTGCCTTAGCCTTGAAGGTGTATGAAACAGCTAATATTCCCAACAAAGTAGTTATGTGTCTGTCTGAGCTTGGTGACTTCAACCGATTAGTTTCTTACACAAGCCAAACAAGCTTCACTCCCGATTATGTCTCGCTTTTGCAAAATTTGGTTCGAGTTAATCCTGACCAAGCGGCTGATTTCGCTACTCAAATTTACAATAGCGATCCTTCGGTCAACTTAGAAAAGATCGTTGATATCTTCATGTCTCAAAACCTCGTACAACAGGCTACTGCCTTCTTGCTCGACGCTCTTAAGGATGATAATCCCGCACACTCTCATTTGCAAACTCGTTTACTCGAAATGAACCTTATTAATGCCCCTCAGGTTGCAGATGCAATCCTTGGTAATCAAATGTTTTCTCATTTCGATCACCAAGCTATTGCTTCGCTCTGTGAGCGTGCTGGCTTAGTCCAACGTGCTTTAGAGCTTTACGAGAAACCCGCAGATATCAAGAGAGTTATCGTGCATACTAATTTATTGAATCCTGAATGGTTAATGACATATTTTGGCAAGTTTTCACCTGATGAAGTTTATGATTACTTAAGAGAGATGCTTCGCTCTAATCTCCGCCAAAACTTGCAAGCAGTAGTGCAAATTGCTACTCGTTATTCCGACTTAGTTGGGTCTCAACGACTTATTGAAATGTTTGAAAAGTTTAGGACTTTTGAGGGCCTTTATTATTACCTGGGTAGCATTGTCAACATTACTCAAGATGCTGACGTTGTCTATAAATACATTCAAGCCGCTTGTCTTATGAATCAATTCACCGAGGTTGAGCGTATTTGCCGTGACAATAATGTCTACAACCCCGAAAAGGTCAAAAACTTGCTCAAGGAAGCTAAGCTAGCTGATCAACTTCCATTAATTCTTGTCTGCGATCGCTATAACTTTGTAAATGATTTGATTTTCTACCTCTATCGCAATAATCTTCATCAATTCATTCAAATTTATGTGCAACGTATCAATCCTTTGAAAACCCCACATGTTGTTGGGGCTCTGTTGGATATGGATTGTGAAGAAGAGTTTGTGAAAAACCTCTTGAACTCTGTTATTGGTCAAATTCCTATTGATGAATTGGTAGAAGAAGTAGAGAAACGCAACCGCCTCAAATTGTTACTCCCATATTTGGAGTCACTGCTGCAATCAGGCAACCAGGATCGTGCTATCTATGATGCTCTTGCTAAAATTTATATCGATTCCAACAATAACCCAGAGGTTTTCTTAAAGGAAAACGATATATATGACACTCTTTCGATCGGTAAATACTGTGAAAAACGTGATCCCTATTTGGCTTTCATCGCTTATGAGAAGGGTACTAATGACACGGAGCTCATTACTCTCTGTAACGAAAATTCAATGTTTAAACAACTTGCTCGTTATTTGCTTAAGAGAAGCGAGCCTGAGCTATGGCTAGAAGTATTACAAGATCAAATGTTCCGCAGACCTTTACTTGACCAAGTTATCGCGACAGCCGTTCCTGAATCTTCAGACCCAGAGGCCGTTTCTATTGTGGTTCGTTCTCTCATGGAAGTTGACCTTCCAGGTCAATTGATTGAGCTTTTAGAGAAAATCGTTCTGCAACCTTCATCCTTTAGTGAAAATGCTAATCTTCAAAATTTGCTGTTTCTAACGGCCATAAAAGCTGATAAGTCACGTGTCATGGAATACATCGATCGACTAAGCAACTACGATGTTGAAGAAATTTCTGAAATTGCAGTAGAGAATGGCTTGTTTGAGGAAGCGTTCAAGATTTACAAGATTCATCACAAGCATGAAGAAGCTATGAAGGTTCTCGTTGAGGATATTGTCAGCCTTGATCGCGCCGAAGAGTATGCTGAAATTGTCGACCAACCTGAAGTTTGGTCTCGTTTAGCCAAGGCACAACTAGGTGGAATTAGAATTTCTGAAGCCATCGCTTCTTACCTAAAGGCCAATGACCCTTCCAATTATGAGGAGGTTATTGAATTATCTTCTCGAGCCGGTAAGTACGAGGATTTAATTAAATACCTGTTTATGGCCAGAACTAAGATGCACGAGCCTGACGTCGATAGTGCCATATTGGTTGCTTATGCTAGAACCAACCAATTGACAGAGATGGAGACATTTTTGATTGGTTCCAATGTGGCTGATGTGAAATCAGTCGGTGATGAATGCTTTGACAGTGGTAACTATGAGGCTGCTAAGATTATGTATTCTAGCATTTCCAACTGGTCCATGCTTGCTTCAACCTTGGTTTACCTTAAGGAATATCAAGGTGCTGTTGACTGTGCTCGTAAAGCCAACTCTATTAAGGTATGGAAGCAAGTAGGCACTGCTTGTATTGAACAGCGTGAATTCCGTTTGGCTCAAATTTGTGGCTTGAATTTGATTGTTCATGCTGAAGAACTTACTTTCCTTATTCGTTTGTATGAAGAGCGCGGCTATTTTGATGAAGTCATTTCCTTGATGGAAGCTGGTTTGGGATTGGAACGTGCTCATATGGCTTTCTATACTGAGCTGGCTATTCTCTATTCCAAGTACAAACCCGAGCGCTTGATGGAGCATTTGAAGCTTTTCTGGGGTAGACTTAATATGGCTAAGGTTGTTAAAGCATGCGATCAAGCACATTTGTGGAATGAAGCTGTTTTCTTGTACGTCCACGACCAAAGTTACGATAATGCTGCCGCCATTATGATGGAAGAACCTGAAGCTTTTGATCATCAATCATTTAAGGATATCATCGTACACGTGGCGAACTTGGAGTTGTACTATAGAGCTCTACATTTTTATTTGGAGCAGCACCCTATGCTCCTTACTGATTTATTAGCTGCTTTAACTCCTCGTATTGATCATTCAAGAGTTATTCGCATCTTTGAAAAGTCTGAAAATACACCACTCATTATGAACTTTATGGTTGCTATTCAACATTTGAACATTGAAGCTGTTAACAACGCTTACAACGACTTATTGATTGAAATGGAAGATTATCAATCTTTACAAGACTCGATTGAGAATTATGACCGATTTGATGCCATTGCCTTAGCTAAGCGACTTGAAAAGCATACCTTGCTTGAATTCCGTCGCATTGCAGCTTACATTTACCGTAAAAATAGACGATGGATTCAATCCATTGAACTTTCAAAGCAAGATCGATTCTACAAGGATGCCATTATAACCGCTCGTGATTCCAACCAAACTGAGATTGCTGAAGATTTGATGAAATACTTCGTGGAAATCGGCAACTATGAATGCTTTACTGCTATCTTATATACTTGCTATCATTTGCTTCGTAATGACTTAGTAATGGAGATAAGTTGGCGCAAGGGATTACAGGACTACGCTTATCCTTACTTCATTAACTTCCAAGCCGAAATGTTTTCCAAAATCCTTACTTTAGAAAAGGATATAAAGGAAAAGGGGGTCAAGTCGGATGAGGAACCAAGCACTTTAGGTACTGGCATCTTCGGCAACACCCTGATGCTTACACAAGGACCTATGGCTACAGGAAGCAACAATACTGGTGCTTCTGGCTTTGGATTTTAAGCAACTTTTTTTCCATTATGCGTTCGTTATTAAGAAATTTAATGCCATTCTTTTTGAATTACTAGAACTTGAGGTTCGTAGCAAGAAATCAATTCTATTATGATACTATAGACAATGTTAGTGATTTATGTTTTAAGGCATCTCAATCTCAACTGCATTACTCAAATGAATAATAACTTATGGCCTATATAACAAGGCACGAAATCCCATAAACGAGTTCTAACGTACTACGCTATTTCAGTCTCATTAACAGAGAAATAGGTTGGATGGTGCCAAGCAAGTTGCCTTCAGCGTCAGTCTATTCATTCTCTTAAGTATGTCAAGGCCCGAGCATATCGCACCTCCTGAAATCGTAAGTAAAAAAGAAAAAGACGAGACTGTTAACGTTGAGTTTAGTTTTACAACGATGAAGAGGCAGGCAAATATAACACCAAGTAAGTAACTTGTACTATGAAAGCTCGTCTTGGAAGCATGAATGAGCAATCTACGAAAAGATTGAATGGTAAAAGCGGCCCGTCATGTTGATTTGTAGAAATGATTTTTTTTAAGGGGCTTTCATTACTAACACAGAACATAGTACTCGTATTCAGTCTATTCAAGCTGAAATGACAGAGCGTGCAATTGAATTGCTTGATCCTGAAGGCCCTTCCTTATTGCTAGACATTGGTAGTGGATCTGGAATTTCATCAAGTATAGCTGAAAGTTTCGGTCACGTTGCTGTTGGTATGGACATTTCTCCTTCAATGCTTTCCGTTGCCTTGGAGTCTCAAGACGTTGAAGGCGATATGTTGTTGGCTGACATGGGTAATGGTGTCCCCTTTCGTGCGGGTACCTTTGATGGTGTTATATCGATTTCTGCTATTCAATGGTTATTAAATGCTGATAAGACCTGTAATGTTCCTCAGAGACGTTTGAATCGGTTCTTCGAGACATTATACAGCAGCATGAAACGCGGAGGTCGAGCGGTTATGCAATATTATCCGGAAAGCGATCGCTCACAGCAGATGATCCTCGACACAGCAAAGAAGTGCGGATTTGCTGGAGGAATTGTCGTTGATCATCCTGAATCGAAAAGGCAGAAAAAGTTCTACTTGATTTTACAAGCCGGTGGAATGCGGGCGTTGAATACGAGTGAAATGTCTGTTGAAGATGAAAAAGTTGATGCTAAGAAGCGCAAATCGAAAAGGAAACATGAAATGAACACTCGTGAGTATATTGAACATAAAAAGGACTTAAACCGTAAACGTGGCCGACTTTCCGTACCCAAAGACTCCAAATACTCTGGACGTCGCAGAAAGGTTGCATTTTAATTAGGGTATTACGGGACATGTATAATATAGGGTTAATAAAGAAAAAAAATAAAATATGGGTTTTTTGTTTTTGGTGGTCAAAACGCTTGCCTTATAGAAACGACTGTATTACATGCAAGATACTGAAACAACAGGTGCACCTTTTCATAACTTCAATACATCTGCTTACAAATTACTTTTACAGTCACTACAAATTACACCTACGCCAAGAAAACTACTAGCACACTGATTACCAAATCATTTGCTACCATTCACCATTATAAAAGGTAAGAATACAAAAGAGTAAGGAACTTTAAATTACTTCTCCATAACAACAGCATCATACTTTTGCTTGAACCAATTGATGGTGTCCCCAGGAGTAATCTTGTGAGGGAAACCAATACGGCTACGTTGGGCCTTACGACGAGTGACACGCATGCCAGGACGGTCCATAACGACATAGAAGTCCATACCATAAATACCAATGGAAGGATCGTACTTGATGCCCAAGTCAATGTGCTCTTGGATACCAAAGCCGAAGTTACCAGTGGCAGAAAAGTTGCGACGCTTCAACTCATACTCCTTGACCTTGAGACCACGTTCCAAAATTTCCTCAGCCTTGGGACCACGGACGGTAACATGGCAGGAAATCTTTTCATTACGACGGATGCCGAAACGACGGATGGTGTAACGGGCCTTGGAGAAAACAGGAGTTTGACCAGAAAGTTGTTCCAAAACCTTTGCGGCACGGGTGAGACGATCACCAGATTCGCCCAAGGAGATATTGAGCACCAACTTGGAGATACGAAGCTCCTTCATAGGGTTTTGTGCCTTCTCTGCCATATTTGTATGATTTTTGGTGGATGCCAACTTTTTGTCTAACGCATTTCTCATTCTCACAAGAAGTTTCGTTGTGACATTGTGACTGTTGCTTTGTTGCCAGGGTAGGGTTAACCTCACCACCATCTTGCCAGTGCTCAAGTTGACAGAGCTCATATTCCTGCATCAATAAGCGATTCGCTGTAGGGTTTTTTTAATATAAATTTAATTCAAAATGGTAAGAAATACTAGGATGATGAGAATTTTTTTCAGGATACGTTGCTAAACCCATCTTGTTTTTTAGGGTACAACAAAGATGGTTTCTTTGTTGAATCATTCTTTAAATGTAACTACAAAAGATGGACGAACTTTTGTAGGTCAATTATTAGCTTTTGACGGCCATATGAACTTGGTTCTGAGTGACTGTCTGGAATATCGTCACATCCGTAAACAAAATAATCCTTCTAACTCTGTGTACGAGGAAAAACGCATGCTAGGTCTTGTAATTCTTCGTGGTGAGTTTATTGTCTCACTCTCTGTTCAAGGTCCACCACCCATGGATCCATCTATGAGAGGCGGTTTGCTTAGTGGTCCTGGTGTTGCTCGTCCTGCTGGCAGAGGAATTCCTCTTGGACAAGCACCTGTTGGTTTAGCTGGCCCTGTTCGCGGAGTTGGTTTCAGCGCTCCTCCTCCTCCAGCTGGTTTTGGACGAGGCGCTCCTCCCCCAGGTTTCCGTCCTGTATAAAGATGTCGCAAGCATATGGTATTTTTTTCTTTTGCTAGACAACAGGTACTCGCAAGGATTATGTCCATTTATCATCATCCTTGGAACTACTTTACGTGAAACCTACTCTTCCGGAATGGCGAGTCGATCATTGTATTTTAAACGGCAGAAGTCTTATATGCTCGTCTTCCTCGATCATTGTACGATACTTTATCTGCTTTTTAGTCCATGGATAATGATGCTTTCAATGATGACTCTTACATTCTTTAGTGCATGATACTAGCGCAGGAAAAAGAAAACCGATCTTTGAATCATTTCTCTTGTACTATAGATTATATTTACCAAAAAAGAAAAAAAAAAAAAGAAGAAAATCCCTACGGTTATACTAGCTTATGTAAAACATACTTATAACTGTTACTCACGGACTGTTCATGTTAGAGAATTTATGTTAACGCAAATATCATCAATTATTATTGAATAGAAACTTCTAAAACCAAATTTCCGCTATATACAATGATTAATGTAGTTTTATTTAATTTAAATTTTTTTAACCCCAAACATATTTGATTCATAAATTAAATCATAAAGACAAATGCTAACGAACGATAAGGCGAAAAATAGATAAAAAATCCCAAACGTACGAAAAAAAGAGTGATGCTTATATCTTGAAAAGAAAAAAGAGCGATATAGATACATATTAATCAACTAGATTCGCATTTGTTTGACGAATATAGTCAGTGAAAATTAGCTCATAATTTTCGATGAGCATATTAAAAACTTCAGAAGGAATATTCAAAGTTGGAGAAAAAACGATCCCGATGTTTCTTGCGTTCATTTTGTTATATTTTTCAAAAGCAATAATTCTGCGTAAGTGATGTAAAAGAGAGTCTAAAAGAACAAAGTTTTCAACGGGTAATTCCCCAAGTACCCGACAAAGTTCATCCATTGAGCTCTGTGTATGGGCAATTCCCGGCATTAATTCAATGATTTTCTGTAGTGAATTATCCAGCAAATTAGTTGGCAGCTCACGAAGGTATAGTTTTAACAAACCAGCAACAGCATGAATATCAAACATTTCATCCGAAGATAATAAGTCGTAATCAATGCCTTTGTTAAACTGTTCCTTTAGGCTTTTTATTGCAGAAGAAGATCCACTCAGTCGATATATACCTTCTTCTTTTTCTGCGCGCATTGCTTCCAAATACTCCAAGCACCGATATATCACAATGGGAAGCCCACTTTCATTAAATTGCGAGGCTTGCTCTACTGCATCAACCAGCGGTAATCCAAAAACCGAGGCTTGCTTTGTTATCGGATGCGCATTTGGAGCTGGTAACGACACAGGTTCTGAACCGTTCGCCTTATCAAGGGTTTCAAAAGAATACTCCTTCCTGTTCTCTTCCAAGGTATTGGCATTTGAAGATTGATCGTGCATCTGAGGTATCTTATTCCCAGAAATATTTATTCGTTTGAAATGATTGAGAAAGTCTTCTTCTACAGATGCGTTCTTATCCTTTTTCGGTAACTGTTCTTTATTGAAACTCGGTACAACTTTCGTTACTCTGGGATCAGTTTCCAAATAGCTATTCCCAGAGGTACTTGCAAAGGATAGTTCGGATTCGCGTTCATCTGTTGACAGTTCAGCTGTATCACTATGTCCAGCAGGGAGCAAATCAACATTTGAATCTGGTCTATTATTAATGTTTTCTTTATCCCCCATTACTTCGAAAGCACTGTCATCCACATAATGGCTTTGTGGCAGAGAGTCATCATCCAGGCTCCATTGGCTAACACCAGGTAAGAAATCCACCTGACTTAACTTTTCGTTTTGCTTTTTGGTTTGATTCCGACGAGATCCAGGAAAATCCGAAGCTTGAATTTGGAAATCAACAGGGGTAGACGACGTAGAAACTGGAGGTATTTGATAAAGAATAGAACGTAACCAACTTTGCTGATCTTCCATGTCCTTCGCCAATAAGACATGGATAGTATCCGTTCCATTTTTTTGTTCAGTTTGCTTTTCCTGTATAACAAATGCAGACTGGTAATTTTCGCCAGTTAAGAATTGATGAGGAGGATCAATAATGGTGAAAACAGGCAAATTTGCGCTATATCGGTGGACTTGAGCCTCCTGCAACTGAATTGTTCCTAGAACAGGTGCATTGCGGTTTTCTGCATAATACAAGACACGGTCTTTCAAGTAAAAATAGCGAGAAACAAGTCCGATATTCTTAATATATCTAAGTAAAACTCCTTCTTTTTGAGCATGATCTGGAGGAAGAAAGAAAACATCATTAAGATATTCTCGTAAAGTGTCTTTGCTTAAGAACTGAATTAACTTAACTTTCTGTTCTAACGTAAGATCAGCTTGGAAAATATAACGGAAATATGTGTCGACAGACCGACGAAGTAGTTCATTTTGTATATAAGAAGAATCGTTTGCGAACCAGTCAAGTGTGGGAAACGGTGGAGCACCTACATCCAAAATAAATGATGAATCAAAAGCTCGACATTGGCCAATACTCCTGGAATAGCTCCACACTTCATCCTTCCATTGTGAAGCAAGAGGCGGTACAGCGGTGACACCTACCACAAAATGTAGAATGATATTATCAAACTCCGCAGATGAAGAAGACAGAGTTGTCTTCATGAGATCAAATTTCAGGTATCGTACCAGTGCCTCATCCAACCTGAAACTGAGTTTGCTGTTGTATAAAGTTTCAGAATTGTTTGAAGAAGTTAACTGTGGATTACTGGCTATGGAATCACTTTTTGTGCGATTTTCTTGTTTCGGGCGAGCAAATGCCGTCAATGAAGAGAAGGAGGACAGAAAAGATTTCGTAGAAGACTTCTTGGATTCTTTCGATTGGGCCTCTGAACTTTGTTGTTGTGATTGCTCTGTAGGAGAGTGAGGATCAATGATAGTCCATGTTCGATTAGAGTCAGAGAGACGTCGCGTCAAACAGATATCACTATCCGGAACTTTCAACATTGATAAAGGTTCAGATGCTATTGTTTCGGGTGAGTTAACAACTGAAAGGTTTATAGCTTTAGGCAAAGGTTCCGGATAAGCTAAGGAAGGAGTAGGAGACAAGGAGTTTGAATTAAAGTTCTTATTAAATGGAAACCCGGATTTTGAAGTTGCATTATCGTTCGTATCAAGATCAGTAACCGCTGCAGGAGACGCAATTGTGTTTTTCATAGGAGATTCGTCCAACGTGGAATTTATGCCGCCTTTCTTCAATGCTACAGAGTCGTTGGGAGCCGAAAAGTTTTCAAGAAACTGTTTTGCAAAATCGCTATTACTTTTGCTATTTGATACTACACTCGGATCTTGAACTGAGGAAAACTTAAAGTTAGTTGAAGTAGGAGAAAGGCTTTCAGTACAATCCAAATCCTCTTTCATAAACCATCGAGTCTTTGCAGCTTCATTCCGCAAAGCTGAGTATCTTTCGTGCGACACAGGTGAAGAAAGCGAAGAACGTGGGTCATATGGACCAGAAATCGCGTTTACAGGAAGGCGTTTTGTGTTCAATAGAAGTTGAGGCATATCTTTGTAAATATTTTGACTCCGTTCTTCCAAAGATGAACCTCCGTGCGTAAGGGAAGAGAATGACGATCGATCGTCTTTGCTGGCACTCCCTACGAAACTTGGGGATAAACCATCTCTTTGATCCTTCGAGGCTAACCTTGCAAACAAATTTGCTTTATTGGGAGAAGGGATTTCAGCGCTAGAATGGTACTCAGACAACGAGGTTTCTAGATTTTCCAGTTTACTTAAACGTGATCGCAGAACGCCATTCTCAGAAAGAGCTTGCTCCAAATCTCTACGTAAATCATAGATAGTATTTCTTTGGTTATTTACCAGGTCAAAAAGTTTTTCCTGTTCAACCCCTGGAGTCGCATTACCATCACTGATTTGAAGTTCGTCCTGAGAGCCCATATTTCTCCCTAACTTGAATGTATTTTCAAAGGAATTGCTTCCTTTCATTGCTTTTAAACATTTACCCTACAATTAACCATGCAAATTACTTCTTTGACAGCCTTCCTGGAGGTCGGCTGGGATAATGAAAAGGTATGGTAATATCGTTGGTAGCGTTAACTTACCATCTCCATATACATGTCTCTCGAGCTAGCTTTCGGACTCAAAGCATTAAATTGCATATTCTAATTTTATAAACAATTTTGAAAATTTTATATTCAGTGTTGTCTTTTCACCACTGTTTTTAATTTACTGTTATGAACGGAAATGATAGTATGTGTCAATTAACTCATTCTCTTTGCTAACTTTTAATGAATTAGCCTATTTATTATCCCTTGAGATTTCCAATACTACCGATGGATCTATTTTGTCTTTGATTCCTGGAAACAATGGAATGCTGACTCCTGTTTCTAATACCAAGCGAAGGTTACTAGATATGACATATGTATGTTTATAGGGAATAGGAAGAAAGTTTAGAAGAACATACTTTTTTATTTGACTTTGATAAAAAAGTCAGTTGCTAGATTATGCTTACTCCAATAAGCTTCATAGTAAAAGCAACGGAAGTATTAAGTCTTCTCTTCGTTTCTTTTTTTGCTACGTAACATAAAGGTACTGTTTAACGCTAACATAGGTAGGATACTCTGACGAAGCTTGTACTCTTGAAGCTTGAATGTCAAACCATTCCCAGTTTTCGACTGTTCTTTACCCCAGAGGTTGCTAATATAAAGCAAGAAAACAAAAAGCTCTTTTTACTCAATTGTGAATCGATCGCGTCGTTAAATAGTTTTTTTACTCGAGTGATATCTTATGATGAACTATGCAGCCAACAGAACGTTTATGAAGTGTCTACGTTAGTCGAGACAAAAAATGATGACTACGGATTCTCCTATGATTGGAAGCCTTCTGTTCATAAAACTTTAGAGGATGGCTGCTTTAACTATTCATGCCTAGCTATTTATTCGTTCGAAACCGAATGTTTGGTTTCTACAAACAAGCTTTTCTACTACATAAAATTTGACTCATCAGATTTTGAAGATACTCCTATGTTATTAAATTCGCCTACGAAAGTATCGCCCAAAACTACTGAAAACTGTTTGTCTCAGAGTCCTAAACCTTCCCCTGAGCCAGCTATTTACAGTTCGAAAACCGCTATATATCCTGAAACTTATGAAGACAATCCTTTTTTTCGCTCTATCTTGCATGAATTAGAACAGAAGTCATCCTCCATGAAGTTGTATTTTAAAAAAATAATGAAACGAATCATGCAGGTGAGCTCTGCTTTCGAAGAATCCGAGTATGCTTTTAAGCGACTGTCTGACACTCTTTATGAAGCATCCACAGATACCACAATCGCTTCGCAACCGATGCTAGATGAATTTTTGCTTCGCTCATTTGAACTTGAAATGATTGTTTTACGGCATATGAAGGCTGACTTTATGAATCATATGTATGGACCTTTACAAAGAATATATAGTACCTCTATAAAGCCTATTGATGATAAGAAATTGGAGTTCGAAGAACAAAGTAAAAGTTATTATACTTTACTGTCTCGTTTTATGTCTTGTCGTAAAGATTCTAAGTTATCCGAATCGGTCTTTTTCGAAAAAGAAAAGCGCTTTGCTTTACAACGTTATGATTATTATTGCTTTATGCAAGACCTTTATAATGGCTCCACCATGAGTGAAATAAGTGAGGTTTTTTTAAAATTTGTAAATCGACGATTCGACAAATTGTCCGACTATATGGCTTCCTTGGAATATTTACTCCCTCAGCTACAGCAATTGATGTCGAAACTAGAAGCTTCGAAATGGGATCTCACTTTTCAAGAAAAATGCCGAAGAAAGCAACGTTCGGCTATGATAACGAAGAAAGATCGACCAAAATCCATGTTTGCTATTCCATCCTCCCCTTTATCTGATGTATCGGAAAGGTCTGATTATACAATGTACAGCCCACCACATTCTTCTTCATCTGAAGACTTCCAAAAAGTAAGCAGTCCTACATCAAACGTTCATAATCCTGGTTTGATATACAAGGAAGGGCTTTTGTTTGTTTTCACTGCCTCTGAATTAGGAGCCGACTTAGCCGTTCGCAGTAAAGCAGCCTGGCATAAATACTGGGTTGCCATCAAGGATGGTTATATGCTGGAGTATGCAAATTGGAAAGATTCTGAAAAGATTAGTGTTTATTCAATTTCACTGCGAAATGCTTCTGTGAGAAAATTAAGAAAACAGCCAAGGAAATACTGTTTAGAACTGATTTCTCCAAAGACAAAGCGCTTATATCAAACAACTTCTGAAACTGAATTGGATGCTTGGATTAGTTCCATTAATGATTCCATAAAATCTTTAACTAAGCAATCTTCTTTAGAAGATTCACTCACATCTTCAGATGAACAGCCAGTAATCAAAGGGGTTTCGTCGCCGCCTGTTGAGCGCGCTCGCTTGACTCGCAAGATCAGTGGCTCCGGAATCAGAAGAGCATTCACCCGGAAAGGGTCTTGGAATTTTCCTCAACTTTTTCGAAGTGCAAGCACAAACACAAAAACTATTGAGGATTTAGAAAAATGCCATGCAAGTGCAAGCATTTTCATCGAAATGTTGAGAAGGATCGATCCAGAAAACTCTCTCTGTGCTGACTGTGGCTCTACGAAAGACGTGACATGGTGCTCCATCAACATTCCAGTAATTTTGTGTATTGAATGCAGCGGTGTTCATCGTTCGCTTGGTTGTCATATCTCAAAAACACGCTCCCTTTTATTTGACTCTTTTCCCCAACAGTTAAAGCTTTTGTTGTCTCGAGTAGGGAATTCAGTTGTAAACCGTGTTTTTGAAGCGAGGATAAATTCATTCTCTGGTAAACCTTTTCCTGACAGTGATACGGGTATGAAAGCTGTGTTTGCCAAAAAGAAGTATGCTGAACATGCCTTTATGGATCTGTCATCAGTAGACGCATACCAGTATCTTATTGAAGGTCTAAGGATGAACGAGACAGAAAAAGTCTTGCTAGCACTTGCTGCTCAACCAAACTTCAAAGAGCACCGTTCTGAATTTCTAAAGGAAGTAACTCAAGATGCAAGCCGCTTACATTATTTGGAGCTGATGCTTTTGAACGGATTGTTATTGCCCTCCTCTGAAGAAATATCCAAGTATGCTTGTAAAGAAATGGAAGCATTATTACAACAAAAGCATTATGTCAAATATCGCGAGGAAGAAGTATAGGGAAAGAACAAAGAGCAGATGTTTCCTTACTATAAAAAATCCATTCTTCTTTGATAAAACAGGTTTTAATGAAGGAAGCAGAGCCTCCACATTCCCAACCGTAATTCCTCTCACTAATAGAAGTCGTGGACTCTGAATTGATTCAAAATATTTTCAAGCCTTTATCTCATACCCGTCTCTGAAATACTGCTCTTTCTTTGTGCCGTCTTCTCTGTTGTATATGCAGCATTAAGACAGTTATTTGAATTCCGTTCAACGAAAAGTGTAATATGAACGACAATCAAAGTGAATCTTCATCATCAAGGAAAGACACGTTTTCGTGTCTGATAAACCTTTGGTAAAAGTTGTCATAGTCATTTCGTTTGTTCGAATTGACCAGTTATTCTACAAAATTCTTAAAACGCAATTAAAAGAAAAAAAAAACGTCCATCGCTCGCTTAAAAGGTTTTATTTTTTTCTCATTAACTTTACATTACTCGCTTTATTGAATTGCGAGAACTATTTATTACGCACCATTCCTTCTTTTCTTCTGACAATACACTTACTTCTTGGACACTCATTTTGGTACTAATTCACTAATAATAGCTAATTTGACTGTGCCCTCTTTTTTTTTTTAGTCGACTTGTTATCCGTCAAGACTTAAATCCATTTCAAACAAAAAAGTTCATAAAATTACAAAAGAAAAACAGACTCAATCTCGTTTATGCTACCAAATTTTACTCATTCGTTACTTCTTTCCACAGATATTCACCACACATTACCTTTGTAATCTTATCAATCATCACGAAGGAAGCACCCACTTTTATATGTCTAAAAACGTTAGTACTTCATTTATTCAAGGTATTCGAAAATTCAGTCCATTTGTATTACCAAAGTTTTCCTGTAGAATGAACCATTTCAATGCTTCTCTTGTTCCAAAGGACTTTCGTCCTTTTCGGATTGGACTCGTTCAGCTTGCGTCAACTGCCAACAAAAACGAGAACTTGAAGAATGCGTGTGCTCAAATTTCAGAGGCTGTGAACAACGGCTCACAAATGGTTGTCTTGCCTGAATGCTTCAATTCTCCTTATGGTAATCAGTATTTCAATGACTATGCTGAGACGATTGAGGAGACTTCTCCTACATACCAAGCATTGCATTGCATTGCTAAAGATTTGAAAATTTATCTTTTTGGAGGCTCGATTCCTGAAAGAAAAGATGATAAACTTTACAACACTTCCATGATCTTTAATCCATCTGGCAACTTGATTGGCATTCATCGTAAGATTCATTTATTTGATGTGGATTTCCCTGGCAAAATTACGTTCCGTGAGTCTGATTCACTGAGCCCTGGTAATTCTATGACCATTATTTCAACTGAATATGGCAAAATCGGTTTGGGAATTTGCTATGATATTCGTTTCCCTGAATTGGCCACGATTGGTGCTAGAAATGGTTGCTGTATGATGATTTACCCTGGTGCTTTTAATCTTACTACAGGCCCTTTACACTGGGAGCTTCTTGCGAGAGCTCGTGCTATTGACAATCAAATTTATGTCGCTTCTTGCGCTCCAGCTCGTGACATGTCTGCTAGTTATCATGCCTGGGGACACTCTACGGTTGTTGGACCAGACGGCATGGTATCGGCTACCATGGATGAAAAGCCTGGTATTGTATATGCCGATATTGACCCGGAGCATATGGCATCAACCCGTAAAAGTATTTCCTTGTACACCCAACGTCGTTTTGATGTCTACTCTGAGACAAAGCCTCTCAAACTTAATGAAAACTAGGATTTTGTCGTAATTTATTATTAAAATAATTAAATAAATCAACTATATGAGTTTATATGAATCCAGGGGTAAAGTAATTCTAAAAGTCCAAAATACCCTAACGAAAACCGTTTGATGTCATTTATAGTATTAAGTTAATGAAAGATAAAATCATCGATGAGCGCCCTTTCCATTGTAGCCTGTAGCTGGAGAGTATCCGTAGCCATAAGAGTTGCCACGATTATTCATATGAAAGTTGCCATTTGAAGGGCCTGATTGTCCATATCCACCTCTTGCACTATACGCATTCGCGGATCTTGGGAAGTTACCAAATTGCTTCCACGGCGGTTGACTACCCGTATTCGCAAATCCATTGGTAACTCCAGTATACGTTTGCTGATTGTAACTATAGTTCTGTGATTGATAGGACGAACGTTGAGCACCATAGCCTTGGAAACCTCCTCTTCGAGGTCCACCTCCTCGGAAAGAGTTATTATTTCTGCGTCCAGTATTATTTCGTTCTGCACGTACGATGCTAACATCTTCTGGAGTCAATACTTTGGGGGGCATTTTAACACCGCGAAGAAGCATTGATTTATGAACAAAATTTGATTTGGGGACTTCATATTGTAAGCTCAAACTTTGATTGTTCTCAATGTTGCCGTATTTTTGAAGCGCATCAGCAGTGGTAACGTCTACTGGGCATTGTACTGAAACATTTGGTAATATAGAATCATCATTGCTTACCTTTCCAAAAATACCATGTCCCACTTTTCCGGATAACTTCAAAGGTTTCCCTTGTTTCTTTTTTGTGTACAATTGCTTTACGACTTCTGGGTACATGGGATGATGCTCAGAAACAAACAGCAATGTAGATCCGTTCGTATTTCTTCTAGCTTCCTCTTCACTCAGAGAAGGATAGACCTTGGAAACTGCCGATAACAATCGGTTTTCATCAATAAAAGGAAGCAACGCAACACCTTGCCATTCAAACTTTTTACCGTTTAAATCTATAACAAAGTCTTCCGGATAAAAATCGATGATCTCCGAGTCATTTTGAGTCATCAAAGACTGCAATTTCTCCGGTAAATTGTTTTTACTTGCCGCGGGAAGTACACCCAATAACTGCTCATATGGCCTGAACGGTTGATTCAAGTCAAATTTGACGTCAATAGAAGAGAGATTTTTAAAATCAGCCGCAAAGGGGGCATAGTGATATGGATAATACCAAGTCCATGAAGGACAACCTTGATAATAGTACAGCAAAACCCAACATAATCCATGAACATAATGGCGGATTGCCTCCCCTAACTGATCCGTATCATCCACGGAAAATCCAAATTTTTGTTCATAATAACGCTCTCGATATCCAGCTTCATGTAACCGAACTGTATCAGTAGTGGCTTCGTCGCTGGTTGAATTATCTTCAGCTTTTCGTTTCATGCCAGCTGAAACGGGTGCTGGTTCAATAGGAGTTGCTAAACCACTAGGGTCTGAGCTTGCTATGTCATCCGTAGCACTAGGGGTAGGGGACGAAACCACGTCCTCAATAGGGACAGCATGAAGAACTTCATTTGAAATCATTTGAGACTTTAAGTTTGCAGCAGCAATTTTGTTAATAGAAGAGGTAGTCGCAGCTTCATTGGAAAGGCCAAGACGGTTGGCGGCACGATTATTAATGAGATCTTTGTTTGTAGCTCCTAACGATCTATTGGAGGCTCTTTCAGATAAATTTACCAAATCCTCAGGGGGCGGACCACCGGTTTTCCGTATTTTATTAGGTCGGCCATCGTCTTCTGTGCTTGTCTCAACAGAAGGGGCAACCGTTGCTTGTGAAGATTCAACCTTTACTGAGCGTTGTATAACAGCCTCATCCAAATAAGATGAATCATTTTGGTTGGCTTCTCTTTGTGCTCTACGCTTCTGGTTTTCAGTTCGACGGTCTTCTTGTTGCTTAAGACGCTTAAAAATATCGTCTTCTTGATCGCCGACAGCAGTCAAAATCATCTCGGCACGGGTTAAATTAACTGATCCATCTAGGGTTAAGTAACCTCCCATATGTGGAAGACAGGTACGCCAAATTTCAGTCAGACGTTCTACTGCACCATCACGAATATCCAAGCTTGGAAGATGGGGAAGAAAGTCGTTACCGACGAAGAAAATGAAAAACACCCAGTCATCAATGGCTCTTTCAAGATCGAAAGGGAAAGGCAGGTTAGGAACATACAGCTCAACTTCCAGGTATTCTCGAAGAATACTAACATGTAACCAAATGAATGGCTTCTTCACAGGAACCTTATTAGTTTCTGATGTTTCATCTAACCGCTTCAAACCTAATCGTTCTTCCTTCGTTTTTCGAGTACTGCCTTGTTGGAAAAATACATCTTCTCTCAGTACGCGGAAATGAGGTTCATGAGTTGCCAGACCAAGCATAATTAAATCGGCATCCAATCCATACACAACGTGATGAGTATTTGGGTCATATTCTGGTTTTACTCGTTGAGAACGAATAAATTCCATAATTTTGTGCTCACCTTCACCTGGCACAGATGCATCTGACAGAATGAAGCGAGTGTTTCTCCAGCAAGGATCTGTGTTTAGTTTATTTATAATGTAGTATCGTAGCGATTTAGCTAATGTATCCATAAACGGTGTTCCTGGTGTAATACAATTGCTATCCCAAGCCTTTTTCTTGCTTGCCTCTTCATCGACAGGAATTCCCTGTTTTTTTGCTTCCTCAATGCAAGTTTCAAGCTCAGCTTCTTTTTGAGCAGCTTCACGAGAAGATCGAAATCGACGTGATCGCTGCTGATTCATTTTGGCACGAGGGGCTACACCATCGATGGCAATGTAAAGCAACTTTCTGGGACGAACCATTGCCAAAATCCTATCTGTATACTCAAAAACGGCAATCATCATCTCATCCTCAGTTTCAGGTGCCGGTCGATCTTCAGGATGCGAACAAGGATGGACAATGCCATTCATATCCAGGTATAAATTATCGCATTCTTCACCATTGGGATTTGGAAGGCTCAGATCTGGTCCAACTTCTGTCCCATCAGGAAGCGTCTGAGTCGGTGCCTCAACTACAGGCGTAATAACTTTGGCAAATTTTCTCGACAAAAGTCGAAAAAGTGCTGGAACACCCATCGTGACCAAAAACTCTGAAGGAGATCAACGCTACTTCCTTCTTGCTTCTGAAATCAATCCGATTCTGTAATTAAAAGAATCAATGATCGAAATCGTTTGTGTGGTATTTGACAGACACGAATAAGGCAGTATAATTTATCATTCTCTTAATATTTACGACCTTAATATATATTACTCTAAAAAGTATATAATTCTATAATCACAGTTGTTGAGATGCGTTATACTATTGTATAACGAGGACTAGATTACTTTCATTGATAAACAAATAGGTAGAAAGTGAAAATTAATATATGATTTTGAGCTTTGTACACATAATTATGTAAGTATGTAGTGTAACTTTTCATAATATTGATTGTACATAGTATTTTCTTCAATTGCGGTATTCTCTTTCCATGGACTGAATTACAATGTTTATTTTGTAGTTTTATTTCAAAGGGAATGAGGAAAGAATAAAGGATCAGTCAGTGATGCTAAGATAATAGAGGAATTCATGGAATACGGAAGAATTTAGAGCATTCAGGTAGATTGAAATCATAAATGTCCGTATATTTACAACTCGTTCTTTTGAAATTATGTCTGTCCAAATCCTCTTTTGTAAAGCATGCGTTTAACTTTAAAATAATTAATTTATTATTTAAATACGAAGCAAATTATATTTTTCTTTCTAATAATAACAGCGTTTGAGCCTTCTCGTTTTACGAGTTTTTGCTTGCTGGTAAAATAAGTTCAACATATCTTCCAAAGTTAATTTCAAGGAAAAACACCCTTAAGTGGACTTTCAGCTGCTTTCAAATATAAATTTCGCATCTTTGTGAAGACTCAAAACATGATTTTCAAATATGCGAGACTTAACAATGAGCTGAACTGTTGTGAGAAGAAAACCATTGACGTTAGTTTCTAAAGAAAAATATGGTGAAAATTTATTGTTTATGTGGATAGACCACCAGAGCTTAATGATTCTGTAGCATTTCATGAATATACTCCTGATCATGCATCCTTTTCTGGCCCATAAAGATGTAGAAACAAGATTGAAATGTCCTAAGATATAGAATAAAATACTTTCTTTATATCGGACAAGCTGCTCATTAGTAAGAAAAAGATTTGGCAAGAAATGAATGTGAGGAATGCCAAAAAAGACTCAAAACTTATTAAGCTCTTTGCATGTGCAATTTATAGCTGTAGAGAAGCTCAATATAAGATATAGAGGAAGCTATTCATTTAAACAAGCCTCTGTAAAACATTAGTCTTGACCCTATGAGTATCTAAAGCAGACGAATGACTCACATGGGGGACTTTTTTAAGATTTATTTGGGATTACCTTCCCAATAAAATCTTACCTTCGGGGACTATACGATCATCTTCGATGACGCTTACTTAAAACACATAAGAGTACAGGGATAATAAAAGGCGTCAATTACTTAATTGCAATCCTACTGTTCTCTAAAACTTAAGATATAACAAGAGAACGGCATGTCCTCTTTCTTGTGGTGAAGCTGGGACATACAGTATAAGATACATATCTGAATGAGTATTAATATTAAAAACATATGATTCAAGAAAAAGAAAAGAAACTTTCCGTGCATAAGAAAACATTGAGGATCTGTCAAAAGAGGGTTCAACTCGTCAAAGAAAACTGACACGACAATAAAGAGTATGAAGCAATTTATGAGCAAATTATTACCGCGAAAGCCATTGTAAGAGAAAGAAAAGGAAAAACTATGCTCCAAGATCACACTGACAGATAAAGCAAACCTAACTCTCTAAAGAAAATAGCGTTCAGAGCAAACCTAGGCTTCGGAAAACATTCTTTTACAACTTTTTGAACCAATTTGTAGAAGATAGAAAATTACTGGATTGATCGAACGCCCATTCGCCAAATCCAAGGTATTTTTCAACGGCGAGCTTCACATCTTCGTTATGGACTTTCTCAACATCAAACCTGGTTCAATGTATTAGTTTCGGTTTTGCTAATAATGGAGACGAATTTATAAATGAATAGAGTGATAACTTACGAGACACCAGAAGAACGACGAATTCCTGCGATGCAAGTAGAAACTAATGCTAAATCAACTCCGTAATGGAACAAACGAGAAAGAACAGGCTATAATTAGCTTTTGCGAATAAAATAACATACCATTTTTAAATTTATAGGGCTGCTCGTAGTTTTCCTAATGTTACTGAAGAGAGGAGGAGGTTTGGTGTAGCTTCGTTCTATGTGCTATACATACAGTAGCACACATGGATACTATGAGTAAAGCAACTGGATATAATAGTGAGGACTTTTAAAACGTATTAAAAATAACAGAATATAAAAAGGTTTAAAGGAATAAAATGTACCTGATGGCCAATTTATATGTACAACTATTCTCATATTGCTTATGTCTATAAATACTAGACTTATGGATACCAAAGAAAGAGAGTAACATTAAACGATATCCCTAATTAACATCTGTAGTGTCTTTTAATTTAAAATAAAACATCATTGCTCCTTTTTTTGACACTTTCTATTTTTTCTTCCATTTGGAATATCCTATTTTCCACCCATCCCAAACTTGCCACTTGAGCATTCAGCACCTTAACGATTTCAGAAATAGAATCATCGGGCTTCGAGAAGTCATTCATTTGATTTATTACAGTTCCTAAATCTTCGCCGAGCCTATCGAGGCGACTCAAAATATCATCGGCAACGTTAAACGCACGCTCGCGCTCTACGTTAGGTGCAGTAGGTGTGCGACCATCAAAGGATTCAAGCTGTGCTTCATAAGAATCTAACAATTTAAAGAGCTCCTGTTGGCTAGAGGAAACATATTCAAGTCCATCATCAACTCGATTTGATAACTGTTCAGCATCGACAGTTTCTGCATATAATTTGGAAATTAACGCTCCGTTATCTATTAAAGCCTTATCCCAGTCAGCGACCTGATCGCAAAGTTTGTTAAATACTGTGGTCTGAGTAGTGAGGTCCGACGACCATTTGTTAAGGATTTCTTGTAAGGTTTTATGCTTGATAGATGAGGGTGGAGATTCCACCGGTACGGTAGCGGTAGACTTAGAAGCAGTATCTTTAGTAGCATCAGGTTTGGTTACATTAGACTCTGCGGGTTTGGAACCAAATAGTGAGCCAGTGGTTGTTGTTGTTGTAGGCTTAGTGGTAGAGTCTTGCTTACCAAAAGAGAATCCACTGGAAGGCTGGGCAGGGGCTGTAGTACTTGGTTTCGTGGTATCAGTCGATGGTTTATTAGCTTCGGTTGAAGCAGGTGTAGTAGTGGTAGTACCTAATTTATTTCCACTTCCAGCTCCTCCTCCAAAAGAAAATAGTGGTTTGCTTTCAGCAGGCTTGGCGGCACCAGCAGTACTGGTTCCACCACCTCCGAAAGAGAATCCGCCTGTCGGAGCGGGGCTTGGTTTGTTGTCAGAAGAACTTTCTGCAGCTTTTCCAAAGTTGAATCCTCCAGCGGCAGGTTTATCTTGGGTCGGTGCTGTAGATGGAGTGGCTGCAGCATTAGTACTGGTTCCACCACCTCCAAAAGAAAATCCGCCTGTCGTTGCGGGACTAGGTTTGTTTTCCGAAGCACTTCCTGCAGCTTTTCCAAAACTGAATCCTCCAGCGGCAGGCTTATCTTGGGCCGGTGCTGTAGATGGAATGGCTGCAGCATTAGTAGCGGGTTTCTGTCCGAATAAGCCACCACCAGAACCAAGGCCACCTCCGAACGTAATCCCGCCACCGGTGCTGGAAGCTGAGGTTGTTGGAGCTGCTGGCTTGGCACCAAAAGAAAAGCCACTGGTACCGGATGGTTGAGTAGTCGGCTGGTTAGTATTGGCACTTGCAGTAGGACCAGTCGGTGCTTCTGCCGCAGGCTTATTCAAGCCACCGAATAATGGAGCATTCCCCGATGGGTTAGACTGTCCAAAGGAAAAACTGGGCTTATTGCCAGAATCAGATGCGTTGGAGCCAAAACCAAAGCCTCCTCCTGGTTTTGCGGTATTCGAAGCTGATCCAAACAAACCTCCAGTGTTGCCCGAATTTCCTCCAAACAAATTTGTGTTGGAAGAGGCACCAGCTCCTTGGTTAGATGTATTATTTGGTGCTGAAGAACCGAACGAAAACCCCGTTCCTTGGTTGTTTCCTGGATTAAAGGCTATTGATATGGTTAATACTAAAGCTCGCTCAATTTACCTTGTTCATTTAAATTACTTACCCATTGTATCTGGGGTTTGGAATTCGCGGTGCTTCCTTCACGTTGCCTTTGTGATGTCTTTCTCTGCTCTCGGTGAACTTCGGTAATATTTCGGGTTTTTACTTACCGGGATTTATGGAGTAACACCGAGATTACCGAAACTTGTATTCTAAGAGATAATCATAGAAGAATGAAACATACCAAGTGCACCTAAGATGACAAACATTTCGTTAACGATTAAAGCTGCCAATGATCAAAAATACACTGTATCTGTTGACAGTGAAGCGAGCGTTATAAATTTGAAGCAGACTATTGCGCCTGTAGCTAATGTGGAGGTTGAACGCCAAAGGCTAATTTACGCTGGACGTGTTTTGAAAGATGAAGAGCCTTTGAAAACTTATAAAATTCAAGATGGCCAGAGTGTCCACTTGGTCCGTTCTTTAGGGCAAAATCCTACGGCAGCTGCCAGTAATGTTCAGGATCGTACACAACAAGTACCTACAAATATTCAGGCTGGACAAGGTGCAAATGACCCACTAGCCAACCTCACAAGTGCTCGTTTTGCTGGATACAATATACCCCTCCCTTCTGCCTCAATGTTTGGTCCTAATCCTGAGAATCCTGTCCCTCCATCTACCGAAGATCTTGCTAACATGTTGTCGAATCCAATGGTTCAGTCATCCATTAATGAAATGTTTTCTAACCCTCAAATGCTGGACATGATTATCAACAGCAGCCCACATCTTCGTAATGCTCCTCCCTATGTTCGTCAAATGATGCAGTCGCCCGAGTTCCGACGTGCCATGACAGATCCAGATACGATGCGTCAGATGGCTCAAATGCAACAACAGCTTGGTGCTGCTGGTATAGACCCAACAAGTTTGATGGGTGATTCTGGTCTTGGTGGTTTAGGCGGTATGAATCCTGGTCTTGGTGGTTTAGGTGGCATGAATCCTGGCGGCGCTGGTTTGGGAGCTGACAATGCATCTGTTGATCCAAACTCAGCTGCAAGTACAATCCAAGGTTTGCTAAACAACCTTTCTGGAAACGGTCTCGGTGGTGCTGTTAGCCCTGCTGCTACTGCTGCCCCATCTCAAAGCACCCAACCTCCTGAAGAGCTTTATGCTCAACAATTGAGTCAACTCAACGAAATGGGATTTGTGGACTTTGAAAGCAATGTTCGCGCCCTTCGTCGAAGCGGTGGTAATGTCCAAGGTGCAATCGAATCCTTATTAAGTGAATTTTAATGTATTGCTCCAACAAATGTTAGAAACGTTATTAGAAAAATGATGTGAATGTCGTTCATGATTCGTTTATATTACTGGTTTTGTTTTCGTCCTACGTACGAGTTTATGTAAAAGTATTCGTTAAATGCACGAATTTTGGTTTTGTTGCCGTCTGCTCCGCGTAGAATCCTACGTATGATGCTCTATTAACTAAAACCTCTATTTTTGTATGTATATATTATAGCTCAGTATGTGAAGTTTGAGGAACTGACCTTTTTTCCATGACCATGGAATCAAAATTTATGAAATTTTCTATTATCGAAGTTGTACAGTCTGTAGATAAAAAAAAAAAAGAATCAATTACATGCACATGTAAAAGAAAGTATGAAAAAGTCTGACAGTAGGATTCCTTCCCTCGGAAAGGATTAAGCCAAGATATTTTCCATATATTAATAAATGTGGAATTATTTTTTAACGTCTACACTGAATAAATCCGCCCTCATATACCCTTATTTTATTTAAAATAACAAAAAATACGTACTCATGTGTTGACAATTTATAAATCGAAAGTAATGACAGGAAGAAAGTAGTCAGACACATTCCAATAACGACGCTTTGCACCTTCCCATTCTTCATCTGTACTGCTTGTTGGCAAAACTTCGTAAGTGCATTGGAAGCCGAAGGAAGCGAGATCTATAGGAACTAATTTTTTATACACATCGTAGAAGGTCTGGTTATCAGCACCCAAACCGTTGAAAAATGAAAATTTAGAGTCAGTATCAGGATCTAAAATACCAACTGCAGAGTCAAAAAATTTTCGTAGATCTTCGTAGCTTTCAGCAAAAGCGTCATAATAGATACCATCGAACACGTACTTAGAAGCAATGTCTTCGATAGCGCTTTCCCAAGTAGTCTCATAAATGACAACATTTTGACGATCCATCCAGCCATTTTTCCGCATGAAGGCCAATACATGTGGATGAGGCTCGATGATTACATGCAATGATGGTTGTCGTTCTTGTAGAAAAGTATCAATGATGCCCAATCCAAAACCAACGTTTAAGACTCGGCAACCAACTCTGGGTGCAATAATCTCTGCAGACCGTTGCATGATTTTCTTTTCCCAAGACATCATTACAGCATTTGCATCACTGTCCAAGAGACTAATACTGTCTTCAGTAGGTTGGGTATATGAAAGAGTGCTCTGTAAATACTTTTCATTGGTGTCCAGGCGTTCATTGACTTTTTCTTTCCTCTCCAGAAGAGACAGAAGTAGCTCACAGCGGACGCCCGCGTTAACAATCGTCTCGTAGAGTTCATTTAAATTTTTGCGACGAGCAATGCAACCAGGAGTTTCACCAGACTTGTCAATGCCATTCCAAACTCCACCGTTACCTAGCATCCATTTAGCAAGTTCAACAGCCTTCTTCTCGTTTTCGGCATTTGCATGTAAGGCCACGAAATGCAAAGCGTTTTTTCCACTGTCAACATCCAAAGCAGCAGTGACAGCACCTTGATCAACCATCTCTTGGACCTTTGCCAAGTCCAACTGCTTAGCAGCTTCGATTAGTTGCAAGGATTCAGGAGATTCTTGAAAAGTATCAGAATCTGTGACGATAGGTACTTCCATTATGATGGATGGTGATTTTGCTTTGGGAAGGAAATAAAAAGACGAGAAAAAAAAGGGTCCAATATTAAAACATTAAAAGCAAATTATTGAGAATGAACGTTATAAGAAAAAATAGAGAAAATCGTACATAACTTGGTGCAAAAGGAAAGGTATATTAAGCCTGCAAACGATATGTTGCAAAAGTTTTGATGAGAGATAAAGTAAGCTGAAATTTGAAATAAATGAAAAAGAATGAAAATCTTTATTTAAATATAAGCAAGGATTGATGAGAACAATAGTTGGAAATATGAAACTTAAAAAGCATTATCGTTCATTAATAGGAAATTATTAAGAATTTGTACGTGAAACAAAAATGACACAGAAAATCTTTAATAAACAAGAAAGATCGAAAGTGCTTAAAACATACGAAGCTGGATAAAAAAGTCAAAAGTCCCAGAAAGCCAAAAGAAAAGGGCTGATTTCTTGAAAGGTTACTTCAAAACGGCCATTGTCAAAGTGAATATATTAACGGGAAGTATAGCCACCATCAACAACAATATCCGTACCCGTACAAAAGGAACTGGCATCAGAGGCCAGGTAGATGTAAGCACCGACCAATTCTTCTGGTAAGCCGATGCGACCCTGAGGGGTATACTCTTTCCACTGCTTACGGAGCTTTTCATCTGCATAGAGAGTCAAGTCGGTGTCAATGTATCCAGGAGAGACAGAGTTCACTCTCGCAAAGGGAGCCCATTCTACGGCAAGCGCACGAGCAAGATGTTTTACAGCACCTTTCGTAGCATGATAAGAGGCCCATTGTTGTGGCCAGTTGGCAATATGAGCACTCATGCTTGCGGTGAAAATTAAGCTGCCGCTACCTTGCTTCTTAAAATGATGCCCAGCTGCTTGTGCAGTGTAGTAGGCGCCATTCAGGTTGACACCCACCACCTTGGTCCAGGTATCTTCATCTTTGTCTTCTAAAGCAAGATGCGGAATGCCGATTCCAGCATTGGCAACCATGATATCCAGACGGCCTCCGAGTTCTTCAACTGCACGGTTGGTAGTGTCAATGACAGCACTGCGCTTTTCAATAGCGCAAGGATAGGCTTCGGCTTTGACATTGTATTTTTCGCGAAGCTCTTGAGCATAGTCGAGAGCTTTTTTGTTCTTACCATACAAAAGACCCACATTGGAGCCAGAAGCGGCTAAAGCCTTCGCGATAGAAAACCCGATACCACCGGATCCGCCCGTAATAAGAGAAGTCTTACCCTTTAACGAAAACATGGGGAGCGTCATAATAAAAGTTGTATGAAACAGGACGTTATGGAGACAGTTCGTAAAAATATAACAGCAATAGTGGGTTTACTTTTTTGAGAAAGTAAGTGGTAGTAGGAAGAGTTTGGAAGGTAAAAATTCACAGTGAACAAATAATACTTTCAAGGTTGAACCTAAGTGAAGCGAGCTTCATTCAGAGACAAAAATGAAAGAATTGAAACTTTATTGCTTTATTGTATAAAAAAAGCAAAAATCCTGATTCTATCTTTTTCACTGCTAGCAGACTACGAATCAATAATTGTTTATTATACACAATTTCTGAAATTTCTCAAAAGGTTCCAAAAAAGTCAATTTATAATGGCTTTGGAAGTGAAATTTTGAAAAGACATAGAAAACGAACGATGCAATAAATAGCTGGCCTCGTTTGTTGATAGATCTTGATTGATCAAAGCACAAGAGTTATGTAAACAAACAAACTGATTGTTTCGGTGGTGTTTGTTTTCGAAAACAATAAACCCAAATGTTGTAGTAACAAAAAGCTCAAAAACACAAAATACAGAAGGAAAGAAGCTATGAAGAGTAAAAGGTAATGAAACCAAACATTACGGAAATGAGAAGCGTAATCATTCAGAGGACTCAGAAGAAGAAAATGAAAGCCGTATTCGAAAATAAAAATCTGTTTGTTTTCTGATTAGGTATTTCATAGAATGTACGGCTTTTACGGGTCGCCATTTACAAGATTTCATTTACAATTGTTTACTACGGAGGGAATTTCAGCCTACGCAATCCGACTATTAAGAAGCGAGACGAACGTCTGGCAAACTTGCATGTTTTCAACTTCGATTGGAGAACAATAAGACCCCCTTCCCCTTTTCACATCAGGGGGTTTTTGTTGTCAGATAGTAATATAATATTTAGTGAATGTATGTCACGTACACATTTTCCACCGTATAAGAATGTGTTTCGAGTGGTAATAAACAATTTAAAGCTGTATCGTTTTGTACGTGAATTGGACTTGTTTTTACCACGCTTATGAACACTGGTCATGTACAGGGATCTGCTGAACGAAATGAAATGCTGAAAGATAATCACATTTAGCCAGACCAGTCAAACCTTACAGTCTGAATATTCGTCCGTGAACTCATAGATTTTTATAGTTTTGTTTATGTAGTGAGCGTAGTCTGTTTCTTTGTTTCACAAGCTTCTATTTCTAATAATATCAGTCCCAATGTCGCATCTATTTAAGGCTTATGAATATTAGTAAAATTCACTACTATGTGTTACTTACTCATAATTACTGAGACTGTATTTCTTGAAATTCTGCAAACTGTACTTAGAGACACAAGCAGTGAATTGTTGAAGCTGAAAATGGGTCAAACATAAGCAGGATCATATTTGTATAGATAAAAAAAAATAGTATGAAAGCAGTTGGACCTGAAGTGAAAATGATTTGCATTACAAATCTCCAAATTTTTTGTTTATTATTTATCGGTTGAACCAGTTGACATAACATGTTCCTCCAAGGGGTATGCAGCAATGGTTTCCCAAACAGGAATCCAAAGTTTATAAAATAAGAAAAAAAAATAAAATAAAACAAAACGAAAGGAAAGGAAAGAAAAGAAAAGAAATAGAGAAAAACGAACTCGCCTTGAATAAAGATATTTCACAGCTTTCGGTAAAGTAGATAGCATGGGCATGTAGACATACTGTTAGTAAATAAAGGCTGATCAGTCATTTAACTTGTATTTTCAATTTCAATGGAAAGGAAAGGACAGACATTCATCAATAAGAATATATTTTGTTTTTGGGCTTTTATAGAGCTTCAAGGAATTCATGTGCTTTATAACGTAAATGGAATTTATAGGTGAAGAAATGATGCGATCCGGTGGATTCATAAGCAATCAAGTTATGTTTCGTTTGCTTTTTGTTATTATTAAAATCTATGTGAAGTAGTTCAATTAAATACTGTTTTCACCCATCTCAAATGTCGTCTTTTGCTTTGACTTAACTCCAAAATGGGTATCCTGTTACTTACTTCCAAGTTGCTGGTTGCCTTGTGCACACAAAACGAAATTTGGGTCCTCCATCCTTTTCCCTTACCTTTACAAACTCAGACTTAAACAAGAATGTCAAATCCAAGCAGAACGTTAAACATAAAAACAAACGTCGTGAAACGCATTCTTAAGGATGTTCACGTATGTAGTGACAAATCTTTTGACAAAAATTCGCAGCAAGTTTGCTGACCAGAACCATAGGTTGCTCACGTCGACATTCAGGATGCTAAGGAACGCTTACAGACTCGTATTGACAATGGAGAAGACGAACATGAAATTGAGCACCAGGTATGTCATGGTCTAAATTTAGGCAGATTTCCTATTCAACGTATTCTTCGTGATGAATTCTTCTCTTTTTTATCGCTTTGTCGTGATAACAAGGAAGCTAACAGTTGGGGTAGAAATTTGTGTTGAAGCAGCATCTTCGTGCTCTTCCAGATGCTCTTAACCGCTTACAGCGGGCTGCAGAAGACCTTCAATCCATTGTTGATAATCCAGTTTATGCGGATTTACCGGAATTGGAAACTGCTAAATCAGTTCTTGCAACGGTTACTGAAGTCATGGAAAACGAGCGATCTACTGATGCTCCTAAAAATGGACACACTTGAATTTCCCTGTCCTTTTAAGAATACCATTATTATGAATCCATCCTTTCTTTGTTCGTTTTTATTCCTCTGCGGTTTGCTCTTCTTCTCATATATTGTTTAGACTTCCTTTTCAAGTTTTCCTATTATCTGCAGGAGGTTCTGAATTTATATGTACGACAGCTTTTTCGTAGAATGATCCCTTCACTATAAAAATACATTACAGTTATGTAGAAGTCAACGAATACGTTCAACGCAATAGGTATCTATAGTCTCACATACAAAAAATTCCGACCATATTGGAAGACTTGCGGATTGCAGTTAATGTTCCATTTCATTCTGTATATCAGATGCTTTCGCTTTTCAGTAAGATAGACTCTGAACATTTGAACCAACAATGGCAACGAACAATGCAAACAAGCTATTTTAATAAATGAAACCTTCTAATTACTATGATTTATGTTATAGAAATAACGCACTTCCAACCTTTCATATTACAAACATATGGCTACATCAAAATTAAACAACGCAAAGGTGACTTTTTCTGAAAGAAGCAATTTGAATGAAAAGCGGCGACATAGGGAACAAGGAAAATTCATAACCCTCCCCTGGTGTTTTCATTCGATAACGTTTTGTGATCATAATGCAACCAGTAGAAATCCAATTCATGAAAATAGATATAACCGAATGTTCATAAAATAAATATAAGCAAAAACAAAACCGTTAAAAGAAAGAACCGTCTTCAACTCCTTTTTTACCCATTCTATTGCTTATTGTATCTGTTTATTTACATCAGGACTATGATATGAGTTTGTTTACACTATTCGTAAATAGTGAGATATTATTACAGGCTGTTTCTACTGATTCACCGTACTTCAACATATTACTAAAACTCTTTATCATTGTTTCCTTCCATCTCCGTATTTCGTAAACGAACGCGTACTTACCTACAGACAGAATCGTCAAGATATCTTGTCTGTATTCTTATGAATCTCGATACTTCGTCTTTTCGACGGTCTTCAGACGAAGAAGATAATCAAGACGCCGTAAAAGATGAGGATTCTGACTTTGAATCGTCACCCACTACTATGAATCCTAAAAATGCAGAACCTGAGGATTTGACAGGAAATGAATCCAGTGACTCTTTTCAGGAGAATAAGGAAACGAATCCTAGCTACTCCTTGGATGGATCTCAAAATTTTGGAATGGACGAGTTCAATACAATGGAAGAAGCAAACCATAAGGAAAGTGTTATTCAAGAAAACGAGTCACCGAGCTCTTCATATGAAGCAGAACAGCATGGATTGGAGGAAAGTAAAGATTTTGATGATTTTGATGATTTTGGCGAATTTGGCGAAGTGGAGATGGAGGCTCCTGTTGCAACATTCGAAGGTGATAACTGGATGGAAAGCTTTGAAGCTTCTGTTCACGCTGTCTTTGGTCCTCCAAAAGAACCTAAACCTCTTCCCGAGTCCCCTCTTGATCACGAAAGGATCTTATCACTATGGGATAAACTCATTGAAATGCCTGTTCTCCAACGCCCCGACTGGTTACGGTCTCACATTCGACATATATTCTTAGTCACAATGGGATTGCCGGTTGATTTGGACGAGTTGTTACCGACGCAATCCAATAGTTCTGCTTCTTCCTCTTTCAAAAATATCCTTAAAATTTCGACAACTTCTCCGCAGTTGGAAAACGAGCCTCCATTAAATTATGCCGTTGCTCGACGTTTATGCTCTACTACACATGAAGCACTTGCATCTCGATCTCCTGAAGCACTAACCGAGCATATTGAAATACTGGAACAATATGTCATGGAGGCCACTTCTCTAGCACAGTATTGGACTGATAAACGGGATTCCTCCTTGAATGACAAGCTGCTTTATGAAACAGTAGTTGACGACCTTGTTCAGCATAGTAAACGCTTGCGCAAATCCGCTCGATAACCCGGATCGCCCGCTTTTTCTCTGACAGAATGCGTTTCTTTTTTTCTTTTTTGGTTCAAATCATAATAGTTATCGACTGTTCTTAGCTATAAATAAGCTTTACAAAAACCTCGTTATCAATCTTTCACGATTAATATGTTTCTTGTTTTGGGCGGGATACCCAAGCTTGCCTTTCATTCTTTTTTTCCCTTGTTAATATGAGCGTCATGGAGCCCCTATTGATTATTATCCTAATTTTCGTTCGTGTTCGTGACTCTAACACTCCATCCATGTCTTATATGTTTAATGACTTACCTAAATAATCGGTTGTATGTTTTGTTCATTATTAGTAAAATAATGAAACTGAATATTTCTTTGGCGTTTAGTGAAATTGATTCTTTATTTGCATAAAAACATAAGTGTATTTTTCTTAATCTTAAAATCGTGTTTACATTTATTTATTTATATCAGGTTTCTTGCGAAAATATATAAAGTTTCGTCACTATTGCTCGCTAAAAGTATAAAGCTAAAATGCAAGAAAAAAATACAAGGACGGTATTTTACCAAATACTCTTTGCCTTTTCTTTAGATTCTTTCTGCAAATCCTTCCTCCCAACTTTAAGTATAATGGCTTCCAAAATAACATCTGCAATTATAAATCCCAGCTTGACGCATAAAGCAACTGTCATCTTTTTTCATGGTATGATCCTGGCAGTAATGATAGCACAGTGATTGCTAGCTTTTCTTGTTTAGCTTAGTAAATTTCAGTTACTAACGCTTTAGGCCTTGGAGATTCTGGTTACGGATGGTCATTTATGGCAGAGCAGTTCAAATCGATGGGTCATGTAAAATGGATATTTCCTAATGCGTACGTACGTTAAGAAGGCTCGCAGACGTATTAACACGAAACTTTAGACCGACCATTCCCGTCACAGCAAACAATAACTTCAAAATGCCTGCTTGGTAAGTCTCGATTTGGATGCAAAGCTTCTTTTAAGGGACGAAATCATATGCTAATTAATACTCTCATTAGGTTTGATATTTATTCTCTTGAAAATTTGAACAAACAAGATGAAGAAGGGATTCTTCATTCTGTAAGCATACTTCACCAATTAATAGACGCTGAAGTTGCTGCAGGAATTTCCAGCGACAAAATTTTGATCGGTGGGTTCTCTCAAGGTACTTTTTCTTTTCTTTTTTTTAAAAAAAAAATATAAGAGCATTTCTCTGAATGCTTGCTTCAAACAAATCCGCACCAAGTATACAATACTAACGTATCATCCAGGTTGCATGATTTCCCTCTTTGCAGGATTAACTTATCCAAAACGCTTAGCTGGTATCATGGGCCATTCTGGCTTTCTCCCACTCGAGCACAAGTTTCCAGAGTCTCTTTCGGATGCAGCTAGAAGCATTCCTATTTTCCTGGGTTATATGAGAGATGATCCCATTGTCCCTTCCGCTCTCTCAAATGCTTCTGCAGAACATATGAAACAAAAGCTCCATTTGAAGTGTATGAATAATCCTTACGATGGGGATATGCATTCTCCGTCTCCAGAATCTTTCATTGACATGTACAAATTTGCTCTTTCTACCATTGGATCCTCTTAGCCATTTGATTTGATCGTTTGATAGACTCAGTTGTAATATCTATATCTCTTTCGTTGACATGTTGAATCAGTAAAGGCAAATCAATAAATATTTAAAAAGATATGGAGTATCGTTAAATTAAATTTAAAAGAGAAGCTTATATTTTTAAATTTAACTTCTAAAATTTTGATTTAAATTTCAGTACTAATGCTGTACATAGAAGTTTTGTTTACGCGACGCGTCTGAAAAATGGAAACAAAAATGGGCGTATGCGTGTGCATGTAGCGCGCATATATAGTTTTTTGAATACATAAAAACATTATTCTTTCATAAATAAAAGAGTAATGTGTATTCATTCAGTCCTTAATTTACAAATTACAAAATTGACTTAAGTTATATAAAGCGCGTAATGAATTTACGGTTCTCTCAAAACCTGAAACGTGAATATTTATCTTAAAGCATACTTCAAACACATTCGTAGTAGAATTAGTATATTACTCATTTAAAACTAGTTATATCAAAACAAAATATGAGTACGATGGCAGATGTTGTTGACACAGCTGGCGAAGAGCAAATGCCCTTCAGTGATATTGAAGAATTGACCTCTCATGGTACGCGACAAAAAAGAAAAGAACAAGAGACACTAACGTTTTTCTATTTAGGCATTGGAATGACCGATATTGTGCGTCTTAAACAGGCTGGGATCTGCACTGTACAAGGAGTCCACATGTCTACCAAGAGATTTCTATTAAAAATCAAAGGATTCAGTGAAGCTAAAGTAGACAAACTCAAGGAAGCGGCTTCAAAGATGTGTCCGGTGAATTTTGCTACCGCAATGGAACTGAGTCAAACTCGCAAGCGAGTATGGAACATTTCTACCGGTTCGGAAGCATTGAATGGTATCCTAGGAGGAGGGATTCAATCAATGAGCATTACAGAAGTTTTCGGTGAATTTCGATGCGGTAAAACACAAATGTCTCATACCCTTTGTGTTACGGCTCAGCTTCCTAAGGAGATGGGCGGTGCAGAAGGAAAAGTAGCCTTTATTGATACAGAAGGAACATTCAGGCCTGATCGTATTAAAGCAATTGCTGATCGTTACGGCATAGATCCCGATCTAACAATGGAAAACATTATTGTCAGTCGTGCCTATAATTCTGAACAACAAATGGATTATATCACAAAATTGGGAACCATTTTTGCCGAAGATGGTCAATATCGCCTTCTTATTGTGGATTCCATTATGGCGCTTTTCCGAGTAGATTACTCTGGAAGAGGTGAGCTGTCAGAGCGCCAACAAAAATTAAACATCATGTTAGCTCGATTAAACCACATTTCAGAGGAGTTTAATATAGCCGTGTTTGTCACTAATCAAGTTCAAGCAGACCCTGGTGCTGCTCTCATGTTTGCTTCCAATGACCGTAAACCGGTCGGCGGACATGTCATGGCCCATGCTAGTGCTACTCGTCTGTTATTGAGAAAAGGACGAGGAGAAGAGCGTGTTGCTAAACTAAATGATTCCCCAGATATGCCTGAAGCAGAGTGTAGTTACGTAATTACGCCTGGAGGAATTGCTGATGTATCGTAATTCTATCAAAATCGACTTTAAAAAAAGAGGAAAGAGGAAAAGAGAGAAAATAACATTGAACCCATACAATGAAGCATCAGTCTCCGAAATATCTTAGCAATGCAGGCATTCAATCCAGAAGGATAAAAGCAAAAATTAATGGTGCAAAATATTATATTTCCCTTGACTCTCGTGTTTAACACTTCTTTATTGTATTGCAGTTATTCATCCTAAATTACCAAATCCGAGATAATGTACGGCACCATACACCTTTTTAAGTTTTGATGAAGAGATATTCGGTTCAATTCCTTCTTTTTATCCCATTCAAGAATTACGACAATAGGTTGTCGTTGTAACTCAATTTTTTCTTTTTTTTTTTTGTTTACATTTCCTCTTTCCTCCTATCTTCAATCATCACTTCTGAAAGTGTACTTTGCGTCATGTGGGACTATGGCGCGTGAACAAAAGCTCTCGAATGAAGATACAATCAGACAGCTTATTCAAGTATGAGAAGCGTGAGTCCTAGTGTTCGATAACGTTCTTTATTACCGAATGTTGTGGAACATTTGTTATTATTTCCGTAGGAAAACCCTATTATGCAATACGCAGCGTTACGAAAATTTGCTGATGAAGCAGTCCCCTATTCAACCCACACAACACTCCGAAACCTTTCCAGTGCCAACCACAACTAATCACACATTTTCATTAGTTAGTAAAGATGTCGACTACTTCTCGTGAAGATGCTGTTTACTTAGCCAAGCTTGCAGAGCAAGCTGAGCGCTATGAAGGTATGTACTACCATTTTAGCACATGACGCTCCCAATATGTGGAAGAATCGATTCTATTTTGCACCAAATTTGAAAACCCGAAGTGTCTTACCATAGACCTTGGCCGCTTTTCAAAATATGATGAATGAAGAAGAATGCCTTAGGAGGGCGGTTATTAGTCGCAAATATCCAGTTTCAGCCATAAAAGCGAGAGATGATTTACGAAAGCAGAATGGAGCGTCATGGTTACTATAAAACAATAATCTTATTTTAATCCTCTATATATTGAAGCTAACAAAAGATAGGCATGGTCGAAAACATGAAAAGCGTTGCTTCCACCGACCAAGAATTGACTGTTGAAGAACGCAACTTACTCTCTGTCGCTTACAAGAATGTTATCGGTGCTCGTCGGGCGTCATGGCGCATCGTTTCTTCTATCGAACAAAAGGAAGAAAGCAAGGGTAACGCTGCTCAAGTTGAATTGATCAAGGATTACCGTTGCAAAATTGAACAAGAGCTTGACACCATCTGTCAAGACATTTTGACTGTCCTCGAGAAGCACCTTATCCCTAATGCTGCTTCTGCCGAGTCCAAGGTTTTCTACTACAAAATGAAGGGTGACTACTACCGTTACCTTGCTGAATTCGCCACTAGTGACAAGCGTAAGCAATCTGCTGATCAATCTCTTGAAGGCTACAAGGCTGCTTCTGAGTCTGCTCAAGCTGAGCTTGCTCCTACCCACCCTATCCGTTTAGGCCTTGCTCTTAACTTTTCAGTTTTCTACTACGAAATCTTAAACTCTCCTGACCGTGCTTGCTATTTGGCTAAGCAAGCTTTCGATGAAGCTATTTCTGAGTTGGATAGCCTTTCTGAAGAATCTTACAAGGACTCTACTTTGATCATGCAATTGTTGCGTGATAATCTCACATTATGGACTTCTGATGCCGAATACAATGCAGCAGCAGCTGGTAATGCCGAAGGTACTCAAGAGACCCCTGCTTCTTCCAATGCTCCTGTTGAAGGAGAATCCGAACCCAAGGCTGATGCATAAATAGCTGTTACTTATGATTGATGCCATACTTTCATTAGTATGAACTATGCTCGAAAAAAGGTTGACTTGATGAAGCTCTTTTTATTTTTACATTAGATTTTGTGTATCGCCCGATTTGATAGCTTTTCTTATTTACGTACATTTTTACCTGATCTTTTTACTTATTCTTTCCTCTTTTTTGCTGGTGTATATCCCAATCCAATTCTCACATAGGTAGTTACTGTCTTTGTTAGTTGGTACACCATTGAAACAGATGATGCTATCGCTGATTTATATATAAAAATGAAGTGAAAGCAATAAGCTAATGTTTATTTATAAAAATTTAAAAGTTAAAACAGAGTAAAATCTGAGAGTATGAACAAACAAAATATACACGTATATACATGTATATGTATTGGCAATAGTTTTTTTTTTCAAGCCTTTGTGTTAGGATATTGAGTCGCTTATTAACAGCTCTCACAAGTTTCGTATTCTACATCCATCTGACAAATTTTCTGCTTGTTCAGAACGTACGAGCAAACCATTTAAAAAAGCAGCGCATCTGTGAAAACGGCTTAAAGGAAAAGTTTTAACGAAAAATTGGCCAAATATCGAAAGAGAATAACATGTCAGCTCGTCCTTGTCTTCATTTTACACCGCCAGAGGGATTTATGAACGATCCCAATGGTCTTGTGCAGTCCAATGGATTATGGCACTTGTTTTACCAGTGGAATCCAACCGGAATGGAAGCAGGAAATCAACATTGGGGCCACGCTATTAGCAGAAATCTGTATAATTGGAACTATCTTCCTGTAGCACTTTTACCCAATGAGGACGGAGGCCTCATGTTCAGCGGAAGCGCTGTTGTTGATAAAAGCAATACTACCGGGTTTTTCAAAGATTCACAGGGAAGGATTCCTACAAACACTGATGGTCGTATCGTTCTTATTTACTCGACTCATTACGATGACCGCGAGACTCAAAATATAGCGTATAGTCCCGACGGAGGCATCACATTTATTAAGTATGAAAACAATCCTGTTATTGATCTCAATGAGTCTCAGTTCCGCGACCCTAAAGTTTTTTGGCATGAAGAGACAAATCATTGGGTCATGGTCGTTGCACTCGCTCAAAAGTTTCGCATAGCTATTTTCCGTTCCCCTAACCTGAAAAACTGGGAAAAGGTTTCCGAATTTGGTCCAGCCGGCTTCACTGGTTACCAGTATGAATGTCCTGATCTTTTCCGCCTCCCTATTGAGAATACGGAAGACCATCGTTGGGTTATGGTTGTATCCATTAATCCTGGATCCCCTATGAGCGGAGGATCTGTCACCCAGTACTTTATTGGCGACTTTGATGGCATTACCTTTACTCCTATCGATAACATGGCTCGTATCTTTGACTATGGTAATGACTGCTATGCAGGTCAAACATATTCCAACGTCCTCAACGGTAAAGTGATTTCCATGAGTTGGGCTAGTAACTGGAATTATACGAATGATGCTCCTGCGAAAAAGTATCGTGGAATGTTGACGTGCCCTCGTGAACTTTCTCTTCGTTCTATGCCTTTGAACCCTGAAACACAAGAGCTTGTTCTAGTTCAGCGTCCCTGTAACATTGAAACTTTGAAGCATCCTCTTTCCGAACCTGCTCCTTTAGCCTTGCAAACCGTTTCTGAATTTCCTCCGACATTTGTCTGTGGCACTAGATTCTATCTTTGCGCTACCATGCCTGCCTCTGCATCCGAATCAGAAAAACTGGAATTTCTGCGTCTGCGTTGGTCAGCAACTTCTGATGTCCTTGATAGCAAACAATACATCGAGATTGGTTATCGTTTTAGCGATGGTGCTGTCTATATTGATCGCGGTTCTTGTGAAGCAAGCTGGAAGAATCCACTTTATCCTGAACGTTGCATTTCCAGCTTACCTCCCATTGTTCTTGAAGATAAACTATTGGTGGATTTGGGAATTCTTATGGACCATTCTATTGTTGAAGTTTATGGGAATCACGGAGGGAAGGTCTTTACGAACGCCTACTGCTTTTCAGAAGGATCTGAAGATTCTCCTCTTAAGTATTATCATTTGGAGCTTCCTAAAGCTGCCAAATTAGTCAAAGCTAATATGTTGCCTCTTTTCACAAGAGTTGCAAAGTAAATGGGCTTAAGGCGTGTAAACTTTTTGGGTAAGTAAGCTTTACATTTTATTTATGGCTTGTTATAATTATAAGGTATTGTCGCAAATGGAAATTGGTATAACGATCTCCTTTTCTTTCGTCTTTCTCTTATAATCATACCGTATTTTATGGTTTCAAGGACATGACAATATGAGTTTAGGTGCTCAACTTTTTTTTTTTCACTTCAATTTGTACTACTATAGAACGTTCTTTATTTCGTACTTGGTGATCGGTTTTGGATTACATTCTACAGTAGACAAATCGACCAACTCTTACAAAATAGACATCTCTGAAGTTTGATAGCTTCGCTTATATTTAATATTACCATCATATAAATTCCACATCATTTTCTGTAAATGTTAGTGTTTCTGCCGAAACTTGGACACCTATGGAAAGTTAATATACATAGAACAGCTTACACTCAATAGAAAGAGTTTTTGCGATAGTCTTATTAAAACGAAAAAAATATATTTATCAAATTGAATTTCTTGAAAGTTTTCTACCTTTGCTTCATTATACTAAACAACTTACATTGCATTTCCAACTTAGCGACTACCAATTATTCCAATGATAGCTGATCCTGACCAGTTAATGCAAAAAGTAAGTGCAAGCAATTTCAATATATATATTTTTAACATATAGGCTGCTAAAAAGGCCAGCGGCACTAGTGGCTTCGCCATTTTCGGTGGTGGAAACAAATATGAAGAAGCATCTGAGCTGTATTTGGATGCTGCCAACGGTTATAGACTTCAAAAGCAAGGTAAGGAATAAACTTGTATTCAAAAATGCTGATGCAATATATAGGGAGTGCAGCTGGCTTCGCCTTTGAGAAGGCTGCTGAAATGCAGTTGAGAACTGATGAAAAGGATGATGCTGCCAATACATATGTTGAGGCCTACAAGTCTTACCGCCGTGAAAAGGCTGCAGAAGCTGCCCGTACTTTACAAATTGCGGTTGACTTGTTCACGAGACGTGGTAACTTCCGTCGTGCTGCCAACTACAAAATGGACTTGGGCACCCTATTTGAACAGGATCTGCAGAATCCTAAAGCTGCTCTTGCTTCCTACGAAGATGCAGGTGAATGGTACATGAGTGATCAAGCTGAAGCGTATGTATTGTAACAAGTTGATTGATAAGCGCATGACTCAAGGCATTATACGTCTTCTTAGTTTTTAGTCGATGTCAGATAATAATCTGTGCTCTCTTCTTTGGTTTGCTTAAATACTAACTTTTGCAGTCTTGCTAATAAGGCGTATTTGAAGGTTGCAGACCTAGCTGGTCAAGCAGGTGAATATTCTATTGCAATCCAAAAATTTGAGCAGGTTGCACGTGCTAGCGTTCAAAACAATCTTCTAAAATGGAGTGTTAAAGATTATTTGCTCAAAGCTGGCTTCTGTTATATGGCCCAAGGTGATGAGATTGCTACACGTGGGGCTCTCGAAAATTTCCTTCAAATAGATCCTTCGTTTGCTACTACTCGTGAGCATCAACTACTGATGGATTTGCAAACTGCAATTGAGTCTTCTGATGCCGAAATGTTTGCTAGCAAAGTCTTTAATTATGACCAATTATCCAAACTTGACGCCTGGAAGACTAACCTTTTGTTGCTAATCAAAAACAATATTCAAGAGGCTGAGGACGATCTGACTTGAGTGATGCATATATTTTTTTCTTTATGATGTTAAGCTCCTTGAGGAAGCCATTTCCGTTACTCAACTCCCTTTTCCTGAATTCACGTTTTCTTACTTTTTGATTACCATTCCATATGTACTGACAAAGTCAATAGGTACTGTATGAATAGTTTATTGGCTTTTCCGCTCAAGTCTCGTTTGTCAGGTTCGAAGGAGTTCAATATTGTAGAGTCATTCTTATTCTTTGTTTCTTTTCATAAAAGCATTCGAGAAACTGGATTATATTGTGTATATTTAATACTGAAATGAAATTACTTTTATAAGTAAGTTTTAGTTTATCCCTTATTCTGTAAATAGATTTGTTATATTGTATATTTTAGCCCACATAACTGATGAAAAATTATCCAAAAAGTATTATACATATATTTATTTTCCCCGAGCAAACCGCGATAGTGCATAGCCCCATTTTTCCTTTTCTTCAGGCAATCCCTTCTCTCGACGAACGCGCTGTTCCCGCATCTTCTTTTCAACATCAAGAGATTTTTCGACATTGAGACGGCGTTGATCCACTACGTTCCGAGCGTGCTTACGCACATAACGACGCAAAGCCGAGTTTTTACCACGAGCCTTGTTCTTAGGAAGCCATTTTTCTTCCGGAGGCTTTTCTTCTTCAACTTCTTGCTTTCGAATAGAAGGAGCAGCTCTATCCACGTTACCAATAAATTCAGGACGAAGAGAAATCATCTCAGGACGAAGCTTTTCAAGAAGTTGACGAACTTCAGTTTCTTGTCTCTGTTTCTTGGAAGCGAAAGGATCATTTTCGTAAGAATCATAATTAGGTTCACCGGATCCAGGAATGATTATACTCTCAAATCCCTTGTCATGACCAATGCCCAATATATCCTCATAAGGACAATAGTGAAGATCAACAACAGACGAAGAAGGAATTAAATGATTCATGTAAGGAGAACTTTGTTTTGTACGTAGAGCATCTTTCCAAACAGTGGCATGAGGACCCCAACCAACAGTGAGTAAACCAGTATCACTCAAAGTCAGGCGTTGGGCCGGGGTAGGAGTATAATATGAATGGACTTCCTTGTAGTTTCGAAGATCCCAGACCTTCATTAAACTATCAGCACCGGCAGTTACCATATATTTACCTTCACGATCTACGGCCAAATCACGCACAGGTCCACGGTGGGTAAGCATCTTAGCAAGCGGTGTAGTAGACGTGGGAGCCCAAAGTGTAACTTGCCCGTTGGCATGACCAACGTGTTCCACGGCATTGTAAGGGTTTTGATGAAGAACATGGCAAGCTCCCATACCCGTACGAAGCTCTGCAACCAGTTGACCCGTTGAAACATCTTGATATTTCAGATAGCCAGCATTACCAATGCTAGTTAAAAGAAGGTGATAGGGAAGAAAGTCCAAGGCATTTACATCTATATGACGCTTTAAGCAATGAATTTCTGTTCCCAGATTATCGTATACGTATACATATTTCTTTTGAGCAACGGCAAAGTATTGGTGATTATGAAACCATTTTACATCACGAACCGTTTCTTGCAAATGTAATTCTGTTAATAATTTACCATTCCTCCAGTCAAAAGCAGCAACATGGCCCTTACGACCTCCTAAAAGCATCATGCGGCCATCTCTTGTATAATCAAAATTGTAGCTGCCGAATTTATCCAAACCAAGAGAAAAAGACTTACATGGTTAGCACAATTAAATCACAAAAAGCCTTAATTTTCCATACCTTTGTAGCAGTTTCAAGGGCAACGTTTGGAGCAACTTGGTTTTGTGTGAATTTGTATGTTTTTTCTAATCCTTCAGCTTCCAAATAACCTGGTTCATCGACACGTAATAACTCTGTTTTTGAAAGATCTGTCTCTACATTTTCAATCCTTTCCTCGATTTTTTGTACATTGCTTCGAAGCTTTTTGTCTTTAATTTTCTATACGAAGAGTTAGCGAGAATTGTCATCCATTTTGCTTTGCTTACCTTTGGATTGAGCTTTCGACCACGAGAGTATTTGTTTGTCTTCGCCTTAACCTCGTCCAAGTTCAGTTGTTGAACAGACATGACGCGAAATTAATAAGCAGAAATAACTGTTCTTGCTCTTTATTTATAAAGGAAAATAACAAAAGCGACCCAAAACGTCCTGCAGAACCCTTTCTAGTGTTCAATGGCTACAAAAATTTAAGACACGTCCAATGACAAAAACCTCGTTTCGTACTTTTCACGCTGAAGCGTATGTTCTAAGATCGATATGGGAGAATAAAATGAATCAATTAATGGTTTTACAATCTTGTAAATGTCAATATTCAAAGAGTTTTTGCCCTGGAGTGTATGGGTAAAAGGAAGAAGTTGGCTACGAGTAAAAAATCATACTAGCAATAGACGATACGCAATAAATATGAGTTTCCAAGGCTACAAGTAGATTTTAAAAGGATAACTAACATATATATATATAAATAAAGTAGTTTTTATTAACCTTGCTCGAAGGATCCAAAATGCAAATTTACAAAATTAAAACCCAATTAACCCAACTACAAAAAAGAAAAACTTGACTCAACTGAATGAAGAAATGAAACGCTAAATTTGCATTATTGCTTTTTATTCATAGACAAAGTCTCAATTGAATTAGAGACTTGATCGACATTCGAATTGGAATTGTGGGCAATTCTCAGAACAGACTGTGTCGTCGTATAGTCATCAAGATTTTGTAAAAGCAGATTCTGCTGGTATTTGGTGCTTTTTTTGGAATCCTTCTTTGCTTTAGAGCGTTTTTTAATTCCCTGTGAAGTAGATTTCGGCTTCTTTTGTTGGTTTGCTCGTTTTTGAGCCATTTGGTAAAAGTTGGAATTTTTTGGTTAGCGACGAAAACCTATACGATACAAGCAAATACGGGCCATAAGAGATCATAAGACCTGTCTTAAGAAAAGAGAGAAAATGAACAAAGAATCATTCAAACCAATTGAAGTTTTGCATACACTGGCCACTTATCCTTTTTTTGGAGCTTTGAAAGCAGTAGAGACGGATTTGCGACTAGGTCAGCAATGGGACGAGCTGAAAATTCACATGCTTAAAATGTATTCAGAGAAGGAACGGCCGTTGCTCTCTGGTATCCCGAAAACGGGCTTGTTACAGAAAAAGTTGCAATATGTTTTCCCAGTACTTCTGCAGGAAACAATTTCCATTAAGACGCTAACTGCAATCTTTGATTCAATGAAAAAACAAAATCTTCTACTTGTACAAGACGAACGGGGTCTATCAGGAAAAGAATCTTACATATACTTGGGTATAGTTTGTTCGGATTCTACAGTCGTATATTACAAAGTAACAGATGGACTTATGAAGCCTCGCCAAAACGATGAAAATTAATGGACGTCTATATAGTATTTTTTTTTTTTGGAACAGATACAGGATAGGTTGGTTGCATAGTTCACTTGACTGGTTTGCGTGTTCATCCAAGACAAATGGAGTAGAAGTCATCCTTAACAAGTCATAGTCTTCTCGAGTGAGCTACACTTCTATATAGCATGCACATCTTCCAGACTCAATATCTGGGCAATGGTTTGCATCCGGGCGAAAAAGGTATCCAATAGTACTCAGATGGAGAGTTGGAGAATCGTAAACTTTCAGCACTAGAGAAAGTATATCTGATTCTGCTATTTCATTGTTAGTTTTGTAAACATTTCAACAAATAATAATAAGGAAAGGTGAGATACATACTCCATCGATGATAATAAATGCCTCCTTCGTTGAGCAAGTGTTGAGTCAGCTGAACAAGCGAAGAATTCTCTCGAAATTTTCGTAAAGCAATTATCTCATTGTAAGGCCAGTATTTACAGTATACATCTTCGTTAAAGTACTCCCATGCTTGACGGGGTCGATCCGGTATCCATTCTTGCTCGTACTTGTCCAAAGCTTGTTCAAGCTCGAGGATTCCTGTATGTCTCGTTTCGCACACATGGTTGGTGAATCCTAAGGTTGCATTATTTTGTTCCATCTCATGAAACAAATCTCTAGACAAACTGTTAAAAACATTGATCGTGCTTACGTGCATTTTTCACATACGAATTTTCTTCACAATTAAAACGAACTCCTGGCTCAAGCCGCCATACATAGTCAAATCGAAGCTGTGGATGGTATAACAAGGTATGTAAAATCCATTCCTGGTATCGATGAAAAGATCCCGATCTACTGTAGTTGACTCCTTCATCCGAAAGCTTTCCTGATTGCTCCAAGTAGTATATATCATCTTTTAAGCCTGTCTCCAAATATTCGGTAGAGTCCCATTGAACTAGACTTTGTTAAATTTCTTCATTTTCCTCGTAATTTCCTTACCATATTCACAATTTCCGGATGCTACAGAGCTCGTAGATTCTATAAAAAAAGGAGAAACTTCCTTCGAACTAAAAATTGTCCAGGGATAATGGAATCTCTTATTCCATCGATCTTCCACAGTTCGGATAGTTTGCAAAACGTCTAGCAAATCTCCATCTCTAAAACATAATGATAAGTATTTGTTTAATAGTATGACAAACAACCCTGAAAGGTAACCAATTTTTACATTTGCTCGGTCTTCTTACTCTGCAAACATTAAAAGAGAGGCATTCAGTAGTGTTTTCTGTGGAAAACGCTTCACTCTCAAAACGTTTTTTAAAGAAACTATGCCAGATTGGAAACGCTGAATGAATACTGGGATTGCAATACTAAGGAGTAAACACAAAATTACCAATTTCATGAGCAATTGCAAACGAAGTATTCCTTTTCACACAGTTTATTAGATTGGAAAAAAATAACTACAAAGCTGCTTCGTAGAATTTTCAACAACTGAACCTGGAAACGAGCGCTACTAAACCTTGCTAGCAATCAAGAAAGCCTTGCTTTTACTATAAAACGAAAAAGGATATCGAGCTTAAAGTGTTTAAATGAATTTGCAATCTCGTTTTCCATTTGTTTTCTTCTCACCTTCGCTCTAAATGACTTGTTTGCATAGGAGCATATGTATGCTTCTATGCATTAATGGTAATATTGTTTAGTGAATACAGGCAAATTGTCAAGGATCGTTCATTCATTTCTTTTTCTAGATTTTTTTCAACTATCCATTCCCATTACTTTCCTTTTAAAGAAGATAGTAAACAATTCTCTCTCATCATTATTACAACGATTTATATGATATTATATTATTTGCTCCCCTTATTCCTCTATAATTCGATACTTTTCTATCGTGACCTGGCAGTCACGTACAGGGTTAGGGTTGTATTAGAGAAAGCAACTATAAAAGGCTGCTGTTGGTCTTCTCAATTTCACCAAACAAATCTGAAGTTACGCTGTTCAGTTTTCTTCGGAGAACTTGCGTGTAACGCGGTTGGCGTGTAGAGGTTGACAAGAGTACGTGTAGGGCGTTGATTGTCCCTGCAAGATTCGTCTTGCGGGTTGAGAGTCAATGTCTTACTACGAAAATTGGGTACTTGATGCTGCGAAGCCTAGCCAACAGATTTGAGATCGATCGGAGTGATCCTGTGCAGTGCCTTCGGGTGCTGTATGGTTGATCCTCTGACAACTGTATATTCCTAAATCTTTCGCTACATGGTCCCTGGATCCTTGCAGTTGGGTAAAACCATACAGTTGACATTTCTAATAATTGTATATAGATGATAGATGAGATATACTTGGTGTTTGAGGGTCGAGTTGTTAATGAATTCTTTTGATGATAAAATGTGGTGGTCTTATGAAGATATACTGAGGAAACTTAATTAATTTGAAAATAGTAGTAGTATATTATTAGTCTGCTTTAACAGTAAGTAGAGGATGAAAATCCATAAAACCAAGAATGGGTTGCGTACGGGGAGGTTGTGATCGACGACGCTTTTGTATGAGTAAAATAATCATGATGCATGATAAAAACAAAATTAAGCAATAAATAAATGGTTTGAAGTAAACACTTCTATTATATGCCTTCCCTCCACAAATAGTTGCTTTACCCATGTTTTGGTGAGAAATTGTATGAGCGTTGTCAAGAATCGCTGTCAAAGTAGAAAACAAAGATGGCTCGTCTAGTTCCAAGGGTCTACCGTCCTGTCCTTGGGTGTAAAAGACTTCACGTTCATTATCTATGATAAATACGGTGACTTTGTTGATCAAGTTCTCTGAGTATCCTAGGTTTGTGAGTAACCAAGTTTGCCAAACAGTGGAGTCGGTCCATAGAAAGGATACTGACTCAGTGAAGATTGGATGTTCTACGACAGAGTACTTGATACGTTTGATTTTCTTTGAATCCTTGGATCTTTTAGCCTTTGTTAAGGCTGTATATTTTTTCACTCGCTGATGGGAGATAAAATTGCGTTCCCGCCTCTTTTGAAACTGGAACCAATGTTTTCCAAGTTTTAATAAACTGGCTCGATCTTCCAGATAAGTTTCGGACTCTGGGTTGAGCAATGCTATAACGCTCAATTGTCGACCTAGCATTTTATGACAATTGCTTGGTGACAATTCTGAAACCAATGGAATGGATGCTTGTCGAATCCAGTTACGGACCCTTTCATGGGAACGAAATTGACGCGGTGTATTCGCATGGTAAAGAAAAGGTTCACCGTTTCTCACCGAAACGAAAGCCGGGAAGGTATGGACTCCATATCTATTAGCCAAGGTAGTGGAATCAGACTGAAACAAAGGAGCATTGCCAGCAAGATACAGTTCCATACGCTTAATAGACTGCTCATCCTCCAACGTAAGAGCGTAGTCGTGAAAGAAGATGAAAAACGTTGGATATAAGCCTTCTACGAGTTCGATTTCTTGTGGTTGAATATGTAACGTTTTGTAACTAGCCAATTGGTTGGCATAGTGCAATAGCTCTCGATAATCCAGTGGACCTTCGTATTTCAAAGCATCCAGCTGTTGGAAAGCTATAAACGTAGGGAATTTATTCACTTCATAATAAGCACATAGTTCCTCTTCAGCATCGCAGTTCACGTATCCCATAGTCAACTCTTCAGCAACATTCCGGGTGATGCTTAACCAGATAGGCTCCCACTGAAAACAATCCGGGCACTTGCTAGTTGAGTAAAACATAACAAAAGCCCTATCGGAAAGGATATTTGCAGTATCTGCAAGGAAATCTTTAAAAATTAAACTTACCGGTTTTCTCAAAGTGTTGACTCTCTTCCAGGATTCGTCTTCCTCTAGTTCAAAAACCGCTTCCTGAGAATCTAAGTGCTCACCTTCGTATTTCTCTTCCGTTAGACATTTAAAGCCAGACTTGAAGAACTCCATTTCACAAGGAGTCACATGTGCTTCGATAAACTCCAGCGTCGAACGAACTGAATGATTACTGTCGTCCAAAACATTTCTCATCCAGACTCCGTTACGTAAAACAACAATCTGAGGATACTCAAGTACGCCTTGACTTTTGCAAAATTCTATAGATTGTTAGTCCATTTATCCTTTTAGCTTGTCCTTACCAAATTCCAAATCGCACAGTACCTTGGCATGATGAAGATTTGGATATGCGCTAGAGGTGGCTTCCCACATATCATCAAACTCTTTAAAAGCCTCTCCGCTTTTTGTAAAAGTCACAAACCAAATGTTTCGGGTTTCCAGAATGGAGGATGCATTGTGCGTACCAAGGTAAATATCCTCATTTGAAACAAGCGACTCAGCTAAAGCAAAGGCAAGTACAAGGAAACCGAAAAAATAAGATAAACTAGAGAATATCATTTTTTCTTTTTCAGATTGCTGTGTGGGAGTTTCCAATTATTCTTTCTTTTGGAATTCCCCTATATTTCAACGCCCACAAATGTAAACAAACATATACAGTTGGGTGGACAAATGCACTTTTTCCTATTCGATATTAAAATATATATATATATAACGAAAATAAATTCGATAGAATGATAAAAAATATAAAAGCGTCCTAATGATTTGATTTTTTAACAAATCGGCCAAAGTACTTTGCATGAATTTAGGAAGACTGATCCCTCCTGTCATAATGGAAGAAGAAGCTATTTAATCCATTCATCGAGAATGTGGGACAGCTCTTTCTGCTTCTTTGAATTCAATATATGAGAGCAGTCCTGCATCTCAACCATTGTAGACTCTGAGCAATGAGTCTTTAATTTAGAGAAAAACGAGTGAAACGTTTTCAAGCTGGTGAATTCATCATTCACAGGAGCGATATACAGGATAGAGGAATTCTGAGGAAATTCTTCTGCTTTTACATTCCAGTAACCAGTCAAAAGCCCGCTCCCTAGACCAAGGTATGGAGCTAAGAATATGTAGTATATATTTATGGACTCGAGATTTAGTCCTTTCCAAATTGAAGGATGCATCGCAATTCTTCCTCCATAAGAGTAACCGCCGACAAGAACGTGGCTCGGTGAATGAGCCTCAACTATATGATGTGTAAATATAGAAAATAACTTTGCGTCTCTTCTACCACTAAACCAGGTTGAAGGCAGACTGCCAAAATCTAAAATGAAAACACTGTAACCCTTTTCTTGCAGCTTTTCGGCCATAATAACGATGCATGGATCATCAACAGATCCTCCTAAATAAGCATATGGATGTGCTAATATTGCAATCTTAGAATTGTCACTAGGATAGTGTTTATATAGAATTGTCTCATTGGCAATAGTTACACTGTCCATATTGGAAATTCAGTAAGCCTCAAAAGAGTCAAGCAATACTGCTAAATTAAGAGAATGAGCGAAAATCAAGAATGAAGTAGGCGGTCAAAATGAAATGCTTTCCACGTATTACTTCAACGTAGGGAGTAATCATGGATTCACAAAAGTGTTAGCTAACACTATGAGGATAAGAATAGCATAGCAGTGTAAAAAATTAAAAAAATAAAAAAAAGGTAAAGAAAAGAAAAGATTATTTCTGAGATTATGAAAATAAAAAAAAACACCCTCTTAACTGGTTACCTTTCATATATCATATAAAAGTCAATTCTACCAAAGACATTAACTGAAACAGATTTATTGAAAATTAATTGAGATAATTAATAATTGCTTTGCTAATTAAAGAATAAACGACGTTTTATGGTTCCTTTTTACAGCAAATTATCGCAAACGTTTGTTGTCGAAAAACGCAGTCACACATTTCCTCCTGAGAAACTGTATAGGCAAAGAGCGAGTTTTAACCAAGACGATAGACAATGGTTCGCGGACCCAAAAAGCATTTAAAGCGTGTCGCCGCCCCTCACCACTGGCTTTTAGATAAGCTTTCTGGTACTTACGCTCCCAAGCCTTCTGCTGGTCCTCATAAGGCTCGTGAATGCCTTCCTTTGATCGTTTTCTTGCGCAACCGTCTCAAGTATGCCTTGAACGGTCGTGAGGTCAAGGCCATTCTCATGCAACGTTTAATCAAGGTCGATGGAAAGGTCCGTACAGATAATACTTTCCCTACTGGTTTCATGGATGTCATTAGCATTGAAAAAACTGGTGAACACTTCCGTCTTGTCTATGATGTTAAGGGACGTTTCACCGTTCACCGTATCACTGCTGAAGAAGCCAAGTACAAGCTTTGCAAGGTCAAGCGCGTGCAATTGGGTGCCAAGGGTATTCCCTTCCTCGTCACTCATGACGGCCGTACCATTCGTTACCCCGATCCTTTGATCAAGGTCAACGACACCATCAAGCTCAACTTGGAAACCAACAAAATCGAAGGATTCATCAAGTTCGATACTTCTGCCCAAGTCATGGTCACTGGTGGCCGTAACATGGGCCGTGTTGGTACCATCATTCACCGTGAACACCACCTTGGTTCCTTTGAAATCATCCATGTTAAGGATGCCTTGGACCGTGAGTTCGCTACCCGTCTCTCCAACGTTTTCATTATTGGTGAGACCAACAAGAGCTGGATTTCTTTGCCTAAGGGCAAGGGTGTCAAGCTCAGCATCACTGAGGAGCGTGACCGCAGACGTGCTCTTAAGGGAACTGCTTAAATATGGTTAATAGTCAATTCGTCAGTACAACTATAGACTCCTATGTGTCAAATTTCATGGTTGTATTGTTGTGGATTTCCATCCTCCTTTTTTTAGTTGATCTGCTATTTTATGATCTTGTCATTCTGGGAATTTAGTATATATTTGCGTTTTCCCACCTTTGGATGTTTTTCTGATGGGTGATCAATAAATTCAACGGTTGTTTAGCTGGTTATTCTATAAACAAGGTGCATAAATCTCAGTAATTATGAAAAACACCTACCTGATTCCATAGAAAATGTACTCATTCAAACGCTCAATAAACCGTATGGTATTCAACATTATTTTGCATCTGATTAGATCTTCTCTTGCATCGTTACATTACGGTTGGTAACTAATTTAGCGTATCGCAACATACCACAAAAAGCAGTCACGGTAGTTTCTACACCACAAAGAGAAATTGTTCATTCATCCTGCGCTTAACCAGGAACAGCAATGCCTCATTCATTCGGTCTCAGAGCTCGTACCCGTTACACTTTCCAACGTGGCTTCAGAGAGCATGGTCAAATTCGTTTGTCCACCTACTTGAAGACCTACAAGGTTGGTGATATTGTCGACATTAAGGCCAATGGTGCTGTCCAAAAGGGTATGCCTCACAAGTACTACCATGGTAAGACCGGTATTGTTTACAACGTTACTCAATCTTCCGTCGGTGTCTTGATTTACAAGATCGTTGGCAACCGTTATATGGAGAAGCGTGTCAACGTCCGTATTGAACACGTTAAGCACTCTAAGTGCCGTCAAGATTTCTTGAACCGCGTCAAAGCCAATGAGGAAAAGCGTAAGGAGGCTAAGACTCAAGGTAAGACCGTCCAACTCCGCCGTCAACCTGCTCCTCCTGCCAAGGCTCACGTTGTCAGCATTGAGAACAACATGCCCGTCACTCTTCATCCTGCTCCTTATGATACTTTCATCTAGATCAAAGATTGCTGTTCCTTTCAGTTATATTATATTATATTTGATGGATTGATCAGTCCATGTGTAGTTTGAAGAAAGTAACTTGAAAGTAGAGTATATTTATGTCATATGATTTTAAGAATGTAACTCATTAGTAATGGTCGTACAGTTGAATACTGGGCATAGGGGTTATAAAACATCTAGTCATTGCTCTTTTAGGTTGATAGAACAATCTATTGTTGAATTATTTGGGTTGGACTCGGAGCCTTACTCGTTTAGCATGAAAAACTCTCTGTAATACTGTTCGGTGTAACGACTTGCCTGATTATCTTTTATCTGCTTCAGAAACCGGATTTTCAGAAGTGCTATCCGTTGTTGCATATCTCTCATATAGCAGCTTTTGTAACCTTTTGTAAGTTAGTAATCAAGAAAAAACCCGAAAAGAGTGTTTCATACCATCATATGCGTTGTCTAATAGCTTTGTAATAAATATCCTTGATGGCTTCAATTTGTCATAATTAGATATCTGAATGGATGTGTATGCATAGAAGGATAATGCCATCAATGCCTTATTCCCCGATGCAATGATCTCAGGAATTAAAGAATCTAGAAGCTCAGTAGACTTGATACAATCCAAATTGCCAATCAAACACAAAAGACATAAAGCTTCCAATAAATAAAGTCTTAAAAATGAAGACGAGGAAATCTCAATAATATTTAATAGTTCGAATATGGCTCGGTGAAGTACATTCGTGTTCTAAAACAGTTAGAAGTCAGTAAACTTTTATTGCACATACGACATAAACATCAACTTTGAGGAGCATCAACTTTAACTTCCATTCAACTGTGAGATTCACATCATCTTCCAAGAGACTTTCAATTGCATCTATAGACTGTTCCAGTTAGTAGTTGACTACCACATCATCATACCTGACTTAAATTGCCTAAGCTTATGTCAAGTTTAAGGGTGTAATAATGGGTTTTGAATAGGGATTCCTTACTATGTCGGAATCCATTCAAGCTTTTTAAGAGAAAAATAGCTGTTTTATAATTTTTTCTGTAAAAGAAACGTTAGAATCTCATGGACAATGTGAAACCTTACTCATTTAATGCTTTGTCCAAATACAGAAAGCATTTTTCACGACCATAAAAGTGAACAGATTGAAAAGAACGTTCCGATTCCATTTTTGCCATTTGTAAAGTCGAAGAAACATCCGGCCAATTACCATTTTCAAATAGTCTTCTGGCTTTATTCATGTAGCTTTTAACCAAATCAATAATAGAAGCTTCCTGAACAAAGCTATTTTGATAAAGACTAATATAATTAAAGCATAATGAGAAACAGCCGAGTCGATACCATATTTCTTGCGTAAGGTCCATGTATCTCGAAAAACAGTGGAAGGATTCGCTATAACATTGCAAAGCAAACGATTTTGCCAAGTTGGAAAAAACGCCTACCAGGTTATTACCATTGTCCAAATAATGCTGAGCTTGCATTAAATGGACTGTGGATTGTAAAACAGGTATTTGAGCACCCTGACTATTTATAGCCAAATGCTCCAAAATATGGTTTTCCTCTTCAGGATTTTTGTCTTTAGAAGAAGGAAGCTGAGATCTTTTAAATTCATACATCCAAGCCAAAGCAAAGTTTAGACAGGCAATATCACCGCTTTCTCGTGCAGTATTAATTGTATCTTCTATAGCACGCAAGGCTTCTTTGTCGCATCCAAAATCAGCCTGAAGAATGCTTAGGTTTAACAAAGCGTATTGATAGGAGACTCGTTCATTAGAATGCATGACATGGTCAAAGTATCTGCAAAGATTCTCTATAGATTGCTGATAATCACCTTTAAACCAAGCATTTAGAAACCTATTTAGTTAGAGAAATAAGCGAAAGAAAACAAATACCTGAAGTGGTAGCTTGTATTCAAGTGGTTTCCTTCGGCTTCTAAAATATCATGGAGTTTTCGTTTCATTTCATCTGGTAAAAAGCAGCCATAACCTAAGGAAATTATAGTTAGAAATTTTTTTTAATAATTGGAACACATACGCTGCATGTGCTGGATTTGTAATTGAATGAGCCCTTCAATATCTTGGGTTGCTTGACAGCCTGTTCAACATTAGCTACTGCTGTGGGTGTAAAGAGAGCCAAACCTGGAGTAATTCCGAATGCCAATTGAAGTAATGTTTGATTACTTGCGAGACCCAAAAGTTCATGGCGTACGTTAACTTTACAATACTCTACACCGTCTTTGCGAAAATTCATGGACGGAGAACGGTATTCAAGGAAAGATTTGAAAAACTCAACTCCCTGTTCAAAAGATAGCTGTTCATATTCTACCACACATTTTCGGAGGAAGATAGACAAAATCGAAGACGGTGAGAATAGCATATGAGAGGGAGGTTCTTCATCAGGCTCATACAAGTTCGTAATATAACTCCCTAAGGACATAAAAATTTCATGAATATCTTCATAGGAGTGTAAGGACCATAGCTAGAGCAATGGCTTTGTTAGTTTCATCACGATTCGTTATAGAAGAAATGAAGGCATACCCGTTCGTGTAATAAATCGTAAATACTGTAACCATCTATAGTACTCGGAAGATTTGTTGTTACATTATGCAGGTCGATCAAACTTTGAGGCAGCGAATTAGAAGACTAAAAGATCAAAGTCGTTAGAAGACAATAGCTGACAGAATTGAGTCATTAAAGAACATACATCGAAATACTCCAAGATTATATCCAGAAAGGATGTGGAATAACTCGGAGCAGTAGCATGCTGAGCGTAAAATTCAATTAATAAACATAAGGCAAATTTATGCGGCGTAAGGAACTTTGTGTAGAAAACTGACTTTTTATTATGTTTGTCTAATGGTATTGGGAAAACTGAATAAGCTGAAACGCCCAAAGGGTCCTGCATTTCCGTGATGTCCATAGTAATATGTCGAGAATGGTATCGGAACGTGATTCAGTCAATAAGATCAATTTTAAAACACAACTGATGAGGTCACAAAGTAAATAAAAGTATATTAATCTATTTCAAACTGACTGAAGCAATACTGTCAGCAATTGGAGTTTCCCAACAACAGTAGTGTTCAGGAAAGTAGTAAATACTTACAATAAATAAGCAAGAAAAAACTAGTATATAAAAAATTGTTTATTTATTCAATATAACTTTTTCATTAATGAGTTAGCAATGGTAGTTTACTTTCGTAGAATCCAAATCTTACAAATAAATAGCTTTTCATTTAACAAATTCTTTACAGGAAATTGGCTTCTATGATTACCTACTGGCTTACTCATTGATATAATTATTTTACGAGTTGTAAAAATCGACAGAACCGTATAAGGACGAGAATATTACATTTTATTGCTGAATTTCTACTAGCTTAAAATAAACAAGTTGCCTGTTGTTGAGAAACGCAACGTTGAGAGTTCCTCAAATAAACAAACAGACACAAGCAGAAAAGTGGACTAGCGACAAAGAGGTACTCGATTTTTCCTAGGACACTTTTGGAATTACTTGTGACGTCTCCTATCCTCTAGTTTTTAACTTCTACTCAATTCGTTATTGGAACATAGACTTGAAAGCTTGGCTTTGGAAACAATGGGGATTGAGTCTGTTCTTACTCCCTCCTATCTCAGTTTCTTTGCTAGACATTGATTATTTAACATGTAGGTGAATAATAATAGCAGATGAGAGAGAGTCGCTCTGTTGTTGCATTTTGGAATTTAAACAAAAGTCAGAAGCAACAGCCCTGGAAGGAGAAGACTGTATTGAGGTCTTGTTTAGCAATTCCTTCATAAGAGGCGAAGCTAGGGAGTTTATAAAGAATGCTGTTTGGAATGCTTCTGAAAGCATATATTTAGTCGAAAAGGACCAAAAGGACCAAAACTCTACCTCAATTTACACCTGTTCAGGATGTATGTTTGTTTACACATCAAGTAAACAAACATGAAACGAGTGTAGAAGACCATCCACAGGAGAATAAAAGATT